TAAAGAGAAGAAGGGCTCGTCGACCAAAGGTATCAATGGTCCACACAGCAGGCCAAGCGAACAAAAAGTTGATCAAGCCAAAGCCCCAACTGGCCCACAGGGCAGTGTAGTCGGAAATTCCGCTCTGTCTGAAGATTGTGCTGGAGTAGAAAGAGATGATGTTGATACCGCACATCTGCTGAGCAATCATGACAATACCGGAAGCCCAAGTGGCGCGCCTGATGCGGGGAATGGAGAAGAGCTCAAAGAAGCGAGTGACGATGTTGTTGGTCTTTGTGAGGCCGGCTTGCTCGACAAGGAGTTCCTCCTGATCCAAGATGCACTGGATGTAGTAGAGATCTCTAGCGGCCTGGAGGGGAGAGTTTCTGAGTCGCAGGAGTGATTTCCACGCCTTTAGGTGCTTTCCCTTCTTCATATACCAACGGGGACTTTCAGGGCAAAAGAAAGTACCAATGACCAAGGGAACCGCAGGGATAAAGGCAGAGCCAAGCTGGAGGCGCCAGGCGATATCACCGACCTTACCGACAGCAAGGTTGGCGCATGTTCCCAAGAAGATACCAAAGGCAGTCCAGATTTGCCAAGACATGACAAGACCACCTCGAATAGCAGCAGGAGCGTTCTCAGCAGCGTAGACAGGAACAGTCACTTCTTTCAAACCCATACCGATACCGAGGAGCACACTAACAGACACATGAGCAGCTGGACCAAGGACCAGTAGGCTGGTATGTTGACTTACCGACAGGCAGCAAGCTGTCCCCAGGTCTGAGAGACGGCCATACCAAAGGGGGCGAAAAGAGAGAAGATTGCACCCAGGAAGATTGTGCCACGACGACCGAGCCAGTCGTTGAGGGGATCAGCGATCCATCCAGCGCTGATACATTGTTAGGATTGCTTTTGTGAATTAACAAGTAGGCAGTCAACTTACAAAAGGCAGATGGTGATGTATGGCAGTGAGTTCACCAAACCAATCAGCCAGCTGTTTCTGGCACAGGTACCAGCATTGGCGTCAGGTCCGCAGAGTGGCACATTGTCTGGGATGCCGAGAGCTTGGGGGAAAGACAAGTTGGCACCGTTTGATCCAGTCTGCAGAAACAAGGCGTTAGTGGGTAAGGAGATGTGCATGGCTGAGTAACACGTACTTGATCCCAGCCCTGAATGGCTGCGGCAATGGAGCTGAGGCCGATGGTATAGTAAAGTGACCATGGGTGTTTCCATCGGTGTGTGGCCTCCTCTCTCAGAGCTCGCTTCTCGTCCTCTTCCAGCTCATTGATGCTCTCAAAAGCAGCCGGGTTCTGTGCCACGAGGGCGCCCCTCTGGAGCAGAGGCAGAATGTCGCTGGGCAGGCCCTTTGTTCTCTGAAACTGCTCGACATTGGCGAAGAGGGTGTGTTGGGGGATGCCCTTGAGCGGATTTCGGATCTCGCCCTCGAGGTTCTCAGTCAAGGCAGCAAGCTTGTTGCCCGCGTCTGCTTGAGACGAGTCTCGGACCCTATAAGACGACGGAGCGCATTAGTTTCACCGCCGTGTATATGCAAGGCAAGACACAGACACGCATCGTGCCGTGTATAGGGGCTGAGATGACTTACATCTTCTCATCGTGCTCGGGGTAGGCCACCTCGGCCGCGATCTTGTCGTCTACACCCATTGTGTGGGAGCCACGAGGCCAATGATTCACACTCTGAGACAATGAAATGAAACAAGACAGACACAATAGAGAAGCGTGAGAATCAGAGGCTCTGCCAGCTGTTTATCAATGTGAAGCACGTAGAAGCCCGGCTGTGCCCTGCATAAGATGCTCGGAGGGTTTCATCGAGGGTGGGCGGCCGTCTTATATACACCATCACGTCGCACAGGAGGCGGCCGGATCAGCAATCGACATTTCCAAATCTCCCCATGGCGTCCAACACTGAGAGGGGCCTGCAAAAAAAAAAATCTGAGGGGCCCCAGCTTGGACAGGCCATCCCATGGGGGATCTTTGGCGGATGAAGTTGGGGTTGCTGCTCGCGGTGGATCGGGTTGGGGGCTTCGGCTGTGGCCTCCCCTGCACCTGATCATTCGTGTGGAGGGCATGGAGGGCATGGCGGTACAAGGCGGCGAGTCACTGCGGCCGGGCAGCGACCGCGGCGCATGGCAGGGCGTTAACGAGGCCATCGCCAGAAGTGCTGCAGCGCGCGGCGGCAGTTGGGCATGTGCCGTTAGCCCCAGATCGCTGCGCCAAGTACCTCGATGGCGCCAAGGACCGCGCGCACAGGTACTTGCGGAGGGTTTCGACGCCGCCACACGGCCAGGGAGGTCTTGCGAGGGCCAGGAAGGGGCAAAGCGCTCATGAGGCGTCGAATGGAAGGCGCTTGGGGGCAGCCCAGGCCGTCGTTTGCGGTTAGTTCCAGGCAGCAGAATAAAAACTCTGGCAGGGGCCACGGGCTAGCATAGCGCGAGCTTGTTTCTGTGTCGGTGGCGTCGAGACAACAATAGCTGTGGGTTCTGGAAGAATAAACAGAAGCCGTTGCGGTGAAGCGCTGTGGTGTTGTGTGTTGTTGCGACTCTGCTGTCAATGCTAGAGTATAGTACAGCAAAACAAAACTAATCAACATCCTGGGTTGGCAAGGCCATGCAAGCGTCTTCGTTCTCTGCAAAGATGTGCAAGACAGCGGCCGGATTTGGCGAAGAGCTGCGGTGCATATGTACGGCTGGCTTCATGCGAGTGCGGAGAGTCTTGATTTCTGATTTTTTTCTCACTCTTGGTGGAGCGATTATTCCCTCCTCGTTTCCCCTTGCAGAGACCAGGCGTTTCTGGGTGGGCCTCGTCTGATTGAGTTGAGCAGCGTAAATAATGTCGGGCAGAGCTTTGACTCGAGCATTGCTCAACTACGACGGCTAGTCCCCTGGCCCGGGCAGTGGCCATTCGTCGAGGCTTGACGCCGGTGGAGATGCGCTGATGGGAGATGGGAGCTGGCAGACGATGCGAGTGAATCCAGGCCTTGCCACCGGTTAGCGACTCGACTCGTCGCGACCAGGCCAGGCCAGGCCCGACACCCGAATGCGGGCATGTCTGCCGGTGATGCCCTCACCAGCGGCTCGCCGTTCGTCATCAAGCAGAAGCCCGTGTAAGCCAAGGTCGGGCTAGCGCGCAGAGGGTGTCGCTTGCAACCCACAGCGCTGTGGCTCGCCTGTTTCTGCTTCTCATCCTGCTGGACATGGTACGTGAGCTGGCATATACGGATACCTACAAGACGCATGCTCAAGGGCTGGGCAGATCCGACCCCTTGCGTTGGCTGTGCGACTCGTATAGGCCGCTGAGAAATCAGGCAATCGACCACAAGGAATTACTGCATCATCATATCACGACTAATAGCAGTAGCATCGCCGCCACCGCAGACTACCGCGACTATACGTAACTCAAACGACCGGTAGCCAGGCAGCAGTTTAACAAGATGACAAGATGGAGAAAAGCGGGCAGTCTCGGACGCCATGTGGCCTCGTCTCTCCAGCTTCTCCATCTTCTCCATCCTCTCCATGCCATCTCCATGGGACGGGCTAGTCCGAAATCTGCCACGCCAGTTTTCCTATACCGGCTGGCGGGCATGCCGAATTCTGAGGGCCAAGAAGGCGACATGTCAGACAACGGCTTCCACGACTAGTACTTGAACCGCCTCGTCCTCCAAGCCAAGCTAGTCGATGAATTGCTCGTTGCAGCCTCGTCTGCTGAGCTTAATTGGGCTTTCCAGGCCTTGTTGCAGCCATCGCCAATCTGGGACAACTTGGCATTCGGGTGCTGGATGCTTGATTCTTGATTAAGTAATCGACGTCGGCGCTTGCTATCCACTTTGCTACTGCAAGTATACCATGATTTCACTCACTCACCTAGTCTCGGAATAGCGTCTTAAAACGTCGTCTCAAAATGGTACAGCATATTTGCAGTACCTACTTGGTCGCGCCATGAAATTGTTGCCTCGAAAGAAGCTGATTCGGACATTGTCCCAGCAACTGAATCGCACCCGCCGCATCCACTCATCCACTCTCCCCGCGGGATTAAAGTCTTGTGCGGAGAGACAGAGACTCTCTGGGCAAGCTCTCCGATGTGAGACAGTAAGCGTCCGCAGCAAGGGGAGCGAAGCTGCAAAGGAAACTTCCTTCTCTTGCAAAGAACTGATTTCGTCATTGAGGCAAAACAAGATCCTGTCCGGCATGCACCGTGCGCGGTCTCAGAGCGACTGACGGGACGATTCAATGCAGAAGCGGCAAGGCACAGGCTAATTCGCAGTGCCTAGTACAGATGTGGAAAGCATCGCCAAAGAGGCGGCGATAAATTTAGCAACCCGGCTTCCGGCTTCTTACTAAACCATCCTATTGCGTGCATCTTGACGGCGCAGTGGCCTCGAATCTGTCGCTGTCCGAATCCTAATCGGTATCGTATCTGGCCACGACACGACTTGTGACAGAGATTGGATTCCTCGCCGGTCCTAGACGATGAAACTCGTCAACGGGCATGTCTCCCCAGGGCAGGTCGGGGACAAGAACTTCTGGGTTGCGACGCAGTCGTCGGGACACCGGCAACAAACAAAGATGAGTGAGTGAGAGTGTAACCATGGCGCCACGACCTCCTTGTCGAATCTGGCTTCAGCGTGCTACAAGATTGGCTGCTGTCAAGATATCTCGACAGTGCCAGTTATACAGTACGCCTCACGACGGGCTGGCGGGCCGGCATTCGGCGTTCGGCAAGGCTGCGTCTAAGCCGCGTTTTCCAGGACTGTGCTGCGCTCAACTTGGATGGCGGCGCCGGAGAGCACGGCTTAGGCCATTCCTTATTCCGTGTAATTCGACGGCGCTGCACTGTGGACGGCGCCGCCTTCTTCGCATGCTATCAACCCTGCCGCTCCTCGATCTCGGCGAGCATCAGCCGCCTCCTCAGTCTTGTCCAATTCTCTTCTACAGTCATCGTCTTGGTGCGCGACTCGACGCGATCCAGACCTGCTCACAAGTGCAGCGAGGCTGTAGGGCACCATGGCCGAGCAACCGCCCCGTCCGAAGCAGGCCGCCTGTCTGGTCTGCAGGCGCAGCAAGATCAAGTGTGATTGGATGCCCTACGAGGCAAAGTGCAGACGCTGCATCCACCTGAACTGCGAGTGTATTCGCCCAGAGTTCCATCCGGGCAGGCAAAAGGGCATCAAAAAGCAAGCTCCCAGACCAACCTCGATTCTGTTGATATAGGCCGTGACAGCCGTGCTGACCAGGCAGTAAAGCAAGCGGGTGGGCATCGACAAGGCGCTGTATCAGATCGAGCAGGCCGTCAAGCGTGTCAAGTCGGGAGAGCCGCGAGGGGCCGAGGACAGAAACCTCGTGGCCAATCTGAGACACCTGCTGGATGACGTAGACGCTAGTGAAGATGCGGCTGAGCATTCGTCGAGGCAAGGCTCGCAGAGCAATACGCAGGAGGACGAGGCCGGCCTGACGTCTAGTGACGACGACGACGAGAACGACAGCGCCGGCCAGCGGTCCATGGCCGACTTTGTGCAGCGCACAGAGGAGAGCCTGGCCATTGACGACGCCGAGAACCCTCTGCAGCTGCTGGCGCGCGCGTCCTACTTTCGTCCGCCCAGTGGTCGTCGTAGCCGTCGCGACTCGCCTCAGAATCCGCAGCATGAGTCATCCTCGTCCAAGAAGGATCCCGAGTCTGCCAGAGTCCAGCGCTTCTTCTCGCAAACCAAGGTGAAGCTCGATGTTGGCGAGGACCTTGACCCGGTCGACCTCGGCCTCGTCACCATGGACGAGGCTGAGTCATTGTTTGACTAGTAAGACAACTCTCTGTCCCCTCCCATTAAAGCATATGAATGGAGATTATCAAGACGAAAATTATGAAACAACGGTTGGGCTCATCATCATTGCAGTTACTATTCCAAGCTCGTGCACACAAGATGGGGCCTCTCTCCTCGAGTCCACACGGCGGCTTACACGCGCAGCCGATCTGCTTTTCTTTTTACAACCGTCATGGCCGCGTCTACGCTCTTTATGCCTACTGCGGGTCCCTTATCCAAAAGGCTGTTTAATCATGTCAAGTTGCTGGCTCAAAAGGTGATCAACGACAAGTACAAATCCGTAGAGATCGTCTTGGCGTTTATGACACACATACCATGGATATTTCCGGGAGATCACACCATGGATGATGAGACATGCATATACATCTCGATAGCGACAACCATTGCATTCGATCTCTCACTTCACAAGACGTTGATGCCCAGGGATGCCCTAGAGTCGGGGCCAACGAATGTGTCACGAGGAGAGTGCCTGGATCCGCGAGCTGCCCTCGCCATCGATGGATTTCCAGACGTAGACCCGTGGTCAGAGCAAGGCCAGTTATTGCTGCGAGCCCGGGAAAGATGTTATATTTCTCTGTTTGTCGTGGAGAGAGGGTAAGTGCCGTTTGAAATTTGCTCATCTTGTATAATAGCCCTCGTTTAACATGGATTTAGAATGTCTTTGGCTCGTGGTAGGCCGTTTATGATTCCCATCACCCGAAACATCAAGGATGTCGATACCTGGCACCGGTCCCCTCTGGCAGATGAGCAGGACGGCCCCGTGGCATCCATGGCCGCGGTACGAAGAGATTTGGTAAGACGATATTGTTTCCAATGCTTTTCCCTTTGAAGCTTCATTTCATTGATATAAATGTCGCAGGATTCTCTCTTTAACACGGTTCGTGCGCTTTGCGATGGCTCGCAGACTAGCAACAGTGATGGGTCGCTGGTGGCTCGGTCGTACGTCTTTTCGTTTCTCTCGTTTATAAATCTCGCATTGTTGAATCTCTAACACGATGCTTTAGGATACAAGGATCTATCGAGCGATTTTTCGATCAGTGGCTTGCAGAATGGGGTCTGATGATTGGTCTGGGTCCTGGTAAGCCGTCTAACAATCGAAAGTGAGAAGCAAGCTTGCTGAATTTCAATCACAGAACGTCGCCTGCCCCCATATGTCGAGATTCTCTTTGCACACACTCGCCTTTCGACGTATGGGCGCATCATCAACCACCCAACGGCACCAGTCGAAGTCCGTATATTCTTCCGAACTGCTGGACTGTCGGCAGCCCTGAACGTGATGAGAGCAGCGATTCAGGGAGAGTCGCAGCTGCAGTCGATGCCCAATAACACGGCCATTATGATTTCCTTTGCAGCTTGCTTCGCTTTGAATATCAGCTCGTATGCCCCAGATGGCTCTGGGCTTGCACCAAGCATCAGAAGGTTGATTGAAGAGGCCACCGGTGTACTGGAACGGATTGGAACAGTCACTCCGCATAGAAACGGACTCTCAGTGTTGTACGGGAAACATCTTCAGCACTTACTACAGACATCAGGCCCCCCAAAGCCCACCCGACCACCAAAGCCAAGACGGACAACGCCTTCATCGACGGAACCAATGCAAGAAACGCCACCGGCACCACCGAGCAGCTTCATGGACCAGCAGGTGTTGTGGCCGGATATGGTGCAGTTTTCAACCATGTCGGATGACCAGATTACACAGGTGTTGAACCAGCCCGGCAACGTGTTTGAGCCCTCGTTTGGCGGTGGCATGTCATGGGAAGACATGAACAATTTCGACTGGCTGAACTGGCCGGCTTTCAACGCAAACTAAGGGAGAATGCATTGGGAATTTGGCGACTTTTGGTTATGAAGGCATAGGTATATGGAGAAGGTTTTCTCTTTTTTTGGGGGGGTCATCAGCGAGTGCTAAAAAAATGGTTACTGGTTTCAATTTGATTATGATTAGAGACGGCTGGAGGACGATTTAAGAGTGCCACATGGACGGTGGTCATATCAGAAAACAAAGCCAAAAGTGTGGGGAAAAGTTGCTAGACGTGCTTACAGCTTTATTAGACTTGTTTAAGCTTGGCACATATTATTGCCCGGCTCGCGGGCGTATTGTATATACACTAAGGGAGTACGACAGGCGCATGAATTACGGCGTGAAAACCAACGATTGGCTCGCATCAAAGACTCTCATCCAAAGCAAGCAGAAATCGTATGATTTCTTCTTTTCCCTGTTGATTGTGCCAAGAAGAAAACGCCGGCAATTTACATGTGCTTGGCGGCATCTGTCCGAGCCTCAGATGCAATACCACCCTTCCCTTCCTTCTTCCTCCTTGCGGGCTCCATTCGTTTTTTCAATAGTCCCGCTCTTACTTGTACTGTTTGCTATCTAGTTCAAATGGTAGTATTTCTTTTTTGGATTTGCAAGGGTGAGGGCGGAGTCCGGTACTCAGATGTAGCCGGCATTCAGATGTGGACTCCGCCGTTCGGGTTATATGGCTTCGGAGACTTGTTTTTTACGATGGATGGGGGAACAGGGTGTGCTTGGAGAGGGGGTGTGGGTGATTGTATTGTGATGACGTTGATTGTCTTTTACTGTGACTTGAGTTGATTGTGCTTGTTTGTTGTATCTATCTGTTCAGATGATTCCTTTACAATGCACTGTTTAACACACTGGGTATATACTGTGTAGTATCATGTGCAGGGACGTCAATTAAGGTTGGATGCAACACGATATTGCCATTCCGTATGAGATTCTTGTTGATAATCATGCAGGGATATTAATATGCGTATATTGTACACTCTGTTTAAAAGAAACAATCAGCTTTCAACTTTTGATATGTTAGTTGATGTTGTTATCCCGGCGCCATGTATAGCCGAGGCCCGGCCGAACGGCAACCGGAACCAGAAATGTGGGTTTCGGAATAGTACCCCGTTTTCTCTCTTTTTGTGTTCGGTACGCCGGTATTATGTCATATCTAATTCAGCACTGAAGCTTAAAAGAGAGAGAGCTTATATATATATATAAAGAAAGGGAAAAAAAGGTGTCTTTGTGGAGTTATGACGGGGAAAGTGAAGCCGACTTTGCGCGCTGAGCCTCAACGACAGCCACTAAACCCAACATTGGCATCTCCTTCATCTACATCAAGCGATAGACGCAGACGGCGCAACATGTCGAAACTCTCGCCCGGACTGAAGGCGCTCATCAACGCGCCGTTTGCGAGGCCCGGGCCGTGCAGGGTCGCAAAGGGCGCTGCGGCGGCGGCGATGGGGGAGGTGTTTTGGGGGATTGCGCGGGAGGCGAGGGGGAAGGGCGTTGGGGCGAGGGCGTGGCTGGCGATTTCGGTGAGTGTTTATATGTCTGTTGTGTTTTATTAAGTGTTTTTTTTTTTTTTTATCTCAGCCTCGTTTGATGAAATTTGTTATGAGTGTCATAATATGAGGAAAAAATGAGACGATGAAGACTAATCGCAACTACAGGCCGCTGCTACATTCACGCTCAACTCGCCCGACGCGCTCTCCATCCTCCACGGCATCGCCTCCGCCGAGCGCGGAGGCTCTCCAACAGCCGAGGTGCGCACCGCGGAATTCATCCGCGAGGTCGGCCTCAAGTGCATCTCCTTCAACGGCATCCCGCGCACAATCAACTGCCTCAATGCGTTCCACGCGTCTCTTCCCGAGCGCGTCACTGTGGCGTTAGGCAGGGAGCCGTCGCGGACACTGACGGCGGAGAATATCGAGAGCGTGAAGGCGAGGGGCAGAGGGTTGTGGGATTCTATTTACGCGCCGTTTGAGGACAAGCTGGTTGACAAGCTGGGTGTGTCGCATCCTGATTTGCCCGTGGTGATTTTGAATTGCCATTACGGGCCGCTGCTGTCCGACCCGGCGGGGGGGAAGACGCAGCGAGGCCTGGGGAGGGTCATGACGAGTCTGGTGGCGGTGGCGAGCTTGAGGGCGCAGACGGGCGTTGGGCCGCAGGTGCTGTCTCATGTGTTTGGGCTGAGGAAGGCGGTTGACGATGGCACGTTTCGGGATGATCTGGAGGTTGAGGAAGCGGGGAGGGAGGAGAGTGAGAGTGAGGAGGGCGTGAGGTGGTTGGCGGGGGATGAGGGCGGGGAGTGGATGTTGAAGGCGGTGGATAGGATTGTGGATGGATTGGGGGGGAGCAATTTTGGAGCGAAGCTGTGATGATTGATGATGTTTTATGAGATGTAGATTATGATATATACACATAGATGGGTTGTACAACTATAAGACAAGATTATATGTATATGGAAATGCAGCCTCGTGCGCCATCTCCAATTATGCCAAATGCTAAATAATGCCTTTCTGCAAGGCATCCGACGCTAAAATGTAAAATATACAGGTAAAACTAATTATATCAATCCAAAATGCTCTCTGATCTTATTTCTTGATCATAACCTTGATAAACTCCATTTAATTGCTAATGTTTCCCTTGTGGGTATCTTCATTCCTCCTCTTTCTCAAGACAAAAAAAAAGTTATATGTCTATTCTTCCCTTATGCCATGGTGATGATATCATCCGCCACCGTAAACGCCGCATCGGTCTTGCTCCTGACTTCTTCGACAGTAACGCCCGGAGCCAGCTCAGTGAGCTTCAGGGTGCCCTGCACGCGGTCTACCTGGAAGACACACTATTGAGAAGCAAAAAGTTAGTTGTCGACCTTTATAAAAGGCGGGGGTACAAAAGGGGTTTACATACCAAGTCTGTGATGATGGTGCTCACGCATCGAGCGCCCGTCAGCGGCAAGCTGCACTTTTGCACAATCTTGGACGAGCCGTCCTTAGCCACGTGCTCGGTCGCGACAATGACTTTTGTGTTTTCCGGGTTGGCGACCAGGTCCATGGCGCCGCCCATGCCCTTGAAGAGCTTGCCGGGGATCATGAAGTTGGCGAGATCGCCTCCTGCGCTGACTTGAAGGGCCTGAGAAGGAACATGTTAGCTTCGAACAAGTTTGGAGATTCCGTATAAAAGTGAAATGCTTACACCTAGGATTGAAACGTCGACGTGACCGCCGCGGATCATGCCAAAGGACTCTGACGAGTCAAAGGTCGAGGCGCCGGGCACAAAGGTGACGGTCTGCTTGCCGGCGTTGACAAGATCGCTGTTTACCCAGAGTCAGCTTCACATCGTCCAAGTCAATTATAAAGACTTACGCATCAACCTCCTCCAGCGTGGGATGCGGGCCCATGCCCAGCAGCCCGTTCTCGCTCTGCAGCCACACGGTCCTCTCCTTGGGCACAAAGCACGCCGCCATGGTCGGGATGCCCACGCCCAGGTTGACGTAGAAGCCCTCCTTGAGCTCGTCCGACGCCCTCTTTGCGATGCGCTGCTTGCGCTTCAGCCCGGCATTGCCCTTTGCGTCCTGGGCAGCAACGCCGGGCTCGGCCTCGGGATCGCGCAGCACCAGGCTCTCAACCTCCTTCTCCACCGTCGCTTTCACGACTCTGTCGACAAAGATGCCCGGCAGGTGCACGTCGTCCGGGTCGATCTCGCCGACGGGCACAATGTTCTCGGCCTCGACAATCGTCAGCCGCGCGGCCTTTGCCATGAGCGGGCCAAAGGCGCGCGTCGTGCGGCGGAAGACGCAGTTGCCGGTGGTGTCGGCCTTCCAGGCGCGGATGATGGCCACGTCGCCGGGGAGGGCCGTTTCCATCAGGTATCGCTTGCCGTTGAAGTCGCGCACCTCGCGCTTGTTGCCGCCTTGGAGGGGGGCGCCGCCGGACGGGTTGATGCGGACGGGGATCTCGCCGTCTTGGAGGAGCGTGTCTGGCGGTGTTGTCAGCTGAATGTTTCCGTATAGATGGTCCCAAGAATCACTTACATGCTCCTGTGGGCGTGTAAAACGCGGGGATGCCCGCTCCGGCTGCTCTCAGGCGCTCTGCCAGCGTACCCTGCGGGCACAGCTCAACCGCCAGCTCGCCATCGAGGTATCCCTTTTCGAGCACCTTGTTGCCACCCGTGTATGAGAGAATCAAGTTGTTGATCTGGCCAGACTCGGTGAGATGGGAGAGGCCACCGCGGCCTTCGAGGCCGGCATTGTTGGAGACGGCAGTGAGCGAGTGAAGCGATTCGCGGCCTCGACGGTGGATGGCTTGAATAAGAGTTTCTGAAAAATGATTAGCTTCAATGATTCCCCTCTTTTATTAAAATATCATTGTCCCCCTCTTGTCGCAAGTTGACAGTGAAACCACGAAACATGTATAAATCGTACCTGCAATACCACACAAGCCGAATCCGGAACTCAGAATCGTAGATCCGCTCTGGATGTCTGCCACGGCGGCATCGGCGCTTTCAATGACTTTGGACTTTGGTCGCGTTTGCTGCGCCTGCGAGAGGCGAATCGTCGTCGTCGAGAGGAATCGTATTCTTGCCGGGCTGGCTCTGGCGGTTTGGCGAAACTGGTGAGCGGCAGCGGAGTTGAGAAAGGAAGACCTGGTAGAGGCTGCTCTGGGGAGAGCCAGTTTCGGATGGATTGGTCGAAGTAGCGTTGCCATTTTTGTACTGTGTTTGACTAGAAAAAAATAGATGGTGTGGGATAAAAAGAAAAAAGGTTAAATTTAGAGATGTAGAGAGCTTTGAGGTATACGGTATCTCAATCAAATACGCATTCGAAGTGAAGAAAAGAGGACAAAGAGAGTGTTTTTTTCTTTGAGAGCAAAAAGTAAACAAAGAAACGAGTCAATCCAACTTCTTATAAAAAATAAAAGAGTGTCCGATTCTTTTATATCAAACTCTCGGCATTGCCCAAGCTTCAAAGTCCCAAAACGGCACCTGTTCGGGAATCTGCCCTAGCCGGTTGGCCGGCCGGCCGGAAGTTTTAGTGTGGAGCGGGTATACCGATGACCCGGGGCGAAGAAAAAAAGAATTGGGCGTTTGTCCTTGTTCCTATTGGCCGAGGGCAAGATAAAGTGGTGCAGGGGGGCGTTGACACCAAGTTATTTGGAAAAGACGGAGATATATCGGGGCGCCACGCGGTGCTGTTTTGGATTCCGATGAGCTCATGGGCATTGTTTGTGTGGTTGTTTGCTGCCTATGCCGTGTTTGCTGCCGTGCTGTGCTCTATTGTGGGCATCAAGGTTGATCAACTGGGACGTCATAACGTGCTAGAATCTTGCCAAGTCCATGGGAAAGCAAAACTGCCGCCTTTGCATTCCGGAGTAGCAAAAGCCATGTACCCCATATCTACAAGAATCCCGCACTTTACTGACTCACGTACAGCCAACGGGCCGCGGCATACAGGAACGAGATCTTAATTTCAGCTACCCTGGAGTATAACGAGGAGACCCCGCAAAATGGCATCTACCTTTTACAACGGCCTAGTTCCCGCTGTGAGATGACATAAGCTCGTCTTCATAGCCTGAAGTCGTCCAAAAATACATGTAGATGATGAGAGCGTATTAGAGCGTATATGTATTACGGCGGATACAGGCATTTTACGGTGGATATAAGCACCATTTACGCAAAGGCATATATATATACTTTGTCATCACCACAAGTGTATACCACGGTAGACGCACGCTACACCAATCAACCCCAACATTCCATTTCCAGATCTACACTCAGCATTACCCCATACTGCACCCATCCCCAACGAGTCACGTTCAAGACATGGACGAACCTCCCTTTTCTACCTCTGCATACAGACAACAAGGGTCGATGCGGGGTGCTCGGTTGCGGAGAGACAGAACCGCCGCCCTGCTCTCCAGCCTCGAGAATCCTCTGCCTGCTTAATCTGTGCCTCCCCGATTAGACCCTGGTAAAGAAAGAAATGGGGAGAAACCGAAAAAAGGTAGATGCGGAGAAAAAAAGAGACCAGTCAGTATTCAGCAGAGTTACCAGTCCAATCCGGGGGAAAAGTGCCCGAAAGCTCCTCTGCCGCGTTGTCACCCTCATGGTGTCTGGTGTACCCTTTACATTACAACCGTTTGGGCGGTGAGATAGGCATCTTTGTTATTGTTCTCCGTGACCAACATGTCGCGTCTTGAAGAGACGAAATTCGAGGATGAGAAGCAGCAGCAGCTGGAGCTGGAGCATGGAGTCGGCTCCGAGGAGGAGCGCCAGCATGCAGCGGCGTTGGCGAGGAGGATTCTGTTCAAGATAGACACCAGGTATGATTGAGACTTCAATGAAATGGTTCACCATCATTGACTGTTTTGTCATCAATTGATGCTAACCAAGTCTACAAACGACAGAGTCATGCCCATTCTGGCGCTTCTGCTTCTCTGCTCGTTCCTGGACAGGACCAACGTCGGCAACGCAAAGATCCTCGGCCTCGAGTCCGACGTGGGCATCACGGACAACCAGTACTCGCAGGGCCTCGCCGTCTTTTACGCCACCTACATTGCCTGGTTTGTCTTAACCACAGCCATCATTCCAACAACAACATCAGTAGTATCACTAACACGATCCCAGCGAACTCCCCAGCAACCTCGTCCTCAAGAAATTCTCCCCCCGCATCTGGCTGCCCACCCTCGCCGTCGCCTGGGGCATCACCACAATGTGCCTCGGCTTCATCCGCTCCTTTGGCAGCTTCGCCGCCGTGCGCGCCCTGCTGGGCATCGCCGAGGGCGGCCTGTTTCCAGGCATCGTGCTGTACCTGTCCAGCATGTACACGCGCGGCGAGCTGGCCCTGCGCATCGGCATCTTTTACACGGCGGCGTCGCTGTCCGGGGCGTTTGGGGGGCTGTTGGCGAGGGGATTGTCGGCGATTGGGCCGCGGGGAGGGCTGGAGGGGTGGAGATGGATTTTTATTGTTGAAGGGCTGTTGGTGAGTTTTTTCTTTCTAAAAGTATGGGATGATGATGGACTAATTTACATGACTTGAAGACTGTTGTTTCTGGTCTGATTGCCTTTATTTGGCTGCCAAACGGCGTTGCGAGCGCAAAGTTTCTCACAACTCAAGAGCGAGATTTCGCTTCCCAGAGGTTGGCAAACGACAACGGCGGCCGCTTCAAGTGCGTCCCCTATATATTCACCAATATTACAGAGACTCAGACTGACTTGCTTCATAGCCCAGCACTCGAGGCAGAAGAAGCCTTCAAGTGGTCCGAGGTCCGCCGCGGCCTGTTCAACGTCCAGGTCTGGCTTACCTCGACGGCCTACTTTGCCATGCTCTCGGGCGTGTACTCGTTTGGTCTTTTTGTAAGCTTCACATACATTCTTTTTTTTACTCTTCCTTCATGGAGTATTAGTTTAAATGGCTGCTAACATGGCAAAAGCTGCCTACGATTGTCAATTCTCTTCAGATCACGACGAATGCCAACAAAGTCCAGCTCTGGACTGTCATTCCGTATGCCGTGGCAACGCCCACTACCGGTACGTTTCTCCATCAAATCTCACAACCTCTAGAAATGCTGACAAGTCACCATCAAGTCGCCGTCGCCCTCATTTCGGACCGCATCAAGCTCCGAGGCCTCCCCATGCTCGTCATGCTGCCCGTCTCCATCGCCGGCTATGCCACAATCGCCCATGTCCAGTCGGCCAGCGTCCGCTTCGGCATGACGTGCCTCATGGCCATGGGCATGTACAGCTCCGTGCCGTGCGTGCTGGTGTGGAACGCGAATAACTCGGCGGGACATTACAAGAGGGCGACGACGTCGGCGTTGCAGCTGGCCGTGGCGAATTGCGGAGGCTTCGTCGCGAGTAGGCCTTCCTTCTCCCTTACACTGATATACCCTCATTGATGTTTTGAGTTGCTAATGGACGAATGTCTTTACAGCATTTGCATACCCGAATAAAGAGGGGCCCGTCTATCTCAAGGGACACTCCATCATCCTGGGATTGCTCTGTTATGCGTGGCTTGCGTAAGTTTGATCGCACTGTCCTTTTCATCTTGCTTGTCCTTGAAGCTGACTGCGAGCAAAATAGCGTATTGGTCAACGTGCTCTGGCTATCCAAGGTTAACAGAGACAAAAAGGCCGGGAAATACGACCAGTATGCCGGCTGTGGTGATGATCGTGACCCCGAGTTCAAAATGATTTTATAAACATGCTCTCTTCTTTGATGTTTACACGACCATGTAGTATCATAGCTAGCGGACGAATTTGGTTAATGTTTATGAGTTGATATACACTTATATGCTCCTTGCAGCTGATTTAAACTCTCAAGGCCATACATCCATCAGTCCGGCCCATCATCCCAGCAGCACCTTGACCACTTTTTCAACCTCATCCGTATTTCCAAAAATGATTCCCCCCCTCTCATCACATCCCTCCACCCCCTTCTCCAACACATCCCTCCCATCTTCGTCCACCGCCTTTCCCCCAGCACACTCCACCACCAACCCCACAGGAAACAGCTCATACAACTTCCTCAGCTTCGCCTTGCTCGTCTGCGTCACAGGCGAAATGTACACGCCGTGACCTTTGGTAAGAATGTGGCCCAGATCCGGCACAAGCCCCCCGCTGTACCGAAGCGTGTACTTTTCCTTGATGAAAGACGCAATGAGCGAGGCGTAGGCAGGCGACTCTGCAGCGGCGCGGAGATTGGCCGGCGCAAAGTACCGCGTCTTGTAGGGCGGCGAGGAGAGCTTCACGTCTGGCCGGACGAGCTCGATGCTGGAGCCGCTGTCGTCCAGCCCCAGCTCAAAGCACAGGCCGGCATCTTGCGGATTCTCGCGCACAGCCACAATGGCCGTCGTTCGCGGCCCGTAGACGCCCAGGACGGAGCAGATTTGGTCCTTGCTGGGGGTCTTGCCGAGTGCGGTGTCGCCTTTCCAGATGCCGAGGATTGTGCCCACGGACCAGTTTGCGCCGATGATGGAGCTGCCGTCGAGAGGATCAAACGCCACTGAGAATCTCTCATCCGAAGAAGTAACGTCTGCTGTCTGGTGAACTTGCTTCTCTTCCGGGTCTTCCTCGCTGCTTGCAGCCACTACGAGCGGGCACTTTGCCAGCGCGGCGCGGACCGCATTCTCGGCTGCGACGTCGACGTTGAGCTGGTCATCTCCGAAGGGATTCGCCGATCCGGCAAGCGCTACGTGGTGCGAGGTGCGCAGCGAGGCGCCAATCTGAGAGATTGCGGCGAGGAGGTGAGGGAGGAGAGACGAGCTGAGTGCGTGGAGCGTTGGAGATTGCGATTGAGAGAGCTGGGGGGGCAGCCATGGCGGGAGCGGAAGAGGCGGTTGTGAAGACATGGTGTTTGATGTGAGGAGCGTCGGTTTAGTGAGCTTTTTTTTCTTGTTTGAGAGGTGCCGTTTTGGAGATGCGGGTTTTTGGTGTTTTGGTGGAGATGGTGGCAGGTCTAGCGGTTCAGAGTGGTTTGACTTTTAAGCTTCTTTGCACTTTGATCGCTAGACTACGTCATTTCAATAGGCTGGGTTGATATAGATGAAACTAAGTAGTATCAATTTTATATTCAGTTCTTGAATGAGAAATAGCATCTTATCATCATGCTGCTTGGTTTCCTTCACACAGGCCCAAATTCAAGATTCTTAGCAAATTAAATCATCATAATTGACGACGTATAAAGCACCGAAAACTATCATAACACCGTACTAATCCAACTACAATCTACACAACATGGCATCTCATGGCAAAAAGGGCCTCATATGTCGCACATCCATACTCGCAGTCAGTTCCGGGATCCTGTCTTAATGCGTCTTCCGCAAGTTGGCCGGGTTCGCGATAAACGCAGCAGCCACTCCAACAGCAGCCACCAGCGTAGTCGCCATAAAAGCAAGCCTCAACCCGTCATAGTATACCAGCCGAGCGCGGAGCTGGATATCAGGCGGCAGGGTTTGCAAGGCGTCGACCGAGTGGCGAATCTCATCAATGATCTAAACAAGAAAGAAGAATGCTGCGTCAGTTGTCATTTTCACCTCACCACTTTTTAGAACAAGATGCAGGAAAAACATTGACGTAAAGAAAAGGGTCGTACTCTCCATTTATCTGGTACCTCGCTCAAGACCTGTGGTAAGCGGACGCTGAGCGTGTTTTGGACAATGGCCGACGTGACGGATACGCCCCAGACGGTTCCGAGGGATCGAACGAGATAGGTGGTTGAAGCAGACACGGCGTGGTCTGTGAATGAATGTCAGTAAAAAAGACTACTCTCTACTTCAACAGAATGTGTAAAACATACCTGAATGAGCATGGGATGCAATCGATATAAACAGAATGGCCGGATACACCATCCCCGTGCCCAAGTGAGACGGAAATATGTACCAGACATACTTCCACGCCGCATCCGAAAAGGCCCACGACGAGACCATGGCCTGGCCCACCGTCATGAGAATAAGTCCCGTCCGCATCAGCGGAATCAGCTTGCCCCAGCGAGACATGACCGTGCCCGAGATGAGGCCTCCCAAGGGCATGGCCAGCGAAGGCAGAGACAGCCGAATGCCCGCCTTGGTGGCCGAATCGTTGAGGATGGCCTGGAAGAAGAGCGGAAGCATGAAGAGATACTGGTCGGCAGCATGTTAGTTACATCAAACTGTTTTTTTTTTTTGTACGAGGAATGGAAAAACTCACGCCATACATGGACATGCCCGCGCAAAGATTGGCCACCTGCGTTGCAATCGGCATCGTCCCCTGAAGCATCCTCAGCGGAATAATCGGCATGGCGGCCGTACTCCCCTCGACACGAACAAACACCGCAAACAGCAACACACTCATTGCCAGCGCCCCAATGACCCACGGACTGCTCCACGGCAGCTCATTCCCGCCGAGGCTCAAGCCCAGCAGCTGCGTCGACACAGCAGTGACCAGCAGCAAGGCGCCCGAAAAGTCGACTCTCTTCCACAGCGCGGCGAACCCGCCTTGTTCGCCCGTAACAGCAATGCCCTGGTGCTGGTTCCCGAGCACAAAGTACCCGGCAATCAAGGCAAAGATGGAAAAGGGCACCTGCAGCAGGAAGCACCAGCGCCAGCCGATGAGGTCGGCAACGGTGCCGCCAAAGGAGGCGCCGCAGATGGCGCCGAAGCCGACGACGCCGTTTTGCATGGCCTGGTACATGCCGCGCCGGCGAAAGGGGATCATGTCCGAGTTGATGATGGTGGCTAAAGCATCAAGGCATCAAGTCAGCATCATGGTATATATATGAGAGAAATGTAGTCAAAACACACCCATCGTCATCAGTCCCGCTCCTCCAACGCCAGTAACGGCCCTCATGCAATTCAGCGCAAACACAGTCCTCGCCACGCCGCACCCAAGACACCCCACGGCAAAGACAACCGTCGACACAAAGAAGCACACGCGGCGGCCGAAAATGTCCGACACGCGGCCGTAGAGCGGCTGGAACGCCGTCGCGGTGACGAGGTACGACGTGGTCAGCCACGAGGCGCTGTTGGCGGCGTCGAAGTCGGAGCTGATGACGGCGTAGGTGGCCGCGGTGATTGTGCCGTCGAAGCCGTAGAGGAAGACGTTTGTCATGATGGCGAGCTGGATGGGCGTGAAGCCGGGCGGGGGGGACCAGGCATCCGGGGCATCGTCTGGCGTGGTGAGCAGCGGCGAGTCTTCTCGAGATGCTGGGGATTGGCGCTCGATGTCGACGGAGGAGGATTGTGGTGTTGAGGCCATGGTGATGTGAATTTCCTACTACTGCTGCTTGTAACGAGAACAAGTTTGCGAGTTGTGGCAACTGAATGAGAGTCGACAGCGTCTTTTAACCAGCAAGACAACTAGATCTGAACAAATTCAATCCAACAATTGCGCAAAATCCACGTCTATAAGTCTGCTCAAAAGGGCTTTTTACTTTATTCCCCCAAATCACGCGCCAGGGATCTTCCCTGCAACCCACTCACACACTCCAAAAGCGGGAATTGCACCATCGCCTTGTGCGTCTTTCGTGATGAGCCAAAGACGGGAAAAAAATGCTACTAACTTCTCGCTTCGATGCAGGGGTTTTTGCTTGTATTAACGATAATTATTACAATCGTAAACAAATCATTGGCTAGAAGCATGAGATAAAAAAAATACAAATTAGATTAGGATACAACTAACACATATCCTCTTTGGTGGTTGTGGAGAGACCGGCGAGTGAGTAAGAGTCAAGAGCCGATGGGCCGCTGGCTCGGGTTGTCGTCTTCCGTGCTGATTCAAAGATGGACACTATCTTGCCGCTGAGCACGCAATTAGCATGTCGATCTGGATGAAAAATTAGTCACTTTGAATTCGCTCATATAGCCCAAGTTTTGTACAGCGAGTTTGTGAGCAAAGGGAATACACGTAAATCTCATATGACTGGACTTTTAGACGAGGTTGAACAATCACCATTACTCACCCAGTAACGTATCTCATAAACCTCAACATGTTACACAGCTTGCAGCAAAAAAAAAAAAAAAATGTATAAAACAGTTGATTTCATTTCTCATATCAGTGGTGCATTTCCATCGCCACTAATGGCATTTCTCAAAGTCACACTCATTTCTTTGCATCCTCCTGCATGCCCTTCTGGATCCACGCCCTCGACGCCTCCGCCATCTTATCCATCTCCTCAGACGTCAGCTTGGCCGTCTCAAACGCCGTGTGCTTGTCCGGCACGTTGCGGCCCTTTTCAAAGCCGGGCCGCTGGAGGAGCGTGTGCAGCCACTTGTCGACGTGCGGGAATTCGTCCAGCGAGACACCAGCGTAGGCTGAAGAAAGCATATCGTTAGCAAAACAATGATGATGATAAAAAAAAAAAAATACACTACAAGTTAATCTTACCGTGAGAGGCTACCCATCCCCAGGCCGCAACATCAGCAACAGTAAGGCGGTCGCCGACGAGGAAGCCCGACGACGACTTCGCGAGCTGCGCCTCCATGACGCCGTAGAGGCGGCGAGTCTCGTTGACGTAGCGGTTGATGCCGTACTGGATCTTTTCAGGCGCATATCCTACCAAGCATTGTTCAGTAACTCATACCAAGACGAAGAAGAAGAAGACAAGAGCGTACTGTTGAAGTGGTTCGCCTGGCCCTGCATGGGACCCAAGCCGCCCATCTGCCAGTGAAGCTAAAAACCCACAGATAAAATCAGTCATTCGAGTTGTTGTCTCCAAGAAGAAGAAGAAGCACCCACCCAGCTATTCACCTCCCACGTCTCCTTCGCCTCCCTCGGATACGAAACCTTGTGCTCCTTGTCATAGCGCTCCACGAGATACTGCAAAATGGCGCCGCTCTCAAACACGCGGATGTCGGAGCCGTCCGTCCACTTGTCCGTGATGGCGGGGATGCGGCCGTTGGGGTTGATGGCGAGGAACCACGGCTCCTTCTGCTCATTGGTGCTCATTTTAATCGGATGGACCTACCATTTTAAAAGAAAAAAAGTTGTTAGTTGCCAACTAATACGCGTATATTAATCTGTTGATGGATAGATATTCTTTGAGACTCACCTTGTACTCCAGGCCCAGCTCCTCCAGCAAGATGGACACCTTGATGCCATTCGGCGTGCCAGCCGTGTAGAGCGTGATGTCGGTCGGGATGCCCATTTTGGAAAAAGAAAAAGACTATTGATTTGTTTTATTTGATAAGTATGAGTTGCGATTGCTTACTACCGCACCCCCTTCTATATATACTATTTATTTTCCATCAAATAGTAATGCGTCAATATGATACGCACAAATGTTACGCTTGCTTAGAAATCCTGAACTACGTACCTATTGCAAATGCAAACTTTCCCCACCTTTTGGCAAAGCGGAGGGATTATTACTAGGTATAGCAAATGGGCACAAACAAGCCGCCCGCATTTTTGAGGAGCTGTTGGTACAAGTATGCCGCGGAGAAGTTGGGAAAAAATAAAAGGAAAAAATAGAGAGAATGAAGAAGGAACAAGACTGAAGTGCTCTTCAAGAAACCATGCTGACGATTTTCGAACGTCTTCGAGGTCAATTCCATCTTCTGTAAGCTGGCGGTGCATAAAGCATTTTGCCCATGAGTAAAATAACATCTCGCTCGCAATGGAGATGGGGCAGGAAGCCATTTGGAATCAATTGGACTCACTTCACAAGTTCTATCAAATATTTCAGCTTACTAAACCTCATTTTCATCGTCACGCCAGTCACAAAAAAGGAAAGAAAAGGGAAATAGTTTTTGGCTTCCATTCTTGTATTCATATTCATATTCAAGTCCTGCCTTATAGTCGCAGAGAGCTAGCTATATATTTGTCTTTATCTCATAGGGTAAGTTTCAAATGCGAAAGAGAGGGAAAGTAGAAAAGAGGAAAATAAAAGGAAAATAAAAGCAAATCCTTGATCAGGTAAAAATGGCGTAAAGCAACATCCGTCCAAAGAAAAAAGAAAAGGTTCATCAAAGTCGTCTCGCGTTCCGGCGCGCGCTGTCATATCACGGCTTCTATCCAATAAATAAACAAGTAAATGCTTGGTAGTTTCCATCTTTCAGCCGTGGTTCTGTTCAATCTCTTGTCGTCCAACAAATTCATGCCCATGTTCTAAAGAAGAAGAAGAAAAAGAGCGAATGGTATCCTTGGGCTTGTTATAACTGATGTAGTTCCTCCAGAAAAACATAAACGCCAGGTGGCACATTTCAAAGGACTGGGCCCCTGTATCATGTGCGCATGCAAAAAAACAAACAAACCCCACTCCTCAAGCCCGGATACAATCAATGAGGGCTTCACTTTCAGTATCCTCGAATAAGAAATCTCAAAATCGTGGGAGATTGAAGGAGAGAGGGATCAAAATTGCCACCGTCCAATATACACGCTCAGAAACAATAAGAAAAAGGTTGGGGTAAAGCCATCATCCTGTATCGTGGACGCAACACCAGTGCAGTCCGATTTGTGGTTTAAATCGTAAAATAGGTCATCTCGTCTCGTCGTGCAGGTAAAAACCAAGACTGAATTGGAAAAGAAATAAAACAAAACAAGTGTCGAGATCTCAAGGAAAGGGAGATGTAGAAAAAGACAGAATATGCAAACACTTCTGTTAATGAGACTCAAAGGAGTACCAAAGCTCCCGCAGAGGATCTTTATTTTCAACGAAATATCGCTGAGTCAAGGCCAAGGCCAGGTCATAGATAGGGAGACACAGTAAAACGAATATGAAATGGAATATAATAATGGAAGCCAGACGCCGTCAAGCGTGCGCCGGGTATCCCTCGCGCCCCTTGGGGATTTGATAGGTGGTGTAATGCGCGTCCTCGTACGAGTAGTTCTTGTTGATCTTGGGCTTTGAAAATTGACCAGACCCGGCCGAGGTTGAGTAGCCGCTTTCACGGGTTGGCATGGAAGGTCGGCTGTCGCTGTGACCAGCAGGGTAATAGGCATATCGATCCTGCTCTGGCTCTGCGGCGCGACGGCTATACGATGGCTGCCGGCCACTCTCGTATCCGGCGTATCGAGAGGTTTCTGCATAGCTTTGATCCATGGATTGTTCTCTCCTGCCGGTACGGTTCCTGCGATCCCTGGCCTGGTGATATTCATCCGAATCATCTTCTTCATTGATTTGCTGCGCGGTATAGCGCGAGCGATTGCGTCCGCGGCCTTCGAATCCTTCACCGTAATTGTAAGTTTTGGAGCGAGTGATGGGCACAGCTCGCGCATAGCTGCTTGGATCAGCCGGCATGGTTTTTGTCCTCGACAAATGAGGTGGCGAGCCAGACATTGTCGCATGCTGTGCATGGCGTGGGGAGCCCATGGGGACAGAGTCAGCGACAGGTTCTCGCGATGACTTCCTGTTGTACTTGGCGCCATGGTTGCTTTCCGTCGAGCCGCGGCGGGGTCGCGCGGCGGCCGCCGCCGATGAACGACGAGCATCATCTTCCTCGGGGACAGGGAAGACGGACGCTTGGTTGGGGGCAGGTGGGGGAGTTGGGACAGCGGGAGGCTGGCTCATGTGGTGGCTGTAAGTCGCAGACCTCTTCAGAGCACCAGGATTGGGGATTGTCTCCTTTTCCTTTTGGCGAGTGAACTGAATGTAAGAGTGAGCATCTGCCAACTTGGCGTGGGTGTCCTCCCAGGAAGACGATTGCTCCGGAGCGGGTGGCGCGGCTCGCAGAGTCTCATACTTGCTTGTAGCGAAGTCGGGATAAGACTGGACAAGGGGAGGAGACACTATTGGAATGGCGTCGCGGGGAGAGGCGCGATCTCGATCTCGCTGCTTGTCATCGTACTTTTTGCTCGACTTCTTCTTGTCGGATTTGGGCATGAGGGAAATGGTATCGTCGCTGTAGTCATCGTAGGCAGTTGCCAACTTTGCGTGTTTCTTCTTGTCGTCCTTCTTCTCCTTGGTCTTCTTCTCTCGGCGAGCGTCTTTGGCATCCCTCTCAGCGCGGCGAGCAGCCTCCTCCTTTTCGGCCTTTTTTCTGCGCTCGCGCTCTTTGCTCTCCTTGTCGCGCTCACGTTCGCGCTCCCGTTCTCGCTCCCGTTCTCGCTCACGATCACGGTCACGATCTCTCTCTCGTTCCCTCTCTCGTTCTCTATCACGTTCCCTTTCTCGTTCTCTATCTCTTTCCCGTTCTCTATCTCTTTCCCGTTCTCTCTCGCTATCCCGCTTTGGGCGGCTGTCCACGTAGGTGGTGTCCCCTCTCCTTGTGCGCGAAGAGCTATACACACGATGGCTGTAGCCCAGATCGTCTTCATAGGATCGCGAGTGCGGGTATGATTTTGAGGCTGAGGGGGGGACGCCGGGGGACGCCTTGTAGGATGAGGCGCGATGCGGGTCGGCAGTTCGAACTTCAAAAGTGCTGAATCTGGTCTTGGAGGCCGATCTGGAGGCTGATCGCGGCGGGGTCGAGACGGCAGTCTTGCGCAGCTGCTCTCTCAATTCGGCCAATCTGACCTGGTCGTCGTACTTTTTGCGCTCCTCCTCATCGGTCAGCAGCTCATAGGCCTGCTGGACCTTTTGGAACTCTTCCTGCTTCTGTGCCTTGAGCGTCGGGTCCTGCACCTTGTCGGGATGGCACTTCAAGACAAGCTTGCGATACGCAGTGCGAATGTCCTTTTCCTGAGCATCCTTGGCAACACCGAGAACCTTGTAGTGATCCGGGAGGGACGAGGAGCTCATGGTGGGTGGTGCTGAAGGGGGGAATGATTGGAGTGCCTTGCGGCAGTTGTGAGGCTGTGTCAAAAAAAAGTCTACCTATAGAGGCGTCCTGAGGGCAGCTTGCATCGAGTCCACAGCGACGGTGATTGAGAGGCTGCGACAAATTCTTGAAGGGACTCTCTTAGACCAAGAGCGCGCAGACAAGGGGAAAAGGGGGCGCTGCGGTCAGAGATGGCCTGAGGATGAGGGGGGCAATTTATGAGTAAGGTGGTAGTAGCAGGAGGTAGTAGGCAGTAGTAAAAGCTGCAGTACTATCAAGTACGAGTTTGTAGGGGAGGCGAATAACAAGAGCCCAGCTGCCTGCAATGGAATGCCAGCCGCCGCTGATTTGGCTGAAAAAGGAATGACAGCCTTCCGAGCACGAAGCAGAACAGTCAGATGCAAAGGGAAGGGAAATCAGAAATCAGACAACCGGCGACAGGGCAGAGGCAGAGGCGAAAAAGAAAAAAAGACGGGCTGGACTGATGCAACGAAGCACACGCAAGGCTTGCGGGAGAATCAAGATGGAGGCTCGCCGTCCCCTTTTGGCTGTTTGGGGGGAGAGGGATCGCTGGTACCTTGGGCCTTGTACCTGAGGTCAGTGAGGTCACGGGCCCGGACGGCGGCTGCACGAGGTGATTCGGCAGAAACGGGCCAGGGCTAGAGGGTGCTAGGAGGCGCTGGGCGCTATGGCTGGCAACAGGGACAAGGCACAGGACAGGCACTAATAGCGGAGCGCAGCAGAGGAGGGGCGCGAGTCAAGCGGCCTAGGCGGGATCCGTCGCTGCTAACGGCGTAGCGCAGCGAGCACTCAAGTACTGCTGTATCTCCTCCAAGTACCTCGTAGAGGGTGGTGGGGGAGCGAGTCGAGTCGAGTCGAGTCGATGGGTTGAGTCGAGCGGGTGGGCTGCGGATGGTGAGATTTGGGTCGAGCGCTTTCCAGGTAGGTAGGTAGGTAGGACCAGCGCCTTTTCTTTAGCTCAGGTTCTGGTTCTGCTCCGGGCTGGGCTGGTGGCGGGCGGGAGGCGTGGCGGGTTAAAAGGCTCTCTGGGACGAGGAAACGTGGCTGAGGGTTGACGTTGACGACGCCGACTACCTAGGTAAGTCGGTAGGTAGGTAGGTATCCGTATTGACTGCGGGATTGGCGACAGCAGCGACGAGGTCGGTATTAGCTGTCGGTATTCAGCTCTCGGCGCCCGTCTTCGCCCGTCTTCGTCCACGCGCCTTTTTCGCTCTCGCAGCTTGGCCGGCGTCCTCGGTTCGGAGAAGGCGACAGAAGAATATGGAGGCGGTGGGATTGGTCAGGGTCCGGCGCTGGACCTGGAGCGAATCGGAAGGGGGACAGTGAATGCGTCAGCCAGACAGACTGGGAGGACAACGCTGGAGCGCGTGACAAACCCAAAGCAGGGCAGTGGCAGCGCAGAGCACACGGATGAGCAATGCCTGAGTAAATAAGAGTGAGTGCTGAAGTGAGCGAATGCTGCTTGTCGATAAACCAGCCTCGCTCTCCTTGCGTTTATAATTGATAATCTCAAAGCAGCAGCCAGCGAACGGGTGCACGTATGTAATCAGACAAAGATTAGGTGATGACTCCAGGGCTTTCTGTTATGCAGCTCACACGGGTACACAGCAAGTGAGTCGAATCATACATGTACCCAGGAGAGCGCTCTATGTACCTGTAAGCAGCTCTCGCCGTCACAAGCTGCTCTCAAACCAGGGGGAGCAACTGGGTGAGAGAAAAAAGACGCGAGGGGTACCGGGTCGCAGGTGCGCAGGTATCGGCTGACGTCTGGTACCGTCCGAGTAGCAGCGGCAGGATGGATGTTTCGCTTTAATAGGAGATGAGATGAGCAAGAAGCCGATGACGATGACGATGACGATGACGGGCAATTGAGCAATCAATGACTTGTCCCTTTGCTCTCCCTCGATATAACAAGAAGCAAACAGCCCAGGTGAGTCAATTGCTGAGCAGCAAGAGGGCGGGCAGGGCTGGTGGAATTAATTGGGTATTCCTCAGCGATTCCAGCGTGGCTGGTGCAAGGCAGATGCTGCGTCGCTGTACTGCAGCGTGGCGAGCCTGTTTCGCGGGTTCAGGCCAGGCGCTTATAGGAGCCGCGTGTTAACTGCGGAGATGGAGCTCAAGCGCCGCAGCGGTCGATCAATTGCTGCCAAGGCAGCAGAATAGGCGGGAAATAGCGTAATTGTACATGCAAAAACGGACGGGATTCGCTGTCTCAGGCAGTCGATCTCTGGGGATTGTCCCAGTGATGAGAGCCACAGGCGGTGTAGCTCGAGACCGCAACGAGGGAGCTAGCGATGGCTTGTAGGCGCAAAAAGCTATAGCAATGGATGCGTATTGTACAATGGTGAGTCGTATCCAGAACGTAGAAGAGAGGGTGCGGTCAATGGTGAAATGGTACTTTGCAGTATAGGTAGAGCCAGGGACCTGTGACCAGCTGCTTGCTATTGGGCGTAGTGACGACTTCTCGTCCCTGTCGGCGGAGCTTGGATCCCGGAAAGACCCCCACACGCAGGCGTCGGCAGCAGGAAAAGACCACTGTAGAAAGAAAGCAATTGATTAGGAATAGCGAGAGGGAGCCAAAGAACAAACATGGAAGACGCAAATGGAGCAAAGTCAGATTATGGAGATGCAGTCAAGGATGAGATGCAACGGCAAGCTGCACGAGATGCGAGATGCGAGGTGCTGCTGCTATCTTCCAGAAAGAGAACAAGGTGTGATATGATTCAATGTCATGTAACTGCCGCCCGCTTCCTGCGTGCAGGCCGCAAACAAGTTGGTTGGGCAGCCTGCGCTCTCCTGAGCCCGGCCTGGAGGGTTATTATACGTTTTACAGACAGAATGGCGCATCAGAGATACGCAAGCACGGTTCCGGATGTGGAGAGGAATCATGGGCAATCACGATCTGGGAGCTCCACGGCCTCGTGGTGGTTGCTCCCGCATCAAGGCAAGAGCTTCAGCGACAGCGACAGCACAGCGGCTGGCAATGGCTTCAAAGCTCAAGGCACAAAGTCCGCATCCATGTGCATGTAGCCCCAGGTACTCGAGCGTCTTGTCTCGATATCGCATCCACTGGGCGCGGCACATAAGCCATCAGCCCAGGCGAGCATCAGCAGCTCCTGCGAGCCTGTCACCCCCAGTCACGAGAAAGGCTCGACTCCATCGCTCGCTGCCTCCCTTTGCTCTGGCTCAACGTCATTCGCTGGCCAGCAATCGCATCCCATGAGCGTCTCTCTCCGATTGCCCCGGTCCTCCTCGACCTGCATCTGCCCTCGCCAATGACACGGCAGCTCGACGCCCTCGCAAAGGCTCCGGGTTCAAATCCTTTGCCTCTCTGGGATAGGCGGCTTTCGCCAAACAGCAGCTTATATACTTGTACATATGCGAGGCACAGTCTCCAAGATGCATCCGCGCTGCCGGCCGCGATAGACCGGGGTCCTACAGGCACAAGCACGCCAAAGGAGCGAGCGAGCTGTGACCGACTGCGGGGAGGCCATCCAAGGGACCATGGAGGGGCATGGCGAGTAAAGCAAGACAGACTGAAGAAAGGCGAAACGCAAACAATGGACTCCTCCCGTCGCCTAGAGCGACCATCTACAGATTTCAATAGACTGACCCGCATCGCATCGTTTCGCTCTTTGCATCCCCGCTTTGAAGGAGACGGCGCATGGGCCATTGCTTGCACATACGAGACGGCAGAGCAATGTCTGTATGTTGGACCCAGGGAGAGCAGAAAAGCTGCAGGATTACCGATATACGGAGCAAAGGCCACCGTACGCACACGGAGCTCATACCTGATCCTTACATGCTCGTAAGCTCCTTGCTTCAGAGGCATGTGAGGAGGCATGTACTCCATAAGGGACCTGTATGTGCGACGCAGCAGAGCAATGTTGCCCGCATCACGAGCCTCCACGGGGTATACCGGTATCTCGAGCTCAAGCACAGGTGGTCCGGTACCTCTACTTGCATTCTGATGTTCTGCCCCGCCATAGCAGCCGCCAAAAGGTATTGATACCTGTGCCGTCCCAGGGGTCTCCAGCCATATATGCGCATCGCATCGCATCGCATACATATCGCCGACGGAGGCTTGGTTGCACTCTCTGGCCTACGACTTGCATGTGGCCGCGGGATGCCATTCGCCGCGCCCAGAAGCCAACAAGCGTTGCTGCATGACACCATCTGGGGCTTTCTTTTTCTCTTTTGCACTATCAAATCCATGGCCTGTCACAAAGACAGACGCGGCTCGCCCCTCTCTCGTAGCCAATACATATGGGCCTCCCATGGGCCTGCCACACCCATTCGAACTCGATTCACCTCGTCATTCGACGTGAAAAGTGCCAGCGTGGAGCATTTGGCCGACAAGAATGGAGACGGTACGCCTGTGGTTGGCAGAAAAGGGGGAATCTGCGCAGGCAACGTGCCTCCAACCACCGCTAGATCCAGGAACAGGTTGTCGTGTCGTTGCCTCAGGCGGGCCAGCGAGGCTATGGCAGCAAAAAGAGACCTGCCCAAGCAAAGACATGAGGGCCTTGGGCGGCTTCCGCACCTCTTGCCGCGTGATTGGACAGGGCCCCGGAGCCTGTCAGAAGCCCCTCCTCCAATCCAGCTCTGGGCTTCCAAGACATTCCATTCGACAAAACGTCCGCCGACCCAACCAGGTGACGACGTGCGGCCCCAGTGAAACCCGCGTGGTGGACGAGCAGCCAAGCCACGCTCTCCTGACTGGACAGCTCAGCTTGGACCTGACACGAGTCGAGCCACGAGCTAAAAGAGAACGAACGAGACTACAGTATGAGGAGAGGAAGAATTCCGTCACTCCTCCACAATAAGCTTCCCGTCCAGTCTACCGCTAGCCTGCTAGTACAGTGTAGAGCGGCCAAGCATTGAGCTGAGCTGTAAGTCTGCGGGGAGCGATAGGAGGGGCTCTTGCTGCCACTACCCGTACAACGACAAGCAGTACCTATATACTGTAGCTATAAGCAAGATGATACTTGCGACTCCTGTATCGCCGCTACTGAGGCCAGTGTGCGTAGCAAACACAAACTACGAGGCGCAGAAGGATGAACGACGGAGCCCATCAGGATCTAAAGATGGGCCGTTGGCGGAGAGCTTGTAAGCAGAAGCGGGCAACGCCAGCGGACGTGAAAGACAATAGAGCTGAACGTGACCTCGAGCAAGCGCTGGGGTGATGAGAACTTGACTATACATGAGCTTGTCAGAACCGTGCTGGAGGCTTTTTGTTGTGAACAAAGAGCAAACGGCAGCGGGTAACGGTACGGTACGAGCGGGGCGTTTCCACATGGTGGCTTGAAGTGGCTTTGAAGGGCAGCAGCTTGTACATGTTTGATATCCTTACTGACAAGCATAAAGGCTATTCAAGATGCGCAAAAAATACAATCTACTCGAGACCCCATAAGAATCCTAGACTGCAAAATGGAATTTCCCCAGCAAACAGATGCATAACAGCGCCAAAGAAAGAAAAAAACATCGAGGGTCCAGAGATGCCCCATCTCGCAGAACAATGACGATAGATTACAATGCTAGTAGCGTTCTATACATGTAAGCGGATGATCCGCTGGCGGCCGTCTCTTAGCCCGTCGCTCGCACTAACATGAATCCATGACTGAAGCTAGAGCACGGCGGTACTTGTGATGAGGGCTTTTGTTGTGCTACGCCCCATGTAGCTTTTTTTACGCTGTACGCTCTCAGTGCCCTGTAAACTTTTTAAACGTTGCTGCTATCGCGGCAAAAGAGAGATAGCTGGGACCGCGGGGTTTTTCTCCAAGCTCATGTGAGGATAAGATTTTTTTTTCTCTTGTCTTCTTCAATGCGAGATGTTTGAGTGCCTAACTTGATTAATGCCTCTGTTGATAAGACTAGTGCTGGAATTGCTAGAGATTGGTTTTTGCTGCGTATCTGAGGCACGGAGACTAGAGGCAATCGATTGTCAGTGGCGATCTTTGAGCTTGCTTGTGCCGGGGTAGCTTGGGGAGCTCTGGGTGTCCATGTCCGCTAGCCGCCGTAGCTATCAGCTCCCGGCCAAGCTGTCTGGTGGCTTTGGTACCAAAATAGAGGAGGGGAAGGAAGCTGTCAGTTGATCCCCCACCAGACAGAAAATCAAGCTGTAAACCATTAAAGATACGTCCCTCTCGTATTCACTGAAGATGGTTGGCGTCACAATCATCATACATTCTCTACTACAGCATGGAATTAATATATTTTTGGACTCCGTAGAGCATGCAACATTGGATAAAAAAATCAGGGTAAGCTACCAGCTAGCTCTATGAGCCATTAAACTTGGGATGCCATCGCAGCCCGATACGGCACCCGCCATCTGACTGGCTTTTTGGACTAATGAGAAAGCGTAAATGTCCTGTGACTGGCCACGTGGAGAAGAAGGGGCTGGCTTTTGCCACTGTGGATGAAAATTATAGGAAAACAATTAAGAAAAAAAGAGGAGCTGTTTGTATCTTTCTTCCGGCGTGGCTTAGATGTAGCACGACTTACATGGACGGGAAGAGGTCCCATCTGGTGACTTTTTTGTTTGTTTTTCAAAAGCCGAAGCGCATGTCTTTTTTTTTGTGTGTGTTTGCCGGGCGCTTGCTGCTGCCGTGTCATTGGCGCATAATGGAGACGTTTTTGATGGTCTGGTGCTACGGTACAGGAAAACGGGAGAGAAGCGTGATATACGGACATGTCAAATCGTCTGATCACTGAGCTAGTGTGGAATGGACGGGCATGGGCATTGTATGATTGTATGATGTTACGCCAAACGGAAGAATCATTTCTCTCTTTTTTTTTTCTTTGCCGTTAGCAGAAAAGGCTCCGTTGCAGAGCTGGGATATTTTGTTGATCGCATCACACGCCCATCTTTTTGTATCGTGCCGTGGCTGCAAGCATCGATTATGTGAGAGAGAGTGTGTGTGTGCTCCGGCACTTTTACTGCATCATCTTGAACTCGGGCGGCGATTTGCATCCCATCCAGGGGGGGGAAGGGGGGGACATCTAATTGTAGTCACGTTTCCAAGATCCGAAGCAAATCATTCAATCGCCCCAGCTAGGTACAAAAAAAAAAAACGATGACGGTCACCATTTTTGTGCTCGTGATAGGGCGGGCTGTGGCTCAGCGCCTTCTACTTTGTGCTTCTTCTTCTTCTTTTCTTGATTTCTTCTCTCCGATTGTTCCGCAGATCCGGGTCTTGTTGGAGGGGAAAAGTCCACTACGGCACGACACCACTAATTTGTTTTTCCTCTCCACCATCTTCTTGGGTACTTTTTACCGTACAAGCTAAGCTGTACGCATGTTACGCGCAGCGTTGGACCGTGTACAAATAAGCTTCTCTTTTCCGCGGCTTCGCGCAGCGCGATGAGATATAAGATGCGATGCGATGTGATTGCCATCGGCATATAGGCGCGCCAAACGCGGGCGCCCGTTACCGTAGAACCTCGGCCCTTGCAGGGTGGTATTTCGTACCTACCTCTACATGCCCACCATCAACATCCATTCCTTCTTCTAGACTCTTAAACGGTCGGGCATTGCCTAATGGGACTGGTGATATGATTTTTGGCCTATCATATTCGCCGAAATGAGAAAAATACTTGCCTCAAGAGAGAAGGAAAGCTATCAAACCCTCATCCCACCAACCTACATGTACCCAGCTTCAGCCAATAGAAATAGACGCAGCAAGCAAAAGAAGAGAGATTCCGCGAATGGAGAGCCATGGCGGTGAGCACAAAAACATGACATGACCACGAGATTTGCCCAAAAGGAAAAAAAAAAAAAACTTGGCGGGCATCTCCACACACACTTACACTAGTAACTGCTACCAGCATCACGCTTTTTTACTGTACACGCACCTTTTTTGCTTTTTTGCTGCGCGAACGCGGGACACGCTTATAGGTTCTTTTTTTCTCTCTCTTTTTTATATGGGCGTCGAAACGTGACACATTTTTTTTTTCTTTTTAGCGTGCATTGACACGTTCAAGCGAGCTATTTTGCCTTTTATACTAGAAAGACGGATGGTAATTCGCTGGAATAATGGATACGCGTTTGCGGAGAAGTTGCTCGATTCTTAATGCTTACCCTATATCATCGAGAAAGGTTGGAAAAAAACAGCTGCAAATAGCAATTGAAGTAAAAGGCATCTCTCACATCCAGAGACCAGCCTCAACATTTCAATAAAAACAAGGCGCAGCACTAAAAAAAAAAAAGAAAAGAGTACAACACGAAATCCTTCCAAAAAAAGAGGCGCCGCCACAGCGCAACCGCGTCTCTTCCAATCAGACACGTTAACATCATCCCCAGCCTCCAATATCACATCGCGCCTTACTTTTTTTTCTTCCTTTTCACGTCTGCCTTGTAGCCTAGCTTTTTCGTTCCCAACAGGGAAAGCAAAGCAACCATGTCCGCAATCCTTCTAATAGTATCTGCCTTTTTCCCTTCTTCCCCTTGCTGTGTATGCCTACTACTAATGCATGCGACGTACGGAGTGCATAGGTATTGTTCCGATGATCGGAATACTTCATGTAGAGTGAGGGGGGAACTGTCTGAAACAAGGAGACGCTTCTTAATTGACGGAACTTGTACTGTATTATCTTACCCCAGGAAATTGTAAATCTCAATCCCAATTGGCTACATTAAACCCACGGTATGTACAACAACTGCCGGCCATCTTTTCCACAACCCCTTGCAATCATCGAACACGTACTTTCCCACCCTCTCAGCTTCAACAACCTTTCCAAAGCCATGTCTCTCTCTTGTTGTCTCCCAGCCTAGAGTATATAGTCTAGTCTCATGCAATGCGTGTGACAAGGCATCGTCACAACCGCTCTCGACAGGTACCTTGACGCAGGGGGGGTCACGATAAACGAACTAAAAAAATGTTGGAGAAGGGGGGGGGACATATGCGTTGGCCCTGCGTCTTTTGGGGGCTACGGCCCTTTTTGAGTAAGGAAGAAGAATGCGTTGGCATCCTTATCGAATGCATACATATTAGCTTGGGAGGTCTAGCTGTAGTTTGGTGAGGCTTATACAAGGCATTGCTTTATCAGAAAATGGCATGTTTCTTCGCTGGCAAAAGATGAGGCTTCTTTCTAAGCACCTCGGTGTGCTGCCTTGGTATCATGGCTTGTATGGTCTTGTACCACCAAGTAGACCAAAGTCTTCTCATGGAAAGTATCTCGTGAACATTATTTCTTAGCGACTTAAAGCATATTATTATAGGCAAGGCAGCTACCCTACCCAGGTTAAACAATCGCTCATGTACGTACAATGCATAGTCTATATGCAAGCTATTACCCTAATCCTTTACCTTGAACATATTCCAGCTCTAGCCCAGTTTCCGCCCTTTCGATCCAAGAAATCGGTTACTCATCTCGACCCAACGATTCTTCACTTTCCTCTTTCATGACAGTCCATTCTTCAAGCTTCATTGTTGTCATCGTCCTCTTGCCACACGGGCAAAAACAAGTCCACCACAATGGGCTTGCTAAACAGTTTGCCCTCGCTATGAGGATAGCTGCCCTTCATGATGGCCGCGTTCACAACACACGTCTCCTTGCGGCCGGTCCTTCCCGCCAATGCTTCATAATCACAGCTACTATCGGACTCCGGATCACCCCCGTAGCCCACTGCGTGCTCGCTGCTGATGCTGTTGTCACTACTGGAGCTATCGCGACCGCTTTTCTCTTGGGCAGCAACGCTAGAGCCCTGCTGAGCTGAGATATCCGAGAATGTCTCCGCGGACGCTGATGTCGCGTTGGCTGTCTGTTGGTCGTCCTCATAGCTAGGCCGACCCAGGTGATGCTCGTCGTTTGCGAGGGCCGGCATCTTGCTCGTCTTGCCGGTGAGATCAACCAGGCTCATCTTGTTGTTATCCGCACCTGGGTCCTCCCAACCGATGGAGACTCTCTCGGCGTAGGGCTTGGTCTTGTTCTTCAGGTCCCAGAGCACTCGCTCGGCCCCTCGTCCGCCGTGGATGTGGCCGCAGACTGCCAGCTTGGGTCTCACTCTCCAGAGCGCCTGGCGTAGCGCTTCACAACCGGCGGGTCGCTGACCCTCTGGCGTATCGCAGTGTGTACGCGGTGGCGTGTGTGTCACTACAATGTCCGTCTCAAGTGGGATGAGTTCCCATAGCGAGGTGAGATCTGTGCTGTTGTCGTCCGGGCTTTTCGGAGCTTCATAATAGAACGCCCAGAGCCCGCTGCGAGGAGAGTATGGAGAGCCGAAGACGGTAAACTCCGTATGCGGCCCTGTAGAAGACTTGAGACGGATAGTTGTCGAGTCATGGCACAGATAGGTGATGGACGGCGATGAAGACAGCAATTGGATACACTCGGACGGATCCTGCTTGATCTTGTTGTGAAAGCTGTCACCGTGGTGGAAGTAAAAGTCCTCATCCAAAGTGACATCGTGGTTCCCTGAGATACAGGCTTCACATCAGTACAGAACACTTGAATGATTCTCAACTCAAGAGGGATGGTAGACACTTACCTGCCACGACAATCTTGGCCTCAAAGTCAGCTTCTTCGAGCCATTTGACTGCCCTAGAGAGCTTCACGTCGCCACAGTCGCCTGGTTAGCTCACTGCCAGTCTAGAGAGATGACGTCAAAGGCACTGCAGCAACTTACCTCTGACTTGCTTCCCTTGTTGGTGAGGTCCCCAGCATGAATCAAGATGTCGCCAGGCGGGAGTTTGACGGTGCAATTGTGAGTGTCCGAGATGCAGACGATTCTCGTCTTCCGCAGCCTTGGGGTCGCCATGGCGAATCAGTCGACGCTGTTTATCGCCGCGTCTGTCCAAGTAAGAAAGAACAGATGAGTCACTGTCTGCTGTTCCAAGAAGAGAATGGCGGGCCAGAGGGAAGTGGTGACTCGGTTTTATACCCGTCCGTGGGAAATTATGCATCGTCCTCAGGCACGGTGTTGATGCCGACTTGCAGCGCTCGATGCCGTTGACTTGAACAGTTACCTGCTACCTTGGGCACCACAGCATCCAGCTGTGGCGCGTGATTGGCCGACCGAAATGCCGGGGGCGCTGTCGTGTAACTCCCATCTACACCGGTTCTCTCAACGGCTGGCTCCTGTTTGCTTTGCGTCGCAAAGATGCCATTTGGCGAATTGGGGCATTGAGCCGTCCATTCGCGCAGCCTTGTCCAAATATAGGCACGCAATTAGACTATGAGGTCATCATGCACGCGTACCACCGTCTGTAATCATTTCTCGTGTATGCTGTGTATCCTGAGATATTGTTATTGGAAGAAGCACCTCGACTTCGCGATGAGCCCCAACAAGCAATTTCCATCCTTCTGGTTTCCTTTGTCTCTTGTTCTTCCCTCTGTTGTTTCTTGCTCAGCAGCCTTCGGTTTGACTAGCACCGATTGACAGAGATCTATATCATATTAGCCTTTGAAATGTCCTGCAATCCCGCACTGTATCTTCATTCTCACCCGTCAAGGCTGGGTTTGGCATCCTTGATAACGAAGCCAGCCACACCTCTGCACGGCTGCCACACGATTTTCAGCTTTGCTAGCTTCAACGGCCTTTTGGGGTCGAATATGCATCCCGTGGCCGGCTTCCCTTCCGCGGCGTGTAGGCCATGATATTTGTTGAACAAACTCAATAATCTCCACTGTGGCTGGACCGAATGCCTTCACATGCTGGCGCCGGGCAACTGGACAGAATCAACACTGAGCTGAAGTCTGGCTCCCTCCCGCAAGCCTGCATTCGTATGATGCGTGCTGTTAAATTGATGCACTGACGTATGTTGTCATGGCTTTCGGTGAGCTTGGCGGCAGCACGCAGAGGATCGAGGCAATGTGATGGCAGAACCTGGCATTCGGGTTTGATGTCAACGCTGCATTTTGCCAGACGCGTCTCGATGGCAGATGATAGAGTTGCAACGCATCAGCATTAGATTACATGGGACGGCCCAACAACTGCATGATGACGACGGCAGGAATTAAAGATGGTGGTTGAGCTTTCAAGTGCCTGTAGCCATCTGCTTACTAACGCTTGCCGGACATGCATGTATATTCAGCTTGTGTCTTGCATCAAGTGAGGTGCTTTCCAGGTTCTTGTTTTTTTACAGAGCCAGACCGCTATTTATTAGCGCCCTTGCTCATGCCCATCATTGCCTCGTTTTTGCTTGTTTCGCTGGCAGGCTGGAGGAGACAATGACGCACTCCGAGACGGCTGCACAGGAGCTGTTACGCGTTCTGTACCGATCGATTCAATATCATGATTTCTTTTTTTCTCATTTCTCACAAATCTTACTTTGCAGTGCATCGGCTATATATAGGTACGTGGCAGATTGAGTAGTGTCACATATTGTTTATACTTGCGCATCTGAGGGCATCGTGAGAATCCTAAAATAGAAGTCCAAGGCAGCCTCACATAGAGTAGCTCTTGTAACACTTGCACGGGCACATGGGCGGCCCCTTTCTTCTCACCCCATTTATGAGCTGTCTTTGAGCTGGCAGTGCTTGTACAAGTACAATTAGTCCAGACAGAGTTTCCCCTCCGCAGCAGTATTGATACCTCGCCCTCGCGACTGTGCTCCGTGCCACGGCCCAGGTCGGTTGCGGGTGAGAGTTTGCAAGGATGCGGCCTTGTTGTCTGGGGCAATACGGAGTGCAGGCCCGGGAGCCACAGCAGGCAGGGCGCTTTGTCCCAGGCAGAGGAGCCCACTCACCTCATCCAACGTACACTCAGTTATACTTTACAAGCGCATGTATAGTGTCATGTGTTGGTGCTTGGCTGTGATGGCGTCTGGCAGCATGGCGATGTGACCTTGGTGGTGTTGACTTCATGTTGCAATATCCGGTCTCGCATCCAGCTAATATCGGCAATGTGAGATAAGGAATAGGGAGGTGCAATGGCTGCTACGGCACTGCACACATCAGGTGAAGGCCCAATTACATGTACAAGCGCCGCCACTACGAGTGCCGCTGCATGCTACTGTAAATACACCGCAGGGGTCTGTCGTCTACCTCACAGCACTCCGTGCCCACTGGAAGCCGGCCTGTAGCGACATGCGGGCCCCGCCATCATTACATGTAGCGTAGCCCGTGCTCGGATCTTCCTCTGCGCTTCCATCCGTCCTTGACCACCCAACAGAGTGGATTGACTTTGCAAGGCCCAAGTGACAGAAAGAAGAAGAAGAAAAAACAGAAAACCCGCTTTGCAGAAAGTTTCTTCATGGTAATTAAACGCAGTCGCCAGCAATAACCTTGAGTTCCACCAAATGCCCATCCATGTCGAGGAAATGGCCCAAACCGACCTGGCGTCATGACAGGCCCAGGCCTTGGTAAATTAGCGGGTGGGCCAGGCCTGCAAAGCCCGCCAAACCAACAGAACAAGAGCGGCGGTATGGCCGGGATGCACAGCCAAATCCCTGACCGCATTGAAGCCAGCAATTAACAGCCCGGCTGCGGCCAGAGGTACTGCTACTCGGCCGCTGCGAGCAATCCATGCAACGCGCCAGGTTGCGGCTACTTGCAGCGCCGCCTGGACATGCACTGCAGCAGCACGGCACTGCGCTGCGTCCCCTTTAGCAGCGCCGCCAGTAGCGCTGCTCGCTAGAAGCCAGAGCGGTTAGCCAGCGGACCGGGCCAGCCAACCACGACGCCTTTCCAACCTCCATCGCCAACTCGGCCTCTTAGCTCGCCTCTCCCCCTTCTCCAGCGAGATTGCAACGCTCGCAGCATCTTCTTTCGCCTTGCGGCTGGAGCTCCTGGACTTGTCGACGCTCATCTGGTTCTTTGTGGCGAGTGCATCGGCCGGCTTGATACCCGTTGCGTTGTCAGGAGAGCTTCTTTGTTGCGTGAGATTTTTTTTTACCTCGGATTCTTTCACTCGTTTACTACAGCTGGAAAAAAAAAAGAAAAAGCAAAAAAAAAAGTTACTGCATGTCTCAGGGGATCGCGACAGACCGACTTCACGATTCTTGGTGAACTTGGTGGCCGCACGTATTAACCACTTTGACCGCTACTACCAACAGCATTCTCCTTCTCAACTCCATATTCGATCTTCCATTTTTTTCTTCATTACTGCCGCATCACATTTACCGCACAGCTGTCATTTCCTGACTCGGTCACGCATTCGCCGTATACGCAATAACGAGGAGAGCTGCTGGTATCATTCGGTTCGGCTACTGCTATGGCTGCCATTTCAGCGGCTCGGGGCGCTCCCACAGCCCTGACGCCACCGAGCAGCAGCCATGGAGACGAGCCCTCATGGAGGTACCGGAACCAACACGAAGTAAGTCCATGACAGCAGCCGAGTGTTTTTCATTCACCGCCACATACCTCTTGCTCGTGCCATCGCAACGCCTGCATCATATGGTCTGATGGGATCCTTTGGAATGTTTGGGGGGCATATGGACTAACCTGGTTGCTATTATTTAGGAGGCCTATGACGAAAACGGTGCTGGATATTTCGGCGACGAATCGAATCGCAATCCTCGCCAGAACGGAAACTTCGACTCGAGCTATGACGCCAAGACACGAAAAATGTATTCGGCGGACACTCTATCGAACAACCAGTGGGATGCACATGCGGAGACTGGCGTCCAGTCGCCCCAGTTCGACAACATCCGGTCGGATTGGTCGACTGGCGAGCCTGAGACGGATGAGGCGACCCGTGGGCGGGCTGACTCTACGGTCAACACCGAGGTGGAATCCAAATGGATTCACCGAGACATACTGGCACAGATTGAAAGCGAGGAGCTGCAGGCAGCTGGCTTTATCCCCAGGTCACGCGCCCCTAGCAAGCAGCGACGAGACAAGAGTGCTCGGCGAGGCACCGACGCCGGCGAGCATCTCCGGCTGAAGCAAGATCCGGGACTCGAGTCCGGAGAGGCCTCGAAATCTGCTTTGGATCTTGGAACTCAGGAAGAGGCGGATGAACAGGAGAACAACTCTGCGCAAAACAACAAGGGGGGATCTCGGATACCTGTTCCCAAGGTGAGTCAAGTAGCACAATTACTACAGGAGCCATGCAGAGCCAGCATGGACGCCATTTGTCAACATGCAACTAATGATTCTACAGACACGTTCCAGGAGTGCTAGTGCTACTCTTAGAGAACTGACCACCAACGTCCCGCCCGAGAAGCCCAAGCCAGCGCAGCGCTCTGCCACAGAAACTTCTCCCAAGAAGATTGGCGCCGCTGGCCGCAAGAACTCGGAGCCAGCAAACGCGAAGCCCAAGACAGCGGCTGGTAGACCCAAGACTCGCTCAGGGCCCAGCAAAGACTCTACAACTACACGACCTACTACACGCTCTGGAGAGGCTTCTCTGGGCAGTAGCCGTCAGCCCGAGGGCAACCCGCCATGGATGGTTAACAGTTATAACCCCGATCCTCGTCTGCCACCCGAAAAGCAACTCATTCCCACCGTCGCAAAGAGACTTCAGCAGGAGAAGTGGGAACAGGAGGGCACATTTGGTACTGCTTACGACAAGGACTTCCGGCCCTTGAATGACAGCGCGCTGGTGCGAGAGAATTCCGTGCCGCTGGAAGAGCGAGAACCCAAGCAGGAACAGGCTGCTCAAGAGGGGATGGAGATACGACCACAAACACCCGAAGCAGGGCCGTCGGATGAGTGGCCGCTCAGTGCGGACGCTCCCAAGAGCCCTCAGGTGCGGTTAGGCTCATCCTATTCCACGATGCCCAAAATCTCAGACATGCAAACACCAAAGAGCCCTCTGCCCGGCCAACGGCCCCCAATGACACCCCAAGGAACTCAAGGAACAGCTCAGTCGCAGAGCCAGCTCAGCGAGAAGCCCCAGACCCCCCAGAGGATCCCCGATGTTTCCGACGACCAAGACCAAAAAGGCGGCTGCGGCTGCTGCGTCGTCATGTAAATCAGAACTATGCAAACAAGCCCAGCGATGCAGATTTATTTCTTCTTCTCTCTCTCTCTCTCTCTCTCAAAGCAACTACGAATTTTTTGGCATTCACAATGTTATTATAACTAGGCAACTATTACCAAAGAGCATAAATCAACTAATCCGTACATATCGAGAACACTCTTTTCTTCTTTCTTTCTTCAGCATCCTATTCTTCCTTTTCTTAACGACGTTACGAACTACCCCCCAAAAAGCTGTTTGACTTAAGCCGGCAATGTTTTTCCTCTTGTTAAACAGCAGCTATCTGTCGACCAGCTGATTACCAAAGCGACTTGATCGATTTTTCCTTTTGTCCCTTTTTCTTATTCGCACAACACCCTGGCCGAGCCCCGAGTTAGAGTTCTAGAGAAAGCAGGATATAGCACATGCGTTGATTTCGGGATCTCTTATCCAACAACGCTGGGGAACTGCAGCTAGCCCTCGATGGGCCGTGGATAAAAAAGAATTATGCGGCAGATGATGAGAGCAGAGGGCAAGAGAGGACGAAAAAAATATATACCACATCATCTGTATACACAAGAGAGGAACCTGCTCGAGGCTACCCACCGCATTCTGTACCTGGTTGATCAGGCAGATTCTGGTTTTATTCCAATGGTTTTGACCCGCCAATCTTTATATAATACTCTCTTTTTCCTTTCTATTATTGTATTTTTGCGTTGCGTTGCGTTTTTTCCTTTCCTTTCTTTTTTTTTCTGCGTCGTTTGCGTTATTTGTTACAAGGAGGCGGCCTTACTGTTCCTTTTTGAGCCTGTCTTGAATTTTCTCTCGCTTCTTATTGATACAAGTTTTCTTAAGAGAAGGGTGTTTTGGGCGCTGGAGCGTTTTTTGGAGGGCAGGGAGGAAAGGGGGGAGGGAAAGATGGAGGTTGGAGGGCCTCTTTTTTTTGTGATTTTTTTCTTCTTCTCTTTTTTTTTAGGTATTTTTCTGAGAAAGATCGAAATACTCAAATCCTGGAGAAAAAAGCACGGAAATCGACTTGTCGATGTTTTATATGGTGACGGTGATGTATGTGCGAAGATTGGGCGGAAATTATGTGAAGAATTGTAGATTGTCATTTAGAGATATTCCTTCTTTTTTTCTCCTGCTAAGCGAGCGAGGACTTGGTACATGAGACTGTTTATACTACTGGGTAGTATTATATCGAATTTGAGACTTTTAAAAAGAAACGATTGCAATTTGGCGATACGATAAGGGGGGGCATTGTGATGAGCAGCCTTGAAAAGCTTAATTCGTCTGTAAACAAGAAGCGTAAACGCTAGCTGGTCTTTTACGCGTGTTGGCGAAGTCAAGGTTTGTTATAGGGGCTGCCATGTGCTAAAGACTGGATGAATGACGCCTACTCAATAGCTTCATCTTCCCCATGCAGTGGAATTCTATTCCGGGAGAGACATTAGCGGGACGCGCGTACGGACCGTTCTGTCTCAGAATCTCAAGGGAAGGCCTCGAATCGAAGGCTTCTAGAAAGCCAGCTGACTCTTTCAGCGCTGTCCTACGGAAGAAGACAAAAAAACGAGGCTGTATTGTCCTAGACGGGATGGAACGGGCAGGGCGCGCACTAATAAGCCCTTTTCTTCAAAGTGGGATTTCATTGGAAAACTACTGGTTTAGCGTAGGCTGTCTGTATTTCACATATGGCGTTTTTGACGAATCAATACAATACAATGCTGCATCACAAGGACAGTAACTTTGAGGAAAGGCGAGAAGTGAATGGATGTGCGGAAAAAAAGGGGGCGTTAGGCATCAGCTTGGAGCATAGGACTCTCTCTTTTCTCTTCATTTCGCCTCCCTCTTTTCTTTTCTTACGGCTGATTTCAAGAGCAGGAGACGCTTCGACGTAATAATACCACACAGCTGGAGGCTGAGCAGCCCGCGTGAAAATGATAGGCGGCATTGATTAAATTTGCGGAGGCGGAGACTTTCTTTTGGACCCCCCCCCCTGTAACTGGACTGCTGTAGGATTTTCGATTGTAGTGCCGGTCAGCAGCCCCTCTTCCGCACCCCCCTGGGCAAGGCACCGCGGCACTTGACGCTGCTCGCCCTGAGACAAGTTTCCAGCTTGTCCAGATTCGTGTGTTGTGGTCACTTTTTTTTTTTTTCTTTCCTTTTCTTTTCTTTTCTTGCCCACAGCTGGCGGCACGGTGCTTCGTCTCTCTTTCTTTTTCTCTGTCCTGCTCGTTCCCTACCTTAGGCGAGTTAATTGTAAGTGCAGCTCTGCTTCTTTGAGTGTTCGGGCTGGTATTGACACGCGTTTGTCTTAGTGACCTGTGGCGTTGTCGTCGAATACACACATACATATACTCGGACGAACGACGACTTTGCGAAGGTGATAGCCTACGAGGAAATAACGAGCTAAGACGATCGAATCGGGAATAGCATCGACATTTGCGATTCGAACAGTATTAGCAATAGCGACAGTATTAGCAATAGCAACGACACCGGCAATAGCAACGACACAGACAATTCCAGGACTGGCAGCAATAGCAACCAGATTAAGAAAAAGAAGGGGGAAGGGGGAACGAGCAGAATATGCGGTCGCGGGGCGGCTGTCTTATGACACAAAGACTCGGGATCGGGCGATGGATGTCGTTTATGTGCGATGGCATGCGGCGGGGCACCAAAAGGTAGCAGAGGCGGTGGCAGGGAGAGCAACTCTATCAGAAGCAGCACCTGCATCAGGGATAGCAGCTACATCAGAGATTGCAGCTACCAAGCGGACGTGGAAGGTGACCATACAGGCAAACAACGCGGCCATCACCACCACCATCACAGACCCGTTCCTCGAAGCAGAATACAATGTGTTTGAAGACTATCTTCGGAATTCGGACCAGCAGCATTGGAGTTTGCAGAAGGAGCTTGAAGATGGCACAGACAACATGTCCCGTGCGGATGCGGAAGATCAGATGAAGATGTATGGGCAGACGTTGCTTGGTCAGATGGGCCTCTTGAAGCCCGGAATGCTGCGTGAGGGCGTTGCCGAAGTGCAGCTTGTCATTGCCGAGCATCATGATAATGCTTCCGAGCAAGTGCCTGGAGGCATCCACTGCCTCGCATGGGAACTCGTCGAATTTGCCAAATTTCCCCTGGCAGGCTTGCGTTTGAGGGTGACAAGAGTGAGCGACTTTGCTAACCGACCACCTCGGCCTCCAGGGCCACCGCGATCGCTATCGAGCGTGCAAGCCAGCGTGAACGGATTCTTTCACGTGCTTTTGGTGATTGCCCGAGACTTTAGTCGCAGGGGTGCTGCTCGTGACCCTGAGCCCGATCTTGCGCAGTGGCCGCTGATGAGTGTGCAGAAGAAGCTGAAAAGCCGACTGCTGCTGGAAGTGGTGCGGCCGGGTAGCATAGAGGAGCTGGATGAGCATCTGAGGGTGAGGGCAGGGCACGGAGTGCTGTTCAATCTAGTGCACTTTGACCTTCACGGAAGGATTACGCATGACGAGCATGGCAAACAAGTTCCCGGACTTTTATTTGCCACAGGCTATCAGGCAACCAGCCCGCATCGAAATCCAGTGCCGCCAACGCAGCTCGCCAGAGCAGCGGATGTTGCCAAAGTGCTGGCAGAATATCGTGTTGAAAACGTGGTCCTTAATGCGTGCCTCTCAGCATACAACCGAACGGGATCGACGACGAATCTGGCCCATATATTCCTTGAGCATGGCATTCTCAACGTGTCGGCCATGTGGTTTTATGTGCATTGGAAAACGGTGACGACCTATCTTGAGGCCTTTTACAACGAACTTCTCATCAAGGGCACAGATTTCCACCTGGCCGCACAGAGAGGCCGAGATGCCATCCGGAAGAACCCTACATGCAGGACGGGAAGGGCGTATAAAGACTACTTTCTGTGTGTCAATTACACAAGAAGCTTTAGCAGGCCGGGTGCGATCCAAAGAGAGCCCAGCCCGACGCCGTCCATGCACTCGGCAGGTTCGTCGACGTCCAACACATCGATGAAGAGCTTCATGAGCGGAAAGTGGCGAAAGTCACCTCGGCTCAGTGACGGCTTTCTTGTTGCAGACGAGCCCATTATGCATTTGGAGCTCCACCTGCTGGAGCTGGAGTACAAGCTCATGACCTCTCGGGTTGTGTATGCGAGCGACCTACGCAAGGCCTCGGACTCGGACCTGAATGTGACCATTGAGAGAATGGTGAGCATGTGGCTGAACACAAACCTGATTGACGAAGTCTTCTATTACAAGGCCAAAGATTTCGCCAAATCCAGGTTTCTAGCAAGCACGTTTTCGCACCGAGAGAAGCGAACGCGGGCATCCAACGGAGGCTATCTGCAGTTGCTCTCCCCGCGGCCGGTACGGGCTCTCCGGCAAACGCTGCACATCATCCGGGATGTGGACCCGGTGATGGACCCCGGCACGCAGGCCGATCCGCTGGAGAACCAGCGGAACGAGGAACGGCGCGCCCTGGTGGAAGAGGGCCTGCTGCGGTTCGCGGAGAAGCTGCACGAAGAGGCGCACAGCTACATGCTGTTCATTGGCGGCCGAGATGCCGCGTGGTGGCGTGAGCACCTACAACACCTGAGCGGCGAGTGGTGGTTGAACATGGCGTGGAAGTATACGGTGCATAGTCGATATGTAAGGGATGTGACGCTGCTGGCGGGAAATCGAAGGCCGGTCCCGCGAACTATGCAGTGATGGGTATTTCTGACTCAGCGGAAACGCAGGCTTTGATCGAGGTTGTGTGGTTGATTCGGGAGGCTCGGCTTACGGTTGGAGCACCATCTAACCCGGGAGTGGCGTGACTTTTCCGAACTTGTTGGTATGGTTCAGAGCGTGTATTCTTTCTTTCTTGTGCGTGGAGCGCTGCATTGCATACCTCGGCAGGTAATTTTGGGGAACAGGGCTAAAGGAGCATAGATAGATCTAAGGGATTCACATGTGCGAAATAGAAGAGCATAGCATGGAGTTTTAGTTGGGGTTTAGTTATTGATTTACTCAGACATAAAGTATACAATGTGATACAAGGAACCAACTACTAGTATTAAACACATTTACTATATCTATTATAAGTGCTTGCATAAACTTACATATACGACTATATATACTATCACTCATAGTCTACATCAAGTATAGTCGGAAAAGAGACATATAAGCTTAAACAAATTCATATACCTGGTATTTAGTGTACTTGGTCCCAGTTATACACTTGCAATAATCTGCATGAACTTGCCATGGAGCCAATATGGAGTGCGGATCACCCGAACTGAATAAGCCATGCATGTCGTACATTACATGATGCAGGCCAAGACAAGGATGAATTTTACTGGAGCAGGGCAAAATGCTACACAAAGGACAAAAAAAAAAAGGGTCTGCCGAAGCGCGGTAAGCAATGACTTCATCCCTTGCTGATCTTGTTCTCTTCTCCAAACTTTCTAGACAAAAGAAGGGTGGGAAAAAAAAAGACTGTGTTCTTTTTGGCTCGGAAACTTGTGCTGTTGCGCTTTGCCGAGCAACACACAAGGCGCTGAGGCATACCTCGGACTGTCGGAAGAGTCGGGTGGTTCTATTTGCTTGGACTTGGATAGGAGGTGGTGATTCAGCGTAAGGCTGATGGGCGCGGGTAGCTGCTACTTGGGCATGTCGCCGGACAGAGGCCAAATCCGCGGTTCCGGTGGTCAGGTCAGGGACAAGGAGAAGGTTGGACAGTGGCTTTTCTGAGTAGAGAGTGGCTTTTCACAGGTAGAACAATCCGGCCATTTATAGAGAGAGTGGCTTTTCAAAACTGCTGATGTTAAACTCTTGACCGTTTGATATCAAGCCACACTCACAACGTGGCTGTAGCTGCAGCTGTCAATTCGATTTCCAGTTAGGCACCGCAGCAGGTACCGGGTACTTGCGCATCCTGCATTTCGTCGGCGTCAGAAGGTGGGGCGCTGCACCTTGGCGAGGGGAGGCGAGTGACGTACTGGTTACTTTCGCGGCAGCTTTTTCGCCTCGGACAGCTCTTTTGGAACTTTTAATTTCTTATTTGCTTCACGCAGAGAATTGATACCCGCCGTCAGATCGGAATCCTCCTTTAGCGAGCGCCTTTTTTTATTCTTTTTTTATTCTTCTGATACGGTCACGCAAGAAAGAAAAGACCGATACGGGAAAAGCGGACTCGCCGGGCGGGCAAGCGACTTCGTTATATATCAAGGACCTCCTAATCTGTTTTACCTGCCGACCTACCTATTCGTATACCTTGCCTCTATATCCACCCGCCTCCTGAACGGATTTGCATTCAATTGTAGCAAAGAAAGGAGACTTACTTTTGATCGATCTCGATTGCTATTTTTGGAACCTTGTTCTTTTTATACTTGTACTTGTTGCTGTTTCGGCTCCTGCGCGCGCAACTCGCATCTACATCTACATCTGCAGTCGACCGTCCAGCTCCGACCTATCAAACACCTGTCTCGACAGCGAATGAGGACATCGCAGCCACTCTATCGCGGCGCACCATGAGCTCGACCGACGTCGTGGCCAATGGCCACAGCCACGACTTTGAATACACCTCAACCTACAACCAAGACCAAGACCACGTCCTGCGACCGCGCCCACGGAAACCGCTGCATTCGCAGGTGTCGCAGCTTTCGGCAGCGTCATCCACCGATGGCGACAGCCAGCACCTGAACCTGCCAGGCGAGAATGGAGCGGGGAGTGCCACGACGAGGTGAGACTTTTCAGACTTGGCTTTGCAACCAATACAATCTAACAATTTTATAGCGGCCGTTCAACTCCCGTCCCCGAAAACGCTCCGCCATCGACCAAATCGCTCTCCTCCGCCCGCAAGCAGGTTCGCGCCGAGCAGCGCCGCCGCATCTTCCCTACCATCGAGTTCTCCTCGCGCGTCTCCCACTTCGACCCCGAGAGCGACTACCGCGACTTCCATGGCTTCTTCAACCTCTTCTGGATCGGCCTCGCCATCATGGGCATCACCACCATGCTGCGCAACATGAAGGATACGGGATATCCCATGCGCGTGCAGATCTGGGGCCTGTTCGCCGACAAGCTGTGGCACCTGGCCGTCGCCGACTTCCTCATGGTCGCCAGCACCGCCGTCAGCCTGCCACTGCACCGCTGGGTCAGGACGATGCCGAGGGGCGGTGTCTGGGGCTGGAGCCGCGGCGGCATGGCGATCCAGAGCATCTACCAGGTCTTCTGGCTGGCGCTCTGGATCAGCGTGCCCTTCCTGCTGGAGTGGACGTGGACGGCGCAGGTCTGTTTACTCTTGCACACCATGGTCCTGCTCATGAAGATGCACTCGTACGCCTTCTACAACGGCCACCTCTCCGAGACCGAAAAGCGCCTGCGCAGCCTCGACGAGCCCAACGCCTCCAGACAAGACCGCAGCCCCGCCTACGTCTATCCCAGCGCCGACCACCGCAAGGGCAGCGTGTCCGGCATCCCCATGGCCCGTCCCTCCGAGCCCGCCGGCTACCAGGAAGACAAGAAGGACCGCAAGGCCAAGAAGCAGCAGAACGGCACAAACGGTACAAACGGCGCAAACGGCGCAAACGGCGCAAACGGCTACTCGCACGCGGACCACGAGCCCACCAGCGCCGACGAGATCGACGAGCTGCGCGAGGACCTCGCCCGCGAGCTTACGAGCCCCATTGGCAACGTCACGTACCCGCGCAACCTCACCTGGCCCAACTACGTCGACTTCCTGTGCTGCCCGACGCTCTGCTACGAGCTCGAGTACCCCCGCAACGCCACCATCAACTGGACCTCGCTCATCTCCAAGATCATCGCCACCTTTGGCTGCATCTTCCTCCTGACAATCACCTCGGAGGAGTACATCCTGCCCGTCCTCGTCGACGCCTCGCACCGCCTCGAGGCCGCCTCCTCTTCGTCCTCTGTCGTCCTCGAATCATGCCTCATCCTCGCCGAGACAATCTCCTGGCTGCTCTTCCCCTTCATGCTCACCTTCCTGCTCGTCTTCCTCGTCATCTTCGAGTACGTCCTCGGCGCCTTTGCCGAAATCACCCGCTTCGCCGACCACTACTTCTACGCCGACTGGTGGAACTCGACCGACTGGATGGAGTTCTCGCGCGAGTGGAACGTCCCCGTGTATTCCTTCCTGCGGCGCCACGTCTACAGCGCCTCTCGCCCGCACACGGGCAAGGCTTTCGCTACCTTCATCACGTTCCTCATCTCCGCCGTCGGGCACGAGATTGTCATGGCGTGCATCACAAAGAAGATTCGCGGCTACGGCTTCATTTGCCAGATGCTGCAGCTACCTATTGTCATGATGCAGCGCACCAAATGGGTCAGGGGCCGCAAGACGCTCAACAATGTCTGTTTTTGGTGTTCCATGATTTTGGGCCTTAGCTTGGTAAGTAACTCATACTTCTTGTATGTCTAAATAATTGAACTGTTGGACTAACTTGACATTAGATTTGCGCGCTCTACGTCCTCGTATAAAACCTCCCTTCGCGGGCAGATACCTCACCACACTCATTAGCATGCTCTTTTCCTTACACGTCTCCTTTTTCTTTTTGTTTCCTTTTTACAGTTACATAGCATATACTATTATCCAGACTGGCTTTGGACTTGTTTCCTTTTTTTCCCTTTGTAAACTCAACCGAATCAATAAATGGGCAGGCTAACTTGCGTTTTTTTTATTTGCATGTTTTGCGCTTGGATATGTATATATGTATCTTTTTGGCGGCATGGTTACCTGGTACTTGTACATCAATATATCTACATCTCGCGATGGCTATTATTTTCAATCCTCTTGGCACCTATTCGTTACATATGACATCACACATGTCTAACGTCGCATGAGAGCTTTCACTTTACATCTTGATATTGAGCATCTATACGGTTGTATGGTATGTATTGCATGTATAAACTAAATCGACAATAAACCTTTCAACTACGTCACCAGATAAGTCTAAACACATTGCATCACTAAAAGACATGTATGATTGCATTCCATTTATTCGTTTCTCGTAGAGATGTTAAGTTACTCCGTCCCTCGCCTCTCTTGGAGGGGATATCAAGGGGTTCATAGGATAAACGCAACTCTGGGCCCGTTAAACCTAGGACCTCCTAAAATAGTAGACAAAGGAAAATAAAATAAAAACCACGTCCAGACCATATTTGCTCTAAAACCATTCAACTCCATGATGATAAATCAAACTTTTTGTCCCTGTATCCCGAATTCTTGATCCATGACAAAACACCGCTTAGTCGACCTCCTCCATGGCGCTGTCACCAGTCTCGACGGCAGGGGTCTCCTCGGCGGGAGCGGCCTCAGCAGGGGCGGAGTCATCCTCCTCAATGTTCAGGCCGAGCTGGACAAGCTTGTGGATGCGCTCAGCGAAGCCAGCGGGCTCATCAATGGTGAAGCCAGAGACGAGCAGAGAGGTCTCAAACAGAAGCTGGACAATGGACTTGACGGTGCGGTCGTTCTCGCCGTCGTTCTCAACCTTCTTCTTGAGCTCCTGGATGATGGGAGACTTGGGAGAGATCTCAAAGGTCTTCTTGGAAGACATGTAGCTGGACATGGAGGTGTCACGGAGGGCCTGGGCCTTCATGATACGCTCCATGTTGGCAGACCAACCGAACTGGCCGGTACGGATGGCGCAGGGGGAGAGGCCGAGCTTGTCGCTGACGACAACCTTCTCGACCTTGTCGCCGAGAACGTTCTTGAGAGCCTTGGCAACGTTCTCAAACTCCTTCTCCTCCTCCTCACGGGCCTTCTTCTCCTCCTCAGTCTCCTCGAGCTCAAAGTCCTTGGTGATGTCCACGAGCTTCTTGTCCTCAAACTCCTTGAGCTGAGTCATGGCGTACTCATCAATGGGGTCGACAAGGAAGAGAACCTCGAAGCCCTTGGCCTTGAGGGCATCAAGGAAAGGAGACTTCTGGACGGCCTTGAGGGACTCGCCAGTGATGTAGTAAATGTTCTTCTGGTGCTCGGGCATGCGAGTGACGTAGTCGGTGAGGGAGGTGAGCTCATCGCCAGACTTGGTGGAGTTGAAGCGGAGGAGCTTGGCCAGGATGCCACGGTTCTGGGAGTCCTCGTGGATACCCAGCTTGAGGTTCTTGGAGAAGGCGCTGTAGAACTTGTCAAACTGCTCCTTGTCCTCGGCAATCTCCTGGAAGAGCTCCAGAGCCTTCTTGACAATGTTCTTCTTGATGACCTTCATGATCTTGTTCTGCTGGAGGGTCTCACGAGACAGGTTGAGGGGAAGATCCTCAGAGTCGACAACACCCTTGATGAAGCCCAGCCACTCGGGAATGAGCTCGGTGGCGTCATCGGTGATGAAGACACGGCGGACGTACAGCTTGATGTTGTTCTTGGTCTTCTTGGTCTCGAACAGGTCAAATGGAGCACGCTTGGGGACGTAGAGGATGGCACGGAACTCGAGCTGACCCTCGACGGAGAAGTGCTTGACACCAAGGTGGTCTTCCCAGTCGTTGGAGAGAGACTTGTAGAAGGAAGCATACTCCTCCTGGGTGATGTCCTGGGGGTTGCGAGTCCAGATGGGCTTCTGCTTGTTGAGCTCCTCCTCCTCGATGCTGGTCTCCTTGATCTTCTTGGTCTTGGGCTTCTTCTCCTTGTCCTCCTCCTCATCATCGACCTCCTCGATCTTGGGCTTCTTGTCATCGTCCTCCTCCTTGACCTCCTCGACCTCAGCAGCATCCTCATCGGGGACCTCCTTCTCGGTCTCCTTGGTGACGTGGAGGTAGATGGGGTAGCTGATGAACTCGGAGTGCTTCTTGATGACCTCCTTGATGCGGCTCTCGTTCAGGTAGTCAGCCTGCTCGTCCTTGAGGTGGAGGACAATGGCGGTACCACGGCCGAGCTGCTCGCCCTCGGTGTCGGCGATGATGTTGAAGGTGCCACCGGCGCTGGACTCCCAGATGTACTGCTCGTCATCGTTGTGCTTGGAGACGACGCTGACACGGTCGGCGACCAGGTAGGCGGAGTAGAAACCAACACCGAACTGACCAATCATGGAAACATCGGCACCAGCAGTCAGGGCCTCCATGAACTGCTTGGTACCGGAGCGGGCAATGGTACCCAGGTTGTTGACAAGGTCCTAGCAATGTATGTTAGCAAAATTGTTGCAGTGCGCACGAGATTTGAGAGAGTTCTAGAAAACTTACAGCCTTGGTCATACCAATACCGGTATCACGGATGGTGAGGGTCTTGGCCTCCTTGTTGGGGATGATGTCAATGCGCAGGTCCTTGCCAGAGTCGAGCTGGCTGGGGTCGGATAGCGACTTGTAGCGAATCTTGTCCAAGGCATCGGAGGCGTTGGAGACAAGTTCTCGCAGGAAGATCTCCTTGTTGGAGTAGACGGTGTTGATGATGAGGGAGAGAAGCTGAGAGATCTCAGCCTGGAACTCGAAGGTCTCAGACATGATTGCGGTGGGTATCAACGGAAAGCTTGAGAATCTGGATGAAAGATGGATGTTAGTTTTGTTTTCGAGTGGTTGAAAGTCTCTTGGAGGTGCTGCTGGTAGAACAAATGGCTGTGAAAGTGATGTAGGAGACAGAAAGAGAGCCAAACACAGAGAAATAGCGATCCTAGTTCAATTTGATCCTAATTTGCAAAATCCGCAAAGATTGAAATCTCTTCAAGAATTTGCAAAAGGCATCAAGTCTCCCAGGCAAGGCTGAAGCTCTCGTTTTCTGCCAAATGGCGGGGTGATAAGACGGGAAAAAAGCACGGGGCTCGAAGGGGAAAGTGGGATGATTAGATTGCTGCTGGGCTGTCTACTAACCTCGATGGTGTAAAAGAAAAAAAAGGACAGGCTCAAATTGAGGCACTGAAGGGGTATTGCGGGAGGAAGAAAAAAGAGTTGTTTGTCAAACAGGAAAAAGAAGAGAATGGACGAAGAGAGGAAGAGAAGAAGAGGAGGAGAAGGAGCAGCCGCAAGTCCTAAAAAAGGCTTTGCTGCCAGTTGCGCTGCTCGCCTATCCAGAGATTCCATGAGATTCTATGGCCGGTGCCCGTGGCCTGCGCGGCGCTGATTGGCCCACAGGCCGCTGCTGGAGCCTTCTAGACAGCCCGAGCCGAGTCTCAGAAGGGACCAGAAGAAAAAAAAATTAATTGGGCTCAAAGCTTCAAGCGGTTTCCTTTCAGGCGGCACAAGGCAGCGACCCCTCCAAGCCCGCCTTTTTTGTTTTTTAGTGAGGGGAGGCGGCGACTGCTGGCGCGTGCTAGCTAGCACCTGTAGATTCTCTGCGATTCTGTCCACCAGGGTGTTTTGATGCATCTTGTTTGTTTACTCTATTTTGCTGTTTACAGCTTGTGTCTATTCTCTTCTTTCAGCAAGCATAAACACAAAGAGTTTAATTACAGCAATGGCCTCTACGTACATTCCTCCCACATGCTTTGATCCAACCCCCCATGTCTTGTCCACCGCTTTCTGCTAGAAGCTTCCAATGTTCCGTCTCATCCCTTTCACTGACGAGGCTGACGATGAGGGGAAACAGCCCAGCCGCAGCCAGCGCCTCCCCAATTTATTTCCCCTCCAGATGCAACTGGGCACCGCTGCAGAGACCCGACAGGGGCAGCGACCGCCACTGGAAAACTCTCAGCCCAGCCACATGCTAATTGCTGCAGGTGGGATGTTTAGCTCCGCTCGATAAGATAGGCTGCTTGCCACTAGTTTGCCATCAAAGCCGAAGGCAACAAAGGCAAAGGAAAGCGTGCTGAAGGCATTCTGATAGCCCGAGGCCTGTGATTTGGGATGCACCAAGCACGTTGCAGCTCGAGCAAAGACTGAAGCCAACAACCACGATCGCCAGGGTCGCTGGGGGGTTTTGCTTAGCGCCCATCAATCCGCCTAGCAGGCAGCTGTAACCCCGCTATGGCTGAGTCCCGAGACCTCCCTTGCATATTGTGTGAGAGAGTCAGTTATCGTGCAAGTTGCAAAGTTGGCCAGCCCCCCCTTGTGATACCTCTGGGACAAGACATGGATGCTGTTCACGCATCCGATCCGACGCCTTGCATTTGTTCTCGTTACGTGTAATCTTACAGTTTTCCATCCATCTATCCGTTTCTATCCAATTCCATTATACTCGCTTTTCTTTTCTCATGCAGCAGACCCTGGTCTTTGTTTTTTGTCTCGCCTTCACTCTAGTCTTGTGAAATCACCCTTCCGACCTGGCGATACTTTCGATCCGCATACGACAGCCCAAACTTGTGGTTGTTTGCGTGGCTCCCGGATATGAGTTCCACCACTTCTCCCACGACAATGACATGGTCCCTCACTCTCATCAGTCCCCTCGTCGGCTCGTCTGGTAATAACCTGCACCTGAGCGCGTAAATGACCCCCTCTTCCTTTAGCAGGGGAGCTCCTCCGTCCATCTTGTTCGCATCGTACTCTATCCCATCAAACACGTCTTCCGTGTTTCCTTTTGTAAATCTATCTGCTACTTCCACGCCCAATTCGTCCCCGGACATGACGTGTATGTTGAAGTGACGGCTCGCTATTATGGCGTCTAGCGTTCGGCTCGGCGTGGCAATGTTGAACGATATTAGCGGAGTGGGAGAAAGAGTGAGTGATGTAAACGACGACATTGTCATTGCTCTTGGTGTATCTCCATGTGTTGATGTGCAGACGACAACAGAGTGTGGTAATAGTCGCATAACAGAGCGTATCTTTTCTGGGAGATCGGCTGGGGTGGTAGGGTCTGCGGTCGGAGCTATAGGAGGAGAGGTATGCCACGAATGAGATATATGGTTCGTGTTTTGGAGGTTCGTCTTCTTTTCATCTGTGATGGTGGTCAGTTAGCTAGAAAATACTTGAATAGAATCGCATTCCAACATCCTCACATGTAGTATTCTGTGCGGCTAAGCTTGACCTTTCAGCCGCCCGAGGTGACCGCACGCCCGTCGCATATTCCCCAAACGAAATCGCATGGCCAACAACATCATGAACACCTCTCATCAGCCGTATGGCCCAGAATCCTCTTCTCTGCCCGTCCCAAGTACATCCCAAGCCGCGGCTCACACCCTGCCTTGCGCCCCAGCATCCAAGCTGCGACAGCTGTCGCACCGCCCTAGCAGCTCTCATCGAATCCCATGCGGTCTTGAATGCTATTCTTCTTCTGCTTAGGACATACAAAGAAGCCTAATTGAAGAGTAAATCTCAAGTATACAGAGTTAGTAGCTTGTCTCTCTTCGCTCGACGTTACCGGCGCTGCAAGAACCAATTTCTTATCGATAAGCAGCGCTGGCTGTGCCGCCACTACGGCAAGCGGGCCGGAAATTTTGCGACACCAACACCAGCAAGATCACCACATGCGACACTGATACCAAAAAGAGCTCGATACAGCAGTACACGAATTCTCCCCAATTGAAGGACCCATTACTCTCAAATAAATAAAAGAATAAAAACCGTCACAATGGGGAAACTCCCCACTCCCACCACCGCCAGCCTCCTCTCCTCTCCCCTCCGCCCATCATCCACAGTCTCAACCTTCTCCGCGCACAGCAGCTGTCTCCGCGCACAGCAAACTCGACACGCAACCTTCATCCCCCGACCCCGACGGCCCTATACCTTTACGCAGCTCATCCAGCTCTCCGACGGATCCACCTACACCGCCCGAACCACCTCCCCGCTGCCGCTCTACCGTGCGGCAAAGGACACGCGCAACACGCTCCTGTGGCAGCCCAGCGAGAAGAGCCTGCGGAACGTCGAGCTCGACGAGGCCGGCAAGCTGGCTGCCTTTAGAGAACGATTCGGAAGGGCGTACGATGCTGCGGCGCAGGCTGTAGAGGGCGAGGCGAAGGGCGATGAGGCTGCTTTGGCTGCGGCCAAGGCGGCGGAGGAACAGGCTGCGGCAAAGGCTGCTGAGGAGGGTGCTGGATTGAACTTTGAGGATTTGTTGGCGGAATACTCGCCGCAGGATACGAGCGCGTTGAAAGATTCAGGTCCGAAGAAGTCTCCCACACGGAGAAAGTAATAAATGGGGTTATGATATGAAAGAACAGAAGGAATGTATTATATACTTTGTACGAACGAAAGATGGAAAAGGCTAGGCGCAGACAACGTCACAAAAATGGAGAGACATGGAAAGACGATAGACGGGAGGAGAGAAACCGCATTGGATTAGAGAATCGACTCTGTTCAAATATGTACAGCACTTTGAGCCTGGCGGCCCGCCATGATATAACAAAAAAAAAAGGGATTCATCTCCGAACTTCGAAACGAATATGAATAGTGGCGCACTTCCGCTGTCTCCCTCCCGCTTATTGACCATTTAGCTTATAACTGTAGTATACTCGTGGAGATAGACTACTACAACATCAAATTCTCTCCTAGTCTGAATCCTCATCTATAGTAGCCCGGGCACGATCGATAGCGGTGTTACCGGGAGGTTTCGTCTGGTAGACGGGCGGCCTATAGAAAGCAGATTCATCGTCTTGAGCATCCAGTTGCATGAGGAATGTCTCCCACTTTTCAATCAACTGCACGCTTGTTAGCAAATCTTGAAATATCACCGGCACATGTATGTGAATAAATAAAATCTTGACTTACTTCCTTCTGTGCTTCAACCGCACCTTCGAGGAAGGTCTCGACACCGCTCTTGAAATCCTCCACCTTTTCCTTCTCGAACCGGTCCAGCTCAGCTCTCATGGAGCGGCCCATGTCTTCAAAGAGCAGCCGAGCTTGATGGACTTTTCTCTCCGACTCCTGCACCTCGGCGTTCATCTGGTTGAGTCGGTCCTGCTGACTCTTACCCTGACGAAGCAGCTTGTCTTGTGTACTCTTCTTTTTCTGGAACTCCGACTCGGCTGAATGCCAGGCGTAGAAGCCCTTTTGACGCTGGCTGAATGCCTGCTTGATTGACCCAATCAGACGAATGTATTCATCAATGATAATTCCAAAAGTCAAGACGTCTTGTTGGGCCTGACGATCATACACATCGCGAATGGTAAGCTGGAGGTCAGAGAGGGCGTCTAGAGGGCCGGATAGCGAGGGCGAAAGCTCAACCGTGGACAGCGCGTGGAGAGAGGCAGAAAAGTCAGCTGCAGCCTCTGCCATCATCTTTCTCTGGCTGACCATAGCATCCATTGCTTTCAGCAGCCCTTTGAGCTGACTCTCCAATGCATCAAGGTACACCTTGCGATCATGAAACCAATCATCCTGCTCCACAAACTTGCTTCCTCCTCCGACGTTGATACCCAAAGATCCCAACACACCCTTGCTCTCGGTGGGCAGAGGCTCCCGTCTTTCTTTGTGCTTAATGTCAACGTTAAAGGCCTCACTCTCCAAAAAAAGCTTTAGATCAGCGTCATGCTGAAGGATGGGGTGCGCCGCAGTCTTGTTGAGCATCTTCTCCAGCGCGGCTCTTCTACTTTCCACAAAGTTGCTGTCGAAGCGGCCAACAGCCTGCTTCTCGGGAGGTGGCGGCACCACGTATCCGGGGTTGTTTCCGTGCAAGGTGTTATAGAGCCATAAGAAGTCTCGGTATCGACGCTTGACCTCGAATTCGGGCTGCTTGTATGCTCTGGAGGTGGTCTGAATGGAGAAGACGTTATTTAGCTGGGGCGAATCTTTACTTCCGACAAGTAAAACTAGGAATCACCAACCTTGGTTCTCACAGAGTACACAATATGAGAGCTCGTCAAGTCTCCAATCTTGACTGGATCTCCAACAGTGATATAAAACGAGGGCTTCGCTGCCTCTTCCACGCTCACGCTCGGCTGCGTGTTGCTCCGCACACTACTCGGTCTCGCAGCATCTACCGGAGGTGGCACTCTCGGGCCTCTCGGGCTCTCCAAGTCGTCTTCGTCATCCACATGGTGAGGGTCGGCAATCCTTCTCGCCGCCTGCTGCTGCTGGAGCGGCGCCATCGTCGTCCGAATCACCATCTGCTCCTTCTGAGGCGGCACCGGCGGGGCATCCAGCGCAGCGGCATCTTGGGCTGGCCCAGCGCTCAGCGGCCCGAGGGGATCGTCCACGGCTTCTAGTTTGGTGGGCTGGGCGACGATGCGGCGAGGGGCGCGCGAGGGCCGAGGCGCTGACGCCGTCGAGGCCTGTGATGTCGCTGGCGGGGAAGCAACAGGCTCGCTGTCGGCGGGCGGCTCAGGGGGGGTCTGGCTGGAATCAGCCCACGGCGATTCTTCGACGTCCATTGCGATGCGGGAAATTGTCGCTGCGGATGCGACGGGCGAGGTTTGGCGGAGCGAGGGGAGGAATTGGACGCTGGTGTTGAGCTGCGAAGAAGGACAGAGCAGCTTGCTCGACGCAGAGTGGCGTAGAGCGATTGGGGAATACCGGTACCCGGCCTTAGCGCCTGCTCAACGTCAGCGGTTGCGTACCTGTACGAGGCTGCCATCAGCTGCCTCTAGCGAGCACCCACCAGCGCTTTAACAGGGCCTCAGCCTCGAGGCGTGAATTGCTGCCTCGTTGAGTGATTTGTGAGTGATTTGTATTCAGGTGCCGTTATATGCACAAATGGGAGGCTGAAAAGGAATTTACATGACAAGAGATTGATACTGCTGCATAATGAGAAAAAAAGAAGATATAGATATTAAATTCTCATTCTATCGTTATTCCCTATAACAAACCAAGAAATTCAAACAAACACCAGTTCCAAGTCTGTCCTCATAGCACCAGACGTATTATACCGCCCCTTTCAATAGTCCTTTATCCATTCGCAAGTACTTGGCTTCCGTGATACAGTTTACCATTCCCCTAATTAAAGCTGTGCGCTTCCCCTTTCCACTTGCTGGGTATTAGCTTCACTTTTTGCTATTAAATCGAGTAAACCCCTCGCCAATCTATCGGTCAGCATCGTAGCATCCACCAGCTATGACGAGATTCATTCGAGTAAATTTGACCCTTGTCACTGGCGTCTTCTTCGTTGGAAAGGCCGAGATTTGATCGGGAGTAATCATCACTTCCTTGCTCTTCTTCTTGGTGCCGGTAGCTGCACCTGTAGCAGCTGACTGACCCGAGGCCCCCGCGTTGATCCGTGATGCCTCTCCGTTGGGGCCGTTGATCGCCATGTCAGCACCCGCAGTTGCAGCCTCAAGACCGGCCTGTTGAGCTGCCTTGTGCGGATCTGCTGGCGACTCGACGTCCCACAATCGAACAGTGCCGTCTTGGCCGCCGGATGCGAGTACGTTGGATTCAACGCTAAAACTGAGAGACCAGATGCCTCCTTTTCCATGCCCGCGAGAACGCTTGATGCGAGTTCCCTTGACTAGATCCCAGAAGAAAATGTTGCCCGCAATATCTGCGCTGGCCAGGATTTTACCGTTGGGAGAGCATTCCAGAGCGCTTATATACTCCGTGTGGCCCGTGAATACTCTTACACAGGCACCAGTCGTTACGGACCACATGCGGATCGACTTATCCGTCTCATCTGAGGCTGAAAAGACGTACATGCCGTTAGGGTGCCATGCAATGGCCGATATTGCGGTATCGTGGCCGACAAGGAGCCGCTGGGGTGATGCGTGATCCTGCATCCAAACTCGAACAACCTTGTCATAACCACCAGTCAAAAAGTAGTGTCCGTGAGGGCTCCACAGTGCCCTATGGACAGGCCCATCGTGTGATTTGTATACGCAGAGGCAGGTCCAGGATTCCAGGGACCAGAGCCGAATTTGTCCATCTCCTGAACATGATAGCAGTAATTTTGGTCGTCCATCGATGGCTGCATTTTGTCGGCCCTCATCGCCAAAGAGCTTTTGAGGGGGTCCCGAGGCTGAGTCTGAAAATGAAATATCGTATACGGGTCCATAGTGTCCGATAAGTTTTCGGCTGTTGAACTTGGTGCCCTTTTCGTGAGCGTTTGAGCTTGGGAGGGCTTTGCCATCCAGAGACCAAACGCGAATGTAGGATTCACTGGTACCGACAGCTGCGAGCTGTCCATCATCAGAAAATTCCATGCATGAAACGCTACGCCCAGTCAGTCAATGCGCTTGTCTTAGATACTTGGAGAGCAAGGTTACTTACCTTCCAAAGGTGTTGTGAAACGTAAACATGCAAGCGCTTACAGGGACGCCGACGCCGCCTGTTCGCCCTTCAATCTTGAATCTGTCTCTGTTCTCTCGTAGCTTTTGCATTTCAAGCATGATATCGCGTGGTCGAGACGGCGGTAAGGGTAAGTCTGATCTGTTTGGAGCATCCGCACTCTCTTCCCTCTTGATTTTCCGATCAAATTCTTCTATCAGACTGGGTCCGCCAAGGGGCGGTGGAAGTCGTCGCTCCTCGTCTTCGATTTCAGCGCGGACGTCATCGCGGAGATCTGCATCCATAGGCAGAGGGCCTAGGCTAAGGGGTGCAGCCGGGTCCAAGATATCCTTGTTGGATAATCCGATATTGACTCCAGGAATACCTTCTCTGGCGTCAATCTCTTCGATCTCTAGACTCTTGGACTTTCTGAAAACCGCCTCGAAGCTAAAGGGGGTGATGGGTCCACGAGCCGTTGAATCGATTTGACAATACGTGACAAGAAGTTGTCGGATAACGGATCCACCGTGATCAGACTCTCGCTCAAGAAAATTAAAAAGGTCGCCAGTGGCGTGCTGATTCAAGGGAATGCGATACTTATTCTCCTTGTACAGCTTGGTAACAGGATTCTCGTTTACATGCTGAGCGAGTGTAATTGTTGCGAATATTTTCAAATCATCAGCGTGTGATGCCTGGAAATGTTGGCCAATTTCTCTAAGAAATACTTTGCCTTCTTCTGTGTATCCATTTCCGACCAGCTCGATAAAGGAATACACGAACGTTGGCCAAAGAAGTTTGGATAGCTCAAACTGTGTACAATCTTGTTAGTAGGTGGGTATAGGCCGCTGATAGGGAGAATTACTGACTTTGTAGATTTCAAGATTGTTTTCAACCCAATCTCTTAGTAACCGGAACGCTCTTGAATATTTTTTGGGGCCCAAGTTTGCTAGTTGTTGCACTGGTTTACCATCATTGCCGAGATGCTTTGACTCTTGTCGGAAAACTTCTTCGGTTCTGTTGAAGCCCCTTTTGAGAAGATAGTCCGTGACCTAGTAAACATTGTTAGCCAAGATTATTCGCAAACCCCAGAGACACGACTAAGAGCAGAAGCAACAAAGGATGGAGATGGAGAGATGATGTAATGGCAAAGAATTATCAACGCAACAGCCATTGTCTGCCATGATGTGGCATCATCATATGGCTCGGTGGAGCGAATGGGGACAAATGATGGGTTACAGGCACCTCGGTATAAATGATATAAGAATGGTATTGGGCAGGGGAGTGAAGATGTGTTGGTCACGGGCCAAGGTAGCCTTGAAACCTGAAAAAGAGCAACGGCCTGAGGCTCAACAAAACACCACGTACAATCTGATTGAGATTCTGATTCGACATTGCGCCTCCAGTCGTGCCTGCGGTGGTGGTGGTTGCGGCAGGCGGCCCGGCAGGCGACGTTACTGGCTGTCCTCCATACGAGTTGGCCGCACCAGCTCCCTGGGCCGGTACTTGAGCTGCCATCGCGAGAAGAGAGCAGACGCCGCTGTCGTGAAGAAAGAAGTGAGAAAGTCCGATATGCCGTAAAGATGTCTAGTCTCAAAGTGCCAGTATCATATCATAGCCTTGCCCAGCCGAGGTTGAAACGAAGCGCAAATTGGGGTAGCTTATCCAAGTGAGATGAGCTATGCCTGATCCTCACGTTCTGGATCGTGTGGCGGTATGTTGATTGAACTTCTCCGGCCCAGCGCTTAATGAGACACGTCAAGATCGCAAATTCCGCCTGGTATATCGTTTACGTGATGTTTGGTGATGAATTAGGCGCTGCAGACGACCTGAAAGGCGCTTTCTGTGATGATCAGGTCGCCGGGCTTGATGTGAAAGCATTAGAGTTTAGGTGACGGGGAGAAATCGCGAATCGCTGGCCGGAGCGGGATAGCCGAAGTTTAAGCGGCGCCTCTCAGATGCGGCTCAGCTGTAGCAAACGGAGGGCATAGCGAATTTGTTTGTATGGAAATTATTTATGAATATGTTGAATTTAGTACTATAATGAAGATCATAAAGCGCCATCATCTTTACTATAAACCCGCGAGCTACAATTGGTGAAAGTCTTGTGATGCGGGCTATCAGACGATTCGCGACATCTTATCGGCGCGTTGGGCTGACCCACAGCGACTTGGCAGCACTCTTCTCTTTCAAAGCATACATGGAGGTACATCATCTAAGCTTCAGACTCAAATTCCACCAGACCTCCATCAAGTTTAAGCTTGCAACTTCATACAGCTCATTTTAATTCGGAACATCACCACCACAAGGCATTTTTCACCTCGAGGATCCTAACAGGGGATTGTATACTTCTGCCTAATTTCAGCCAATCGAGCCTGTTCGCTCAATCTCACAGGCATGACCTCACCAGAGGATATCGTCATGGGAGACGAGAGAGAAGAGACCGCTCAGCCTCAAGTTCCTTTCACGTTGGAGGAAAATATCTCTCAGCTCAATGCCATCGACAAATCCATGGTCCAGCTTATGAACCACACAGCCGCTGCGCTCGGCGCCCTCACAACGCCGGAATCATCCAGCGACAGCAGCGCTCCAGCATCAGTAGACTCGGCGGCACAAAAGGAGGTATTTCGACAGGCAACAGATACTTTTCTGAGTACACTTCACAGCATCGATGTACGAATGAAGCGACAGATTCTCGCGCTTGAAGAGGCGGGCATCGTTAACCTTTCTTCTGGCGCACCCCGTCAAGGCCCTAATCCTAGTATCAAGCCGTCTCTCAAGCCTAATGGAGTTGGAGCCATTGGAAATCTCGATGTTGGATGGCTAAACAGTCGAGGAACAAAGGTGGAGCGAGATATGGAGCTGGAGCTGTGGAAACGGACTCGGGAGATTCTTGAAAAAGATGATGGCAATATCAAGAAGGAATAACGAATGACACGACACGCTTTAATTTATAAACATTTCATTTGAAGTACCTAAGTATATACACTTCATGTAGTATGTCAATCCCATATGACCACCGATGCGACACTACTGACACGATTTTGCAGATAATAGAACCACTTTTGCCAGCCCTCATTCATCGGTTCTGCAATGGTTTACTCCTTCTCCTCAAATACCCGTTTCGTCATTACAGAGCCTGTTATAGGCATGTGTAATCTCATCAGGGCCATCGGGCGGTCGTGGTATAATATTCTCTGGCTGGATGCTAATATACGACGTCAGCTTGGGGCAATCTTCAGCATTTTTAGATAGCATGGGTACTCACAGGGCGTCAAAGAAGTAGCAAGAAAATTCACCAGTATTCGGCGTCGAGTGTTTATCTGGAGAAGCAGAGTTAGACCTTGGAATGAACAGAGTTAATAAAGCAATCTCACCCTGATACCCGGCAAAAGAAACACAGTTCTTTCTCGCGTTGCAGGAGTACTGGCATCTATTCTCGGCCCATGGCACCCAGGTGGTACCTAAAGTGAAATGCTGGCTATGTTAGGCGATGGAGTTTCCCTTGGAAATATGGATGAGTGGTTCTTACATCCGTATCGCCGACGGTTTGATGGCGCGCTACCCACGCTGGATTGAGAATAAATTGACTCGGAAATTGGGACGGAGGCTTCACCTCGTGGTAGTGAATCGTCCACTGGTCGTACTTTTTGGGAGATCCGAAGACGCACGCCTTTATGTGCTGTTGATCATTGGTGACGACCTCTTGGTTATGACCCCAAGGGTTACTGGCGACGGCGACACTGAATGAGGCAGCCACTAAGATCACAAGAAGGCGAAAGGCGGCGGAAAAGCTCCGTGGAGCAAACATAATGGCCAATATGAAGTGGGCGGCAGCAAAATTGTCTGAACTAGCCTGATGCAGGGAAGAGCCGCTACAGTATTATTTTGAGACAGTCGAAATGAGTGCAGCTGTTTGATCCCGCGTTGTTCTTTGGCAGCGATAGTTTGAGGTCAGCGATCAAGGGCTGCCCCTCTCAGGCACTCGCTCCCGTGTCATAGCATCATCATAGGCAGTTTCTATTATAAGGAAGTCGCTAAGAGAGCCACTCCCGCTTGGGGAATGCTTGCTTTGGTGGTCACGTTGATCGACCACTGTGTTCTCTCCGTGTTGATTTGACTACGACTTCCCTAATTGAAGGGACAGATAGATTTTGGCAAGCTGCACTGCCCATTCCATGCTACATTCCGATTTTGACTTCACAACTGCTGCATGGCAATGATGGTCTGCATTGCCTATCAATGACCATCAAAAAGGCTATTCGTGGCTAGGCTTTCTATTATGCCTCCTTCCGTGCCCACGCCTCGACTTGTATAGCATTTATTGGCCGCTGCCACTCGCTTATCGCGCTGCATTGGGCTCTTTACACGAGTGGAGCGATAGAGAGAATCCATGTCAATCTATGTACCTACTTATGGAGCGCACCACTGTTTGACAGCATGTAGAGGGAGCCAAGTGACAGATTCTCTTGCTGTCGCGGCGCAGTCGTAACACCATCATGGCCGTAGAATTATGTTTCCTCTGGTATTCCAACATGGTGCTGCTCTTACCGGCAAATTGTTGGCCGTGAATAGGACAAATGGCGCGCTTGGCATGGCATTTCCCGCCTATTTGGTGCCGATACTTCCTATTTCTCATGCGCCTCGCCCGATGGAGCTGCAGCGATTCTTTTTGCGGGGACGCATCCCTGCCGCCGGTTTGTAATGGTGCAGCAGCGGTACCTCGTTCTAGTGCGTGCGTAACAGCGCATTGCAAGTCTCTTGGTTCGTCCGGAACAACGTCGGTGCCAGGCCCTCCCTGCGCGTCCCCATGGATTTCTTGGCTTTTCATCTCCGATCAAGCCGCTCGACTAAATGTTTCGATCTCTAAACACCCGGCCGATGTTTTCTGGCGTCGGTTCGCGACGATTGCAAAGACGTCGAAGCATTGTACAATCGGACTGCAAGAGGTGAGAGAGGGGAATCGCTTTTTTCTTCTCTTTCTTCTTCGCTTCTGTTGTTTATCGGAACCACGATGATGCAACCATTACGGCCAGCCACGATGGCCCTACTGCTGTCGATCGCATCCTTCGGAGCGCTTGTGCATGCTCACGACCACAATGGCGGCGAGAGCCACATTCCCGAGGGAGAGGCGATATCGTTTGATCCCATCGTGAGTCGCCCAAGGACAATACTAATAATACAAAATTCAGACAAAGAATCAAACGAGATTAACATCAAGTACAGGACAATATTCTCTGGATCCACATCTTAATCCAGATGCTCGCATACGGCATCATATTCCCAATCGGCATGGTCTTTGGTGTAAGACTTCATGGCTCTGCAGGAGTGCTTTCGTATAAGCAGAACGTCTGATCTGATGCATCTATAGATAACCAAGTCTCGATGGCACGTCCCAACGCAAGTCCTCGGCTCTGTTCTCGCCGTCGTCGGTTTCTTTCTCGGGCATGCGCACAAGGGACGCGAGTTTGTCGAACACAATGTGCACTCGATTTTTGCCAACATTTTGCAGCTCTTGCTTGTCGGCCAGGTGGTGCTTGGACTATATCTGAAGCTCCACTGGGAGAAGGGCGTCCTGGGCGTGATTCGCAAGTTTGTCCGACCCTTCCACTCGATCATCGGAAAAGCAATGCCTCTCCTGGCCTGGGTGCAGATGATCTTTGGAGGCATTACAACCCTCGGCTTCTGCCAGGGCGACCATGTCGGCCAATGCGCCGCTCATTTTATCATGGGTGGCGCATTTATCGCTTATGGCATCATCTTGACTATTATCCTCCTTGCGGGACAGGCTTGGGTCCGTCGCACTGGCCGATCCCAAGAGTTTTACGACAGCTCTATCATTGCTATCTGGGGCTGCATCAATACTTTTACGGAGCATCGCTGGGGCACCGCCTGGGTCAAGAATGATTGGCAGCACACTACAATGGGTGTCATCTGGTGGTGTGCCGGCTTGGCCGGTATCTGGCTTAGCCGAGATCGCGACGGCAACCCGAAGCGCAACTTTATTCCGGGATTCGTCATTTTCATTACCGGCTGGGGCATGTCTGCTCACCCTCAAGAGCTGATGGTCAGCGCCATGACCCATTCCATGTTTGGCTATACTTTGATGGCTGCCGGTCTTACACGTATCATTGAAATTGCCTTTGTCCTGAAGGATGCTCAGTCTCTAGCTGACGATGGTCGTTCGTGGAATAGCTTCCAGTTCATCCCCGTTTTTGTAAGTACATACTTCAGTCCTTGTACTATACGCTTCTAATCCTAATTACTCATAGCTCTTGTACGCCGCCGGTTTCCTCTTCCAAGGTGCGACTGAACAACAAATGGCCCTCCTCGACGGCTCTAGCATGGACGTCATTTCTTATATCCTGATCCTATACTCTCTCGCGTTTTTAATGTTCCTGTTCGTCAACATGCTCATCCACCTGCATGACCGCCTCTCCAACCCCCCGCTGAATACCAAGGGATTCACTAATGGCCATACCCACCTGAACGGACGAGCAGTAGAAGATGGCCATATCCAGGCAGCAGAGGAGTTTGAGCTTGATGGCTTAACATCCGATGACGAGGACGATGAGAGGCAGGGAATGCTAGCAGGAGAAGGGAGCCATGCCCCGAAGCGATCCGCTGCAGCTCAATCATGAGCTACATAAGAGATTTGAAAGTAACGCTAAAGAGAAAAGCATGTTTTGGAGTAATTTGTTTACATAAAGTACAAGTGTTCGGAGTCTGCCTACGCATAACGTCTGTATTACTACTGGGAGGCAAAGTTTGGAGTTATTGTTACGGCTAGAAAAGCAACCCCATATAATGACATAATGGTATTGAGTGTAGCAGATTTACTATGTTTTATCCTCGAATGTTGGCTGCAATTTGTGATCACCGCATCGCATCGCATCGCATCCAGCGACGAAGTACTCCCGTACCTCTTACAGGGTCCAGCTAAAAAAAGCTAGGCGGGTGGCTGTTTTCTGGTGGGGCAAAACTTTTTTTTTTGAGTAGCACTTCCAAACCTCCAAGAACTTTCGACAATCTACCACAAGAAGCAAATCGACGTTTTTATTCCGGCCATATATATCAGTGTCGCCCAATACCACAAATCCACCATGCCGTCCGTCAAGAACCCCAATCGCCCCTCCAAGAACCGCCTCGCCGCCCGCGCCGCGAAAGCGAAGAAGGCGAACCAGAAGCGCGCCGACCCTGCCAACCGAAGCAAGATCACAAAGGCGGACAAGACGAGAGGCGCACGACCGGGCCTGCTGCCGAATAGCGGACCGAGGGCGCAGGTCAGCGCCAAGAAGGCGAGGAAGCTGGAGAAGAAGATGGGGTATGCGCTGAAGAGGCAGATGGAGGCTGAGGGAGAGGCTGAGATGAAGGGTACGTTTTGAAGACTTGGATGTTTATGATGTTGTGGGAAAAGAGCTGGGGGATGAAGATGCTAATATGGGTATAGATGCTCCGGTTGTTGAGGAGAAGGCGACGCAAGAGGGAGAGGATGTTGAGATTCAGTGATTTTTGTTTACTATGGAGATACGACACATTGCACGTAAGTTGTTGTAAAGCTCTCTGGGGTAAGATTTGTGTGCTAACATGACGATGGGACGCAGATTCAAAAGTTAATGGCTACCTAGGTATCTAGTTTGGTTTCTATGGCATTATGGACATACACATACATGGCGCAGGTTGGGTCTAGATTTTGAAATACACTTTATTTGCTGTAAATGCTACATATGAGCATTATCGAAAGGCTGTCTGGTGATGCTACAGTCCATCGAATACAATTTTTTTCTTATATCCACCAAAAGACAAGTGCATCATAGAGAGATCCAGAGGGAAAATACAGACGGGAAGCTGTCAACGAGAGGCTCAAGGCTCTCAATCTCCACTCCTTAAAATCAGCGATTACTCACACCGGAAGATGTTACAGCATACCCTGCTAAACCCGTGTGTAAAAGACGCAAAACTGCAACAAGTGATCCGCACACTGTATACGTGACTGAGGATGAGCAGCCTGGTGATGTTTAATTGATGATGGGAAATGCGTGGGAGCGGCATTATTAAGTTATATGAGCGCTCTGTCTTGGTGTTTGGCTACTTGTATGTAATGACGATGGGATATTGCAATGTTGGGAGGGCGTGGATGTGTTCTGGTTTGTTGAGGCTGATTTTTTTTGCGACAAGTTGTCAACTAAATGTAATCATCTAGAATGGCTCCCGTTTCTCCCGTTTTCACGAAAAGGTCTCCCAATAGAGTGAGTTCCCATGAAAGAGAAAAAAAGAAAAGAACCTCCCAAAAAATGTATCTATCTATATTTCAGTGTCTTCCTCTCGCATTACCAGCTATTGCAAATCTCAAGTTATTCAGAGTTGGTGTGTTTGTTTTCCTGTTCCTGTTGCCTTATCAATTCGCTTGTCCATTGTTTCCATGAAATATTTGATCCGCAAGCAACTTCCAGACGAAACTTTATCCCCAAATGTTACGAGTTCACCATCTTCTTCGTAACTTTCAGCCAATTTCTAAGGATTAGTGGGTCAGGGGGCGGCCTTTGATCAGCCTTTGCTTTGTTGCGCCAAGAGAGAATAGAGGCTAAAAGAGCCGTCCTGTCCAAAAAGATTTGGAAGCACGCCTCCAAGGATGGGTTTGAGATACGATTTTTGCGTGGACGATCCTTGTTGCAAGGCTGAAGACCAAAAGTGCCATAAAATGGGACATTAGGAGTTCTCGGAAGAAGAGAGAAGATGCTGGATGTATGTGCCAGTGTGGGAGTACCCTCTTGCGTCACTACTAGGTAGCCAAGCGTGCTGTTCCGGAAAGCCGGACTGTATCTCCACTGTTTGGAAGTGAACTCAGAGTATGATATGAATGCAATATGGAATTTGTATTCATTCGAAGAATGCATCTGGTGTGAATGGGGGGAGCGACCTGACTCCATAGCGAGATGTCTCATATCAGAGGCTGTATAAATTCTTTATATCTACTTTTGGTGATAAAATATTATGACAATGCATCTTGTAGTGTAGGCAAATAACTATGATTGCGTATTCCTGTTGTTTACTATGCACTGTTTACTGTTTATTTTTTGCATTGGCTCCGCCTACACATTGGCTCTACGCCACAGAGGTAAGGGGATTCACCGAATTTCCCCAAAAGGCAATATTTCTTGCTAGTCTGGAAGTGGCTTATGGTAGGCTGCCGCTTTGGCTTGATGCTAAAGTTAACACAGAAAGCAAATCGGGGCCATAGAATAGGAAATGTTGTCCAGTACTTCAGTTATAGAGGGTTGATCCTACTGGTGCTACTGATGCTACGGCTTCTAGGTGTATATCACAATTAAACAGTTTTATATATAGACCAACTGCTTTGCTGAGCTATGGAAAAAGTGCTGTAGTAGAACTGGGATGTTGGAAATATTTTTTCCATATAGAAAACTTTGCGACTCGGCTCAGAGAGCAGCCAACATGCATGTGTGCCAGGTGAATACATGGGCTATCCGTATATCGCCAGCTGTTGGAAAAGCAGAATGACAAAACGAGTGGTCTCGAACAACTGGTGCAAAAGCAAAGTAAATATTCGTAAAAAAGTGTAAAAAACAGAGAGAATATCTCTCAGTCGAGAATACATAAGTACCTAGGGAATAGAGGTGGTAGAGGTACTAAGTCAGTCAATGTGGTGGAAGTATCTCTGCAGCAAAAGCGAACCCAAAGCGAAGAAATTCTACCTCAACTGTACGAACTGCTAGCACTCGTTTCCTCGTTCACACAGCGCTTGCGCCAACTGACGACACAATCTCCCCTTTTTCTCATTTAACGTTTTGCTTTTCGTAAAGTCACTCTCCAAAGGCTCCTCTACCCACATTGCCTTTTAAACTATTCCAACTATTCTCCCTGGCAACCAAACGCCACCGATGGCTGCGAGCTGCGAGACTATTTTATTTATCCTTCTCTCCTGTTTGTTGTTTTGCTAACACTTCCTCACACACACCATCTTTGTCAGACAAGCGACAATATCCAGACAAGCGATCTTCTTCACAAACACCATCGTCTTCACAGACACTACTGCCTTTACATATACATTGTCTTCACAGACACTTTATCTTGACAGACACGCAATATTCACAAACACTTCGTCTTCATCACATACGCCAACACTTGATCTCATCGCAGACATGACTCCTTTCGGTGAAATGAGTCCTTTCGCAGACATGAATCTTGGCACAAACATGGCTCGCTCCGGGTTCATACCTATTGACACAAACTTTCCTTCCATCTGGGACACGGAACTTGACACAGAAGAGGGTTTTGAAGCACACCTGGCTTCTCACGCATACATGTCTGTTTACGAAGACCAGACTTGTTCCATCTGTCACTACGGCCCGGGTAGACCCTTACGGCGTAGAAACGTTCTACCTGAGTCCAGGCCCGCGGAGCTTTTGGCCTCGGATGTCCGCCAGCATATCCAAGCTGAGTCCAAGTCTCGCCTGAGAGATGCAGTCGAGAATGGTGTCCCCTTGGATGCTTTATACTTTACGGATGATTGTTACCCAGCCTGGGACAGCATTTATGAGATGAACCCTGGACGCAATCATCATGCTCGAGTCCAAAGAAGGCTGCTCAATCGCGAGGCCGCAGCCCTCGTTGACCCCGTGATCATGAAGAGGCTTGTAAATGTGGCCAATGGAAAGCTTGAAGAGGCACGACTACTTGGCATTGCCCTCAGAGATATTACGATTGGCAGGGAGCTTGTGCCTCAGTGGGATCCACAGGTAGTCGATGAGGCGGTCCCCTACAGCCCTGAGCCTGTTGAGGATCACTGGGAGGATTCGGTTGCGCGAAACATGGAGACTCTCGGAGCCGATTTCGTCATGGATAACATCACATGGACGGATTCGGTAGACAACGCTCCTGCTCCGGACAGGCAGGAACCAGTCGCCACCTCTGCTAGCGACTCATCTTCTGGCGATAATAACAACAGCGATGAAGACAACGGCGATGGCAACAACCAACATGGAGAGCCCATTGACGACCGCTATGCCATTTTATCTGGTGGCGATCCCACGCCTCTGCCCTTTGGCTACCAGAGCATTGCGGAGAACGACGACGAGGCTCCGCATATCCTTCACGATATTCTTATTCACGGTGGCGCCAGTGCCGTCTATCATGTTAGTATGGAGGTCTAGGAGGCCGAAACCGATTCAAACTTGGATGAGCTGCCCGAAGTTGAGCTCGCAATCGACGCTACCGCGTACGAGTTCTTCTTCCCTACCGACGAGGCTGTGGACGCGAGCCTCCCTGGCGTGGATCTGGAGTGCACCGTTGAAGATGGAGATGTCGTGATGGAAGCTTAGGAGAACTTCATTTCGCTCTTTTGGAGATATGGGAGGAACTTGGGCACTTTTTGGGGAATCTAAATTGCTTTGGGAATACGGATTATGCGGGAAATACAGATTGTGCTGGAAATACGGACTTTGCTGGAACTTGGGTTTTTGGTTTTCTGGTTTGGAACTTTGGAGCCCCTTGGGACCAAGCGCTTTAGATAGAAATAAAATGCAGTATTTGCTCAATTCGTATCTGTTGCCAATGTGAATGTTGACCAGGTGATGGGAGGCCGCCACTGAGGTTGTTATTTTTCCGTTTTAGGCAGTTTGGAATAAAACTGGATGTAGCAAGGCTATCGGCTCCGTAGAATCAAGCCACCACCACCACTACTGCTGCTACACCTGCTGCTATAGGTGTAATTAAATTAACGCAGCAGGCTTCAGATGATACATATATATTTCATCTAATTTACATGTAAATTTACTTCAATTTATAGATAGACTGCTGAAAGCTTGGCTGCATTCAATAACTTCCTGGAATTTGCGCTGACGGCAGCACCTGGAACGCCCTTTGCTATACAAGTAAACCACACGGGCTATTAGCTCATCAGAATCAAGCTCTCCACTGCAAGTATCTGTTTATTCACACTACAGAGAGGGAGGTTATCCACTTTGGCTAGCGGCATCTACTTCGTATATAAGCCTGGTGTCTGCGAACTAAACTCTCTTCTTTCATCTCCCATGACCCTCATTACCAATTTTCTGCCAAGATATAAGCATCTTGTAATCATTATCAATACAGCTAGTTGGTAATGGTTGAGATATCTAGAACCAGATTAGCCTGCTATACAGCGGAGCCTGGTCAAAAGGAAGCAGCAAGGAGTTCATTGGCATAAAGAGGCAGCCAGCCTACAACACAAAACAGAAGAAAATAATAGAGCTGACGTATACAGAATGCCGGGTTTGCCATGTATCGGATATATCACTCCTCCGAAATAGATGAAAAGCCGAAGGTGGATGTCCAAACGGTCGCCGTAAGCGCCGATGTGGATCATCGAGTACGCGTGGGAAATAGGAGTATTAGTGATGGGACCCGGGGTAATATAGTAGGCGGCTCTAATTAAGCTTGAATATTGCACATGTCGCGCAACGGATCCTTGCAACAAGACTTGAAAGTGCGTATCGATGAGGCTGGGGGTTCATTTCTGGCATTCGATGTAACAAACCTGTCGGCATTCAAGTGCGGCATCTCAAGCCGTGCCTTGGTTGTGCGTTACATAAGTAAGCCCGGCTCGCTTGCTTCGCTTAAGCATAGAACGCCAATGCTGATGTACCATTTCTAAGTCTGTTAATGATTAAGATGAAAGGGTTTTGCGTCAGATTTCAAAGCCGGAAGTGATTCTGACTAGGGGAACTGTGGAGGCATCCTTGTGCAAGTTTTGGACTTGATCCTTTCCCCATGATGCTCAAGTGTGACGAGATGACGAAGTGACGAAGTCTATGTGCTTTGAAATAGTCTGGGCGGATATGTAAAGTTGAAATTTGTATAAGTACCACCGAAAACTCTGCTGTGGAATGATGATTCCATTATCTGTGACAGTTCATCATTCATTGACTTCTTATCAACAATATATCAAACACATAACATCTTTGATATCACTCATCATGCCTTTTCTCACAGGTCCCAACGGCGAGCAAGTCGTCCCAATCAGAATCAACGGAATCTCTGAGCCTCTGGACGCAACTCGTTTAATTCCAGTCGAGTCCAATGGTCAAGACAAGATCGTTCACTACGCTCAAAGCGCAACTCCTGAGATAGCCATCAAGGCCGTCGAAGCATCTCATCAAGCATTCTTGAAGTGGAAGAACACTTCATATGTTGAGCGTCGGGACTTGCTCCTTCGCGTGGCTGATGTGATTGAATCCTGGGTGGACCGTTTTGCTCAGCTTCAAGCGGAGGAGACGTCGAGCTCTCTGGCCTGGGGCCGAGCAAACACATTAATCTTGACAAGAATCATCCGTGAAATAGCAACTAGCATCTCGGCTGCCACGACAGGCGAGATTCCGCCCTTGGAGCTGCCTGGAGCACTGGCATTGGTGTACAAAGAACCAGTCGGCACGGTTCTCACAATCACCCCGTGGAACGCCGGCATGATCCTTTGCGGGCGGTCGCTGGCAGCTCCCGTTGCTGCTGGTTGCTCTGTCATGCTAAAGGCGTCGGAGATGTGCCCGCAAACACATCATACCATTGTCGAGGCATTTGAGGAGGCCGGTATGCCCAAGGGTCTCATCAACGTAGTTCAAGCCTCGCGTGAAGATGGACCTGCGACGACCGAAGCTTTGATTGCCCATCGAGCGGTCCGCAAGGTTGCATTCACCGGCAGTGCTGCTGTGGGAAGAATCATTGGCCAAACGGCGTCCAAGTACTTGAAGCCTGTGTTGATGGAACTAGGAGGAAAGGCCCCAGCCATCGTTCTCAAAGATGCCGACGTCAAGCTCGCTGCGAATAAGATCGTTTATGGTGCTTTTCTGCACCATGGACAGATCTGCATGTCCACCGATCGCATTGTCGTGGTTCAAGAGCTTGCAGATGAGCTTATTCAGGAGATGAAAGTTGCTATCAAGGCACAATTCCCTGACGGCGCAGGCTATGCCGGCAGCAAGAGGTTGGCTAAGAGAGCTCATGATCTCTTGCAAAAGGCTCACGCAGCAGGAGCTCGTTTCGTTATTGGCGATGGAAGTCTCAATGCAGACGGGTCCAGCTTGACACCGACTATCATCACAGATATAAAGCCCACGGACGAAATCTTCCACGAGGAGATTTTCTCCCCTGCTGCAATCCTCACCATTGTCAAAGACGAGGCCGAGGCTGTCCTCTTTGCCAATGACACACTACACGGTCTGAACGCTTCGGTGCATAGTCGCGATATCCTTGCAGCGATCCGAGTCGCCAAGCAGATCGAGGCCGGGCAAGTTCATATTGGAAACATCACAGAGTTTGACGAGCCGAGTGTTCCGTTTGGCGGAACCAAGGACAGCGGCTGGGGAAGAAACAATGGCAAATATGCCTTGAATGAGTTTTTGATGGAGAAGACGATTACGATCCTCGATCCAGCTGCGGATGCTCATTTTGGAAAATAGCTGTCAGCATCTAAGATGTTAGTACGTTAGCACTAGGTGTATTACTCTGGCCTTAAAACGCCAACGTGCTGTTTACCAGTTAGTAGAAACTCTATCAGACCTTGGATTCTGATACAACAAGCATTTTTGACTTTGAACACAGTAGGCGAGATCAATTTATTCATGCACATCATGCTAAATGTCAAATTAATGTACTGTGTCCGTAAAGGGTACAAGTTCCGTAGCATAGACATCAATGACGTTTCGTAATGTGTAAGAAATGAGATCTAAGTGCCCATGTTAAAAAAAAGTATAAGAAGACGTCGTAGACCGCAGCATAATGGTCAACGACATTGGAAAGAAGATAAACTCTAAGCACAGAAATATTAGTCTACTTCAATAAACTACTTTCCGATTATCATCATGCCTTACGTCCCAGAGCCTTGGTCGTTTGACGACGTCCTGAAGCTCACCAAGATCAGCCCAGCCTATTGGAGAGCAACTTATAATGCTCCGCCACTGAATCTCTTCACGCCGCGAACCTACAAGGCACTGCGGACGCTCGTCGAGTTGCTCGAAAACGATCAAGCCGTCAAGGTCGTCGTTTTCGATAGTTCCGTCCCGGACTACTTCATGGCCCATTATGATTTGTTGGCGAGGGAAGGGAAAGAAAACGCAGAGGGCGAAGACGCAGCTCCAGAAACCGAGTGGCCTGGCTTTGTACTACGTTTTGCCCGCCTTTCCGCAGTTACGATTGCCGAAGTTCGTGGGCGCGCCCGTGGTCTTGGTAGCGAATTCGTTCTTGCGTGCGATATTCGTTATGCCAGCCTCGAGAAGGCTGTGTTCTGTCAGCCAGAAGTCGGCGCTGGCCTTGTTCCCGGTGGTGGCGGGATCGAATGGCTTTCGAAGCTGGTAGGCCGTTCGCGGGCTTTGGAGATTCTGCTGGGCAGTCAAGACTTTGATGCTGCGACTGCTGCTCAGTACGGCTACATCAATCGTGCCATCAAAGACTCGGAGTTGTCTGCATTTGTAGACAATTTTGCCCGCCGGGTGGCTGGGTTTGATAAGAAGCCGTTGCTGGAAACCAAGCAGGTCGTCAATGATCGCGCTGGTTTGCCTAGCCTGTCAGACTTGACGGGGGCATTAAACATCTTTGCTAAATCTTGCAACTGGCCTGAGACCACGAAGCGAGTCCAGACTCTGCTTGGTATGGGCTTGCAGCAAGATGGCCCTGTGGAGAGGGATCTGGGTCAGCATGTTCATGAAGTATCGCTGAAGTTGTATGGAAAGACTGAAGATGCTCAATAGCTTGGAGCTTCAATAAGTAGTCTTTGGACTTGTGGATATTTATGAGAATGTCTGAGCTGCTGTTTAAAGTACAATTACCCTAGTAAATGCATTCATAACCTGGAATTATAAGACACTTTAGTAATCTTAAATGGAGAAACCACCTTCTCCAAAACCTGTCAAGCATGCGATGCTCGCCATTTGTAAGCTCGGAAATATGTCTAAACATATATCACACTGCTATTCAATTCATTTATTAGAATGTAATCTGGATAACATGCATAGCAACACGAGAACAATCGGGCTTTGGCTTCGGTACTTGCCGCGAGTCTCGGAGGGTACCGTAATTAAAGTGACCGGGGATATCCTCTAATGGCCATCTTCCAACGCCATGTACAGTATAAGAACGCTTTAACGTTGTCTTTTCAGTTTCGGCACGGCAATGGCACAACTCGCTGAGTCTGTCAATTATAATTTTTTCACACATACGAGCGAAACAAAGAATAACAAGCTAGCCAAAGACAAGCCTTTTCATCGATAGAGAGCGCTTCATCCTATTCAGAAATGAATGGAACCCGGACGTACAGTAATCATCTAATGAAGCTGGCGTTGTTAGCTTGGTTTATAAGTCCGCATATTCCCGCGCCGCTTTTTATAAGGCCGCGTATTCCCAATTTCTTACATCCCGTAAAGTCCGAAAGCCCGTCATCAGCACCTTCATCATGACCACCAAAGATAGCATGCAGAGCTTGGCGTTGAAGTGGTCGTGCTCAGCATGCCGCCTCTCAAAACGCCGCTGCGATAAAGTATACCCCGAGTGTACACTATGCGCCCAGTAAGTCTACTTTGCTGTTCTGCGCGGAGTCTCAATTAGTGACTTGAGGAACCGTATAGGAAAAATCTTACCTGTAACTACCCAGGCCGTCGGAGGCGAGGGAAGGCCAAGAATTATGCCAAGGCATTATCTCCACCAAGAAAACCCGTCATCTACCAGGCTTCAATTACAATTGAGAAAGAGAAAGAAAAGCCATATCAGACATCATTCAATTGTCCCAATTCCAGCTTCGTCGCCGAGCGCTTTCTAGATCCCGTTGTCTTTTCCCGGGCGCAGTTGTCAGTAGACAATGTGGATGTGGCAGTAACAGATGAAATAGCTCAGCTGGTGGGTGGCGTATTGGACATTCAAGCCGTTTCCGATCGGTTCTTCAAGTCTGTTTACATGTGGATGCCGATTATCTCAAAGCCTCGATTTTCCAGCACGCTCCTGAGTCGATTGACTTATAAGAAGGCCGAGTTATATTTGCTGGTGCTGTCCATGAAGCTCTGCTCCACACGCCGGAAACCGTTGAATACCGCTTTATACGAGGCGGTGAAGCTATTTCACTTTAAGCTGCAGAGTTCCGGGGTGTTGTCTGTCCTGGTCCTGCAGGCCGCCGTCCTCATTGCACTGTACGAACTAGGACAGGCAATCTACCCTGCGGCCTTTCTGTCCATCGGATCATGTGCTCGCTACGCAGTAGCACTGGGAATTGACAAATCTATTCTTTCTACAAGTACCCCAGGCTCTCAGTGGATCGAAGAAGAGGAGCGTCGCAGAGTTTGGTGGGCCATCTTGGTTCTTGATAGGTACGCATATGGATGTGGTGGAGCATTCGCTTCCTTTTCTGTAACTTATAGGTTGCTCTTAAATTAGATGGTGTTAATATTGCTTCTAGATACCTCAACCTATGTGATCCTCAGCGGCACTTGATGACGCCGGATGCTGGTCTGGACAGCTATTTGCCTGTAAATGATGAGGCATGGGACAAGGGGGTAAGTGAATCACATATCAGTCTCCATCTTTGGGGTATCTCTAAATAAACCTTTATAGGAACTTGACCCTGATTATATATACACTCTGGCAACAGCTAATAGCTATCACCTGGGGCTGTTTGCACGATTCTCTCAAGCAGCCCATCTGCTCAGCCAGGTTCTCCGCTCTATATCTGAAAAGCGATCAAGCGAAACTTCTCAATTGCGGCGCACCATATATGCGCTTGTTAACGTTTCCAACATTGAGGCATCAATGAGAAGACTGGAATACTGCAGCCAGTCAGCGGTATGCTACAGGTAACGCTGATGATATTTCCCTCACTCTCTCAGACAAGCTGCTCACGACGCAACGTAGTGGTATTATCGCGCTTGATGACTCGTTCTGTGATCAACAGCCACAGAGCTCAGGCGCACGTCTTTCTGCAGAAAGCACTCTTATTTCAGAAGCAACCCTTCATATGATTTCAATTTTCAAGGAAGAAGAAGTTGCAGAAGAAATATGTGATGTCGCCAGCCCTTTTCTGGTGCACTTGGTGTATAAAGTGGCCTCGATGCAATTGAGAATCGCACATCAGTCTCCAGCGGCTGCAGTCTTGGAAGATGTCAAGCTTCTAAAGCGCGCATTGAACATTATTGGAAACCGATGGCATTGCGCTTGTAAGTATCTGCCCGTTAAAGATTCGTTTTGAGCTACGTTTTATACTAATTAATGCATAGATGCATATCTCTCGCTCTTGGAGAAGCAGGAGATTCTCTTGGTTGTGCAGTAGAAATGATGTTAATAACCGTGCCAGCTCGTCAAAGTTAAGGAGCAATGATAAGAATATAGAATACGGCTTCTGTCTTTTGGAGTACAAGAAAACTACATGAAAATTGTTTATGTTGGTGGTACCATTCTTATCTTGGCTGTCTATTCGCAATTTAATAACACTCCGCAGCAGAAGTTGTTTTGCTTGTGACTTGCCATGATAGCTACAGGTGAAGCTAAAGATTACGCCAAAGTCATCGACTGCCTGTATCAATTCACTATACTATTTACTCTTGAGTGAAATGGTCCCTAAGAGATTTGTTGGGAGTCACTTGCTCAACATCCGGGAAGGCACATTAAGCCTTATCTTGTACCACTTACCTACAAGTACCTATATATCAGCTTTCTACATTCCAATCTCAGATAGAGAACTCAAATTCTTTCATACTTCTCAGTTGATCCACTTAATCTGCGACAAAGAACTCATACGAGGGATACCGGCCCATTCTTTGATGCCGCATCAACTCAGACTCTTCATTGTCCTTCAAGATTCCTCATTATCACAACTGAAACGCCCCAAATAAACTAAAGGTAGATGGCTGCATTCGAATCTTCTCTCATCAACTTATCTGTCGCTAATACAGTTCCATTAGCAAAATATCGAGAAACATCGTTCGCTAGGAGTGCCAGACAGCCCGACAGCCTGAAGGTTGATTAGGCCCGCACGAACCATGGCAACACCCGAACAGAGCGAAAATGACTCTGCGGATGGCAAGTTCAGCCATCTGAGAAGCACCAAATCCAGTCATCGTTTGAACCAAATCGAAAAAATCAGGGCTCACGGTGTCGGTGATTTGATAGCTTTGCCGCAGCTGGTCGTATGCGGAGACCAGTCGGCAGGAAAAAGCTCGGTCTTGGAGGGCATAACTGGCATACCATTTCCTCGACAGGAGGGACTTTGTACGAGGTTCCCCACGGAAATCATCCTTCGCCATACAGAATCCGAGGCTGTCACCACTACCGCCAGTATCAGGCCTCATGTTTCACGGGCGCCAGAGGTTCAGCAGGTACTTGCTGCTTACCGCAAGGAAGTTGCCGATATGTCAGAGCTTCCTAATATTATCCAAGATGTCTCACGTTTAATGAAGATTCGCGGGTACTCGGATAACAACGACGGATATGCTTTCGCACCCGATGCCCTTCGTATAGAGGTGACCGGCCCTATTGGGATTCATCTCAGCGTTGTGGACTTGCCAGGACTCATATCCGTGGCAAACGAGGAACAAACTGAAGAAGATGTGCAGGCCGTTCATAACATGGTTAACGGCTATCTTAAGAATTCAAGAACAATAATTCTTGCTGTTCTCCAGGCAGGGAACGATATGGCGAATCAGCCCATTATTAGGCTGGCCAGGACTCATGATACTTTGGGTCAACGAACTGTTGGGATCATTACGAAACCCGATTTGATCAATCAAGGTGCGGAAGCCAAACTCGCACGCGTGGCTAAAAATGAAGACAACATAAAACTGAAACTGGGGTTTTTTCTCGTGAAGAATCCCAGCCCTTCAGAGCTCAAAGAAGGCTTGACTATGAAGGAACGCTCTAGTCTTGAGCTACGATTCTTTTCAAGCTCTCCTTGGGCTGAGCAAAATCTTGATACGAGCAGAATAGGAGCAGAGAAGCTTCGAGTATTTCTTCAAGACCTTCTTGACACTCATATCGAGAGGGAATTGCCCAAAGTCCGAGATGAGATCAAGAAGTTGTTGACGATGAGGGAAGCTGAGCTAAGATCCATGGGAGATGCTCGGCCTACGGCTGATCTAATCAGGAGTTTCCTTACAAGTCTAAGTATGAGGTTTTACGAACTTTTGCAGGCGGCTCTTGAAGGTCATTATCATAGTATTGATGCTGAATTCTTTTCTCAAACTGAAGACTCAAGATTGCGAGCCAATGTGCAGAAATTGAACACTTCATTCTCAAGTTACATGCGAGATTCCGGCCAAAAGCGAAAAGTAAAGACTGATATTGAATCTGATGTTTCGGAGACTGTATCTGAAAATGAGACACCTGGGTCTGATGTCACAGACAATCACGAACGGGCGAGCGAAGAAGGCCAGATCCTGGTAAGCAACGCGGAGATGATGCAGTGGGTAAAACAGGTGAGAACAAGGCTTGTTCCATTAGAGATCTCTTTTCTAACATACGTTCAGATTTATATACGCACCAGAGGGAGAGAGCTGCCCGGGAATTATAATGCGGCGCTTTTAGCTGAACTATTCCGAGAGCAGTCGATTCAGTGGCCTGATATTTCTGAATCCCATCTTCACGATATTTTGAAGACTGTGGCTCAATGGATTCAGATCGCAGTGGAACGGCTAATTCCCGATGACAGCATGCGTGACCAAGTTCATACGATATTAAAAGACTGGCTGGAGAATGCAGAAACGAATGCATTGGGAGAGCTAGGAAAATTGATTGAAGACGAGCAACGCACCCCCTTGACTTACAACCATTACTATACAGACAACGTCCAGAAAGCTCGAGTGGACATTGAGAAGAAAGCTATGGAGAAAGTTCTCCGTGCAGAGTTGGAGAACCACGGATATTCTTTAAGAGACGGCAGCTTCTCTGTTGCTAAAGAGAAATTGATTGCTGCAATTGGGTCTAATGTCACGGTGGACATGGATGAACAGGCGTGCAATAACGCTATTTTAGAGCTTCGGTCATACTACAAGGTGAGAACGGGCCCCGTATTGATTCATATTTGTAAGATACTGATAGCTCTCAGGTCGCAATGAAGACGTTTGTTGATAACGTCGCTCGGCAAGTCATCGAGCGCCACATCATGGCACCACTCCCAAGTGCTTTCTGTCCGAATTCCGTATCCCAGCTTTCAGATGAAGACTTGGTCCAAATCGGCTCTGAGTCGGAGAAACAAATTGCGAGACGGGCAAAGTTGACTGCGGAGGCTCAAGGCTTGAAGAAAAGTCTGAGAGATTTGCAGAAGCCAGTTTGACGCCATGATTGGGGGTTTTTGAGTGGATACTTTGTGATCCTTTGCACCAAATTTGCTGTTCTTTCCTGTTTTTATGTGATGATGTGGGGGTATGTCGGTTTGTTGGTATGTTTCGGCGTTGACGGACTGAGATTGATCATTTAGGCGCCTACTTCTCAGCTTTGGTTTTCCCACCGGGTTTTCCCAGAGCTTTAACGTGAATACGGAGTTGTAACAACTATTTAGAGAGAATTTGAGACTCATGATATCTTTGTATTTCGATACCGTTCATTATTCATTGACATGTACATATATTGGCTAAAGCATTATGCTATATAATCTACGAATTGCAAAGCGCCACAATATCCTCTGGCACATAGACTTGAAGAATGTCAATCAACTGGTTCAGCGGAATCCAGTCCATGTTGCCATGAATACTGCGCAGAGTGTGTCCCGAGTAGAGCACACGAGCGTAGTAAGCCTTCTTCTGTTGGGCAGTCGTCTCCCAAACTTCAATCGCAATGTTGGACGCCATGGCCGGCCACCTCAGCTGGTCGATTCCGAGAGCCCCGAGAATGGGACCAATGTCGCCGTCGTGGATGAATGTGTGCGCGTAGACGTATTTCTGCGTCTTGCCCGAAACAGCCTGCAGACGACGAACAATCTCGCCAATGAAGAGGCCTTCGGTGACTTGAATGTACTTTGTTACCAGGCTGTTGTTGCGCCAGTAGTGGTTCCACTCCCAGTCGCCTGCACGGAAAACTTCTTCGGCTTGTTCTTGAGAAACACACTTGGATGCGTCGGTGAAGCTGCATGGGAGCTCATATCCGTTGCAGAGGCGGGCCTGGAAGTTGTCGGAGAAGTGGTCAAATGTGCTCTGCCAGGCGCTGCTGGTGGCGCCGAGGATATCTCCTAGAGACTGTCTCAGCTCGGCTGTTACGCTGAGATGCTCGTTCCAATCATCGGTAGACTGAATTGATGAGAGAATAGAGCCTCTGGCATTGCAGGGATATCCACTGTTGACAGTATCAACGCCTGCTTGCTGGTGAAGAGGCGCAGAGCCAGAGTAATGAGGCCAGAGACCGCGCAATACACCTCCAGCGCTCTGCTGGGTAAGAGAAGCAGAGCTGGAACGTAGCCAGACTTTGTCGTTGGGGGTCTTTGGAATGAGGCCAAGCTTGTCGCCATACAGAGCCCAGAGATCTTTGCCGTGCTGGATGCCGTCGAGAAAGCCTCCAGTGGTCAACTGAGGGAAGAAGCAAGTAGAGTTGATGTACGGCAGAGCATCTACAAATGGATTGCTGGGGTCGGTGTACACGCTTGCGAAAGCTTGGACGCCATTGGCACCGTGGACTTGGCTGCCGTACAAGTAGGCCTCAAAGGTTGAGCAATCAAATGGTTGATTCTAACGTTGAGTTGTCAGTTAGATTCACACAATGATAATCTTAATGAGATAACCTCTCACCTCTCCACCTGGGGCCAGGTTGTACATGGTACGCCTCTGATGCCTCTGCATATACTCCAAGTACACCAGCTTGGCATGACGATCACTGGGCAACTCATAGCCGTTCACGCGTGGGTGCGGCATGGAGCAATAGTCGTACACGCCATATGGCGAGCCTTGAGAGGCCTCGTTAGCAGGAGCCGTGTAGATGCCTCCATACGTGCCCAGTCCACTGCTGGTGATGTACGAAGTACTGTTGAGTCCAGGAGGGTAAAATGTATCGACGGGTGAAAGATTCGCCCCGGCAACCAAGACGCCCTGGGCTACGATGCCGGCTGCCATTGTACGAGTCAGCATGATGTGAGTCGAAGCCATTGTCGGTGATGCTTAGCCAGCCGTACCTTGGATCGACTGTGCCTGGGAGACATCGGATGATATAGCCCCCAGGACGTGCTGCAGCCCGAGCACGTGGCTGTGTCCGGCCTTCATCTCATGCAGGAACAGCAAACAGCACGGCTAAACGGTATCATCTGTTGTTCGGGTTAAATTAGCGATCCATTGATAGATGCCGGTCATTGGAAGCGGTGGGAATGGGAGCAGTTGTGTAAGCACCTAGTTTTTAGACAATGCAACTAACACTTAACAATGCTCTCTATAAGACGAGAAAACACAAGAAAAGGTCTAGTTCAGAGAGAGGTTTGTTGACTGCTGTGGCCTGTCTCGGCGTAAATGGGAAGCTGGTGATGTCCGCAAGCCACTGGCTGTAGATGAAGCACGCACGTGCCATCTGCTGGCGAAAATAAGTGGCGGGGAGCTGTAGCGCTATTGCCCACTAAAAGTAGATTGCGGAAGAGTTCACAGTTGTCGGCATCTTCATTTCGTAAAGAATAGAACTTTTAGACATTGTTATCATATCGCCGTGTATCATCTGGCGCAAATTATTGATCATATCGTTGAATAAAACGCGTTTTGAGACAGACTTGCTGAATTCCGTGCCTGATTGTCTTATCTTGGACAACAGAGTAAACAACCTATAGGTACATGTAGCAAGCATACAGGTGGTGGCAGTTTACATTCAACTCATGTCTGGTAGGATTTTCTTTATAACCTCAAATATGTAACAGAAATACTTCTTTCGCATGTTTAAGCTTTTGGTGATGCAGACCAACAAATTTGCTTCTCACAGATGTTCTCAAAACATGTATGACTCGTCAGTTACATACCTATCGACGGGACTTACATCCTCACCATTCTTCTTTTCACCATGTACACGTAGTAACGATGCAATTTTTCCTAATTCCTTATTGTAAACAACAGATAATTGCGTCTTGAGGCCGTTCAACGATCATCTGCACTGCCAAGGCTTCATATTAATGTCCAAGATTATCATGCTGGCGTGACTGTTGCCAATCGCCCAGACAAGTATTTCCATCTTGCCCTTCAGTGCTTACGGAGAGTTGTATGTGTTCCTCTCAAGCCAAATCATATACGATAACAAAAGAGAGTAGCTGCATAAAACCCGCAACAACAATATAGTCATCTTAGCAGGCTCAACTTGACTACTCGGCTCCCGTTACTGAATCATCTACGGCTCGTAGCCTCCATCCAGCCTTTCTCTTTTCGTATTCAGCCACTCGCTGGAATTATTTGAAACGGCGGCTGTCCCAATTCCCGGGGCGAGCAGGATTTGAGTTTACAACTGAGACATTTTGAAGATCGCTGAGAAGCCAAGACAAGTTATTTCCAGAGCTGGGGGCTAAATTGATATGATTCGAGAGAAGACGTTTTGACGGCTGGGCTTTTTTTGCGTGACCATTCTCCCTTGAGGTCCGGAGCGGGACATTGTGTAATGACAAATAGCAATGTCTGACAATACGAAGGGCTGAATGGGGGCTCAGCAAAGTTGGGGGCTCCTATATGCAAGGACTATCTGTTCAAGACAGGCAACTTGAATCTCCAACTCCGATGTGCACATTTGTCAAACGTTGAAGTGAAACCGCCATGTCACCATTTGAAGTATTCCGATAGGATTGAATTCGGCCTTGTCAAGTTTTATACACACCAGACTACGAAACATGAGCCAACATCAACCTTCACAAAGCACAATTCGTTGTGACTTGATCCCTTCGCGTATTAGCTAGTGAGAGCTAGAGCTTCAGCTGCAAGGGGAGCACGGCCTCCACATCGGATCAAATCCTATGCGTCGATCCAATCCACTCGCGAGGGATTTATCAGATACCGAAATTGGGGGAAGCCAGGAATAACAAAAATATCCCAATCATTATCCACCAGCTAACCGCGTCATGTCTCTACCGTTCCGCTCAGGGCAGCATGTGATCTGGTTGTGGGCAGAAGACGGAACGAAGAGGCCGGATGTGGAGCCGCGGCTGGAGATGGGGATCGTCCAACGTGCCTTATTGTGGACTACCTAATCAGCTGAAGAGGAGAAGGGTCTCTCAAGGCATGGTTTATTGGGCCACCGTACCAAGTGTCTCATATGGTTCAGGTTATTTGTAATTATAGCAATACGTGTAATGTACTTGTATACTTCAATTCTGAGGGTGAGTTTTAATGTTTTGCCCAGACACCTCAACGATTGGACATGATTTACGCATCTAGCAGCCGTTGAAGGGAGCTGGTATTTAAGACCAATATCTAACCGCTTATCCGCCCTTGGTGTTTTAACTTAAACCACTGGCTGGGTGCTCCGACGGTTCGCGTCAATTCTCCGGTTGCCGATATCGATTCCTGATCTAGTGGAGTAGGCATATGATGGGTGTATCGGTAAATTAGTATGCACACACCGTAAGAGCCAAGATGTCTCCTTTCTAAAATAGATGAGACTCAATGTGCTGGACGGGAAGTCAGACTATCTCTTGCCTCTACTTTGACAAGCTACGTCTTTAGAATCAAGAACTGTTTAGTTACTCATAGAACAAAGAATGTTTGTCTCGCAAAACATTATGGTTTTCTCATTGTACAATACGCTTGACTAAACGACTCCCTATACATCTTCTACTGGACGCAGAATTTCCCTCCAACTCGGCAGTACATACGTGATGCCGGATCTTGCCTTATAAAAGCGGACTAGGGATCCAACTGCGGCCCGTACAATGACAAATTCCAAGCCCCAACTATTCAGGTGGATCGTTTAGATCGGATAAAGACGAACCGGCCCAACTACCAACCAGGCGTAGATATGAGCAGGCCGTTTTCCCAGGCCAAACGGGCGCCTGGATCGAGTGGATCGCGCTACTGCACCTCTAAACCCTTGAGAGTTGAGATGCAGAGACTTTAAAAGAAGAAGCAAATTGCCTCCTTTCAAACGAAATGTCTCAGGAGGAGGTCCCGAGTTTGCCGCGAAGATGCAAGCTGACGGAGAGACACAACATCACGGGAACTAGCAACGGCAATGTTTTTCCTTTTAATAGCTGTTGGGCGAGGATCTGTTTGGAGGTTTAAAAGGGCGAGATCTCTCTCTCGAGTTGCCTTATTCATTTGCAGATCTTCATTAGCTTCACTGGCTCCGGTCTCATCTATATCATTATTGCCCGTTTGATCCATATCAGTATTTGTTATGATGCTCTTCTTCGCCGCCGTCTCGTTTGCTGCCCTTGCTACGGCATTGCCTGCCGGTGTTCAAGTCCAACCATGGACGCCGGCTGAGGAGCACGATTCACGCGGACCGTGTCCAATGCTAAACACTCTAGCAAACCACGGCTATTTGTAAGACTGCCTATGTTCTCTCTCTGCTTGGACGTTGGAACTAACAAACCATCCCAAGGCCTCACAACGGCCGCAATCTTACGGCTACATTGATTGAAAACGCCTTTACCAACTTCCTCAATGTCGAGGCAGGATTTGCAGCTGCAGTCAAGGACTTTACCCAGGCTTGGGGCCACGACGTGTTCAATCTTCATGATCTAAATGCTCCAGACATCTTACAACACATCGCCTCTCTCACCCGTGATGACTACACGTCGCAGAATCCACACATCAGGCCAAACCTGCATCGAATCGAGAGCCTCTTCGACGACAGTCCCTCATTGCACATCGACATCGACTCCATCGCAAAGTCTCGGCTGCGTGTCCAGGCAGAGTCGCATCCCAACATGCTTTCCAAGGCTAGATTCGACGCAGCCCTCTTTGAGGCCGCAATGGTGCTGGTGATGATGACGGACAACGTTCCCGACGCGACGAGCAACCCTCCCCTGTCTGCGTACGAAGCCCCCAAAGACCGTTTGCGAACTTGGTTTGAGCAGGAGAGGTTCCCTGTTGAGCTTGGATGGCAGCCATCGAAGAGGGCCATCAAGCTGGCGGATTTGAATCCGGCAATCCAGGCAATTACTGAGTCGATGCAGCGACAGGAAAAGGAGCGTTCAAAGTCTCGCATCGCGGCAAAGGTAGACGCCGAGTGATTTGGCGGACTCTCAAGGTGGCACCGGTTTTATTCTGTTTATATGGTACAATGGTAGTTTTATGTAATAATATTAGTCTTGGATGATCTTGTTATGAGACTATAAACATTTATATGAATGACGCTCCTTGACTCTGAATTGCTCGTGTAATATTTATAACAGGTGTCTATGCCCTCCATGGACTCTGCCCATGTGACTTTTGCCATTTACTCATCAACTCCTCGTCAAAAGTAACAAGAACTTCAAGATCGCCATTTGGAAGTCTAGGAAATACCACCGGATACCGCTTCCCTTTCAACGATGATAGTCTTACAGCTTCACAGTGTCCCAATTCAGCGCCCCAATCAAGCTCATATACTCCTTCATCCGCCCAAGAGACGATGGAAACATCGGCAGCCTGTTCGCATAGCTTGAGACTCGAGACGTCGTCCTGGGCAGCCAAATGGTTCACTATGCGGTTCATAGCTTGCTCATTGATAACATTAATGCTTTGCCGTACAGCTGCTGCAACATTTGCGATTTCTGATGTAAAGGTTTTCTGTTCGGTTGAGCTTCCAATGGCGACGAGATCGGCTTTCTTTGCGGTTACCAGCGTCACGCCAAAGGAAGAGCCGAGATATTCCTTAGGAAGTGGTGGATCATAGCGACTGCGAGAATTAACAGCTATACGCATAAACAGTTTACCATCTGCAGTGGTATTGTCATCATCTGCGAACTCAGAATGAATGATGTATCCCCAGAGGAGCGCAGTTAGTACGTCACTTGTAGAAACCCATGCAGTCCCATCAGGCAAATGCCTGTTTACTCCGGCTTTTAGACGCTTCAAATACTCTCCAGAGAATTTGAGATACTGAGTCTCTAACTTGGCTGGTTTTGGTGGTTGGCTAGAAGGGGCACTCTCTTCTCTATGAAGAAGCAGCGGCGTATCCGCAGGAGCATTATGAGAGCTTCTCACAATCGCCGTGCGATCTAACCAGCCCTGGTCAAAGCCAATGTCCTCAGAAGAGCCCGTCCTGCAATGAGATGCCCAGATCTTCAACAACGAGCCGTATGCTGTGACATCGGCCGTCTGGTGATGCAGGCTGACAGCAAGCAGGCATCCTCCCTTGACCAGCGTCAAGACTGCGCGAAAGACAGGACTGGGGGACGTGCCCGGGCCGAGGTCGGCAGAAAACCAGCTCCGGTCATCAAAAAGAGATGGTCGAAAGGCGCCAGACTTGAGAGCATCATAATCAACATCTGCGTAGGTATTGACGCGAAATAAGTCACTCAGTGAGTCACACGGCGAGCTCAAGGCAACGGATCCCTTGGGATGAGCCCTGGCCACTATTCTGGAGGCGAGATAGGGGATATCTTTTAATGTGCCCGCGAGGCCATTCCGGAGGACGTCGGATATTCGAGGATTGGACGATGAGAAGCAGAGGATCTGGCTGATGTAGGAGCATGGCATAATCCACTCCAGCGGGGATAGCTGGCTGGGGCCTTGTATAACGGCCTGTTCTCCCATAGCTGGAGATGATAAATAGTGAACGCTTTTTAAAGGTAAAAATGCTGCGTAGTATTTGAGCGGTCAAAGGTTAGAGATCAATAATGCTATCAGGGCTGCATGGAAGATCGACTTGGAGGGGATGTGAAGTGGGATCGGCATTTACTGTTAGTGCCGGATCAGTAACGTCAGCATCGCATATCGCAACTTGGCAAATCGCCGACAATGATGTGCTTCTAAAAGCAAAGCTAGTATAAAATGCGACTCCTTGGGAGACATTTATGAAACGGACTTTATAAAAAACATTATACATGACTATAGGAGCTTTTACAAGCGGCCCGCAGCAGCCGCAGGTGGCACTAGTTGGAGTTGAAGAGCAAACATTGAGGAAACATTTACAGTAGGATATACGGTAAGCGGGGCCGTTGCATGCGATACGGTAGAAGTAAATACTTCAGAGTCGTTGCTTTCAAAAATATGGCAACTGTTGAAAGTGTAGCTGTTTCTCCAATTACCAACTTCAACAGAATCTATGTTGAGAGATGCAGCCCATCAAGCCGACTTATCGCTTCGTTTTGAGACAGAGGTCGTTATGGTCAACCGCAACTAGTTGACCATAACGACTTCTGTCTCAAAACACAGTACAGCTACTACCCCTTGAACTAAGGACGCCAATAACAAGCAAACAAAATAGGAAATAGAGGAATTTTATTTTATGTTGACTTTAGATATCTTAAGCCAACCAATTGACAGCTAGTTTCTTCCAACATGGCGTTGCGGTCCGCAATAGCCGCATAAAACACCAGGCACCAGCAAGGTGAAAAGAACAAAACGGAAGCCGAAGCCAAAGACCGAGCTATGAGATTCTACTAGTAATTAGCAGTAGCACAGCGTGTAAGTTGCTCGACCGGACTTTATCGACCGGACTTTAAAAATACGGATTCGTCAATGGTGGTGTTTCCGATCTGATAAGACATCTTTATATCTTGACAGCCTTGGCCACAATTTGAAGAGACGTTTCCAACTTCATTCTTCATTCAAGACGGCCATTCATCATGACAGCCCCCAAAGCAATCGCCGTCGTCATCTGCAGCACTCGCCCTCACCGCATCAACCCCTTTGTCGCCGGCTACGTTGCCTCCGTCATCCAATCCGTGCCTCAGACTACCGCCAAGGTGGAATTACTCGATTTGGCCACTCTCAATCTCCCGCTGTACAACGAGCCTGTCGTACCAAGCTATCTCCCAGCTGATGATCCCACGCCGCATTATCAGTACGAACACACCCGCGCCTGGTCGGCTCTTGTCCGCAAATATGACGGCTTCATTTTTGTCACGCCGCAATACAACTGGTCCGTCCCGTCGAGTTTGAAGAATGCGCTCGACTATGTATTCCATGAATGGAGCGGGAAGCCCGCCGGAATTGTCACCTATGGCGCCAGAGGGGGTGTGAAAGCTGAGACTCACTTGCGAGAGATTTTGAAAGGTCTGAGGATGAATGTCGCCGAAGCAACTGTGGCACTGAAGATTCCCAGAGGGGATGCCAAGGGGGTAGAGGCGGAGACGTTGATGAAGGAGGCCTGGGAGACTGAAGGCGCAGATGAGAGAATCAAGGCGTTGTTTGCCGGTGTATTGGAACTTTTCGGAATAGAGGCATAGAGAGGAAATACCCATAACATACTGTGAGATAGATCTTGTATACAATTTGCGAATTGTCTTTGCGGGCTGAGCGGCCATCATGGCATGTCTCGATCTGATTATGAACTTTTACTGCTGGTGCGTAAATATAGAATTCCTTTTGCCGCAAAGAGATAGTTCCTCCTTGTTCACTATAATTTCTCTTTAGTAAAAATTTTAAGCATAAACATTTACTCTCCAAATATAATTTCGCTACTCATATTGCACCTGTTGCTCTGCTCGTCTAGATTCCCACCGACCCACCCTGTAGCAAATAATGCGCCAAATTGGGCAAATCCAACAATATCATTACCACCTTGGTATCAATCAACAACGCTCTAAAATATCTTGTTTATATCCAATCTCGATATCCGTCTCAAAAACACAATAAACCTGCTCTGGTATCTCAATCTATACGCCCCCAAGGCTCTCCGCCCTCCGTCCCTTGCCCATCATCATCGTCTCAATCACATCGCTCGGCACAAGCTGCGGCTGCGCCTCTCCGTATCGCTGATGCTCCATCTCCTGCGCATCGATTCCCTCCCTCGGCGGCGCATCTGCACTTGATTTGGTGGCGTTTCGCTGGCTGTCTTTAGATGTCAAGCCGTGCTGCTGTCTTGAATCTGTCTCTGGTCGCTGCAGCGGTCGGAGCATCGACTTCTCCTCTGGCATCGCCGGCATCGATGCCTTGGCGTGAGGGTTGGACGCGTCCTCAAGACGGTTGTCGTCCCGAAAAGCAAAGATTCTAAGAGAATGAAATCGATCAAATAATTGCCGCAGCCACCTGTACACATAGTCAGCTTTGCTGCATCCTCCCAAAATTCCCATGTAGCAGCAGCCTCTTACAACGTATTGGTCATGGTCAGAAGCAAGCTACTATCATAAACAGCGGTCGGAAGGATAAACCCCAAAGATGCGATATAGCTAGGTATTAAGAGCAGCTGAACAATCACTTTCGCCCCTGTTTTTTCCTTCTTTTTGCGTCGTCCTCTAGGAAGGCTCGGCAAAGCTGGAAATGCTGGTGCCTAGCTGCCCGTTTTACGATTCGCCGTCAGTGGCGGGAACTTGCATGCACTAACACAAGGTTGCGCATCAGGCAGCCAAATACCGGCAATGCTGGACATATTAAAATATGATATTTGCTGTACAGATACGTATACTTTAGATGTCGTTTGTTGTTGCTTTTTCTTGAATCATGTTCTCCACGATGCCGTTGGCTGTTGTGCTTCAGCCTAGTCCATACATCACTAATACACAATCTTTCACACAATCATACTTATACCCCAGCATCACGAATCAACCTCATTCTTCAACACATCATACCTCGTCTCCCCCGCCATCTCGCCCTGCCTCGGTCCAGCTCCTCTTGCACCCAAACTATTCCCCTGCAGCATCTGCCTCTCCGCCAACCGACTTGGATCATCCTCACTCCCCGGCTCGGCCCTCAACGCCCTCTGAAGCCCGTCGCTGTCCTTGTCGTCGCTACTAAACCCTTCTTTGATCTTTCTCCCATGGGGGCCTTTTGTGTCTTTCATGGGCGCCGCGCCGGCAACAGCGCTCTTTGCCTGGCGACCGCCAGACCTTTGTAGGTTGGCGGCATCTTCTAAGAAACTGGTCTCTCTTCGGCTGCCCGACACGCCTTCAGGCTGGGCATTCCTGTTCTGATCAAACTCGCCGCCTTCTCCATATGATTCTGCAGCGAGCGACCCCCCCTTCACAAGACCTGCAGCTTCCTGGCTAACCGGAGCGTCTTTGCCCAAGTCGACCTATTAAGAAAACGCATGTTTAATTGAAGATTCCTCTAGATCTATCCAAATGAGGTGGTACACATACTTTAGTGCCTTTGGTAGGATTAGGATTCTTGCGTTCTCGCAGAGTAGGCATGTTTCTTATTAACAATCTGCTTCTTTAAATCAGTTATTGACTGCAGATGTATACGTTGGATTGAATCTGTCTTTCATCAGCCATCTTCCAGCAGCCTGCATTTAAATACCCAGTTGCAATGGCAAACTCAAAGTGCGGCCGCGGATGACATCACAGCAGCAGCTTCATGACACTCACGCAATAGTCACGTCAAAGCTTAAACCCCAACAGCGTCTCTAGGCAAAGAATGCAAAGATCCCCGCCCAAAAAGCGGCTCATTGCTTCGCATCACAATATTGCATCATAGAAGCCGCCATCCGGCCTGGAATTGGCTGATCTCGATTCGGCACAGATGCAAACTCCAGACAACTCGTATTTCGCAAACTCGAGCACAACGGAGCGGCACATCAAGTCCTATCATCTTTGGACCAATGAACTAGAAAATGGCGCAAATGTCATCAACCATCTTTTTTCGTAAAAGCCATACCCTTTAACCATATATACCCTTGCCGTATGATATCCATTCGTTACAAGACCCTTCGCAAGCCATTCCAAACACGCCGCCGAACCATGGTATAAATGTAAACTCCCCAAGGGCGATGCAAACGTGCCCACAAAAGCCAAAAAATCAACCCGCGTTTTCCGCTGTATGAAACTGGTGTACAATTTGAGACACTTGACTCTCTTTCATGACTCTCCCTTCATCTTTTTTGTTGCTTTTGCGGTGCCAATGTGTGTGTTGTGTACCTTGACGATAGTTAGTCAAACATTCTAGTTTGGCTACACGATGAATTCAAATCTTACCTTTGTAGCAAATCTCAAGCTGGTCAAAGTTTCCTTCAGATGGGTCTCTAGGGGTGATACCATGACAAACATGAGCGTCTTGCTGTTTCCACCCAGGCTGTATTGCAGCAAGTGTGTCAGCTTAGAGTTTCGATACGGAATATGGCCCGAGCCTCTTCCAAGTGCCTCTATCACGTCCCCAAGACAGCTCAAACTCTTGTTGATGTTCTGTGTCTCCTTCATCCTGTCGCCCTCGACTTGCGAATGCTTCAAGCGCTCCGAACCCGCTAGATCGACCAAATTTAGAGTGCCCTCACACCGCTCGCCCGTTGCTGAATTTTCGCCAATGAGCTTTAGGATGAAAACACTGTGAGACCGAGAAGACCGCTCATTGGCCTTGGTAGCTGCTACTGATCGATTCTTCTGTGCTTCTTCCAGCATCAACTCCACAGTATCGGCAGAGTTGAGTCGAACGGACTTGCAGTTCAAGATAGTAGTCTGCTTCCGGAGCTCGTCGTGTCGAATTTCCAACTTCTTTGATACTCGACCATTTGTGGCATGATCATTGGGAGTCAAGAGATCATGTAAATCTTCGTTGTAAACTTCGACAAAGGAGCCTTCCATGGTGTACTCCCACGATTTCTCCTTCAATTGCGTCACGGTATCGTAGATCATGTGCGTGGCTCGAGGAATCATGCCATCAGGAGATGACATTGTGTACGTCTTGCCTGATCCTGTCTGGCCGTAACAGAAAATGCAAACGTTATAACCGTCCAAGGCGCTCTGCACCAGCTGGGAGATTTCGTCGAATATCTCATCGTTTCGTATCTCGGGCGTAAACACTCGATCGAATTCGAATGGGTAATTCTTCCTCGAAACGACTCCGAAGCTGGACTTTTCTTCTGGCCCGGCCACCATAATCTCGGCAGATGTCTTGTCATCAGGATACGAGAGCTGGGCGACCTCACTTTCGCCATCTCCAAGCGGCGGTCGAACTCGGCACATGACACGGATATTGCCCTTGAGCTCCTGGTATTTGTTGAAAAGAATGCGTCGCTCAGTTTCTTCCTTCATCAGCTTCTGTCGTGCCTCTTCAGCGATTCGTAGTGCGTCTTGAAGCCTAGATTCCATGGCAGAGAAAGCATCGGACTGTGCCTTGGTATCGGATTCGAGGAATTCGACCTGGGATCGTAGGGAGTTGATTTTCGCTTCGAGTGTTGTGTTTGACGCTGAAAGCTCGGATATGCTTGTTTGTAGACTGCCGGTAAGGGCCTTTTCGCGCTGGAGATCCGACCGTGTGCCTTCTGCCTCTGTTCGGATTTCTCGCATCTCTCGATCTCTCTTTTGCAGAACAATCTCCATCTCCTGTTGGTCGTTGCCCACTTTACTTCGTAAACTTTGGAGTTCTTGCTCTCTTTTTCGCTGCTCATCTTGTAGCGCCTCTTGGTGCTGCTTTGTTAACATTTCAATCTTTTGCTGATGTTCGTTGGCCTCCTGCGTCTTTAAGCGTTCTAGCTCCCGAGTCAAGTCATCCATTGCGGTACAGTGCTGGCGTAAAAGATCTTCGAGTTCGGTCTTGTGTTTTCTGGCAAGGTCATCGATTTGCCGGGAGTGATCCCATTCCAATTTCTCTAGCTCGTGCTCAAGCTTTCGCTTGACTTCATTCGAAACGTCAAGATCTGTCCTCAGAGACTCGGCCTTGCCCTCCAATCTAGACTTTTCTCCTTCAAGCTCCGAAACTGCAACGAATATTAGCTCCGCCGCAAACAATCGACAGTCATCGCCCTCGTACCTCGCTTCTTGGCCAATTCCAGAGCATCGTCCATGCCTTTTCTATCGAGCAGTGTGGTATCCACCATTGCTTTTAGCTCTTTAAACTGCGATTCGATATCGCCGACTCGACCGTCCACATCAAAGGCTACAAATCCAGTCAAGTTAGAATCCTTAGTTAAATAATTATTGCGCATAGGTGATTTGGCAGGGGACTTGGTGGGAGAGTTGGCTTTGAAAAGAGCAATGCAGCCTTGAAGTTTTTCAACCTGCCGCTTCACTTGCTTGTCGCTTGGCGTCATCAAGGGACCTCCCTAGGTTCCCTGTACGGCAGCCGAAGCGGATGATGGTTGTTTGTTGCTTCTCTTCTCGCTGCCGGGACGGTGAATAGTAGTGTTGTTTGAAGCAGATGCAATGCTTGGAGGCGAAGCTGTCACTTGACTTGTGCTGCGAAAAGAGTTTTTCTCCTCAATACAAAGATTTTTGAGTCTCATTGTCAGAGAGCTTTCTCTTGAGGAAGACAAGGTCGATGTAGATTTGGTAGTTCTGATTTTTCGCTGGGAAAGGGTGTTGAAAGTGAAGCTTGTTGTTCGCTCGGATATGGTCGTACCATTATTGGGTTTCGCCTCTTTGTCTTGTTCTTCCTCCTCTCGATGACCGTACGCCGAACGAGGTCGACCAAGCTGGCTTACCGACCTCGCATGGTTGGCACGAGTATTCGGTCTGGGGACGGCGCTGTTTCGTTCTGGGCCGATGCTTTTAGCAAAGTTGCTGATCGGTGTCGGGTTTGCGAGGGCTGAAGCTGGGCGCGGTCGCTTGAGCTATTTGGTATCAGTATTAGAATCGCCAGCATAATAACTTTGCTCTTCATCAAAGGGTTCTCACTTGTGAGATGCTAGCCAACGTCTGGCCTTTGACTGTGGATCGTGGTATCTTTGGTGTGGCTATCGCGGAAGGTTTCGATGGGTATTCAAGCGCACGTTCGGAGAGAGGTCGTCGCTTCGGCTCGGGTTGAGTTGCTGGGAGATGTTAGCATGCCGTAGCGCTTTTGTGGTCGTCGACTCGTTTTGTACCGGACTGAGGCAGCTCGCGCTTCAGGTTCTTCATCCCGGTGGGCGCGGGGATCGAAGACTGAGTGCGGGCATTCTGTTGGGACTCGCTCCATTCGGTCAAACTCCCAGCGTTCGTTATCGGTCCTGGCAAGCGACTGATCTTGGCGATCCGCGTGGCCTGTAGGATTAGCAACTGTTAGCCCCCGCGATTTTCTCCCTCTATCGTAGTGATCCATGCGTGTGCGGAAGGGCGAACCTGGTTTTCCGCTGTATCCATTGTAATAATGCCAAAAATGAAACTCTGGTGTATCAAATCGTAGCAAAAAACAATCGAGCCCGAAAAAAGTCGGGAGTCGCGTCAAAAGAGTAGGAGCATGCGCCCCAACGATCAAAAGTTTGTAGCACAGCCGGCAAGAATAGTTCAAACGCTGGTGGAGGAAGGAGCGTGCAGAAGCGAAATGGTAGGTCTCAGTGTTGACTTTGCCTTTTGGACCCCCCCTGGTTCGAATGTTGACCATGCAGATGTATTTGCATGGAGCCACTTCGCTGCTTTGGCTTTGAGTTAACGGTGTGGAGAAGGCCGTCAAAATACAATTGTTTACTGCAAGACGCGTGGACCGGGCAACAGTGGCTGAGGCGCTGTGGCTTGACAGGCGTGGGGCGCAGTCGTCTTACACCCTTATTGCTAGTAGTACTAGCACCTGGTATCGCCAGCGCCATGCAACACTGTTGCTACTATTCTACTGCTGGAATAATTACTGCAGTAGCTCACACTAGCAAACGCCCTGTTAGGCGATGATCGGAACTTGCATCGCACTTCAACGATGCTTCGTAGGAAGCGTGACAATAGGATAAAAAGGTTCTCCAGCCAAGCCGAATTCACCACCACGTGCTTGGGCTTGTCAATTCCAGCGGGATCAAGCCAGAGCGGAGAATTGGCTGTAATGGACCAGTTGACAGCTCACAGATGGGGCAATTCTCCGTGTTAAATCCGCTGATTTCACATGTTAAAGGAGGATGACGTCTCCGTCTCGCCGAGCTCAGCAGTCGTGACATGTATCGAGTACAAGGTTTAGAGCTAGATGTTGCAAGAATGGCCTAGTGCCAGCGCTGCTATAAGGAGAAGCCAAGTGAATATCAATCATCACATGCCAGTTTGTGTCCCTCATTCTATAGATTTATAATACGTATAGTGATAAAAAGGTGCAGCCCAGCAGAAGCAATTGATATATCCACGTGTAGTAATGACTCGAGATATGATACTCTCTAGAGGCATCGGCCATGAACTTGCGTTGGCAAAGGCTGTAGGCTTAGCATGCCAACTGCCTTCATCAGACACGTGAATTACTGTGATATGTAAGCCAAACCACTAAATACCAAGCTGTTTCACATATGAAACCCTACTTCATCCAATTGGCAAGCCCATCCAAGTCACCGTCCTTCCAAGACACCTGCAAAATGCACCCCCACCACCTTCCTCTAAAAGCAGCGCTGCTGATGTAATCCCACACACTCTAAACTCAGGTTATGGAGACCTCTACCCAAGTACCAGTAGCTCTCTGTTCTGTCCCACACAAAACCGCATCTCTGGCGATACTCCACCTAGCCTCGCTCCCCTCCTTGTTTATTCTCACCCGGCGTGATTCCGATTGTGCATCTCGTGTCGAGTGAAGAGGAGAGAAGAGGGTTTCGTCCTCTTCGGCTTAGCGGGCGCTATTCAATGTCTCGATAGCAAACGCCACGGTCTTAAAACCATCTACGTCTAGACAAAGGTCGCTTCTTCTATAACAGCACTCGAAGCAACATCTATCCAGCAAAGGACAACATTCAGCTGTACTCAACATGGAGAAGTACAGCCAGTATCGTGACAGAGGTACATTCCCCCCGATTTCCTCTTTTCCCCCATTCTTCTGCGCATCATTCTCGAATAATAACTGATCAAACAATAACTGACTTATAAAAACAGCAACCGGCATCGCGCCCTTCCTTCCCGTCTCGCCCCCCAGCTCCGCCATCTCAACCCTCACCCACAGCCTCCTCTTCCTCCTCCGCCTGCCCTTCTTCCTCACCTACGCCTTCACCTACTTCCTCATCTTCCACCCGCTGCCGATCCTCCCCGTCTTCGTCCGCAAGATTGCGCTATGGGGCCTCATGGCCATTCCCGGAATATGGTGGATCGATCTCCAGCTCGACGGCGTCAAGCGCGGCACCCTGTCCGAGCAGCCGCGCGAGAGGGTGCCGCACCCGGGATCCGTCATCGCCGCAAACTTCACGAGTCCGATTGACGCCATCTACCTGGCAGCCATCTTCGACCCGGTCTTTACAGTCTCATACCCGCGAGAGCGCAAGGTCAGGAGGATTGGATTGCTGTCGGCTGTGATGATGGCGCTTGCGCCGGTGGCTACGGGACCCCCAGCAGGAGCCAAGCTGGTCGATTTGAAGGATCTCGTCAAGGAATTCCCAAACCGCGTCATCGCCGTGTTCCCCGAAGGCGGCACCACCAACGGCAAGGCTATCCTACCTTTCAGCCCTAGCATTCTCCAAACTCCGGCCGACGTCCACATCTTCCCAGTCAGTATCCGATATACGCCTTCTGATATCACGACTCCTGTCCCGGGCCAGTGGCTGCGCTTTCTGTGGACTTTGCTTTCTCGCCCCACGACCTGCATCCGTGTGCGCATCGCCGAAGGCCAGACGAACAAGGCTGCTGCAAAGACCAACGGCGACAGCCCTGGCAGTGGATCTGGAGATTTGACCTATAGAGGTGGAACAAGCACTGGTCTTAATGGCGAAGAGCAGAAATTACTGGACTGGATAGGCGAGGCTCTGGCAAGGTTGAGCAGAGTCAAAAGGGTAGGCCTGACGCTGGAAGACAAGGCTGCGTTTGTTAAGGCATGGAGCGGGAAAAGGGCATAAAAGAACATGGACTCGGATGGATGGAACATTTGTAGGCTAATAGGGCATTGTACATTGGGGTTTCAAGTGCGCTGTGGAGGATTTGCATCATAGCATCAAAAATCATTTGCATTCAGGTCACGGCTGTATAATTATCATTTCGCTGCACGTATTGTTCAAGAAGCAACTCGTTTTGAATTGCAAACAAATATGGCTTTCACGAGCAATACACAATTAGTACCTATCAAGTTCGATTTTGACATTTTATTCATATTGAAGCCTATTTTGGGCTCTCAATCCAATGCATCCGAATATCACGACAAAAACTCCCAGGCATCCATATACCTAACCAAACATCATGCCAAATACATTCCGCCTTTTTCTTCTGTCTTCTCCATTCCACCCATTTTACGCAATCGGACCATCCGTTACACATCCTGTGCTGGCGTCGCTAACCATTTTAGCATACTTGGCCAGCGTTCCCTTGGTATATCTCGGCTCAGGGCGCTTCCACTCCTTTCTTCGCTTCTCCATCTCGGCCTCGGAAATCTCCAAGTCAATGATGCGCTTCTCGGCGTCAATGGTAATTGTGTCACCGTCTTTGACGAGAGCAATGGGACCGCCCTCGAAAGCCTCAGGAACGATATGTCCAATGATGAAGCCGTGAGAGCCACCAGAGAAACGTCCGTCAGTCAGCAAAGCGACATCCTTGCCCAGGCCAGCGCCCATGATGGCTGAAGAGGGCTTCAACATCTCGGGCATGCCGGGGCCACCCTTGGGGCCATCGTAGCGGATGATGACGACAGTCTTCTCACCCTTCTTGATCTCGCCCCGCTCCAGGCTGGCAATAAAGTCGGGCTCAGAATCGTAGGCACGGGCCTTGCCGACGAATTGAAGTCCCTCCTTACCAGTGATCTTTCCGACACAGCCGCCAGGGGCCAAAGAGCCACGCAGGATCTGGATGTGGCCAGTAGGCTTGATGGGGTTAGTGAGAGGTCGAATAATGTCCTGGTCGGCAGGGAAATCGGGGGCGCTCTCGACGTTCTGCTTCATAGTCTTTCCAGTCACAGTGACACCGGAGCCATCAATGAGGCCCTCCTTGATGAGGTACTTGAGAAGGCCGGGGGTACCGCCAATCTTGTGCATATCGGCCATGACGTACTTGCCGGAGGGCTTGAGATCGGCCAGGAAGGGCATACGGTCAGAGACGGCTTGGAAGTCATCAATGGTCAACTTGACGCCAACGGCATCAGCAATAGCAATCAAGTGGAGAACGGCGTTGGTGCTTCCACCAAGAATGGTGGTGACAATCATGGCATTCTCAAAGGCCTGTCGCGTTAGGATATCGCGAGGTCGGATATCTTCCTTCAACAGGGTCCGGATAGCATCACCAACGCTTTGGCACTCGGCCTTCTTCAAGGCGCTCTCAGCAGGGCTGCTGCTGCTGCCTGGCAGAGTCAGACCCATGGTTTCAATGGCTGTCGCCATGGTGTTGGCAGTGTACATGCCGCCACAGGCACCGCTGCCGGGGCAGGCATGGCGAATGATGTCGTATCGCTGATCTTCGGTGATTTCTCCAGAGATGTACTGGCCATAAGCTTGGAAAGCAGAAACGATATCGATGGATTCGCCAGTTTTTGTGCAGCCCGGCTGGATAGTACCACCGTAGACCATGATGCTGGGTCGGTTGACACGGCCCATGGCAATGACAACTCCAGGCATGTTCTTGTCACATCCAGGCAAGCTGATGTTTGCGTCGTACCACTGTCCATTCATGACAGTCTCGACACTGTCGGCAATGATTTCTCTGCTCTGCAGCGAGTACCGCATGCCAGTGGTGCCCATGGAGATACCATCACTAACACCAATCGTGTTGAACCTGTAGGGAACAAGGCCGGCTTTGGCCACGGACTCCTTGACAAGACCAGCCAGGTCCATCAGATGCATGTTGCAGGGGTTTCCCTCGTACCAGACGGAGGAGATACCGACCTGCGCCTTGCTCAAATCGGCGTCTGTGAGGCCAGTGGCGTACAGCATGGCCTGGGAAGCGCCCTGGGACTTGGGCTGTGTGATGGTCGCGGAGACCTTGTTGAGCTTCTCGTCCGCATATCGGGCTGATGAAGTCGAGAGGAGACGACTGTATGGCATGGCCGATTGTTAGCGAAGGCACCTGGCTGGGATGCATTGGCTGCTGTGCTTGTATATTACTCACGCTTGACTCCTCGTAGAGAGGGTGCTGGCCCTTGACAGGGCGTTCAAAGCCCTTGAAGGGTTTCTGAGCAGCGATCTGGAGAGCATCGTCACAGCTGCAGGGGAGCGTCGATTGGTCCTATTATCGGAGCAAGAGTTAGAAGTTTGCTGACAGCCCAACGGTGATTGTTCATGGCATTGATCATTGAACGAAGCAACTCTGTAGAAAAGGCCTGGTGAATTGAAGAAAAGAGAAGCATCTCCCAACACTGGTGTATCGTGATATGAAGAAGAAAGAGACGGAATGCGAAAACTCAGCAATGCCTTGGGCAAGCTCTGACGTATGTACGCACCTATTCCCAAGCCCAATAATATCCCAAACTCTCGCGCGCCAATCTTTGCGCCGCGGTGCTGCTGCTTTTCCACAAGACACGAAAAGAGGATGAAGTTTGTGAATTGGTGTGACTCGACGCCAAGTTGATGTCCAAGTGGCCGGACCGCAATTGGCTGACGTGAGTCTCCGATTTTTAGGTCTCTGTCCCTGTGATCTTCCCTGTGATCCGGACAGCTCGCGCGGGAAGCTCTCACTAAAGTGATTGCATGTGGGAACAAAGTTGCCCCGCACTGGAGCTGCCAGCAGGTAATTGGCGTCGCGCCATTGGCTGGGTTGGACTTTTAGAGGAGATGCTTCCCTGCTGTATTTTAGCAGCCTAAATTTCCAGTGGGCTGCATCTCACTGAGCTATGGTGGGCGCTTCATTCCTGGGCCTTGTTGAACATTACAAAGGATCAATTTTACTACTGCCTGGCATTATTATTGCCTTCAATTTTGTACTTCATCGACTATAGAGCCTAGGAAGAAGACTGCCTCATAGAAATTTTCAAGAAAGGCGCTGTCGGCCTTATTCTCGCTGTCCCGCTCAAACAGAGCTGTCTGTGGAGATGCCCAATCTGAAGCCTGCCGATATCGGCATCGCGAGATCTCGAGAGCCTGGTACTTGTAGTTTAACACGAATATTTGCTTGGTGATCTAGGACAAAAATATGTCAAGGTTCAAATTTCAACTGCTATTTCAGCAACAATTGACCGTGGCAGACCATTGATATCGTACTAGCAATTATGACATAAGCTGGTATGATTTCCAGCAACATCTCTACAAAGATGGTTTGCACATATCAACTGGATAGCATCATCGATGCCTGAGCATTAGTTCCAGTAGGCACTCGGCGTTTACTAGGACATAGGGTAGAGACGTGCTTGAATATCTGCTCGAGATCACCGCTGTGCTCACCTCAGTAAGAAAAACATGCAAATCAATTCACCCTCGCGGTATTAGTATTTCTTCTCTTCCCCTTCCTCCTCCTCCTTCTTTGGCTTATCTTGATCTTTTCTCGTTGAAAAGATCTCGTCAATGACTCCCAGTTCCAATGCTTCCGTCACGGTTAGATACTTGTCTCTCTCCATCAGATCGTTAATCTCTTCTAGGCTATACTTGTCAAATCCCTTTGCCTTGTTCAGATGATATTGCATGATTTGGTTGGACTGCTCTCGTATCTTTTGGATCTGGTTTGCGTAAATCAAAATATCCGATGCCTGCCCTCTAGTGCCACCCAATGGCTGGTGAATCATTATGGAGCTGTGTGGAAGCGCGCAGCGCTTGCCTGGCGCACCACCGGCAAGCAGGATAGCTGCCATGGACGCCGCGCCTCCGACACACACCGTTGCGACGGGAGACTTGATATAAGACATCGTATCGTATATCGCCATGCCTAAGGCCACTGTGAACCTTGATAGCCGTACTGCCGAGGGGAGGAAACGCACCTGATGTGACGGAGCCGCCTGGTGAATTGATGTACATCGTAATCGGCTTTTCCGGGGCGTCTGATTCAAGCCAGAGAAGCTGCGCGACAATGGAGGCTGACATGTAGTCGTCGATTTCGCCGTTTAGACATATTATTCGTTGCTGGGCACGTTAATCCTTGTGTCTCGGAAGCTTGTGATGGATGGACATTGACTAACCTGCAGAAGCTTGGAAAAGATGTCCCCTCGAAGACGTAAGTTCCCTAATCATCCGGCGCAAATCGGAAAGTGTAGCGTACATGTTTTCCTGCCAGCTGCCTGTTCCCATTTAGCCCATTGTCATGGCACCATAGGTGATGCCGCCGCTTACTGATGTCTCTTCGATGTACGGCATTGGGATGTTCATCGACGGCGCACTGTTGGCAGGAGTAGCAGTGCTGGAGAACCCAAAAGATCTGGCATGCCGCATTGGCAGCGCCCGTAGGGCTGGTAGCAATCTGGATCGCAACATGTTTGGTAAATGGGCTGATGTCGTAACCAAAGGGAAGCTTGGAGCTTGGAGGTGGTGACAGCTTAGCATCGGCAATACCCTGGTACTAAAGCTTATCGCTATCGCTCGTCATCGAAAAATGGTCGCATGCAACATTCACAAAACACCACACAATACACACTCATTACTTGCGAATACAAATCATGTTTCTTTGGAACTCGGCTGCCAGGCGATGAAACGATGCACTGCGCTCCGCCCAAGCAGCCTTAGGGCTTCGAATCAGCATTTGGGCCAAAGATGGTACTCCTACGATAAAGCGTCCTTGACCAAAGAGGCCCTTCTACAGAAAGTCGAAGCTGGGCTTGGACAAGATGCAGAGGGCAAATCTCTAAAAATCGATCCAGAGACGAAGACGGTCTCTACTGAGGCAGGAGATCTTCCCATCTCACCCATATTTGATCCGGCATGGATGCAAGCCAGGCGAAAGACTGCAAAGGCCGCTCCTGGTCCACCACTAGGCAGATTTCGACGGAAGCTCGCAAACAACCCTTTCGGTACAGCAAGCTTTTGAGCCACGGCGTATTCAATGGAGAAGAGCTAACTTGGGAATGAATACAGCACAGGCTCTCGCTACGCCAATCCGAAGATGTCCAAACAGCGCCACCAGCCTACCGCGGTACTTCTTACAGGATTTTGAGATGATAAGACATCCGCAAACAGGCGCCGCATGGTGGGCTCCCGGCCCGCTGGCCTTTGAGCATGTCCTGCCTACGAAGCGACCAGACGAGTCACAAGCGGATAGGGACAACGAGCGCGACAAAGCTGCTGCGGCGGCTGAGCTCGTGTCAGCTTCTGCGCCGGACTCGAGCGATACCACAACGGGCTCGGCCCGGCCACGGAGATCACCAATAACAAGCTACACGGTGAGTCGCAAGTCGATGGTCGATATGGTTGGTGGACCAAACAAAAAATATCTTGCCCTTTTGTCGGCGATCCGAACTGGCATGGCAGTAACGCCGGATACTAGGGATGCGGTATGGAGAGAGGATATGGGGGGTTTGCTGCTGGGGATGATGCGCCGACACGCAACAGATGCGCTTATTGCTCGCGGCAACCGGCCACACGGCCCCAAGGACAGGTTCATCCAACCTTGTGTGAATTGGAAGGACGTCGAAGGAGTCAGAGAGCGGGGTTGCGTTATTTGGCTGCCAGAGAACAGTGATGGTCCGAGACAATACGCTACACTGGACGTCGAGGGGGCCCAATACGGAAGGAAGATGGTGGTACACAATCTACGATGGCTGCTTGGCGATAACGAGGTGCAGCGGCTACGAGACTCGGCGGAAGTGTTTCACAAGGGGGAGATATTCGTGCTTAAGCAGTGGGCGAGCACGAGCATGATGAGACTGCACATGTTGCTGTGGAAGCTGCAAGGATATCTGGCGGAACCAGATACAGGCAGCAGTGTAAAGAGGTGATAACGGGACGAGCACTGCCAAGTTAGGCAAGTAAAGTTAATTCCGACGTGATTAAGTACCTGCATGACATGATCTTCTCCCGCCGTAGCAGTGGCAGCGGTTCAACGTGGATGAAGGGAATGCATGTAAGCCATGTGCCACGTAGTTCAACGTGGTAGCATCGCTACTGCGAGCACTAGGATGCTTTCATCTATTTCTGCAAATGCCTACTTTGTACATGGTACTATCGTTGACCTGATTCAGACAATGTCGGGCATTCTCAGCGGCGAGGCCGAAGCTGGAGCCGAAATGGATGTTCAGGACGGGCAGAAATATGCCTCTCCGCAGGTAGCCAAAGAATGGGATCTCTCTCTCTTGTGATGATGCCTCTATTCCCAATACATGACACTCCGGGGAAAGCTGATGCCTCTAATCCCAATACATGATACTCCGGGACGACAGGCTTCTTCTAATCCTAGGTACCGCATGGCACTCTGGGATGTCTGATGCCTCCAATACCAAACTTTTAGCCCTGTAGTACCTCCCGGCTGTAAGACGGATTTCGAATCCTGGATAGTCTTATTTTTTCATTAGATACGTAATAGAATTAAGATTTGCATGTGTCACGGCTGTTTTACAATTTGCAAGCATCTTAATTGCTATTTCGGTACATCTTACGACCTACATGTACAGTAACCTATATGATCACTCATCTACATGGAATGTATACGCATGGACTTTGACACATGGGGATCAGCTGGCTCATTGCAATGCAGCATATTACCTGTGTCTGATAAGAATGTATCATCAGCACGAAGCCCATCTCTAGCTACAACAGAGCTATATGACAATATTCGCTATTCCGGCCTTGTGAAGGACTGTTTCTTTTGGAGTACTATGCTCTGTTTAAGGTACCCAGTGAACTGGAATCTAACAACACAGATGCCTGTAAAGTGTACCAATCCTCGTCGGAGAGTTCTCGAAGCAGAAAGCATGTGTAAGCACCGAGATGGTCCAGGCACAGAGCAATCGGAGGGTTGAGTGTAAGTGGCTGATAACCCTCCGAGCGCAGTGCCTGGGAGTTTTCGTGCACTAACCGCTTACATCGAGCTGCATTCCGGAATCCTGCGGGCTCCGCAGTTCCAGAGCGGCATGTCTCAGGGCCCACAGGGATTTTGTTGGGCGAATTGCATTCCATTGTATAGCAAGCAGGCTATGCATGCGGACTCGACGAGATGCACGTCTGGCGAGAATTGCAATGGTTCATGTCAAAAAGAGAATAAGCATAAGTCAAGTAAAGTCAAGAGCCGTCGCAGGTAGGTACTAGCAGCAAGCCCGTTACGTAGCAGACACGCCGTGGTGAACGTGTCCGCAAAGGACCGATTGAATGCGGCACAGATTCACTTACATGTCTCTGCTCCATCACTCGTATAGGCCTCTTCGACTCATGGTCCAGTCATCTGCATCCAGCCACGCTTGTCCGCCATCTGGCAATCTGCAGATTCGGGCACGGGGCACTCTGCCATTCCACATGGAGTCCCGTCAGCCAGATCCCTGAAGCGTTATCAGACAGGCGTATCGCTCCTCCGTCAGCCACATCCTTGGCCCTCTGTGGCCATTTGTCAGAGCCGAGAGATAGAGTCGTCCTTGGGAAAATGTTTCTGCATATACCTATATATGCCCTCCTTCTCCCTTGATCTTGTCTCTCCCCCATCTCTTGGGTCTGATCGATCTTATCGGCCGTTTGTGCGGAGAAGGAGGCTCATCTTGCATACCTAAATCGTGACTGCAGTGGACCCAACAAAAAGCATCGCGGCTTAGAGTTTGACGGTTGTGTTATCACCGATCAAAACGTCTATGAAGTCAGTGGCTGCATTCATCTTTCATTTATAAAAAAATAAAGAGACTTCTCTTCTTCGCCTCTGGAATTCAAATCCCCAGATATTTACTCGAGATTTTCACAAAATCTTCTCACCGATTGGACACTTGCTCGCTTAGATCGCCGTCGTCCATCCTTTTCCCCGATCTAAGAGCTCAAACGGGCGAATGAGAAATCCGTTGGGTAGTCGCTTCGAGTAACTTTTTTTTTTTCACCCCAACAACGTCAGGGCAGAGCTCCACTGATAAGCGGAGCTAACTGCTGGAGAGCTTGGGGAACACGCGGGAACGTCTTCACTAAATAAGGGTTCCTTGTCTCCGGAGCTTCCAGGTTGCCAGGGCCTGGGTTTTCTGTCTTCTTCTCTATTTATTGTTATTCTCTCCGACACCAGCTACACCATTGCACCATGTTATACGCAAGCAAACGGAGCTTCGGCGCTGAAACGAGCTCGCACGACGCGCAGAGAACAAGCCATTCATCATCACATCGACAGCCACTCACAATGCGGTCTCCGAGTCTGCAGCTCATCCAGCCCGAGAACTGGGCTCAGCCAAACATGCCCACCTACAACACGCCCATCTTCCTGATCCACGACGGCAGCGGCACCACCTTGGCCTACCAATTCCTCGAGATCCTGGGCCGCTACACCTACGGCATCCGCAATCCCCACTACTACTCCGGCAAGGTCTTCGAGGGCGGCATCTCCGAGATGGCCTATCTATACGCGTCATGGATCCGGCAGACAGTGCAGGACAAGGACTTCCCGGCCAAGAAGCGCAACATGGACGGCAGCACGAGCATCTTCCTGGGCGGCTGGAGCTTGGGCGGCCTGCTCAGCATGGAGGTTGCGCGACAGCTGGCAATGGACGATGTCGTGAGGGTCGCGGGCATCCTCATGATTGACAGCACCTTTCCTGGTGTGTCAAGGCCGTTGCCCACAAGCTCTGCCCCTCTTGTTCCCTCATTTGGAGTGCCGATGGCGAACAAGTTCTCTGGCGCTAGATTCCCTGATGTTTCTACGCGCAAGATGCTGTGCGATGACGACGTGTCCAGTGATGACGAATCGCTGCCAGACTTGAGCGACGTCTCTTCAAGAGATGGCTCGTCGGAGGATGAGTCGTCAACCGACGAAGACGAGGCCATCATGAACAAGATCCGCTCCAAAAGCTGCATGGCAGAGGCTGTGCGCATGATCCGGCAGTGGCGTCTTCCCCAATGGTCAGGCAGACTCTACGACCGCCGGCCAAAGGTGGTTCTGCTGCGCGCGAGAAACTACGTGCCGACAAAGGAAGGCCGCACTGTCGGCATGGATCTGAACAGAGAGGATCCCCTGCTCGGCTGGGGCGACTACGACGAGGAGATGTTCAGCAATGTCTATGATGTTGACGGACACCACTTTAACATGTTTGAGTATGACAAGATATCCAACATGACGAGGACAATCAAGAAGGGCTTGGACAGGCTGGAAGAGGCCTCCCAGATGATGATGTATGAGAGCTGGTAGTGGAGTGTCGCTTTTTATTTTCTTTGCATTGGTTACGGGCGTTGAAAGTCATTTGCTTTTTTGTTTCTTTCTTGGCAAGCTTGGAAAACCACGGATTTGTTTTATCACTGCATAGCTGGGAGCGTATTGAATGGTTTGGGTCTACTGTATTCTATTAACACACTGCACATTGGCAGAGGTTGTATCCACTGAGGAGTTTGGGATTATCATAGCGTTCTTTCATACGATACCAAATACATACAACTGTCGAACAATAATCTATTGAAACTGTACCTATGCTATGAGCATGCCGCCAGAATAACAATACTCCAAGTCTCTACGCATAAGATACCTGCCCAAGGCAGTCGACAAGATGAAAACTCACATTAAAACAAAGTCTCAGAACATCTCGCATACACCAACCGCATCATATCGTCTCCAAGTTGGGATCATTCCTCAAAAGGGCTTTGATAGCCTCCATGCCTTTATTCGGCGCTGCAAAGTCGACCCAGTACCCCCCTTCGCCCTTGGACATGATTGTAGCGCTTACTATTACGAGGTTAGAATAATAATGAAAGCAAGAGTGGAAACCGGATCACTTACATCGATTGGGATGGTTCCTCTCAAGGGCATGCCCAAACACAAGCGGCGCCGGAACAGCCTCATCCGCCTTTTCAGCAGCATCGTCTTCAATTCTCTTGATGCTCGCTGCAGAAAAGTCAATCCCATGCCACGCGTTACACCAATTCGTCACGCCATAGCTAAACTCCCACGGCTCGCAGATGTGCATCAAAATTTTGTGCAGGTAGAGCTCCCGCGCCACTGCGAGGCCGCGCTCCATGTTTGCCGGTTGTAGGCTGTCTACTATCGCGAGCCGGGTTTTGTATGCGATTTCGGAGGCTGGAGGCTTGGAGCGGCTGATGGCTGCGTGGGTTGGGGCGAAGATGAGGGCGTTGTGTAGATATTTGTGGGATCTGGGGAGTGAGGAGTGATATCCGCGAACTGGTGAGGCGGTTTCGCGTTAGCCATGTTGATAGAGGTGAAGGTGTATAATGCAAGTAAACTTACCGTTTACTGCGCTGGTGAAGAGTTGTTTCTTGGGTCGTTTGCGATGCAGATTGCCGAGCTGATCCACGCATACATCATAAGATTGAGAAACAAAGAAGACATGGTTATACGAAATACCTTGACAATGATTCCGGCAATCGCATCTCCATTCGTAATGCCCGCCGCCTTGGCACCGAATTTCGCCTGAATCTCCTTCTGCCACCGCTCACGTATCCCAGCAATCAACTCAACGGGGAAATAGAGGGTGCATCTCGTCTCTTTCGGACGTATAACCAGCTCTGGAACAATGCCCATCAAAACTCCCGCTCGGTCTGCCTTTGTCTTCAACCGAAATTTGTACTTTTTACGCAGCTCCTTTTGAGATATAGTTTTGTCACCTTCGAGAGCACCTTTTGGAAGGTCGATGAATGGCAAAGGCTCTTTACCCTTTATGATGTCTGTCCAGGAGCTGAGGACACTGCCAAGACCCAATTGATCGCTTACGCAGTGCGGTAGACTAACAGCCACTATCGTGGCATCGGTGTAGTATGTGAGATGAACGAGCAAGAGCGGTGTTTCTGGTTTGTCCTGGTTGCGTAGAATCGGCCAGTCGGCGGGTATCCAGCACGATTCCAAGGCTGTCACATCTGGAAAGATGGTGATTCCCTTTTGCGAGTCCTGTTCAGGCACAAGCTTTGAGTCTCCGAGGGTCGATTCAGCATTGCTAACAGACCATCCAAATGTCTTATACTTGTCGGGCGGCGGTGAGATTAAATGGTATTGGAGCCAACCGTCTGGTCCGCTGGGTTTTATCCGCGAACCTAGAAGAGGGATATGCTCTGTAATCAACTTATCTAGCGATTCTCTCATAAAGTCTCCATCGAGGATGTCTCGGACGACAATAAATGCCAGAGAGCGGATGTTGCTAATGGGCCGCCATTGGTCTTTCGCACAAAGAGGAATGACTTTCTCAGAGGATTTTGTTTCGACACTCATGGTGCCGCTCACAACAATGTCACCCAATTTTGCCATGTAGCAAGTAAAACAACATTGTAAAGACGTAGATTCTCGTAACTCCCCGTTGGTGGCTTGCTGTATATATGCTAATCCTCTAGCTGCCATCAATCCGCGCAGCTCGTGAAGAGAGTTTATTTCAATCCCGTCTATACATTTAGCGCTTAGGAGGCTTGATTCTACCACTAGCAGTGCGCCGACGACACTCTAATGGGTCTTTAGTATCCTGAACGATAATGCCAGCGTCAGAACTAGCAACTACTTGATTGATGCTGGAAAAGGTTGCCTACTTTGTATTAGGAATCTTGACTGCGCGAGTAAGTTACGGGTGAGATCCTATCAATTAGCCTACTCCTCAAGGCACTCCCAAGTTAAAGAATTTCGAATCGCCCTTATCATGGCCAATGTAAAGCCTTTAATGCTCAATATTCATGCTGCCAAAATGTTGGGTCATCCCATTGTGACTACTTTCCCTATCACCTTCGCCAGAACGACAAGGAACCAAGATCCATGCCAGCTGTCTCGCAATTACGAGATGAGGTTTGTTGAGAAATGGCCATGTAGAAAGAATACAGAAAAAGCAAATGTGAATGAATACTCTTTTCTGAACGCGCCAAGCTATCGATAATATGCCAGGATATGTGCTGGGAAAATTCAGCTTCGGATAGATACTTGCTCGGACAACTATAGCTACGCTCGCCTTTTCTATAAACGCTTCTGGGAAAAATCTCAGTGCCGTTTCCTACTATGGGCTCCTCTTGGCTCACTAAGCGGAAGTCGATATGAGTCATGAAGAAATCCTTCACCGTACCCGAGAAAATCACATTCTTGGGAACGGGAGCAGTGGAGGTTAAGCCAGTGAGGAAGCCGAAGAGAGCATTGATGAGGTTTGTTTCCACTAGAGTTAGAGGAGGATTATAAATAGACACGCGCATTCCTTGTTGCCATCGAAATAGGATGTCGAAAGGGTCTTATCCGAGGTAACGCTGGAGACACAAAGCGCCAGTCCGAGAACTAAACCTCATGACGATTAGATTACAAACTTTGTTGCATGCACTTTCTTGGTAGATATCAAGCGGCAAATAACTACAGCTAATTCACGTATATATATATGCCAAATCGAGCCGTAAATGGGTAATTTATCCGTACCTTCGAGCGTAGTATTCTGAATAATACACAAATCAACTGAACAATACCAGCAGCCTCAGCATGTCTCGTAGTAAGATTTTAGCATGGATGTAGGGATAGGGATCTTCAAATTGCTGTTGTTGGATTTATATGCCGACTGCTTCGTTTCCGAGCACGCAGGCCGCCTATATTACTAGAGCTCGATTCGTGATAATTTAGGTGGGTAGACTATAGTACTACGGCTAATGCCCAGACAAGCAATGAAAGAGCTCTACATAAAGTTTCTAGATTCTACTATTTCGCCGATCTCGATTAGATCTAATATAAACCATTAGCTAGTAAATTACATGTACTATCGCCGGCAGACTATCACCAGCAAACAAAAATGACTAGGGTGCACATGGGAGATCTGCGCGAGGTAACCCAACGACATGGAAATGTGAGAAACCATGGCTTTCTAATCCATTCAGCCAGAGAAATGAATCTTAGTGAATGAAAATCCGTCCGTTTCGAATAACCCAGACATTTCAAATTGCCCTCGTTCTACATCGGCTGTTTAATTATGAATCTGCTCAATTACATGCTCCACTACATAGGCGAGATAAGCAGAAAAGGCGACATATGCGAGCAGGAATATGTCCATTACTAGACTCGCTAACTTGATCGATCCTAGATGGTGTTGCGAATATGTTTTTAGGATTTAACAATTTGTTATATCATTTATGATTGAATGCTACCCACTGCCGAGGTCATAGATTTGACGCCAGAAGCATATTTCTCATTATGCGACTGTGCTTGAGCCGCCTGCCTAAAGGATCTGGCCCATAAGTTCGGTGTATATATATCCAGTAGTGCAGCTCTGATTCTCATTCTATTGCATTATAACTTCTACTTGTGTTCTGGAACGTGTTGCACTCCATTAGACAAGACTTACGACAATGGGCGAACTTCAGGAATTGAGCGTCCAAGGTCAAGAATCGACACAGTCGACGAGACCTCCGCCCAAGGCACCCGATGCGCCACCCAACGGGGGTCTTGTTGCATGGCTACAAGTGCTCGGAGGCTTCTTCATCTTTTTCAACTCATGGTTGGTAACTCAATGGCTCACAGACGTGCTTCGAAAGATCTAACGCACAAGGATAGGGGCATCGTGAACACTTATGGCGCATTTCAATCCTTTTACGAAACCGAGCTTTTACAAAATGAGACTGGGTCAACGATATCTTGGATCGGAACATTCCAAGCATTTCTCCTCATTGCGCTCAGCATTTTTAGTGGCCCGATATTCGATCGAGGCTATCTCCGCGAACTCTTCTGGGTTGGCTCCTTCTTGGTTGTGTTTGGCTTGATGATGAGCAGTCTGGCTACCAAGTACTATCAACTCTTCTTGTCCCAAGGACTATGCGTAGGCATTGGGGGCGGATGCCTCTTTCTACCATGTGTCGCTGTCGTCTCTACGTATTTTACAACAAAAAGAGCGCTTGCCATTAGTATTGTAGCTTCTAGAGGAAGCGTTGGCAGTACGATATATCCCATTGTCTTCCGCAGGCTCCAACCAGCCATTGGGTTTCCGTGGGCAATAAGGGTAATTGCCTTTATTGCGCTGGGCTGCCTTTTGGGAAGCATAAGCATTATGAAGAGCCGGCTGTCTCCCTCGGGGCATGCGCGGAAATTGGTGGATCTGGCTGCCTTTAAGAATGTGCCCTATACGGTATTCACTGCTGGGCTGTTCTTTGTTTTCGTTGGCTTATACGTGCCGATTTTTGACGTTGTTGTTGACGCTCAGATTGGATCTCACGTCAACGAAGACTTGTCTTTTTACATCCTCTCCATTCTCAATGCAGCATCAGCATTCGGTCGCGTCATTCCAGGGCAGTTAGCAGACCTTTTTGGATCCATGGAAGTCATCATCGCTTGCACAGTCACCTCTGCTGTTTTCGCATACGGCTGGATCGGGATCCATTCACTGGGCGGGTCTATTGCATTCTCCATAGTCTATGGGTTTGTGTCCGGAGCAGTGGTGTCCGTTCAGGCGAGCGTTGTTGCGTCTCTGGTGCCTGATGTGCGCTACATTGGCACATGGATGGGCATGTCCCTGTTTGTGGCCGGTCTGGGGATCCTGATTGGCAGCCCTATTGCTGGAGTGCTTGTCACGTCGGGCACCCGAGCATTTGTAGATCCCTTTATCTTTTCTGGAACGTTTACAATTACGGGCGCAATATTGTTTTGCATTGCGTGGGTGTACAAAAAGGGAATCACCAAGGCTGAATGATAATAAAATATGGACTTGTTTCGAAACTCGGACAGTTCTGGCAGACTCCATAAATCGTTCAAAAGCTTTAGTAGTCATAAGAGTGTAACCTAAGCTTTATCAACGTTCAGTATAGAGAAGAGTGTAATCACATTTCTAGAGACGAAGGGGGTCTCAATGATTATCCTACAGAAAGAAACTGCTACAGACCAGGCCACTAAGGATATCGTTCTAAGGCCAGTGACAAATCTAGACCGTTATATAAGTCTCAAGCAGTAGCTATTATGACAAGGTCTCAGACACTCTCTTGGGAAATTGATACATGTATACAAAAATAAAGAGACATTGTCTATTTGAATAACAGTCAAGGTCAAGACTACAAGGGCTGCGACCTCAGTGAAGTGAGTGCATGTATGTAGTTGTAAGGCTAGTCGCTTAGGCGATAAGAAAAGCAATACTACATCAATTTGATACTCTTTCTCTCCATTTCCCAGATGTACACGCTCATGGAGACATTTCCCATTTCCAAAGACTATTGCCAACCGGGCGGTACATTTTTGCTATTCAGACGGTATTCCCACCTTTCTAAGCCTAACTCTGCCAAGACCAAATGACAATCCAGATGTTGTTAAACAGACCACTTGGCAACAGTGAAGTGATCACTTCTCTTGCCGAAGTGAGTACTAGCACTTATAACACCCTAGTTCCACCAACATATATGACATCGAAGATAGTGTACAATGAGCTGGAAAGTGCAATTTAAAGCTAGGTACCTATGGTGATATTAGTAGGCGACCTCAATCAACCTAGGCAATCTTGAATGAACCAACCAACTGTGACTAAACCAGGCGGCTTCGTTCAGACTAGGTACTGTATTCCAGTAAGCCTAGGATCTGCCGAATTTGGCTAGAAAGGGATCACCAAGGTGGAAATGCCGCCCAAACAGCAAAAATGTACCGCCCGAATGCCCTCCATCAGCATCCAACAAGGTGGATCACCCGGCGGCGATGAGCGGCGACGCTAACGGTCCGTCGCCGCCGCTAAGACCAGAACGCCGATACAGTGTCCACTTATTGGAGGTATGAAGCAGCATCGAATGTATAGATTCCCGCAACTCAGTAAAAGTATATATAGACGAAGAGATCCGGTCAAGATGAAGCCGTTACTCTCATCAGCCACAGCACAGTCCTTCACATTACAAACACAATCACAGCAAAGTTTATCAAACATCAGCGTCTTAGCTCTCGCTCACCACCATGTCTGCTCTCAAGTACACCAATAAGCTCCAAGGCCGTCGCGTCCTCGTCGTCGGCGCCTCTTCCGGCGTGGGCTTCTGCGTTGCCGAGGCCGCTCTCGAGCACGGCGCCCAAGTCATCATCAGCAGCTCCAACCAGACCAAGTTGGACGGCGCCCTCGCCCGTCTCCAAGAGCACATCAAGGCGGCCAACCTCGGAGACGCCAGCAAGCTGGTATCAGCCAAGACCTGTGATCTTGCAAATGTCGAAACGCTTGAGGACAACATTGTTGAGCTCTTGGGGTTTGCCACAAAGGACGGAAAGCTCGACCACGTTGTCTACACGGCGGGAGATGCTCTCCGCAATTCCAAGCTGGCGGATGTAACGGTCAAGGACATCCACGCCACCTTCCAGGTCCGCAACACGAGCGCCATCATCCTCGCAAAACACTTGACCAAGTACATCAACTCAAGCGTCAAAAGCTCATTCACCCTGACCGGCGGAACAAACACCCACCGCCCACTTCCCGGCTGGGGCATCCTCGCCTCTGGCGGAGGCGCTGGCGAGGGTCTGGTGCGCGGGCTCGCCGTGGATATGAGGCCCGTGAGGTGCAACAGCGTCATGCTCGGCGCTACGCACACAGAGCTGTTTGGCATGTTTCCTCCAGACCAGCTCGAGCCGATGTTGAAAATGTTCAGAGACGACGCCATCACTGGCACTGTCGCGACGCCTGAGGAAGTTGCAGAGGCTTACATCTATTCTATGAAGGATTCGTTCGCCACTGGAGCGATTATTGAGACACATGGAGGTCGTCTTGTTGGTGACAGTAGGCCCTTTGGCATTTGATGTGATGAAGCCGCGAGAGAGAGGGGGCAGCATTGTGGGAAAGATATTTAGCGTTCCAGAATAGATCAAGTCGTATAACGAATAGATGTTGTTCCTAGTGTTTACCTCGCCATCTTTTCCCTATCATTCAAATTGAAGCCTTTTTCCAGTCCACTGCATAAAAGTCATTTCTCTGGCTTGCTTTTTTCAGCTCGGAATATCCAGCTTATAGTCATCAGGAATAGTCCCCCAGTTGTCGCACACTCCAACTAGACTTCGAGCGCCAGCAACCTTTGACTTTCGCGCAAATTCTGCCCCTTGATGCAGATAAAAATACATTCCTTTGCCGAATTTTTTACCCAGAGCGGGCCACTCTTCCTTCATTCTTGCATACGTCGAAGCAATGACCTGCAAGTCTTCTCGCACCTTGGGATCGCGACCCATGGGCAGCTGGCCACCGTCTGCGCCTCCAGCTTCTCTTTGATGTTTCGAAGGGCAAAAGTATTCATTCATCAGGATTCTGCAGCTGGAAAAGAGCAGGCAGGGAATATGCGCATTGCTCACGAAATCAATGGACACGCGAGAAGCATCTCGAAGGGCAGCTATTGAGGCCCGAGCGGCCGCGACGCAGCGAGGCCAGTTGTTGGCCATTTCCGTTCCAGTATCGTCGAGGGATTCGCCTTCGTGAAGAGGTCTCTGATGTAAGAGGATAGTACAGGTGCTCAAGGCGATATTCAGCCAAAGGACCTGGGTAAATTCATCATAGCTGGCAAATGAAAGCTCTGTGGCAGAGCGCGGAAGCATCAGGCGAACCTCAATGAGATGGTTGCAAAGCGACTCTATTCGCTCTATGCGCTCTTCTTCATCGTCGGCAGCGTCAAGCGCTTCGCTAATGCGGCCTATTAAGGTATACACCAAAATGATGTATTGCAGCTGATTTGCGACACCATGCAAGCTGTTATCTCGAATTGTTGAGATCAGTTTACTTAGGTTGTGGCTGAAGCGACTAGAATGCCTTGAAACAGGTTCATTGGCACTTTGAAAGTCATGCTCTGACATTGGAAGCTCAATCGTCATCCTCCGGTCGTCTATTGCATGCATCAGCCCGATCGGAAAACACATGGCTCGATCCATAATGAAGAGCATCCACGAGGTTCTTATAATCTCCTCTCTCTCTATCCACGTTGCTTTTTCTTGGGTGCCTAACGATTCCACAATCATCTTTCTCAAGCTATCGCCATAGCTGTGGCCAATAGCAACAGTCTTTCTCCAAGCCTCGCCGAGAATGACTATACAAGGCGAATAATCCACCATTGCGAGTCCTAAATAGACGACCAGGACTGCGGCTTGCAAGGTTTGAAGAACATGTTGCGAAAGTTGGATATCCTTGGAGACCCGGCTCTTTGCCTCTTCGTACCAGATTCTCTGAGATTGTCGAATCCGTGAGTCAGGGTGGGCACTGGATGAAACAGCGATGATGGAGAAGAGTAAGACCGGCGGTACTCCCTGGATGCCTTGAGACTCAATAGCAGACATTAGGCTTTGTCGGTGAAATATGGGCATATAGAGATGGAACTTGGCAAGGAACAAGTCGATCAACTGCAGTATCTCTGGTAGCTCTGGTAGTTCTGGCGGTGACGTTAGAGGCGTAGGTACATGTGGCGTGTGTGAACCGATATTTTGAAGTTTAGCGAGGTTCACGTTAGCAGGGAAAGAATCTTGAACAGCAGCTCCCAGCAGCTCATTGTTGGACATTATCCACTCGTGAGAATCCTCAAACTGTGGCCCAGCCATACAAGATGGGATAGTCTCATGGGCCTCTAAGCCTAGTAACGCGTCGATTTCGTCCACCGGCCATGAATTCCAGTCCCGGATCGTGGGGTTTATGGCGATTCCTCCATTTACATGACCGGAAACTCGATCACGACCAAGATTCCGCCTGTCGCTTCTTTCATAATAGCAGAGCTGCCCTCTTACGGTGCATGATGAGCACGACGGTCGATTACCCTGTGACGTATTAGGTAAGCCAGCCAGCGACTTTATCTGTTCCTCTCACATCGCATTTCTTCTTTCTTGACCTGCACCCTTTGCACACATTCTGAGGCTTCGCGGGAGTAGACATTTTGTGTCTGGCCTATAAGATGTCGATTTCAAAGGTTAAAGACCAGTTGAAGCGTCAGCAGCTTTACCCCAAGGGATGGATCACGTAATGCTGCAGCCCGGATCATTTAGCTCCTAACTCCGTCTGGTAAAAGGACAAAGCATGGCCTTACAAACATGATTCTATCTCATGTGAATAAGCAAATATTTGCCGCTTGTTTCGCAAAGAATTGATAATTCTGCGTGTGTATACATAGCAGATTAGTACCATTATGGATAAAACGACATTCTTGGCAATGATGGACTTCACCTGTAAAGATGCACGATAACGCCAGTGTCAGCGCTTTTTGGGTAAAGGAGTTCGGACATTCAACTGGTCCGACCCCGGCTCTTGGTCTCTTTTGAGCTTTGGCTTGGCGCAATTGCCGTCATCACGTCTTCAGCATTCAAGATAATTCACGTTTATTCTTTGCTATAGCTGAGCCTATAAGCGCTTCAAATTCGACGTAAATTCAATTCTCTTTGCCTGTTAGTGTTCCAGTACCCTTGCTAAATTGAAGTGTGTCCTAATAACCGTTCTACAGCCACGTTGCCGGGCCCCGTCCGTGTATGCCTGTACTCCAGATTGCTGCCATAATTGTCCATCGCTAAATAAAAGATCCCTTCGCGTATTAGGTAAGATGATTCGCTTTCAAATTCTTGTCCTCTAGATCCCGAGTTTCCAGGGGTGTCATGGTGTCTTCACCCCAGCTGTCCATCAAGGTGCAAGTGCCCGCCTTGCACGACTCGCTTTCGCAGATATCGCCATCAGAACCTTGATGGCTCAGACAGAATGATTTGTCATGATGCATCGTCTACAAGCATGGCTGTGCCCTGCTGAGGAAATTGAATCCCACGATGCCCTCGGCCACCAGCCGGCTGGGGACAGAGCGAGAGTAAAGCGACACTCGCCGGCCGATGATTCCATCGTTTCCGACTTCTAGTGAAAGCGGCTTATCGAGAGGAAGCTCGACAAACGACTTGTTGCATGAGGTTGGCGCCGCAGGGAATCGGAACTGCTGGAAGGTGCCGCACTCCTCTGGCTTTCTTGACAAATCTCCGCTAGAACTATGTCTCAATGTTAGCTGCCCGGGATTCATCTGTGGGGGGATTGAAGCCATCACGCACTGGATGACAATATGGAGATCTGATAATATGCTGGAATCATATTCGGCATCCGGCGTCAATCTCGCATGTGTCGCTTCGTTGCTCTCCGGGTGGCCGGGAGTGTGAAAAGCGAGATCCGCGCAGATGGACCGCAGCCGATCGGCATCGATTGGTGAGCTGAGGGCAGCAAGTGCGCCGCCACGAGGCTTGCTGGTGAATTCCGGTCCGCACATGGTGATTTTTGTGAGTATTACGATGAAGAAAGTGATACAGTGTGATGGGTACTGTCTTTTCCTTTCGATGGTGGCTAGGAGAAGAAGAGTTGATGGAGAAGAGAGGTAAAGAGGTGACTGCGCTGTTGTCTGTTGTCTGTTGTTTGTTCTGTTTCGTGGCCTTGTTCAAATTCTACAGCCGACTTTATATACTCCAGCGCCGGCCCTGTTCAAATTACATGAGAGGCTCTGAGCGTGTTTGGCAGTGCTGAGCGTGTTTCATCGCCGCTGCGTGTCATTGAGTCGTGGCCGCGGCACTACCTGAAACGGCCCAATCACAGCGCTGCAAAAGTCGCCCCCTTTCCCCATGCGGCAACCTCAGGTGAGCAAGTTTGAGAGGGAATGCTCATGAGCAGCAGAACCTTGATGGCGAGCCGCCTGCGAAATTGCCGATTTAGTGGAATCATCACCTGCAGTTCACTTGTTGATCACGGCGTTCTAGGCTCCAGTTAAAATAGCCATGGCGCGGCTCATTCTTCTGACGCTCTCCCTGCTGCCCCTGGCCTGTCATTCTTCATCCCAGGACCCCTCGAAGCCGGAATTTGCCAGCATCGAGATCAACACCGCTTACGGCTCTGAATCACCGCTCGGCCAAGCATCATTCGAAGCCACCATGTCTGTTGGCACCTTTTCGCTGCCGGCGCTGCCATACGCCTACGATGTGAGTGCCTCCCCTGGCCCATCAAGTTCCGCATCAGCTAATCATTTCCATCCATCCATCCAAAGGCTCTCGAGCCCAGCATCTCTGCACAGATCATGGAGCTTCACCACAGCAAGCATCACCAGGCCTATGTCACCAACCTGAACAGTGCTCTCAAGACCTACGCCACCGCCATTGCTGCCAACGACGTGCCTTCGCAGATTGCCCTGCAGGCCGCCATCAAGTTCAACGGCGGCGGCCACATCAACCACTCTCTGTTTTGGGAGAACCTGTCGCCCTCCTCGTCTCCGGATGCGGATTCTGCCAGCGCCCCTGCTCTGGCTGCCGAGATTGCCAAGACCTGGGGCAGCTTTGAGAAGTTCCAAGAGGCCATGGTGAAGGCTCTCTTGGGCATTCAGGGAAGTGGCTGGGGCTGGCTGGTCAAGGATGGCAATGCGCTGCGGATCGTCACTACAAAGGACCAAGATCCCGTGGTTGGCGGGGAGGTTCCCATCTTTGGCATCGACATGTGGGAGCATGCATACTACTTGCAGGTGAGTCGCTTCTTCTCCAGTGTCTTGGTAAAAGTTATTCCTCAGCTCACTCTATGTTTAGTACCTTAATGGCAAGGCTGCATACGTCGAGAATATCTGGAAGGTCATCAACTGGAAGACTGCTGAGCAGCGCTTCAAGGGGGACCGGGATGACGCTTTCAAGATCCTCAAGGCTTCGTTGTAGAAACGATATGAATGAGTAACTAGAATGAATCATGACACACACATAGGGTACAGGCCCTTGGGGGGATATCTGAGCAGACTATCACTATTAGTGCAGTCGCTTCCGCTTATGCATGTGTAACGAGAGCATGTCGTGTCCTTTTTTTTAAGCTATGCTGTATGATGGCGGATGGTGTACGCCGAGGTATGACTAAAATGAAATATCATGAGTTTGTGCCTCATTTCGCTACTTGATCGAATCTGAGATACTAAACCACACCTCCCTTCCCTTAGATACATGTGCATACAGTTGTCTCTTCAGCTGGAATTCTCACCACTGTATCCAGAACAAGTGGCACCATTACGACCATGGCTTGAGCCGTGCCATAGTATGACGAATCTGAACCGGGTGTTGCTTCACTGCGCCACAAAGGCATTTGCAAATTTGTCTGAGACCCCCCCCATGTGTCTACCCGCCTCCAGCCATCTCTGTTTACGGGAGGGGTCGTATTTTGTGCTACCGAGATAATATTCGGTTTTCATCGTATAGCTTTTCTTGGCAGACGGGTAAGATATTCAGCCATGTTATATCTATTGAGGCTGCTGGTCGTGGGGGCGGTATCAAAGAGTACATGTAACGGGGGAATAATGTCCTATACAGAGATATAAGCCGTGGTTTAATACAGTAGAACAATTCATGCTGCTCATTCAAATGACCCATTCTTTCTTTGACCATGTGTTCGTCAGAAACGGAGTAAAAATCTTCGAGGGTTGAGTTACCAAATCATGCAGGTACCCTGATTAAGGATACATGTCCTAGGTAGCAACGAACGGAAACATGCATACACGTATCCTTCGCCAAGTTTCGCCATTGGCTGCCTGGGCCGTTCCCTTATGCTGTATGGCTACGCTCTTATGGACTTGAATCCTTCCATGACTAGCAGACTGGACGTTGATAAAAACAAGTGGTTGAAGACATTCGTCGCACAACAAGAATTTCTGCTCCACAGCCCAGCTGAAAATTGACTCAAATCCTGCTCACATATCCAACTGGATCGTGGCATCTCCGTGGTCCGAGTCAATATGTTGCGGAATGAAACAATAGCTTTGGATACACAGCAGCAGCGGAGTGTTCTACCATTTCAACAAAAGATAAGAGTTGACCACTACAGCCAATTTGCTCACAATAAGGCCACTTACTAAATGTACCCAGGAGAGACGCAGAGGGGAATTCTTTGAGCCGGCTCCATCCGTAGTATTGAAACTTGAATGACGAAAAGGCTAGATCAATTGGGGTAACATGTAGCGGAAATTGAAGGAGCGGTACGATATCCGTCGGGGACGGGAACACGCAGCACGCGATACGGACTCTGACGGGAGGATCTTATCGTTCGTCATCTTGTGCCATGGTAAATTGGGAGGCCGTACGGGGTGGCTCTGTAGGCTTTTATGTATAAAATGATGGAAAGAAGTCGGCATCTTTTGAAGGCAGAGATCTGGGTATAGCAGCAAAACACTTGCAGATCAAAGCATAGTCTCTCGTTAAAAAAGTCATTCATTGCCATTACTCTCGTTGAATTTTGCTCAACTATCATCATTGCTTCTGAAACGCCATCAAGATGGTGAATAAAGCAATTGCCTTGTACCTGCTGGGAGTTGGGTAAGCTTACTACTGTTAAAAAGCTCTGATAAAAGACATTTTGGAGTTGAGGTAAACTAACATGAGAGTATCAGGGCCACTCTTGTCAGCGCGACAGAGAGCACCGTGACCGTCACGACGACCAAGACGGAGACAGTCACCGCCTGTGCTTCGTCCTGCTATTCAGTCTTGACTAGCTGCACCTCAACTGTGTCTTTGACTTCGTCCGCCTTGTCTACTATATCCACTGAGACCACGTCTACCGCTGCTACTTCCACTCAGAGTTCCATCTCTGGAACAAGCTCTTCTCAGTCGACGTACTCTGTCCCATCGACATCCTTGAGCACGTATCAAACCAATACAGCGATAGCATCAATTGAAATTTCCCAGTCTACCACTTCTACCGCTTCTGTGGTTACTGATAGTCTCATCTCGAGTCAGAGCCCTGGCACTTCCACCAGTTCTGGCACCGCTTCAACCCCAACAGAGACCCATGCATCCACGGAAAGTGTTGTTTCTTCATCTGCAGCCACTACATCCACCACTTCTGGTGCAGAGTCAAGCCAGCTCCCCAGTACCTCTACCCTCTCTACTACAAAGTCATGCTCTCACCCCTATGGCTGTGAATATCCCACCAGCACCGGGAGCACAGAGTCATCTGCCCTTGCTGGCACCGCATCATCTACTGTACCGTATTCCACGCTTGCTTCTTCCTTTTCTACGACTTCACCTTCTGGTCGGGAGACCACTTTCGTATTCCCAACTACAACCCAGGAGCGAGCTCCTCCGGAATCATCCGAGAGCACGACAGAGACGACATTAGAGTCGACCCTTACTCAGACTGTAACTTTTACAAAAAGCTCAAAGTCTCAAGCCTCGAGCCAGACCTCGACGAAGACTACAGAAACATCTTCCAGGTCTACAGTGACAGGCTACAGTACTGAATCTGCTTCAAGCACTTCCGCCACTTCCACTGCAGAGACTACATCTTCATCTCTTACAGAGACTGTTTCTACATCCTCTACCGAAACTGGCTCCAAGACCTCCACAGAGACTCCTTCCAAGTCCTCTACAGAGAGTGGTTACTCCACAGGCTCCCTCACAAAATCCAGCACCACCCCCTCTACAGAATCTCCATCCACCTCTTCAGCAACGACCGCCACACAATCTTCACAAACCGCATCCACGACTCCATCAAACGCCTCCACCAAATACACCTCCACCCCATCTAAAACCCTCTCATCCTCATCCATCGCCACAGGCTCAACAGCTTCCTCCGCTTTAGCCGCAACTACCACGAAGAACAGCTACAGCTCCCTGTACACGCCCTGTTCGGAATCATCGCTGAGCCGTTCTCGCGTTTATACGCTCACCAATTCTTCTACTTTTGCAACAAGCTATTACCCGAGCACTGGAACGGGATATTCCACCACTCGACCGAAAGCGTCGAGCACTAGCTCCTCTTCAGCCCAAAGCTCAATTGTTACAGTCGAGTCTACTGCTGTGCCGGTTACTGCTTCGACTTTGACGAGCAGCACGTACTATTCTGTTCCATCTGGTCAGGCATCCACTTCTTCATCATCAACGTCTTCTTCTTCCTCTTCTTTGTCTTCATCGATTCCTTCCTCCTCTTCTTCTGTATATTCATCTTCTTCACTTTCATCAACAACCCCAACTGCTTCAACTTCATCAACCTCCACCTCCACCATATCATACGCATCCTCCGCCAACGCCGCCACGCAGCCCGCAACCACCTCTTCATCTTCCACCGCCACAACTTTCTACACCACCACAAGTAAGTCAACTTCAGCAACAGCCACTACAAGTACGTCTGCAGCTTCAACTTCCTCGTCTGCTCCTTCCACTCCGCCATCCTACGGCCCGCCGTCTTATGATCTCCCGTCGTATGGACCACCGCCATCGTACGGTGTTAGAGGCCGTAGGGTATGGTAAGTGATGGAGTGGCAAGAGAAGAATGGAATAATAAAACAATGGAAGGGAGAGAGTGGGGAAAACAATTGGGAAGCATACGAGATGATGGACATGTTCTTTTCTTTTCTATAGGCTTGAGAAAAAGTTTCACGGTTATTATAATGGTAGAAAATAGGCTCATTCGATATTTCGTAGTGTAGTTAGTAATGATATGTATTCATTTCTTTGAACTCACAAGAATACTTTGCATTGATTCTCTTGAAAGACAATCTCACATATTGGATGAAAAGAAAAGCAGAAACTCTATAACATGTAACCCATCCTTGGCTCTAATAATTTCAAAAAAAAAAAATCTATGAGTCCTCTTATCCTTATAATTTTATCCTTCCATATAAAAAAACGCTTCAATTTCACATCGCTTTTATTTACCCTCAGACAAGCATACCACCGCCCACTTACCGTTCCAAGCCCATCTTCTGGCACCGGAATCGCCACCGCCCCCCTCAGTGGCTCTCAGCTCTTCGTCTTTGCCAGCGGGAAGACCGACAACAACGTCAGCCTTGCATGTTCGCAGAGACATGACGTTGACGCCGGAGCCAGGGCCCATGGGACCAAGAGCCTCGGTGAATGGAGTGGTGGCATCCCACGAAGCCTGAAAAGAGTTAACAATACAAGAAGATCCTCTTCGTGAGTCAAGTCACTTACATCGCCAACCAGCTTTCGGTAGTTCAAATCTCCCTTGAATATGACGAGCTCAGCCTGCTTCAAATCCTCGTGCAGCTCGGGAGCTTCATGAGGCAACCGCCAGAAAGAACCGCCAGCAGTCCAGTATCTGTTGGGTCGAATAGCCAGCTGGCCCTCACCATGCAGAGTCGCCCAATCCTGAAAGACGTATAGCAAATCCTCAACCTCATTGGGCGCCAGAGGCGCGGGTGTCTTTTCAGAGACCTTTTCTTCCTCAGTCGGGCTCTCAAAGAAGCCCTTGGGGTTGGCGAGGGCGCTGAGGAGGGCAGCAAAGTCTGCCGGAAGAACATCAGACACAAACCAAGGGATTGACTTGGGGCGAAGAACAACATGGGTGGCAAGGCCAGTGTTGAGAAGGTAGCCAGCCAGGACCAGGTCGACGTAGAGCTCGAAGCCGGCATTATCGAGGACAAAGTCTACACGGCGCTCCTTCTTGCCTTCTGCCTGGGCCTTCTTGAGCAAAGCGAAGGCTTCGGGGAGGTTGTTGACGAGGATATTCTGTTCGGCGGCCTTTCTAGCCTCGCTGCCCTGCAGCTTCTGAATGTCCTCGTAGGTCATGTTGGTAAGCAGCGACAGGTCAGTCGCATTACCCCACAGGCAGACCTCGCACATCTCAGTGAACAGAATTTTTTCAGTCTCGGGGTCATGTGTAATGTCCTTATCAGCGCGGATCTTCTTGATGATGTCTGCGTATCGGGCGGCAAGCTCTACGACAGCGTTACGAGAGGTTCGGAAAGTATCAGTCTTCTGGCGGGCAAAGAGATCGTAGCTCTTCCAGTGGTTGGTCAGGGTGAAGAAGGTGCTGAGGCGTCTAAAGGTGGAATCAGCGTTCAATATTCAGAGTACGAATGATCCATTGGATTTGTAGCGTACCGGTACATGTAACACTCGGCAAAGAGCCAGGGGACCTGGAACCAAGTGGGATTGCCCAGCTGCTCCAGCTCCTTGTTGTAGGCGGCGGTCTCGTCGGGGAATCCATCCTCAGGAATAGGTCTGTATGAGATTAGCTTCACGTCAACTTGCGTAACCAACCAAGGACCAAAAACCATACGTCAGCTGGCGATCGTGCAGCATCTCGTACTTGAGGCTGCCGAGCTGCTCGATAATCTTCTTGCCCTCGGCCTGCTTCTCGGCATCATCCGTGCTAGAAATGGCCTTGTAGATGTCGTCGACGGCGCTGGTCTATAGAATGAGAGGTCATTAGAAGGAGATTCCAATCGAGTTTCAAATCGCAGTCTGGCGAGAAGAGGGTCTCACAAGAATGACGGGCCATCGCATGCGAACGGATTCGCTAGCAAAGGACTTGGGGTCGCTGGTGACCGATTTCGCTGTCGCAAGTTAGCCGGCGCCTGGTATATGGGCAAGAGCAGCAATTGGGTGCTTTCATACGTGTCTTGGTATCGTACTCCATCTTGACGTGAGTGATGGCCGTGGTTCTGATTTGCGACTGCTATCTGGGGGAATGTCGAGACCAAATACTCGACTTTTGGAGGGGCTCAATAAGGCTTGGGAAAAGGCACAGCGGGATTGGCGGGGCACATGGCGGGGTTGCCTGGGTACCTTGAGAGCGCGCAAGACTTGGCGGTGCATACAAGTACATCGGCTGTAGGGGCGCAATCAATACTGCCGCCATAAGGGGCAATTCCGAGCTCGCGGATCCATACTGCGTCATACTGGAGGCACTGATACTGCAGCTTGCTAACTCGCTGAGGCGTGAGCTGTTTGTTGTCGCGCTTCTGTGGTGGATCGAGGCATTAATGATGGCGGATGAATTTGGACATGCAGTGTAGACATTGCCCTAGAGTCCCTGAATATCATAAGCATAACTGCGAAGCGTTGAAGCTGAGAAAAGTAGTCAGGCTGTGAATGGTATTCTCAATACATACATGAAGTATATGCGTACATAGATATGTCAGAAGAGCGGCCAACTCCCATGCCAATCACGTCGTTGGATGATTGCACGAGCAAGCATTAATAAAGCTTGAAATTCGTTCAGCTCACTGATAGCCTTCTAACTCATAGAGGCGGTGAATGCGATTTCCACCGGCATGCCGTTTTCGTTGTCTGGGCATATACAGGGTAAGGTTTACCGATATGTGACATCTCACTTTCTGGAGGTCTGCACCTTTATTAAACATGTGAAGATGGATTCAACGAGCTTTTATATATATATATATATATATACTTTTAATGGTGCATTTTAGAACTAAACAATACCAATAATGCCCGATCAAGTGGTGTTGTAATGCAAAGGATGAATGTGCTCGGAGATGTTGGATCTGCCAACAGTTGCGAGAAGCTTGCAAAATGCGTGGATTACCTGTTGCATCTCAAACGCTGCAGACTCTCAAACAGCCGCAGAATATTCGCAGAGCTTCGGTATAAATCACTTTTTGAAATAAACCATCAAAGTACCTAGGAAAAGACCAGAGAACAGCACTTGAGTATAGGTAAGTAACCCAAGCCACTGAATCAGCACACTGCCACTAGTACTGGCAATCAAATGCAAACACCAATATCTGCCGAAAAGAACAAAGCCATCTAAACATGCACATCTCCCATCAAGAAATAGATCACTCCTTATCCGAGCGCTGGATAGGTTTCCTTGCAAATACGCCTAGCAATATTACTCAAGTTGCAGATACATGCAACCACAGCACATTGCCATGCCAGCACCACCACAAAGCTCATCCCGCTTACCAGCTCCTTTGTATTTCCCATTAATTACACGTACACGTACTCCCTCCTCCAGCCAGCATGCCAAACACCTCCAGCCCACGTGGTCAAGCGTCACCCCATCCAGCAACCAGAAACAACACGCCATCCCAGCCCCCCTTTCTCAACATCTTCGCTCTCATATAACACATAATACGTCAACAGCAAGCAAAAAAGTTCAATTCGCCTTTCCTCCATCTCCATCTCCACCTCCGCATTTCCTTCTCCTGCAACCTGCAGCCGCAGCCGCTTTCCCTAGCCGCCCCCACTAATAGCCCGCCCATCAGATCTCATTTCTGCCCATCTCCAATTTCATCCCAACCTCTTGCATCATACCCTCGCCATAGACGCATCGCTATATATCCAACACGGCCAAATTTCAACATCCGACTTCACAAATTTCAAAGCAACAAAGAAAAAAGAGCAAAACATCTAACATCTTCCCAAATCCAAATCCATGTCCACTACCATGGCGCTCACCAAAAACGGCAGCGATTCCAAAGCTGAAGACGCCCGCCAGACAGCTGCAAGTCTCCTGTCCAGCGCCTCGTCCTATGCGCATCGCTCCCTCGACTCCCTCATCTCGCCCTCGTCTCGCCAACGCGCTTACGACACAACTGCCTCATTCGCCTCTGACCAACCGATACTCTTTGTATGTGCTCCTGTTTGACGAAAACTTGAATTTTTATTTATTTATTTTACTAACAAACTGCAGTCATTCATCGCCTTTCAAGCCCTCTTCTCGCTGCTCCCTATCCTACTTTTCATCTCATTCGCCCTTTCCACCTTCTTTCTCACCCTTTGTGTAGCTGTCATCTTCACGCTCTTCTGGACCGGCGTTGCAAGTCTATTCTTGATTCCTACGCTATTCATCACGTCGGCCCTTGCGGTGCTGTGCTGGGGATCGTCGGTAGGGAGCTTTGTCGTTGCTAGATGGTTGTACCACCATGCGCCGGCGGGTGTTTTTCCTGATGGCAGCGGCACATCATCGCCAGGAACCGACGTCACGTCAGATGGAGCATGGAAAGACGTTCAAGTCAAGCAATTTGACGATGTCAAGAGTTTGGAGTAGTAGGCGGGAAAATATGAGTTTATCGTGCTTATGATGTATATTAATTGATATCCTTGCGTAGTTTGGTCGTTGGCAGGCACACTATATGGCATAATTACTATTTTTGTGGTTGCTTTGTGATTTGGTTTCTGATTGCATTAACACGTAGTTCAAAGAAGTTGCCAATAGCCTCAACCACATCATGTTTCTATAAAAGATCCACGCTATAGGCACCTCTCGCTCCATAAAGCGCTGCTACCACTCACACCGCTGATACAGTCCCGCTTATTACAGATATAGACCCTCCGGCTCACCCTCCTGCTTGGTGCGCAATACCCGCTCTCGAGCAGACCTGAAATCCGCCATTTGAACGCGCATGCGCCGTTCACGCAGGGCCATCATACCAGCTTCTGAGCAGATGGCCTTGATGTCAGCGCCGGATAAATCGTCCTTTTGTGAAATAAACTCGTCCAGGTCGACATCGTCGTTTAGGTTCATCTTGGAGGTGTGTAGAGTGAAGATCTTGCGCTTCGTGTTCTGATCGGGATTCTCAAACAGAATCTTTCGGTCGATTCGACCAGGTCGGATCAAGGCAGGGTCCAGCGTGTCAATCTTGTTCGTCGCCATAATAACCTTGACGTCACCACGGTCGTCAAAACCGTCCAGCTGGTTGAGAAGCTCCAGCATTGTTCGCTGAACTTCACGCTCTCCTCCAGATGTAGAATCGTATCGCTTTGTGCCAATAGCATCAATTTCGTCGATAAATACGATTGAAGGTGCGTTTTCCCCAGCAACCTGGCTTTTTGTTAGCATGACATGCTAATGGATTGCGGGAATCAAAATATCAAGGCTTGACTAACCTGGAACAATTGTCGCACCAACCGGGGACCATCTCCCAGGTACTTCTGAATCAGCTCACTACCGACAATACGCAAGAACGTAGCAGATGTCTGGTTGGCAACAGCCTTGGCCAACAGCGTCTTTCCAGTACCCGGCGCGCCATATAGAATGACACCCTTGGGGGGTTTGATGCCCATCTCCTCATACAGCTCGGGATGCAGTAGAGGTAACTCCACTGACTCTCGAACTTCTTGAATCTGCTGCTCCAGACCACCAATGTCGGCATAGGATTCGGTTGGCGCCTTGTCGAGTTTCATCACGCTGACAATGGGGTCGGCATCATCGGTCAGAACTCCAACAATGCTCACGCTTTTATGGTGCAAAAGGACGCTGGCACCGGGCTCGAGAAGGTCTTTGTCTACGAAGCTCATGATGCTGACATAGTACTCAGGACCAGTCGTGCTGCTCACAATGGCATGGTCGTCGTCAATGAGCTCTTCCAGCGTACCGACGCTCATGGGGCTTCCTCTCATGTCGTCCACCCGGCCACGTTCATCAGCTAGGCGGTCAGCATCGACATCGGGACCGGCCGTTTGTCCTTCCTTGGCAGCCTTGGCCTTTCGTAGTCGCTCTTGGTTCTCGACGTATTCTTCTTCGAGGAGCAGGTGATCGTGGATTCTCTGCATGCGAAGCAGTCGAAGCTTGCATCGGCTCGTGGGGTACACTGCTGGAAGCTTGGCAGCAGCGCTGCTACCGCCAGCCTTTCTCTTCTTGCGGCCTACTCGGGTTGTTGGCCTTGGCGGGGGTTCGTACTTGGGCTTGTCCTTCTGCACAGGGTTTTAGTATTCGCCTTCTATCGTCTTTCTCCATCAATTTCAAACAGAAAAAAGAGATTCTATACCTTCTTGTCTTTCTCATTCCTTCCCCCTTCACCTCCCATACCAGATGGTCCTTGACCCTGGAACAACAAATGTCAGCACAATGCAAAGGCAGAAAGGTCATGGATGACGCAATAGAGCTCACCATTATGACGAATCAAGCTCTGGAGAGCTATTCTTTGAGGGCTTCTGATGATTCGCAGTTCTCCTCCAAGATGCACGCCTATATGAAAGAAGCGCAGTTGGAGAAGAGGCGTAATGGCTGATGTGACGGAGAGGTAACTCGCTGCTTGACTAAGGCGATACGGCTCAGAGCATGCCAGGCTGCTCCGGCTAGGCGCCAGAGAGACACGACAGCTCCAGCCTAGTCACGTGCTGCGCATCTGCCGGCTCTGCACGTGACTAGAGCAATGACACGAGAGTCGTCCAACCGTCGTCAGCTTCTTTGATGAATTCTAAATTTGTTCTAAAAGAGACCATCGACTCTACTAAGCCGCGATAGGACTAAATCTAGGATTTTAGATTGCCCAATTGCCTGTCCTGCGTATGATTGTGTGAATGGAATCCAGGACTGTGCGACATGGCATACGACGTATCTCGTCTAGAGCAGCTGAAAGCTCACATAAGCAACAGCAGCAGCTTGGCTTGCTTGGCTAGACGCCTCCAAGTAAAGCTGCTGCAACGCACATGCATATTTGCATGGATTAAATCTCCCCGTGCTAGATTGCTAGACTACCACTCTACCTTTCCGCAGTAGAAAGCGCCTCCATCTGCTGCGCTGCTCTATCTCATCCAGCCACCTCGGCCGTGTCCGTTTCAGAGCCGCACACGAGACTTTCCGATCCATGCTCGGTCCAGCGGCCAGTGCACTTTTGTCTGCTCTCATACGCGAGCACAGACGCCATGTCGGAGCGCCTCAAGATGGGCTCCGCGGCCAGTTACCCACCTCGCTTCCAGAGTGCGCCGGAGAGTTTGCGCCAGGCTCTTCGGTGACGATGCTCACGTCTGATTCGGCGCAACGTCCGTCTCCCTGCGCTTGCCCACAGGCGCACAGCCCGGTCAGTGTCAGCTCCCAGGCAACACTAGGCACTGATTGCGAGGCGGTTGCAAGGTGCTGTTGACAAGCTTCAGCGCAGCAAAGCCAAGTCGCACCCCGCTAAAGCAGTGTCCCGCAGTGGGAGCTGGCCTGACGTCGATAGCCGCTGCCGCCCCTCCCCTCAGCCATGCGCTACTGGGATGCTGGCTTGCTGCCTTTTCTGCTTCTACATATTCTGCCATCTGCTGCAGCGTCTTCACAGCGACTCGACCTGCTCCTCTCGCCTCCAACTGCCAGAGACGACTCGCCCCCCGCCTCGACAAGCTCCATCAGTGCTTCGTTATCCAGCACCACGCACTCTGCTTCGACTGCGCCCCATCGCCGTTTTTCTCCAACTGGAACCACCCGCTGCGTCCACGATCAACACGACGACCGTCAAGCACCATGTCGAGTAGTAGGGATCGCCGCGTCATCAAGGAGCTGCAGGACTTGACAGAAGACAAGGACAACTCTGGCATCCATGCCGCTCCCGTCAGCGAGTCACTCACTCACCTCCAAGGCTGGTTCTATGGCCCCGGAGACACGCCGTATGCGGGTGGCAAATACTTTATCCAGATTATACTCGACGGCCAATATCCATTCAAGCCTCCGCAGATGCAGTTTGAAACCAAAATCTGGCATCCAAACGTTTCCAGCCAGACGGTGCGTCCTCTCATCCCTGGATTCACAGCTACCTCAGCTCAGACCCCCGCCTCCCCTCTCCCGCTGGTGTGTGGTGTGGAGGGGTAGAGCAGAGTGATGCTGTGGTTTTCGATCATCTAGAAAGCCATCTTTTCTTTTCTCCCCTTTACTAACATCTTCTCCTAGGGCGCAATTTGTCTTGACATCCTCAAAACAAACTGGTCCCCTGTTCAGACTATAAAAACGGCGCTGCTTTCTATTCGAATGCTGCTCGAAAATCCCAACCCGTCGGATCCGCAGGACGCCGAAGTTGCCAACATGTTATTGCACGAACCCGATGTTTTCGTTGTCATGGCTCACGACTGGGCTGTCAGATTTGCAGGCGCTCCCCAGCAGCCGCAACTAAATACAGCGAGATTTAACGGTTTGGCTAGGGTACAACCCCGAGGTGAAGATGAGCGCCGGTATGTCCCGAGTAATGATTTGCGATGCCGGAAAACGTACAAGGAAAAACTAATTCGAAATGCGTCATAGGTATCTCGGATACAACCGAGCGTTGATTGAAAGGTTCACAAGTATGGGCTTTGAAGTTGATAGAGTCGCGGAAACATTAGTCTATTTTGGCATTGATCGCAACAATGGCAGAGATTACCACTTGACAGAGGGCCAAGTAGGTGATATTACTGCGCGGCTACTTGGCGAGCAGTAACCGCGCTTGACCGGCCTCACTTATTGAGACAGTGAGATGGCGACTATTGGCTGGAGTTTTATTCAAACTGATGCTTGAACTTTGATTATGTATTTGCTTTTTCTTTCTTCTTTTTCCTTTCCGTCCTTTTTTTTTTTTTTTTTGGGTGTCATAATCCATATCCTGGGGCTACTCCTTTACCTTGAGACTCCTGGTTTGCGAAGCATGTCAGCAGCCAGGCAGCTTGAAATCTCCAAGAGGTGTTTGGTTTTGAGGAGTCAGCGTGAGTACCTCTAAGAAGTGCATTCTATCGGGTATATCGTTTACAAAATTGGAGTTATGCGGTCCGGATTAGCATATTACACTTCGATAAAGCGTCTGATACTTTTAGTTATACTTGATTCTTTGAATTACCATATTTTTGAATTCTTTTTGTTCGTTCTACATTCTTGAAGTGATTACCTTGTCAACCTTTGCGTTTTTGATAGCAAGAGTTCAGCTTTCATGATGTAGCTACCGTAAGGACTCACCTGGAAAGGATGTAAATGATGTACCGCCACAGACTTAAGGACGCGCACTTCGTAAGTGGTACAATTGCTCTCCCATGACACCTAATCTATCACGAATCTACGGCAATAGACTTGAGTGAAAACAAAAATAGCCCTTTTTCTATGAAAAAAAGAGCTTATTCCTCCGTTTCCCCTTCCTACCCACATGCTCCAGAAACCTATCAACAGCCGTTTTCTACAGCCTCCACTCCCACCGTGTATAAATTGTTTTTCATGTATTTAATGGATTTAAATTAAGAATATGATTAAGTCAAAGTCCACTGTCTTTATTTTTCTTACTGTAAATCATCTCATTTCGCCAATTAAAAAGAGGAGAAGGAAAAAAGAGAGACTTGTAATTTACAGCAGGTCGCGGCGGACAAACTCGTTGTAGAGGGCCTTGCCCAGACCAGCGGGCGAGCGCTCCACAATGACGCCGGCGTTCTCCAGGGCGGCAATCTTGGAGTCAGCACCACCCTTGCCGCCGGAGACGATGGCACCGGCGTGGCCCATTCGGCGGCCGGGGGGAGCGGAGATGCCGGCGATGAAGCTGACGACGGGCTTGCCGCCGTTGACGGTGTTGGCCTGCTTGAGGAACTCGGCGGCGTCCTCCTCGGCGGAGCCACCAATCTCGCCAATCATGATGATGCCGTCCGTCTCCTCGTCCTCGATGAAGACCTTGAGGCAGTCGATGAAGTTGGTGCCGCTGAAGGGGTCACCGCCAATGCCGACGACGAGGGACTGGCCGAGGCCGGCCTGGGTGGTCTGGTTGACGGCCTCGTAGGTCAGGGTGCCGGAGCGGGAGACGATGCCGATGCGGCCGCGCTTGTGGATGAAGCCGGGCATGATGCCGATCTTGCACTGGCCGGGGGCGATGATGCCGGGGCAGTTGGGGCCGACCAGACGGGTCTTGGACTGGGTCTTGAGCATCTGGGTGATGCGGACCATGTCTGATATCCGCCATGGTTAGCTATCGGGACTGATATATACATATATGGTGGGGCTAAGCTCTGACCATGTTGAGGAATTCCCTCGGTGATGCAGACGGCGAGGGGGATCTCAGCCGCGAGAGCCTCTTCGATACCGGCGGCGGCCAGAGGGGGCCTTTTGGGAAAAGTTGGTCAGCATCAAGCGGCGACATTATTTGTAGTCAGGATATACGAGGGTCGCATACGGGACGAAAAGCGCAGTGGCGGTGGCTCCAGTCTCCTTGACGGCGTCGGAGACGTTCTTGAAGACGGGCAGGTCGAGATGTGTCTGGCCAGCCTTCTTGGGGTTTGTTCCACCAACAACCTTGGTTCCTAGACGAGTGGCGCAGTGAGCATTCGCATCCAACGTTTGTGCGCAGCGATATTCCGAGGCTTTATCGTACCGTACTCAATGGCCTGCTGGGCGTGGAAACTGCGCATTTACACAATTAGCATCCACTGCGCACTGATATAGCTTCCCCCCCTCTCCTCAGATGCTCCTGTCTGCGAGCCGGTGCCGAGCAACATACGTTCCCTGCTTTCCAGTGAAGCCCTGGAAGATGACCTTGGTCTCGCTGTTAATGCGCAGGTTCTCGATGGTCTTGGCGTAGGGCGAGCTGGCCGAGCTGTAGCCACGGCGGGCGGCGTTGCGCAGCGCCGCAGAGCGCGCGGCGGTTCTGGGAATGGCCTGCATGGTTGTGAAGGTGGGGGGAAGGAGAGGAGAGATTTCCAAGGGGAGACAAGAGCTTTTGAAAAAAGAAGCGCCGCGAATGCAACGCTGGAGGGGAGGAAGAGCGGATTGGAGAGGTTTTGAAGCTACGTCGATACGGCAGCAAATTACCGGCTCTGGCAGCTCTGAATTCGGGTGCTGCCGGGGGCCCGGCAGTTTGCTTTTTCCGAAGCGGCACGTTTTTTTTTCTTGTTGATCAGAAGCAAATTTTGGCGCGGAGCGACAAGGGGGAATACGGTGAGGGGCAACGTGCATGAAGAAAAACGGAACGAAGCGGGTTAAGAGATACAGTATCAAATGGATCCGCTTTTGGCGTCCGTTTTCAAACCTTGAAAAATTGCCCCCACTAGAGCGATAGTCCACCAAAAGTTCTTATCGACATCAACGGGAGGGGCACTAAATATCAACCTTCTATTGCTTCAACCACGCTTGAGTCGGCCTTTTCAAAGTTGATTTGTCGCCATTATCAACGAGTACAAGGTCAGCTGGAAAGAAAATCAACGAATATGGCGACGGCCACGATTACGGCGACTGCTACGTCGCAGAAAAAGACTGTCGAGCTTGCGCCAGAGAGCGAGCGCTTCCTGCGGTGCTGCGCAGATCTCGCCAACGCTTTGATTGAAGATCATGAGGCTACCAAGAATGGACGACCGGGAAGAGATATCAACCTCAACTCTCTGCGCGCGAAGCTGGCCAAGAAGCACAAGCTGGCCAATATTCCTCCTCTTACGGCCATCATTGCTGCAATTCCCGAACACTACAAGAAATACATCCTCCCTAAGCTGATTGCAAAGCCGATCCGTAAGATGAAGATGAATCCGATAATGTGTAGGTATAAAAAGCTAACTCGATGGCAGGAACATCTTCTGGTATTGCTGTTGTCGCTGTCATGTGCAAGCCGCATCGATGCCCACACATTGCCTACACTGGCAACATTTGCGTTTACTGCCCAGGAGGACCCGATTCAGATTTCGAATACAGCACACAATCCTATACCGGATACGAGCCCACCTCAATGAGAGCTATCCGCGCTCGTTACGACCCATTCGAGCAGGCGCGAGGCCGAGTGGATCAGCTCAAGTCCCTGGGACACTCTGTGGACAAAGTTGAATATATCATCATGGGAGGAACCTTTATGTCGCTACCTGAGTCATACCGAGAGGACTTCATTGCCCAACTACATAATGCCCTGAGTGGATATCAGACATCCAAGGTTGATGAGGCGGTCGAGGCCGGAGAAATGAGCAACATCAAATGCGTAGGCATCACCATCGAGACACGGCCGGATTACTGCCTGCAGCCTCATCTTACGGACATGCTGAGATACGGCTGCACACGATTGGAGATTGGAGTGCAGTCTCTGTATGAAGATGTTGCCCGAGACACAAACCGAGGCCATACGGTGGCGGCCGTGGCAGAGACATTCTGCTTGGCCAAGGATGCAGGCTACAAGGTCGTCAGCCATATGATGCCTGATTTGCCCAACGTGGGGATGGAGCGTGATCTTGACCAATTCAGAGAATATTTTGAAAACCCTGCTTTCAGAACTGATGGTTTGAAAATTTACCCGACTCTAGTTATTCGAGGCACCGGCCTCTATGAGCTGTGGCGGACGGGAAGATACCAAAATTACACACCCAACGAACTTATCGATCTGGTGGCACGGATAATGGCCCTCATCCCCCCATGGACTCGTATCTACCGTGTCCAGCGAGATATTCCCATGCCTCTAGTCACCTCTGGTGTCGAGAACGGAAATCTGCGCGAGCTGGCATTGGCAAGGATGAAGGACTTCGGTACCACATGCCGAGACGTAAGAACTAGAGAAGTCGGAGTCAATGAAGTCAAGCACAAGATTAGGCCAAACCAGATCGAACTGGTTCGCCGAGACTATGCTGCCAACGGCGGATGGGAGACATTCCTCGCTTATGAAGATCCAAAGCAGGATATTCTCGTCGCTCTCCTGCGGCTCCGAAAGTGCACCGAAAAATACACTTACCGAGAGGAACTGATTGGTCAGCCTACCAGTATGATTCGAGAGCTTCACGTTTACGGTACTGCTGTGCCAATTCATGCGCGTGACCCCCGCAAGTTCCAGCACCAAGGTTTCGGTACACTGCTTATGGAAGAGGCGGAGCGGATAGCAAGAGAGGAGCACGGCAGTGACAAGATAAGCGTCATCTCGGGCGTTGGTGTGAGGAGCTATTACAAGAAGCTCGGCTACTGGCTGGATGGACCGTATATGAGCAAGTGGCTCGACGGACGTGAGCAGAAGCCATGAGTAGTATGCAATTACGGTCAATTAGGGATGCAAGTTAGATATCAAAATGTGCGGGTTATTGGCGCAATGGGTAGGATACTAGAAACATGCTTGGAAGATTTTCTGGAACATAGTTAGCATATATATGGTATGAATGACATTTCTCGGTCCCTTGATTATTCTTTGCCACGTCGAGGCGTCTATCTGCTGAAGTTGTGCAAAAGGAGTGCGCGACTGCTCGCTGCTACACGACAGAGTATTGCATGTTCATCTCCGTCTAAAGAAGAAAATATTCTAGAAACAAAAAAGAAAGCAGCCAATAAGGTCTGTAACATGTTGTTGAATAACCGCAAAAAAATGCTCACGGCAGGGCTTGAACCTGCGGCCTCCGCATTACCAAGATTTCAACTGACGCTGAAGTATTAGTACGAAGCTCTAACCAACTGAGCTACGCGAGCTGAGTAATCGACGAACCAAGTGTCCAAGCGGGACTTGGTTGGAGCCGATGTTGATGAAAACGTTCTAAATTGGTTATATATAACTATCTCCATAAAGAGCTCTTGCCACTAATAAATATTGATGTTTCTTAATAAAATAGCCCATGAATTAGGGTCGACGTTATTAACGAAATAAACAGGAGGTCTACCTACTATTTAACCCTAGATATCTAAATATATCAGACTACGCTCATTAAACAAGATCATACGCGAGTAGAAAAATCGATGTAAGGAACTTCTTTATCCTGGATTATAGAGTATATTTTAGTTGCGAAGCAAAACTTCTGCATACAAGTTGAATCATATTGGCCGCTGCATGTGCATGGCCATTAGCAAGATGGTGGGCTTATTTCCTGATTAACAGTGCCGGTAATGTATTTAAAGATGGACTTCTTGATTAGGAAAACAGGCAAACTGTACTGCAGTCCAATTGGCCCGTAGAATCAGTGTCGCTCTACTCTTTGGCCTTGCGCTGCTCTTCCTTCTCCTTAGCGTTTCGACAGTAAGGGCACTCGGTCTCAAACGACGGAGACCATGCTCTGCCGCACGCAGCGCATGTTTTCAAATGACCTTGGTTCATGCAACGAGACTTGGCGCTCTTTTTGCAGACAGGGCTGGGAGGGCGTGAGTTCATGTGCTTGCGGAAATAATGAGTCGACGAACCAATGGTGGGTGCTGCTTCCCGCGTCAAGCATGATGGAGGGACTTTTAGCCGGATGTAGATTGACTGGGGGATTGTGAAAGGATACGATTTTGTGGTCCAAGGCGAAAGGGAAGAAGAGCACGCCAGCATAACCAAAGGATAGTTGGATGCTTTTAAAGTGGTTGTCTGCTTGCTAGCCGCCTGCCTTATGGCCGGTTTCTTTGGTGTCTGCCGAACTCCCAAACCTCGGCGGTTAAAAAAAAGGAGCGCCAGTCCGCAGTACTTGGAATATTCTCATGACTGGCCACATGTTACGGCCAAAATCATAATTCACCAATCAACATCGACGTATTAAGCGCTTCACGACGCATTAAGCGCTTCACGACGTATTAAGCGCTTCAAGTTGCCTTTAAAGATCTTCCACTTTTCCTCTCCATAACGTCCCGCCCCGATATCGTAGAGGGTGTCTAAAGATTCGACGTTATCGCCTGCAGCAACTTGAACAAACTTACGGCATATCTCCAAACGATTGTGGCGGTGCAGTGCGGCAATCCAGATTGCCTCCGCCATATGGGATTTCTCCGTGAATTGCCAGTCACCCGACCACTCAAGGGCTTTGCCTACTTCCATGTTGTAGTATGCTCGATATCGTCCTAGTGTCTCTGGAGAGTCCTCCGATTCAGCCATCTTTGGCCAACCATACATCAGAGGATCCCAATCGCGCGTGATCCATCCGGGGTATCTGGCATATCCCACAAATCGGGGCATTGTCTGGGCGAGGTCCCAGTCAATAAGCCCGGTGACAGTACCCTGTTCATCCACCAGGACATTCTGCGAGTCAAAATCGGGGAGACATAAAACAAAACCAGGCGGAGAATCAAGGGTTGGCAAGCAGTCTACAATGGCTTCCAACACTTTCGCCTCCGCTTTGTCCCATACATTTTCGTTGGAGCTTGAAATCAAATTTTCCTGGAGAAACGCAGAGGTAGAGTCAAATGGACCTGAAGCGGCAACCTGAAGCCCACCATCTTCCTTTTCGTGCCAGTCGTACATAGGCCCAATGACAGTTGAGCCAGATTCGTCTTCCACAATAGATCCCATTTTGTCAAAAGTCAGACAGGAAAACTGGGCCATGATCCGTGAGAGGCTTGTCAGGATCCTCAAGCGCAACTCTTCTCGTGGCAAGGTGCCTGAGTGGTCAAACCAAACCTCAGACACGAGTTTCCCGGGTATAAAGTTCATGCAGAGGTACGGCGCACCGATCTCGTTGTTGTCAGTCGTGTCTATGGCGTATATCTCTGGCACTGGAATCGTAGTTTTGCTCCGAATGAGGCGTATCGTGGCAACTTGTGATTCCATGGCGTGTGCCGCAGGCGGTGTCATTCCGGAACCCCAGCCTGTGGCAGGAACCCGGATCACGAGCTTGACACTCTCCAATTCAACAACATGAGTGATGTTATATGAGCCGCTAATTCGTGCAACAAGCTTGCCACTAGAGTTTGGTAGATGCAGGCATCGGTTTGCAATGTTTGAAGCGAGAAGGACGAGAGACTCTGCCGTAATGGCCACGAGAGGACCAAAAGTTTCGGGGTCAGGATCATCCATGAAAGAGGGCGTAGGCACCGACGGCAATTGCGTTGGAGCGGAACTGTAGGAGGGCGCTTTGAATGAGATTTGGGGTAGGCGAGGTACTGGAGTGTTTGAATGTGAGGGCGTGAGGTTGGGAGGTTACAGCTGCAATTACCGGGCGGACATGTTTGGCTGACAGGATTTGGCACAAGTCATGTGCGTCACCCCACTTACATGTAACCTATTCTTGGTTGACAGCAAACCAGGCTGTTTCCAATAGGGTTGTCCTCGACCACAGTCCGTTATGATATGTTCGCCTATCGTCGTGACTCTAAAGTGGTGGTGCGCCGATAGAATGCGGGCATAATACTCGTGAGGACCGTGAGTATCTCACCGTATGAGAAATTACTCGCACGAGGCCAAAAGCTTGCGATCTTGTGCTCCTAATCCGGAAAATCACGACCCCGCACGAGATCCAATACAAGCTGTGATTGGCTGTGAGAACAGGGGTCGTGAGAGAGGCCCATGGGAGATACCCAGGGGTGAGTGTACAGGCACAGTCGATGATTTCAAGCTTGCCGAGACTGTATAGAGGCCAACAGTTGAACAGTACAAGAAGCACAGAGTGGACTGGTTGAAGGATGTTGAGGGACAATTTTCCGTTTGATATGGGGTTTCTAACAGCTAGTATCGCCGAGTATAGAAACTCCTCATGATAAAGATTATCACCAGAAAGACAAGTGAGCTGAAGGGCTGGTATGTGGAAAGAGAAATTGATTTACTTGATACATTTGATACATTTCATAGTCTGGCTTTTGCGGAAGGCTGATTATGCAAGAAGGGGATTTAGTAGGGTGGGTATGGGAAATAACTGTCTATAACAGAGAAGAAAGAAAGAAAGTTCAGGATTAAATACTATAGGAGATGTAATGTGACAGTGTCATCTTTCAAGCAGATTCTGTACTCATTAGACTCATTAGTTCATGGTACAGCACAGTTACACAGGAAAGCTGAAAAAGATATCGGCAGCTAGATCTGGCTGAGTATTTGGAAGATTGCTATTGTTATTTACCTCACCCCCATTTCGTCAGCAATCTACCTAAAAGAAAACATCCTACTCCTCCAACATTGTCCTAAAGACTTCCGCGGGAGCAATTTTCGGCGCAGCCAAACGAAGGACCTCCTTACTCGTCGTGGAAGCTGAGCATTTCCCGTCCCACGCCGTTTCCGCAGCATGCCTGATGGATAGAATGATACTCTTCGTCTCTCGAGATTGGGCTACCATGTATTCGAGGAATGACTGATCCTTGAAGCGGACATCTCCAATCTTGGTGCCAATTTCCTGTTCGACCATGGCCAAGATCTGCCGCCCAGTGATATCCTCGGGCCCGTTCAGGACGTATTTGCCTTTATTGTGCGGGCTGACATCATCCTCTACCAAGAGGTGAGCCGCGAAGATGCCGACCTCTGACGCGTCAATAATGCCAACGGGCGCATTCTCCGAGGCAATTAGCCTCAGGGGGCCCTGCTTTCCGGTTTTGCGGAATTCCTTGACCAGCTCTACCGCGGGCGCAAGGTAGAAGGACGAAAAGACGTTTGCCTGCAGCGAAGTCCACTGGAGACGTTCAAATTCCGGCGAGCTCAGCAGTTGTTCAATCGCCCAATGCGACCTTGGGTAGTAGGCAGCACAATCCGGACGCACATTCGCAGCAGTGGTTGAGATTCGGACGACATACTCGACGCCCGCATTAAGAGCAGCAAGGTGAAATGTCGACTCTTCGGCGAACTGATTGGGCTGGTTATGTGGCGCAATAAATACCCTCACAACGTTGTGTTGACGGAGCCAGTCTGCGGTGATGTCGACCCAGTTCAGCTCTGCCACTTCAACATTGGGCAGAGCAGCGAGCTGCTGGGCCACAGCCCCGCTAGAAGAACGCGTAAGGGCAAGAATCTTGTGACTAGAGAAGGTCTTGCTGGCACCCAGGAGTCCTGAAAGGGTTCGAACAACGCCTGGTCCGGTGTTGCCAGTGGCGCCGACGACAAGAATGGTAGGGGCCATGCTTGGAATGGATTCAATAGAGATGGATAATGTAGGAAATGAAGGAGACTGCGGAAAAAGTAAGTTCTGCCAACGGGTGCGGCACTTCTCTTTTATCTATGCCTCGTTCTCCTGTGTAAATAGTGTTACTGCCTGACAAGCTCCTAGCCAAAGGGGCTAATGAGTAATGTATTCAGGAGGAAACAATGAAAAGAGTTTATCCAGACGACCATGGCGAATGACACCAATCCAATTCAAGTCGGCTCTCCACCTAAACAAGTCGAGTGAATTTAGCTTGTTCAAGACTTGCAACTAGCAAGTCGTATGAGACTCCCGCTTGAATTGGCTTCATGTTGTTATGGGCGATGGATTGGCGGCTATTCTTCAGTTGAATAATGGAATCTTTTCGTTTGTTAGGGGATGACGGAAAGCTACCAATGTTGATAACGCCTCTGCGGCAAAAAAATATGTATAGTTGCAATAGTTCATACACGCCTGTCAGTCTGGCATCTTTTCGTTTGTTTTCCCATGCCCAACCCTAGGGGGAGAGGGACGTGTAAAAGACAGACGAAGGGGGTAAAATATCAGAAGTAGACGTTTGGGGAATCGCCAGTACTTCGTAAATCCACCACCCAACAGAAAGGAATCTAACGGCTCGGTCTGATGTCATAATCAATCTATCGATTAGTTCATGTCATGATTAATAATCCTGCCCATTGCCCAATATCGAAAGTTCATGATTAATAATCTCGCCGATTATTTAGACTATCAAGAGCTCGGCTAAGCTATGATGAATAATTACTCCCGGTTCCTAGAGAAACTTCTGCGGAGTATTAATATGGCGGAGATAAACGTAGGTTAGATTGCTAGTCTTGGGTCTCATGGTTGTACTATATTCCACTTCTGCGCGGATGATTTGCGCTGAATCCCTCGGCAGCCGGAAGAAGATAGATAGTGGCGTCAATGATAACAAACTAGAGAATCTCCAGTTGAGGCCCTTGCGGAGTTTATAAATCCACTACTAGGGGCCTGAAAACCAGCTGAATTTTTATACATGCTTTATATACCTAACCGGGCGGGACTGTGTTTCAGAAAGAGATTATATAATAAATTTATGTTATAACCTAACCTTTTAAACTTATAATATAGTATACATCTTAGAATAACCTTGGAATAAGGTATAATCGGCGTATTATCTATGGGTCTTGGCTGTATTAATCAACTATTCCAAGGGATTCTTGCCCGGTCTTCACAACCAACAGTATATCAATATCAGCCAGTGCGTCGTGAGTTTTTTTGTCCATGAATCTAGGAGAGTTGTCTAAAGATGAATGCCACTTTTCCAAATAATATCCTCAAATTGGCAGGCGTCATAATGGCACGACCGGGAATAATAGTATGTCTTCCATTCAACTCACTCCAAAGCACGCTTATTTGTCGCGCCGACAACAAACCCACCTCGCCCCCTTCGGGCACAGAAACGATTCCCAACACCTGCTCTGTCTTCTGTAGTAGATATTCAATAACTTCGCAAAACAGCATACCCTGCGTACACGGTTTGTCCACAGGTGATCCCCCAAACATAAGACCAGGAATAGGGGTGATGGGATCAATAGCGATTCGCTCGATCCGAGTGGTGATGTATTCGAGGATCAGCTCGTAGATCGAAAGCATCTGGGTAAAGATACTCGTGATGGTGAGCGCGAGAGGCGCCAACAATGGCTCTGAGGGGGCGACAGGGGGGGATAAGATGGAGTTGGAGGATAGATTGAGGTGATTGTTTTGAAGCAACTTTGGAAAAGGTGTTTGTGCCGTTTCTGAAGCAGGCAGTAGGCCACATGATGATCGGCTCCTGAGAAGCCTCGTGAGGATCAACAGAAAGTCTTGAGATGTCTTTAGCATGAATTCGGCCAGGGTCAGATTGTCGATGCACAGTGGGCTTTTCTGATAGGTTACGCTATTGAAGTCTAGAGTGGTTATATTCATCTTGGTAGTTGTAACACGGATGAGCAAATCGACGTTCATCTTGGAGAGCCTGCGTAAATCATCTGAGAAATCGACGACGTCTGCTGTTTCCGGCCCTGGTATGGCTATGGTCTCGATCGGAGCAAAGGGCGGACTGTTGGTGGCTGGTGCTGTTCCTGCGGGCGTCTGGAGCGAGGACGGAGTTGGGATCGCGATGCCCGAGTCGTGGCTAAACAAGGAGTTGGTCTGATCAAAGTTAAAGGCAGCATCCCATGAAGTCGAATAGGGGTCGAATGAGTCCATTCCAGCGGTCGGCCACGGCAGCGCCTGGGTGAATGCATCATCCATTGTCCTCACAGCGACTTGTGCTGGGGACATGATGCTGCTCCAGTCCAACTGCGGTTCCCCTTCGTGGAGCGAAGCATCTCTCCGAGACATGCTGGAAGGCTTTGGCCGCCGCGGCCTTCCAATTTTCTTCTGCGATTCGGCGATGCACTCCACGCCGAGCATGGTGCACCTTGCGCATTTCAAGTCATTTCGATCCAGGCGTTGACATCTCGACTTGTTTTTCCTGCAGGCCTGACAAGAGAAGCGTCGTTGCGATGGATGAATGGATGTGAGGCCCATGACAGGCTACGAGCGAGATACTGAGTGAGGTATGGAGGGCTACGGTGAAGGGTGCAGTGAGTGAATGAGCCCGGATCGGGATGAGACGAGATGCGTGCTGGAAATGACTGGAGCCTCTTAAAGCCTCCGCGGACGGTTTTGGAAACCCACCGGCAACGCATCCTAGTCGAGCCTATTCGAACTCTGTTTGGATGAGGCGAATTGATGATTAGTGATGGTTGGGTACAGGGCGGGAAAGCTCTGTTAGTATGATTCTGAATGAGATTTCCGATATTAAATCTCGCGGTGGCTCGTGGGTCTCATACTAGTAGTACTACTACTATGGATACATGTCACTTGGCACGCATTAGAAGCTGAACCCTCGTCCAGAGGATATGAGATATGAGATGCGGTACGCTACAGTGCAACGATATCAGTCAACATGAAGCCTCCGGTGCACGCGCTACGGAGGCTTTGATGCTGAGAAATGGAGCAAAGTTCCGTCTTGCGACGACAAAAGGCCCTGCGCTGCATTTGCAATCACAAGCCATGGCTGAATTCTCGCCAGGGCGCTCTGCACGTACGCAGTCTTGACGGCTTTTTATATATGCTAGTATGAATCTGCCGGCCTTTCCATTCGACCCATACAGCCATCGCTCATTGCACATGGCATGCTCTTTGGAGAGCAGCTTCCGAATCTCGAAATGAGCCTCAGTTCGTCAGCCGTGGACAGTGATTCCATCACAGCCGAAGCAACACTCTACACCGGCAAAGTCGAGTCTGATGGAGAGACAGCAACCGCCTCCCGCAGCAAGACGACATGGCACATGGCACCCGAGCTTGAATCGATACGAAACCGAGATGAGCAAGGTGGCGAAAAGCCCAGGAAACTCGGCGTGGCCTGGCATAACCTCACTGTCAAAGGCATCAGCAGCGACGCCACGTTTAACGAGAATGTCCTCTCCCAGTTTTATCCCTTTCACAAGGGCAACAAGGGAGCCCTCACGAAGAAGATCATCGACAACTCGTATGGGTGTGTCAAGCCCGGAGAGATGTTGCTTGTTCTTGGACGCCCTGGATCAGGCTGCACAACGTTGCTGAGCGTGCTCGCAAACCATAGGCTCGGCTATGAAGAGGTCACCGGAGACGTCACTTTCGGTAACTTGTCCGCAGATGAAGCAAAACCATATCGCGGCCAGATCATCATGAACACCGAGGAGGAAATCTTCTTCCCGACCCTGACCGTGGAGGAAACCATCGACTTCGCCGCCCGCATGAAAGCCCCCCATCACCTGCCCCCGGGAATCAAGACACACGAGGAATACGCCCAGTCCTACAAGGACTTCCTCCTCCGCTCGGTTGGCATCTCCCACGCGGCCCATACCAAGGTGGGAGACGCCTTTATCAGGGGTGTCTCTGGAGGAGAGAGGAAGCGAGTGTCCATTCTGGAATGCCTGACGACGCGCGCAAGTGTCTTCTGCTGGGACAACTCGACCAGAGGCCTCGACGCCAGCACCGCTCTGGAGTGGCTCAAGGCAATCAGAGTCATGACAGACGTGCTCGGCCTCACCACCATCGTCACGCTCTACCAGGCGGGCAACGGCATCTACGAGCACTTTGACAAGGTGCTCGTGCTTGACGAGGGCAAGCAGATCTTCTACGGGCCTCAACGCGAGGCTGTGCCGTTTATGGAGGGCCTCGGGTTCATGCGAGACCCCGGCTCCAACCGCGCAGATTTCCTGACGGGCGTGACAGTTCCCACCGAGCGTCTCATTGCCCCTGGAAATGAAGATACGTTCCCGCGGACTGCCGATGAAATTCTTGCGGCATACGACCAATCTCTGATCAAGCGGAGCATGCTAGACGAATGCCAAAGTTACCCGGTGAGCGAGGAAGCGGCGGAGAATACGGCCGTCTTTATAGAAATGGTGGCTCGCGAGAAGCACAAGGGCGTGCCCAATAGATCGCCCGTTACTGCCAACTTCCTGACTCAAGTCAAGAAGGCCGTCATCAGGCAGTATCAGATCATGTGGGGAGACAAGTCAACGCTGTTCATGAAGCAAGGCGCAACGGTGATCCAGTCTCTCCTCGGCGGCTCTCTCTTTTAAGCTGCTCCCAACAACTCGGCCGGCCTCTTCCTCAAGGGCGGTGCTCTGTTCTTCTCCATCCTGTACAACGCTCTGATTGCTCTTTCGGAAGTGACAGACTCGTTTACTGGCAGACCCGTTCTAGCCAAGCACCGCGCCTTCGCCTTGTATGACCCAGCTGCTATCTGCATTGCCCAAGTCGCTGCAGACTTGCCCATTCTCCTATTCCAAGTTACACACTTTGGCCTCGTTCTCTACTTCATGGTCGGCCTGAAGACGACCGCAGCAGCCTTCTTTACCTATCTGGCCACCAACTTCATAACGGCCTTGTCCATGACGGCTCTCTACCGACTCATCGGTGCCGCGTTCCCTACCTTTGATGCCGCGACCAAGGTCTCTGGTCTCTCAACCGTTGCCTTGTTTGTCTATATGGGCTACATGATCATCAAGCCCGAGATGCATCCGTGGTTTGGTTGGATCTTCTGGGTCAACCCCATGGCCTACGGCTTCGAAGCTCTTCTCGGAAACGAATTCCATGGCCAGAAGATTCCCTGTGTTGGCCCAAATCTTGTTCCCAACGGTCTTGGCTACGCTGACGGAATTGGCGGGCAATCGTGTGCTGGCGTTGGCGGCGCATTGCCCGGTGCCACGAGCCTCACGGGAGACGACTATCTCGCGCACATGTCCTTCAGTCACGGCCACATCTGGCGCAACTTTGGCATCAACTGCGCGTGGTGGGTTCTGTTTGTTGCCCTCACCATCTTCTTCACCTCCCGGTGGAAGCAGCTGGGAGAAGGGGGCCGTAATCTCCTTGTTCCTCGAGAGCAACACCACAAGTCGAAGCATCTGTTTGCATCCCGAGACGACGAAGAGCGGGCTACTGAGAAGCCCCCGGCCAAGGCTGGGACCGCTACGCCAGACAGCAGCCTCGGCAACGATCTCCTACGCAACCGAAGCATCTTGACCTGGAAGAACTTGACGTATACTGTCAAAACCGCCGACGATGACCTCGTCCTCCTTGATAATGTACAGGGCTACGTCAAACCCGGTATGCTCGGCGCGTTGATGGGATCATCTGGTGCCGGCAAGACAACACTTCTTGACGTGCTCGCACAACGGAAAACCGAAGGCACCATTCACGGATCCGTCTTGGTCGATGGACGTCCTATTCCTATTTCTTTTCAACGCTCGGCCGGTTATGTCGAACAGCTGGATATCCACGAGCCTTTGGCGACTGTACGCGAGGCCCTCGAATTCTCAGCCCTCTTGCGCCAGTCTCGCGACACATCCGCCGAAGAAAAGCTACGATATGTAGACACCATTGTTGGCCTCCTGGAACTTAATGACCTCGAGCATACTCTCGTGGGTCGTCCAGGTGCTGGCCTCTCAGTTGAGCAACGCAAGCGGCTTACTATTGCTGTAGAATTAGTAGCGAAACCGGAGATTCTCATCTTTCTCGATGAACCTACATCCGGACTTGATGGCCAGGCCGCTTACAACACCGTACGCTTCCTCCGGAAACTTGCAGATGCCGGACAAGCTGTCTTGGTCACCATCCATCAGCCTTCGGCACAGCTTTTTGCGCAGTTTGATACTCTCTTGTTGCTCGCAAAAGGCGGAAAGACTGTATACTTTGGTGATATTGGTCAGAATGCAAACACAATCAAGGAGTATTTTGGTCGTCATGGAGCTCCTTGTCCCCCTGAAGCAAATCCTGCTGAGCACATGATTGATGTGGTATCAGGGAACGGGCACCTAGCTTGGAATCAAGATTGGAATCAGATCTGGCTGCAATCACCCGAACACGACCAGCTCTCCAAAGACCTGGATCGGATTGTCGCAGAAGCTGCCACCCGGCCTTCAGGGGGTAGCGATGACGGACACGAGTTTGCGGCTTCCATGTGGACGCAGGTCAAGCAAGTAACCCATCGCATGAACATGTCGCTCTTCCGGAACACCGACTACGTGGATAACAAGGTCGCCATGCACATCAGCCTGGCGCTCTTGAACGGCTTCACCTTTTGGATGATTGGCGATAGCCTGACAGATCTTCAGCAGAACCTTTTTACCGTTTTCAACTTCATTTTTGTTGCGCCGGGCGTCATTTCTCAGCTGCAGCCTCTCTTCATCAACCGCCGCGATATCTATGAAGCACGAGAGAAGAAGAGCAAGATGTATCACTGGGCCCCCTTTGTGGCCGGTCTCATCGTCTCGGAAATTCCGTACTTGCTTGTCTGCGCATTGCTATATTACGTCTGCTGGTACTTTACTTGTGGCCTTCCTACCGCACCAGAACACGCTGGCAGTGTCTTCTTCGTCGTCGTAAGACCTGGCCCATCTCCCATCTCCCAGTTCATCCCCCCATACTATTGTCGTGGCACATTTAACAGTTTTTTAGGTCATGTACGAATGTCTTTACACTGGCATTGGACAAATGATTGCCGCGTATACCCCCAACGCCGTCTTCGCATCTCTTGTCAACCCGCTAGTCATTACAACCCTGGTCTCATTCTGTGGTGTCATGACGCCCTACAGCCAAATTCAGCCGTTCTGGAGATACTGGTAAGTAAATATCTGACCTGTTGCATTGATGATCCCTTAGTTCCAGCAGTCTCTAACAGTCTCATTTGGCAGGATTTACTACCTTGATCCTTTCAACTACCTCATGAGTTCTTTGCTCATCTTTACTTCCTGGGACAAGCCAGTCCGCTGCAGGTCCGGTGAACTTGCTGTATTTGACCCGGCCCCTAACCAGACCTGCCAAGAATACCTTTCTGTCTACCAGCAGGGCATAGGCGCGGCTACAAACCTCCTGAACCCAGAAGACACCGACGCTTGCCGTGTGTGTCAATATACCCAGGGTGGCGATTACCTCCGGACCCTTAACCTCAATGAGAAGACTTATGGGTGGAGAAATGCCGGCATTGTTGTTGTCTTTGTGGTTGGTATTTACGGGCTTGTGTTTTTGATGATGAAACTCAGGACCAAGGCGACGAAAAAGGCCGAGTCTTAGATCAAGGCCTTGAGGTTATCATCTCTATGCCGCTGTCTTATTTTTAACCCCTGCACCAGTTCTATTCTCTTTTATTCACTCCCGTTATATTTCCATATGCACTATATCCCCGTATCGGAACTACTCATTTTTTCTTGTAATTATTATAGATGGACTACACCTCTAGAAGCTCCCACAGATAGAAATTAGATTCGGTTGCTTGCGCTTCTAACTATTCAATGAGATGCCTTTAAGGAAACCGCTTCCCTCATCGCTCAGACTAGTTATGTAGCCTGCCAAGCCTGAATGAGGGAACGTCTCGCTTAGTAGGTATACTCATAACAGAGTACCTTCTCCCACCTGTTGATGGTACAATGAGTCCTTCACGCAGTCAGTTGCCAATACGTTCAACCCTTATAGGTTAGCGCATGGCATCCTTTCGCGATCATATGATCAAGTGCTTGGCTTGAACCAGGGTCTGAGTTTGGCGCACAACGGCAAAGGTGCTGGAGAGCTATTGGGTGTAGTGGATATGATACGTTTCTTTACAAGTTGGAGACACTTTTTGAAATTCCACAGTATTTGGAGATGCCGAAATGATGATCGCAGCACAAGCGTATAATGGCATTGAAGCGCCCGAAGTAGTAAATATCTAGAGAGAAAGTGTTACTACGATTTTAATGATAATTCCATATAATTACTTTTTTTCTCTCTCTTTCTTTTTTGTTTTACTTTTTACAATTGTTTTAATAGAGTTCTATTAATATTAAGGGCTATTTAGCCGCCGCCCTATTTCTCATCGACAACGAACCGACATATAATACACACCTCCTATTCCATCCCTGATATCGACATATTCCCTCTTCACTCCTCATTCACACCATTCATTCCAAACATTTCAAAGGCCCCGCTCAAGGCCTCTAGAGATTCCGCCGCTGCACCCAGCCCTGCCAGGATAACGACCATATCTCCCGAGCCGGCCGCATCGCCATCAGCCCTTCTTCAGCTACGCCGCTGCCTCCGACCCTGTCAGATTAACGACCATGCTAGAAGAACGAACCAATCGGCATGCGAGCCGTTAGTCGAAACAACAGAGACTGCCCGCTGCCCCCGGCCCTGCCAGGTTAACGGGTATGCCTCCACGTCGACTAGCACTTGGCGGCTGGAGCCCCTTGGATTTTGCTTTGAATTTCATGGTATCATGAATAGAGACCAGAGCTATGCCCGCCTTGTATTCCCAACGGCACGGGCCACGGAATCATCGCCAAGAAACCATAGCTCCTCTCCAGTGTCTCTTCTAGACGACCGCGTGGAGCGTAAAAGCCGTTGTGTGGGAGGCGGGGGGGATCGCTCTTGGGGATTTTTCCGACGAGATTGTTTCTTCGGCAATGATGGATTCTGCTCGTTGTTCGAGCGTCTCTTATCGACCCGTTGTCGGTTCGAGGCTCGAGGCTTCTTTTGAAGCTTTCTTTTGGGCGATTTCGTGTCTGCTTCTGTAGTAGAATTCTCAGTAGTAAGTCCACGCGTGAGCTGATCTTCATCTGCTTGAGGAATCTCTTGGTTTGTATGAATAATCTCTGAACTCCTCTCTGATGGCGATTGACTTAGCTCTTCTATATAGAAGGCTCTGTTTAGGTCCATGATTTGGTGCGCCGTCCGTGCACGGAGAAATGCTCTGTCGTCGTATTGTTCAGGTATCTGCGTCGTATCAGGGACATTAGATAAAATAGATGGGCTGCGATCCACTGTATTAACGGCACTCTCGGTTGACGAGAGGGCTCTACCTGGTTGATCCTGATTAGCTGATTGTCCTGGAGATTGCCTTAACCGCTCGCTTGGGCTGTCGACCATTCTGGCCTTTTTCTTTCTTGCTTCTTCCAGGGAATTGTCCGAAGATTTCCGTTTCCTGCGACGCGCAGGAGTCGGCGTAGCCTCTGGAACCCCTGGTTGGTCTTGCCCAGCAAAAGGGCTCTCTGTATCGACATCTTCGGCGCCAACGTCCTCGCTGGCCATGCGCTGTCTCTTTCCAGTAGATATAGGCGCATCTTCGTCGATTCTCCTCTTTGCTGCTCTTGAACTCTCGGCCGTTTGCTCTGGCGATAGCCTGTCGGCCTGACGCGGGCCGATCCGCCTCGAGGACGATGTGGGCTCTGGCTTTTCAGCAGCAACCGCTGCAGCCGCCGGACTCTCTGAAGTTGAGACTGGCGCATTGCGAGACGACTTGCGCTTGCTGCGTGCTGTTCCGTGAGATGCCCTGCGTGGTGAGTCCGAAGAAGTCGCCTCGATGGCTTCAGACGCGGCGGCTGCGCGCCTAGCGGCCCGCGCCGTCCTCGTCCTCTCAATGGCTTCGTCTGCCCGGCGTCTCATGCTCTCCCGTTCTTCTCTCTCGTCTCTCACAAAGCCGTCAAAAAACGTCACCAGATTGTCAAAGGACATGTAGCGCGCATATTGCTGAAAGGCGAACTGCCGCCGGGCCGCCGAGTCATTTTTGGTACCTGGCTTCATCTTCACATTACGGGTCTCTGGATCGTAGCACAACTGACAAGAGAGTAAAGTAGAGGACCACAGTAAAGTACTGACTTCATCCCACCCTTTAGACATTTCTTTGATCCGTTGAGCCTTGCGTTGTTCTAGCCGCGAGTAAAACTCGTCTCTTGTATCCGAGCTATCAGCACATTCATAAACATCTCTGTGGAAGGCAGTAGGGTCTTGTAACGAAAACGGTCTGGTATTAAAGCGGTCATGAAGCGTGGTAAAAAGATCGTTGGGGTCAAGGGAAAACTTGGCAAAAGGCCAATACCACTCTAAGTCCTGTAGATAATCTGGCTTGGGAAGTACAGGATCCATTTGAAAATAGAATGATGATAATCAATCAATCTACAGCTTGTAGAAGGCCAGAATTGATTGGGGCGGTGGTGGCATAACGACAGTCGACCCCCATAACTCACGTGATGGAACCTGGGGATACTGTAAGCGCGCGCACATATCGAAAAGAAGGCGCAAAATTCAGAAATGTTGGAGGGAGACGGAATAGGAAGTTGGATGTTGGTTGGAAACTGGCCAGAACACTGCTGGGCTGGATACGAATCGGCTAATTCATAGACCACATGGAGCAAAAGCATGAAACCAATTGCAAGTATCGTACAGAATAAGGTTCAATTTGACTAAAACATCGTGGGCTATTAAACGAAGCTACAACCAGAACCTCGAGCCACTATATTGTTAGCTCAGGTTCTAATCAAACCTGTACAGAAACAAACAAAACAAAGTAAATGTCAAACACTTAAAAAAAGTATACATGTGGTGAAAATTAATACTTGGTATTCAAACACATCTTGCAAGCTTTTATCAAGAGTTTGAGTCGTCGTTTCAGTACGTATTTTTGAATTATAACACTGCCCATTGTCTTGGGTATGAATATCCACAAAAGAGGCAGCTACAGTACTAATTCATTCTCTCCATGCAAGCCATTCTGACGATACTTTCATCTCAGGTTCGGCCTCTTCAATGATCACAAAGTCCTTTAAAAGCTCTATATCAAGTATAATCGGCAAGTAAGCAACTATAAGTCCATTTTTCAATCTATTATTACAATCAACAGCTGGTCAATCAAAGTCTGCCAGTATTGTCACCACCCACAAGCTTTCAGTCGCTTGGATTGAAATCTTATGGAGCCCTGGCGTGCTAAAACTTAGAATCCAGGGGTATGTCATACTCGCTAGCAGCGCCCACACCACGAGCAGAACGTCAATGGCTAATGCATAATGGAGCAAGTGTAGATGTGGCTACTGTATATCTGCGGAAGAGACTAGTCGAATCTCGCAAATGTTACCTTTTGTGCCACGTCAGAGAAACTGCTGCAGTCATGAGCTGTTCTGCAGCCACGGCCACACATATTGGTCCAGCTGCATTAGGATGGCTGCCACGATCGGCATCGTTGCCACTAAACCCACTCATTCAACTCTTGCAATTGAATGTGCCATCCCGCTCAACCGTTTTCTCCCTTGCTGACTGCAGCCATCCAAAGACTGGCAAGTCTCGAAACCCCTCACTCCATGACCAATGGCAATGGGCGGTAAGAGCCGGGGCTTGCCTTTGCACGCATGGCGTAGCTCAGATTGAGGCAATATGGACATGGCCTGCTATCCGATATGGCGCCGTGTCCTTTGTAGCACTGGTTGTTAGACACTGCAGTTTGAAAGCCATCTGAAGTTGATATGCTGGGCGGCAGTCAGGTGCCAATTCAACAGTGGCTTCGGTGGAGAGTTTGAACTGCGACGAACATGACACTGTACGATTACAGCATTTCAAAAGTTGCCCTGCCTTTTGTAGAATTAGATGCTCTTATTTCTCTAAATCTTGTGTAAAAATGCCTACAAAGGTTCAAGTAGTGTCGAGTTCTTTATTCCATCCAAAATCACATTCGACAGCATCAATGGAGCAAGCCAATCAGCAAGCACCTAGCGAGAACAGCCAGGGAGCATCCCAGCATACCAACCCCTTCACCTCTTCTGAATTGAAAGCAAATGCTGAACATAATGGCTGGTGCAACACTCAGTCAAAGATAGTTCAATCGTCTGCCCAAAGCACCAATCCTTTGACTACTAGCGAAATAAACGCGAGCACAACACACAACGAGGAGTGCAACACTCCAATAACAAACATCCAGTCTTCCAATGATACCAATCCCTTTACCGCTTCCGAATTGAGAGCAAACATCGACCATAATAAAGAGTGCGCTACTCAGTCAAGATATATTCCACCATCCAATACTACCAACCCTCTTTCGGCGAGCGAATTCGAAGCGATTGTCAAGCAAACGAATCCTCAATTCGAAGGGGTGTCCTCGTCCAGGGCCACAAATCCCATCGCTTCGGCCGAGCTGAATGTCATGGTCAAATCCAAGAAGGAATTGGACTCTCGGCCAGAGCAGAGCGCTGCAAATAAAGAGAGCAAAAAGGCAACAAAGCCGGACAACAACATCGCCAATGATAAAGGCAGTGACAAGAAGCAGGTGGCCATTCAACCGCCATACCGGCAATGCATTAGAAGAGCCACTCTTAAATTCAATATGAATACGGTGGTTAATATCAATGCTCAAGCACTTGGCATGTCCGGAAGACATGTCCCCCATGCCGCTGGCGAACTAACTCTTGTGCAATCGCAACACGACGTTGGTTACAGTGTGCAGATTGCTGCATCGCCAACGGACCAGAGGCGTACTCGCCGTACCAGTCGAGGCAAAGTTATCTGTCTCGACTTGATGTTCGATCCGAGCAGCGACTTTATACTCTTATGCAACATGACCCAATCATCCGCCGCGGAGCCGATTGCCATCAGACCGCTTCCGCTCTCCAGCCGGAATGAACCATTGAAACTTGACCCTCTCGGAAAAGTCCCTCTCAATTCTTCGTACCGTGTTTCTGCATGGAATGAGCATCTGTTCGATATTACCATCTTCCCACGCGGCTATGTTTCTGTCGCAGAGCCAGCCAATCAGACAATGAGAGTTAAGAAAAGGGCGCTTGAAGCATCTTCATCTCAGCTCGACCCGCAGAATGTTAAGAGGGCAAAATTACAGGAGACGACTGACGAGTCCAATGCTACCACCATCATCCAAACAACAGCACAGCCACCTCCACCGCCAGCCAACGAGCTGATTGCCGTCAAGACAATTTCAAACACGGACAGGCCAGACACGAGCCTCCTGTCAGGTATATGTCATCCGCTGGAACATCTTCGGCTTGGCGATACTGTAAAGATAGCCAGTGCCACTCAAGAAGAAGATTATACAATTACCCGCAAGGATGATATATCAGTTCAAAGGAACTCGATTGTTTTCAAAGCACACCACTCGAGTTTTCCAGATCGGTCAATAGCAGTCAAAGTATGGCGAAGCAAGCTGGATTACGATCCTATTTCAAAGCAAGGGGTAAATATCTCTGCTGTTGGTAAACATTGGTTGAATGAAGTGAGGAATCATTTCAAAGTAAACCAACATGTGAGTTGATGTTACAAATCCATCATTCATTGGTATTCAATGCTAACTCTACTCTAGCCCGCCATTGCAACTGTTTTGGGCTTTGACGCAAGATTGCTGTCGCTATATATGGAGCATGTAAACGCGCCTAGTTTACAAGGTTATCGCGAACGTGGAAGAAACCCCTATTGCACGCTGAACAGTTTGGATGCAAAAAGGGTGCTCCATGATATCACCGATGCCCTCAATTTCATTCATAGTAAGGGTATCACGCATGATGACATAAAGCCAGCGAATATCCTCTACTCTAAGCAAAGGGGACCAGTTCTTATTGATTTTGGATGGTCGTCCAATGGACATGTACACACTGCAGGATCGCCATGGTACATTCCCCCTGAATACGCAAACAATGGTGAGCGTGGAGCCGCGGCTGATATCTTTGCTCTCGGAGTCGTCACGCTCTTTGTCTTGGGCATGATCCCCCTCCCAGAGTTACAGTCGCCGCCTTTGGTATGGCATATTTCCCGCATAAGAGGCGGAGGGCCGGAGACTTTTGCGGCAGCAGAAGCGATGAACCGGTGGTATAAGATTGTTCAAGAGGCTGCAAAAGAGTCCACGGTGGATTTGGACGATTCTGGTGATGTGGCTGTTGGGGACATAGTTGCTAGGATGGTAGATGAAGATGTTGAGAGGCGGATTAAGGGGCCTCAGATCATACGAGCGTTGGATAGGCACAAGTAGATAAAATAGTATAGCAGAGATCAATAAATCATCAGTGGTACAAAATCAAATGATTGCGAGAACAGTAATGGGTGTACTTGTCGTTAGGTTTGATATAACATGAGTACGATTCATGCTTGTATATAAGACAAGGACTTTTGAATAGCTGGGCGGAGCGGACATGTTCACCCGAATGTATTTCAATCATTAAATAAATGAATACACAAGTTCAACATGCAATTGTAAACACCCAACTGGCTAAATATCGATGGGTTAACCAAGAACGAGATTAAATATTGCTTACTCATTTAGCCGGAGACAAGCATTGAGTCGCCATAGGAGACGGACGGTCGATGCCGGCGTATACTATTCTAGTGGTTCAACGTGTACAAATGCGGCCCATTTTTTGACACGCCGCATGCGATTGTTATGATTGCAAACTAACAAGTCCTTATAAAATGTCAGAGGAAGAAATAGTCAATAAAATGAAGCATAGTCTACCATCGACGCTATTTTCATCTCCCCGCGTTATTATCCAGATCCCTGCGCTCCGAACCAGCCCCTCACCTTGCCTTTTGCGCAACATCATCTACTACCCATATTAGTCTCTCGTTAGATTTACACATGATACAATTTCTGACATCTTTATCGCTATTTATCAAGAGACGAAGCTCACAATGACTTTACGTAGCATTGTTGCTACGAGCCAGCCAAAGCATCAGCCGCGCGCTTCGAAACACGGCGCCACAGATGCACCTTCTGAGCCGGATCTCATCAAGCCGTGGAAACTCCCTCCTCCAAAGACATATATATTCAAAAATGCGAATGTGGTGGATGCAGCAAATGGGCAAATTATTCCAAACCAGAATGTCAGGATATCAAATGGACTCATCCAAGAAATTGACGGCAGTAATAGCGCGCAGCTATGCTCTAGCGACACCATCGTGATAGACATGGCAGGCAAATATCTCTGCCCTGGGCTCATCGACTGCCATGCCCATCTATCTTCCGTGCCTGGAGAGGAGGGTCTTGCAGCGGCTGCGAATCACGCCGATGCTGCGGTATCTCTACTACGCCAGCCATACATGGCCGCTCAAGTCCTCTACCGGGGCTTCACTACGATGAGAGACACCGGCGGTGCAACGCTGGCTCTCAAAGAGGCCATAGCAGACGATGTATTCCATGGGCCGCGGCTATTCATCGCCAATAGGGCACTCTCGCAGACTGGAGGCCACGGCGATTCGCGATCTGCGCATGAGAGCTGCTGCGGAGCCACAACTTCTCTTTCTACCATCGTCGACGGCGTCCCAGCCGCGATACATGCTGCCCGAGAGCAGATTCGCACGGGGGCAGATTTCATCAAGATCATGGCAAGCGGCGGTGTTGCGTCTCCCACAGATAGGATTGACCACATCCAGTTCACTGCTGCTGAGATCCGGGCGATTACTGAAGTTGCAGATACTTACAATACATATGTGACTGCTCATGCTTACACGCCTCGGGCGATCAGGCACGCTGTCGACAACGGCGTCAAGGGCATCGAGCACGGCAATCTGATTGACAAAGAGACGGCAGAATACATGGCCAAGAACGACGTGTGGTTTACTCCCACTCTTGTCACCTACCACGCCATGGGCTCTGACAAGTATGCCGGCTTCCTCCCTCCTGCAAACCGCGAGAAGAATCGCCAGGTGCTGGAACAAGGACTGCAATCTCTGCGCTTGGCAGACGAGGCTGGGGTCACCATCTGCCACGGCTCCGACCTCCTCGGGCCTCTGTGGGCCGAGCAGAGCAAAGAATTCGGCATTCGAGCACAAGCTCTAAGTGCAAAGAAGATTCTCCAGGGGGCCACCGTGAATGCGGCGAGGATGCTGAAGCAGGAGAACTTCTTGGGCCAGATCAAAGAGGGATTTGCCGCAGATGTTTTGGTGCTGAGTGGGAATCCGCTGGAGGATGTTACAATTCTAGATGAGCCGGAGAAGAACATTCTTGCAGTATTGAAAAATGGCCGGGTGTATAAGAGCAGGTGGACGAAGCTGCCGGAGGATGTCACTCGAGCCCAGGCGTTTATCGAGTGACTCAACAAGGGTGAAGAATAGATGAAAATACATGATTAATTGTAAGATTCGAGTGAATGGAATAATTCTTCTTATGGCTTGTAAGTTGAAAGTATCTCGGGCAATCGGGTGTGTGGAGAGAGATCGATCTGACTAGATCGGGGTCGTCTTAGTCAGCAAGATCCGACATCTAGTTGCCGATATTAGGCGTCGACATCTTTTCCTCTTCTCTCAACTACAACAACAACTCATATCCTCTCATGCCCAAGCTGCGCAGCGTTTAAACCTCCGACACGAGCTCTCGCGCACCCACAATGAGCCGCAAGCCATGATCTCCGGCCGCTCTAATGCTCCCTCGCTGGATCTGCCAGACTCCACCACCGGCGTCCTCCCCGTGATCCCGCCCGGCGTCGAGCTCCCCGATCGCCACCCGCGAAACAATGCCGCGACCGCAGCTTCAGCGGCCGGAGTGAGGGCTCTCAGCGCGCAGCTCGTTGCCTTTTACTTCCGCGCGCCCGCAAAGTCCTTCTTCCGCACGAGGGTCGACTATCTGGCGTATGCCCGGACGATACACCACCAGCAGACAAAGCGGCTGATGCAGGCCGTCGCAGAAGATGCCTCGCCGACGAAGCTGGTTGCGGCGCTGCGGCAGACGTGGCTGTGGATGCGCAGCACAACGCCGGGCGTGTTGACGTCGGCCATCAGGCATGAAGGCTGGGGCATTGTGCCGCACCAGATCATGCCGCCGCTGATTGCCAACATTGGCGTCAACGCCGTGCTGTACACGGGCTATCTGCACATCTTGGGCCACCTGCACGAGGGGAGCTCCAAGGCTGCCAAGAGGGTGTATCCGCCGCCTCCTCCGCAGGCCACCTTTGCGGCTGGCTTCCTGGCGGGCGGACTACAGAGTGTCTTGGCCGCTCCACTGGACGCACTGCAGGCACGATACGATCACCGCGATATGATGCCCAGCGACGGCAGCAACCGGCCTCGAAGCATGTGGACGTTTAGCGCCGAGAAGCTGAGAGAAATCGGGCTGCGGGGCATCTTTGCCGGATGGGGTGTGTCGTTCGTCAAGGACAGCCTGGGATGCGCCGTCTTTTTCAGCACATTCGAGTATATCAAAGCCCAGTCGTATTATCGCTTCGTGGCATGGTACTACGGAGGCTTGGAGGAGAACATTGTCGATCTTCTGGCGACAAAACGGCCTGCGGACAAGCCTACGGATGGTGGCATTCAGCTGATTCGACCGCACTACGCTATTGAGCCCGCGTTCCTCCTTGCCGCCGGCATAAGCGCATCCTTCACTCAGCAGCTTCTGCTCCACCCCCTCACGCACTTTCAGGTGAAGCACTGGGACCATCTGGAAGAAGTCGACGAGAAAGCCGCCCGGCTGCGCGCATCCCGCGCTGCCAATCCAGATACGCCTCAGCGCCGATGGAGGATGCTGCGGGCTTACTATCACGCCTATCAGGAGACTTTTGCTGCTTGTACGGCCGAGGCTTCGGCGGAAAGACTGAGTCTGGGGAAGTGGCTGTATCGCGGATTCTGGTGGAACACGATTCGGCAGGTTCCGAGCACAAGCGCCGGCTTGATCATCTTTGAGCTTATCCGGCGAAAGTACGGGTTTGGAATGGACGAAGTGCGCATTAATACCGAGGATGGATACGACATCTTGTTGCATTAGAGGGTAATACAAGGATTCATGATGCATGTCATGTTTTGTATTAGAGTATATAGCACACAGACCTCTCCGTTAGATATAGTACACGATAGAACATACCACTCCTGCAAATGAATATCAATGCTGATTTGACTATAGCCGTTTTAAGCATGGTCAAAAATTGCTATCCTCTGTTACTCCCAGCACAGGTTTTACTTCTTCTTCGCCTGTAAAACTGCTCAAACGAATCGGTAGAGTTCTTTTTCATAAGTCGCAGATGACTGAAAATTGAGAGCCGTAGTCGGATAACGTGCTGTGGACCTTGTCTGCGAGTTCGGTAGATCGCACTGTTCCTCGGACGTTGTATCTTCTGTCTAGGGCTTGCTTGACGATATGCTAGGCTATGAAGCCGTTGGCGCCGGTGACGAGTAAAATTTGTTCGGACGGAAGTGCCATTGTAACTCCCTGGGATTTAAGTCTCCGTTTGAGGTATATTCGATTTACAGTGATTGAGAGTCATAGTGCCGCATAGCTAAGCTGTGTGTTATGTCTCTGCTCCGCTCTGCTGGCTGGGTGGATGGAAAAGTGCCGCAGGTTCTAAGTAATAAAGGGGAGCCTTTAGGAAGAGGTGTAGTATTACGAATTTACACGTAGCTCGATACCTCTCACAAACCTAGAATCTCTTCCAGTTTGAGCACTCTTCCTCTTCTTAATAACTCTCACTTACTACTACAACAACCATGACAAACTTGTTACAAATCTTTTACAAACCTACTAGCAGCTTTATTACAGCTAGTGGCAACTAAAGAAGGAAAAGAAAGTCTGCTATAATTGCTCATTGTAATATCTTACGAATTTCCTCTGCCAGCGTGCCAGCCAGAAGGAATTCACAATACATCGCATGAAGGAATTAGAGCAAGGGATCACAACCACTTTGAAGGAATTAGAGAAAGTAAATTAGTAAAGCCAGTCTATTCATCTTTCTATCTCGACATGAAGTTATTACATCTACAATCTATAGATGCTTGGCCGCTCTTTTCTCTGGTATGGCTCTGGCTCGAGAATAGAAATATGCATAGTTTCGTATTAAAAAAAAGAATTACCAGGTGAACAAGAGGCTTGCTCTTCTTATTGTCCTGGAAAATGATGGTACTGGTAATGTGATGTATGGCATCTCAGTAATGTAAATCTCTTTTAAACCGCTTACGAACCAACTAAACTTCAAGATAGACACACCCCTGGCAGCGTTTACTTTAACATTTCTTCTTATATATTACGCTCATAGCCATAGCCAAAGTACAGTAATCTCAGCGACCCCCATCTCAATTCTCCGCACTCAACCCAATCATCCCCAAGCTTACATCCCAAAGACGCGCCGCACTCTCCCCATCGTGAATATGCGCCGCATGTCCCGGCGCAAGAACCGTCGCATCTCCCCTCCACAGCTCGCTCTCCTGGCAATCCTCCAGAAACACACCGCCCTTGCCTTCCCACTCGCGCGATATCGCCGCCCACACCGTCGTGGCAGCGCCCTGCTCAGCACTCTTCATCCTTTGCGCGACAAGCGGATCCCCAGTCAGGGCATTGAGCTCCGACTCGGGCGTCATTCTGTTGAGCCTCGTGCCGCTGATGCCTCCCGGATGGACCGCCAAGCCGTGCAGGCCGCTGGCGCCGTAGCGCTTTTCCATCTCGAATGACATGTAAATGTTTGCTGTTTTGGATTGCGCGTATGCGAGTAGCGGCTGGTACTCATCTTGGCGGTCAAAGTTGATATCGTCGAAACGGATGCCCGATTGGCGGTGGCCCGACGCTGAGAGGCAGACGACTCGAGAGTGGAAAGATGGCGTGCTCGATGCGAGTAAAGCATCTTTGAGGGCTTGGAAAAGAGCAAAATGCCCGAGGTGGTTGGTTCCAAAATGCAGCTCAAAGCCATCTTCAGTTGTTCCTTTTGGATATCCACGAATACCTTTAACGAAAACTTAGTACAAGGAGAAAAGAAAGGTCTCGTGAAACGTCCCAAGATAGGGGCAACAAATCGTAACTCACCAGCGTTGCAGACTAGAATATTAAGCCTGCCCAATGTCCGGCCCAAGAAGTCGGCAGCAAACTCTCGTATATTCTTGAGAGAGTCCAAGCTCATTTCCATATACTCGAGTTTTCCCGGCTTGTTGTCACAGCGGAGCTCTGCTTCAGCCTTTTTGCCCTTTTCAGCGTCACGCCCGGTGAAGTACACATCAGCACCAGTGGCATGCAGCGCACGCACTGTTTCGAAGCCGATGCCAGAGGTGCCTCCAGTCACGAGGATAACCTTTCCCCTAAGCTGGCCATCCAAGGATTGATCTCGTACAATCCCAAGGGCGGTAGGACGGGCGTCTCCGGGGCCATTGGTATCTTGGTGTTCTTTTGCGTACGGAGCTATGAGCGACATGATGATTTGTTGGACAGCTGTGTTTAGGCCAGTCGATGAATAGCAGAATTATTGGGCTGAATGTACGATGAATGTAGAGTAAAAAAAAAAAGTGTATTGGCCAACTATAGATTATATAGGCCACCATCTCGATTATATGTACTTAATCTTCAATGTCCCCATGTGGAGAGTTTAGCTGCTTCAAGCGTCTCCCTCCGCCATACTCAAGCCAGACTAGCTCACAGCGAGGATTCCCAATCACGGACCTGTTGCGGATATAAACCATCATGGTCGCAGGTCCATCAGAAAGTAAACGAATGTATGACGAAGCATCCATCGAGAACATACAAAAAAATAGGAGCCCCGGTCGAGATCCATTGCTCGCCGGCAAAAGTGGGGCCGTGGGAAACGGATTTACCGGCAATAGGTCCGCTCTTGAATAACGAAGTAGACGGCACCTCCCACCTATAAATCATGATGTTGTTTATTTGATTTTTGAAGAATAGAAGAATTTAAAAGCTTTTTTATAGAGATCAAAGGAGAGTTCAATAGAAAGCACAAAAACTAGACTCAATACCAGCATAATGGCTTCAGCAACAACCCACGCGGAGTTTGGCGTCCGCACAACGGCCCTGACTGTTGCCGCCGCTTTCCCCTCCGCCATCGCAGGCAAGACGATTTTAATCACGGGAGTCAACATCAAGGGCCTCGGCTTTGCCACCGCTCAGGCCTTTGCCTCGCAGAAAGCCGCGCTCCTCATCCTCGCGGGCCGCACCCCCGCCAAGCTGCAAGAATCCGCCGATACTTTGGCCAGAGAATATCCCGGCACAAAGTTCCGCATCCTAGAGCTGGACCTCAGCTCTCAAAGGGGCGCGCGAGCAGCCGCCGCCACGCTAAACGGATGGACTGACTTGCCCGCCATTGACATCCTTGTCAATAACGCCGGCATCATGAACATCCCCACCCGCCAGCTCAACGAGGACGGCATCGAGCGGCACTTTGCGACAAACCACGTCGGCCACTTTCTCTTTACAAACCTCATCATGGGGAAGCTGATTGCGGCGGCGCAAAAGCCCGGCGCTGGAAAGGGTGCCACTCGCGTCATCAACGTATCCTCCATGGGCGCCAACTTTAGCCCCATCCGCTATAGCGATATCAACTGGGAAAAGGCAAACGAGACGATACCTCTTGTCGAGCAGCCAGACTATTTACGATTTTCCCAAATGCTGGGCATCGACCAAGACGTCATCAAGGCTGACAGTTTCATCTCAATGGGAGCCTACGGACAGTCCAAGACAGCCAACGTGCTGTTCAGCCTCGGCCTCAACGAGCGCTTATACAACAAATATGGCATTTTGAGCCTTGGCTTACATCCCGGCTCCATCATCACCGAGCTCGGACGGGAGATGGACCCCGAGGTATGGAGACAGAGGACGGAAAAGTTCAAAAAGGGAGGTATGGTTTTTAAGAACCAGGAAGAAGGCACCAGCACAACGCTGGTGGCTGCTGTGGACCCAGCACTGACACTGCCAACAAAGAGGCCTCTTGCAAGCGAGGCAGATCTCGCAAAGATGGGCAGGGAATTGAAGGGCGAAGACGGGGAGTGGGAGGGCAGGGGTGTGTTTCTGAGTGATTGCCAAATCTTTGAGGACGCAAAGGTGTGGTTTACGAGCTGGAGCCAGGGAGAGAAGCTTTGGGCAAAGAGCGAGGAGCTTGTGGGAGAGAAGTTTGCCTACTAAATATGGGTAGTTAAGCAGCAATACTTGCAATGCCTTTTATATATCAAAAGCTTATATCAAACGTTCTTAGACTGTCTGTTGACAAATGATTTAGCCTCCCTAATGTGAAAGAGAATCATCTGATGTTTGCGAGCCCCGTTGCCGATTCCTAATGTAATTCCATGGGCCCTCTCATAGTAGACTCGTGTGCATCATGACATATTTCCGTCACTTCATCTATATTCGGACATAAGCGGCCGCTTGAAGCCTACATTAGCATCCGGAATTAGTTTACACAGGCGAAGCCGCGGGGAGGCGGGGGAGTGATGCAGTCTTTACTTAGCCGTTATCACTGCGTATGTAAATATGTATCTTCTCGGGGGCGATTCTTCGGAGAATGGTACTTGATAAGTATATTGTGTGGGTTTAGCTTCAAAGTAGTCACTTGATGGAAATATCAGCAATAGACGAACACTGGTCTGAGGATTGTTGCTCGTAAACAATCTCAATCAACCGTCTTTCTACATAGTAGTATCTTGTAAAACAACAAGGTGGACTGTCCCCTCCAAAACACACATATGGCACCCAATGTACCACATGATCAAATCATTAACAAAGCACTAATCAGCAACCAAGACTCATCCCTAGTCAACCACTCTTTTAGACCCCAATCAACATCTTCAGACCGGTCTGACGTGCTTCCTTTAGTCTCCAGCTAGGCCGATGCGGGCAGCCAATCACGCAGCGCCCAGCCAAGCCTCGCATCCAAATCGGGCCACTCACCGCGTGCCAGCAACGCAATCTGGAAACGAGGCGCATCTCGACAACGAGCAAAGCAAATCACCAGACTGCCACGTCAACATCTGCCAGCGTCAGTAGTAGCATAGTGCGTACGCTGTCGAGGGCTGTTCACAATTCAGCTCGCAAGATAGCCACTACTGCCCCGTAATCAAGCGTGAACTGGACGGAAAGGAAAATACACTTTTACCACTGCAGATATGCTGCATGCATACACGCAAAGGATGCCAAACCACCATTAGGCACAAACAGCGCCCAACTTCAAATGCCATCTCCCCAATCTCCAACCCACCACTTCTCCCAACTCAATCTCCACCTCACTCAGCCATCATCATCAATTTCTTCATCGTGAAGAAGAAGAAAAAAAAAAGACAACCCAACACACGCGCCTCAACCATGCTCCCCCCCAAGCCACAAACCCAATCCACCGAAAACCTCCTCCTCAAATGCCAAAAAGAAGTATCCCTCACCCAAACCTCAAATCAACCCCCATAAACTAAAACAACATCATTCTCCAGACTCACAAGAAATGCCTCCCCCCCGAATGGTCCATCCACCCCCCCAACAAGGAAATCCTCCCTCCCCACGACACCCTCGCCCTCGCCATCCAAATCGACTCCTCCTCGCCCTCCACCCGCATCAACTTCCTCGAGGCCGCTTCCAACCGCTCCGTCGGCTCCATCCTCGGCGCCGAATACCGCGGCTCCATCGTCGTCGTGCCCTGGCGGCCCGGCCTCAAGTTTGTCTGCGTCGCGACCTGCCGGAGGCGCAGCGGGTGTCGCGTCGGGGTGGTGAGAGAGGCTAAAAGAGGAGCTGCAGCAGCAGCGTCAGCGCAGATGAAGAAGGATTCTGCTGTTGCTGCTGCTGCTACTGTTGCCGCCGCGAAGAGGAGTGTTGGCGGAGGCAGAAACATGGGCAGTGACAAGGCCCTTGACGTTAATCATGGCCATCATGCTGCAGTCTCTCCTGCTAGTAGTAGTGGCAGTCCGACTAGGAGTCGTATTCCCACTCCCAAAGGGCAGCGCATGAGCATCAAGAAATACGAAAATAACAGACACGTGAGCGTCAACGCTGCGAGGACTATTGGGACCAAGTCGAGAATCCCAACGAGGCGAGTCGTCGCACAAAGCTGCTGCTAGGAGATCGTGACAGCATGCAGTGTTGACGGAAGAATGCGTCGAGATGTCACACATTGCCTTGCCTGATACATGACGATATTAGAATGATTAATGAGTTACGAATATTGCTATACCAATCACCCAAATATATAAACACATCACAAGAACAGCCGTTTCGCACAAGATGATTAAACAATAAAATGGTAGTCGTATTACCGCTGCCCTCAGCAGCTAGCTTTTATCACACAAGTCGCTCATCGCTATGCAAAACCTCAAGGTATATCCATACAAAGAAAGAAGATGTAAAAAATGGCCAACAACACTCAAAAATGGTCCGTCCCTATACCCAGTTCCCCCACGCCTCCCTCGTCCATCAGCAGCAAATATTGCTTGGAGTGTTCCCACAAGCCCTCCCACGCACAAGATCGAAACTCCAGGAACCACTGATACGTCTCAGTGTATAGGTCGGGATACAGGTAGTACGTCAAGAAAGCCTGCATTGCGTCACACATGTCTCGAATATCGTTCTGGCCCGCTCGGATCGGCATGTGCATGGCGAGGCTGATGTAGAAGCGGATTCCGAGAGCCCTGCCCAGCGCCCAGCTTGACCGATTCATTTCCGTCCACACTAAGCCGTCATTGCGGTTCCAGCATTTGGCAATGGTGTGGACGCTGCAGCACCAGATGAGCTCGAGGAAGCTTTGCACGCCTTCTCCGGGGGCCTCTGCAAATATCCAGGCGGGAATGGGATGCCCAAGTTCAGACACCCTGTCGCACCGCATCTTCAGCTCCGCAGCAAACATGTCGCGCTGGAACAGAACCATGGACTCTTCGTCATGCTCACATCTGGGCTCTGTAGCAGAACACTCGTCAAAAGCTGCGTCTCGGATATTACACAAGCGCTGCGCTACCTCGTGCAGCCTCTTCTTCGTCCACGGACAGATGGACACGGCGTCCAGGGGAATATAGCCGTCTGGCCAGCGTTCCGAGTATCTTTGCAGAGCGTGTCTCCAGAAAGTACTTGGATGCTTGGCGTAGGCGTATATCTTGACCAGGTATTGAATGTGGACGGCCAGTTCGAGCATGTTGCCCAGAGTCTCGGCATCACGGATCGTGTCCAGCGACGGCTGCCGTGAAATTGCATACAGGCACTTCCAAACTCCCTCTTTTTGGCGAGTCACTTGCAGAATGCCCATGGTCAGCAGGCAGATGCCCATGTTTGACGGGTGGATAGTGTCCTTGATGATCCTTTTAAGGATCGGGACCTTGTAGGCTTTGAGGACGCCAGCAAAGTACGGCGAACTTGCCGCAAAGTTCCTCAGATCGCACTTGGTAGGGAGGTAGCCCATGATCATTTCGATCATCTCTGGCGGCAAACTTTCCATGGAAACGGTCGATATCTCTCTTTGTCGCTCTAGGACGAGGCGAGGCGTCGGAAAGGACGTGCGTTGTTCGTTTGGCGAGATCATTGTGCGTGTCTAGGATACTTTCATAAACGACAGACAAGATGTTCATAGTGATATTTGGTAGTAATGTTAGCTAGCTTGGGTCCTGCTGTAGGCCTAGATGCTGATGGAGCGGGAGAGTGAGGAGCAATGAATTGCTGTTCGGCGTTTGTTTTGGACTGGAGCACGAAAAGAATGCGTGGCTCCTGCTCAATATCAATGACCGATGCACGGCAACAATAAAGATAAAGAGCCACCAGTAGGATGATGAGCACGAATGTAGATTCCACTGTTTTGTCATCTTATTCTCTGCAGCGAGTGCAATTCAGTGTGCCTTTTGGCACAGCACAAGATGGGAATCTTTATCGTTTGCATTATAAACTGTGGTATCTATCAATTTAATGACTTCAGGAACAGCTGCCCGATACAAATAAACCGCTAATATTACATGCATCGCGAGTTCTTCTTTTGCAGATAAACGCCGTCATATCACAACTCCATGTCCGCCACACCTAAAGAGGCAATCTCTACCTAACAATGAATCTTTCCATGAACCATGGAGCGGCTACATGCCAACCACATCTTCATCAACACCTTGAATCCGCCTCACCAAACATAATTCTTTTGATCCGTAGTCATCATAGTAACAAGTTTGCATTAACAATCGGCAGCAACATGCGTACTGCCTGTTTGACAGCTGGTTGCCTCGCGCTCCATTATCGTCTCTCCTTGTGCTTGATTCAGCATCTGGATGATTTCCGTGATCCTTGTATCCTTCATCAAATGCGCCAATAGACTTCTAGCCTTTGCCGCTTGACTTGTATCGGTATTGTTCTCTTGGCTCGCGTTTTCGCCGTCGCGGTTTAGATTTTCGTGTTCGTCTGCGTCTCGGATTGGCTCATGAGTCTTTTGTCGTTTCGCTGCCGGAGCTGCTTGCTCCATCTCGACATAATCCTCCGACACGGTTGCCTGTTCATAGCGCCTCTTGTAGCCAACCTTGAAGCCGTTTGCGAATCCTGCTTCGTAGGCATCCTGATAGCCACTCTGATATTCCTCGTCATAGGCGGCGGGAGGGCCGTTATCACTCAACTCTAGTTTTTTGCCATTTATCCAGATGGAGGTGGTGTTTTTCTGAGTAGCAGGATGAAAAGCTGAGAAGCCAACAGCTTTTGTCCTCTTCGCAAACCTCCTACGCATCCTCTCTTCCCGTTCTCTCCAAAATCTACCTTTCGTCTCCTTGGCCCAGATATCCAGATCTCTTGGCCATCGGATGCAGTGCAACACAATTTCTCGCGACGCCAATGCATTTTCCAGAGGACAAGTCGTACCCTGTCTGAGTTTGATACCAAGAAAATCCATGCAAACGTTTTCCAAATACGGTTTATAATCGTGCCCCTTTGCTGGCGGCGTGCAGATGGCAGACGTGGCAAGTATTCGCGAATCGACAATCTGCTTATGAAGCAATCGTAGTATCTCCAAATCATCCTGAACTTTGTGTCCGATAATGACGGTATCTTGGTCAATGAAATCGAAGAGATTTGCCCGTGCCTCTCTCCAGCCATGGAGGCTCTCGCTGCGAGAGGAACCGTTCCAGCCTATATTCGGCACAACGCGCGAGTTTATCAAAACTTGTCCGGAGAGAAAGTCAACAGCAGCAAAAGCTAGCAGCTCCATCGGGCAATGCTTTGGCTGCTTTCGAACACAGTGGATGGCTACGGCTTTTCGCTTCTGGATCGCAGGGTATGCCTTGGGCGCCCGCACAAGGTCCTCAATACAGAGGCCTTTTTCGACTCTGTCTTTTGGAAGCGGCTCCCTTCCAAGGAGAAAGCGCTCGCGCAAAAGGACCTCTTGCGGGTGGCGTTGAACTAACAGTGTTTTATAAATGTTGGCTTGCTGGCCGAATTCCACCTTCGAATACAGGTTGCCACCGTGTTGCAGCATCAGCGATGATGTCTGTACAGACGGATACATTGGTGGAATTGGGGCATGATAATGCATTGAAGAATGAAATGAAAATTATGGCTGTAAGTGTGCGGGTTTGAAGCTTTCATCGCCCTCGACTATGAAGCAGTAAAGAGGAGCTGGTAATGAGAGAAATGGGAGGAGCGGGGAATAAACATGAAGACGAAAGGAAAAAAAAGAAAATAAACATGAAGAGGAAAGGCAAAAAGAATCAAGGCAGGGAAGGAGGGAAGAGGGAAGGAGGTCAAGAGGTGTTGATAACGGAAAATCGCTGCTCCGGACCAAAGATGGGAGAGTCTGGGCACTGCCATGGCACTGGCGGAACATCTTGCCTGTAAACACATGTCAAGTGAGAATCCGCATTTATTTTCTATTTTGTGCTACAATCTCAACCATCAGCTCTCAAAGTTGTTATCTCTCTTGCGCGTTTTTATATGCCCGAGTATAAAGAGAGTCACAGCTAAATTGGTGATCTGGCACTCATGATTCGACCTGTACAGGCCCATGCGGCCGGTCCAGGTCAAATCATGAGTTGCAGACCCTCAATTTAGCTATGACTTTCTTTATATTCGCTACAAACGTTGTTTTCCCAGTTTTCGACTTCATCAAAGCTATTTTCCAAATATTTTCTTAAAATGTGTTTATGGATTGGTAATTCAGCTACCAATCCCTCATCTGGATATACATACCTCAATCCAGCAAGCCTTAATCAATGGAGAAACAGGCCGCCAACAGCGAGCTCGATACATCACCACAGCGGGTTCGCTACATTATCACAGCGGGTTCGCTACATCATCACAGCGGGTTCGATACATCAAGAAAGGGATTGCGTCGTCATACCATCTCTTGTCGGATGATTTTCAGGCGGGCAATGGCCATTATGGGCTCCAATTGTTTCTTGGTCTTCTTCGCTTTGCGAAAAAAAAAACCAGCCATTGGTCCCAAGGAATGCCATCTTTTGCAGGAGTTCCGTAGGACTGCCCGTACCATGACTCTTTTTCCGCCGCCGTATCTTGATGTATGTATCCGCTGCGGCAAGTAGATTCGCTTTGTTGCCGAATGAGTGCTCCGATATACTCAATATAGCCCCGGACTCGCCCTCTGCCGCCACCTACTTGAACCGCAAGTTCATGTGGCACATATTCGGAGAGTCCGGGACTACGCCTCACTCTTGGTTGTAATGGATTCTTCCACTACCCAATAGTGAGGTCGTCTTGAGCACCATGATGGCAATTTTTGTTTTCCCTCTGCGCAGGTGTAAGCTCGTTTTCCTGAGAGTGCAGAGGGACATCTCTCAGCGAGCAAAATAGTAAGAGGCTGTCTTCGGTAAGCGACTTTGTGGCTCGAGACCCCGATCTCTCAAACACCAGCGAACAAGCGCTAGTATTTTAACAAGCATCACACTCATACGATTCCAGAGGGTGAAGGCGAGAAAGTCAGCCCGGCAATGGGGCCACAAAAGACGTACCTCCTCCGACCCCCGCAGTCGGATCGATTGGTCCTGCGCAGTTGGATCACCAATCGCTCAGACTGCGGGGGCCGAAGGAGGTACGTCGTCTTGACCATCAATTGGCCGAGCCGTACCGAAAGTCGCAGAAGAAAAGAGCAGCAGCCGAGGATCACAGCACATGATCTTTCGCCTCGCTCGGGAATGGTCCAAACAGCCCTGGTTGTGGCTGAGGACGCGGAATGGATCATGTTTAAGCCTAGAAGCGAATAACACGTCAGTAACCATGAGTCGTAGCAGAGGGTGAAGTGGAAATGGAATTCAATGGATGGAAGGAAGGCCAAGTGTCTCCCAATGGTGTACATTACTCATACCGCGCCTCGTAGAAAAGAAAGTCAAGTCGCAACACATACCTCAGTAACATGAACCAATTCAACCACAGTTATTCATATGAGTAAACTAATCCAGGTAGTTTCACAACCACCTTTCCAAACGGATATGGCAAGTCCTATGCCAGCCGCAGATATATCCCCATGATGTTATAAGGGCCGTATGGGGTAGTCGTGACATTGAGTAGATGCATCAGCAGACGAGGATTGACTAAAGCATATCCATCGTATAATTCGCATCAATATTGTTGAAGGAGGCACAAAGATGACTGATCATCTTCTCTGCAGACTTCGGACGTACTGATCAGAACCTTTTTTTTTTTTTTTTTTTTGCGATATTGATATAGGTATTCGTGATCTGTACTTGGTCATCAGCGGCAAGGTCCGCCAGTCGCGCCAAGGCAACGTGATGTGTAAATGAATTCAGTAAATCAAAAAGCAATATGTCGGTAAGACGCATCCAGTAGCCATGTAAGCAAGATGCCAAAGCAGGGTAAAGCCCCCTCAGTAGGTCAAGCAGAAGACTCGAGCTGACGCGTCTTGTGAATTGAGCTCGGGAACAGTGTTATAGACAATCCCTAGAGACGCGTCCAGAGACTGCTTTGACGCTTCTTCTTCCGTCGCACCATTATAAAAGTATGTCGCGCGTTGATCTTTGCTCAAAGAGCGCCAAGCAGTCTCGATTTCCGAAGCATGAGCCTTGTACTTCGAGACGGAGGATATATTCTCGCCAGCTGCTGCCCCACACTAGTATAAGTATCGTGCGGATGGGCGAAATGCCGTTGCGACAATAATATTTGCAAAGGGGTGTTTCCATACTTTGGGCATGATGGGTTGAGTTTCTGTATCAAATGTGTTGGCGCACCAGATATGCCGACCCGTATGTCGCGGCTTTAGGTGCGCTCGTCCTATGGATGTAAAAGAAAGGGTACAAGACGAATACCTCCAGAGTCGATACAGAAAGAGGTGAGCTCAGACTCTAGAGGCATGTCACTGAAATATTTCTGGGAGAGAGCGAGTCTCTACTCCAGACACATCAGCCTGTAGACGAAGCCATTCTTTGCGCGCAAGATGGCCCAATAGAGTTCCATTCCACAACACCGTGAAGCGTATGATGGTCTACATTATCAAGTCAGCAACAATACATGACAAAATCCAAGTTCATTCAACATACCTGGCAGCCAGAGAGTCGACATAACAAAGACAATTGGCCGCGTCCACTAGCCTCGACAATAAGCTAAAGTAGCCAGTCAGTTATCCATCACCATCGAATCAAAACAACCAACAGGAAGGCATCTTACTGGATGGAACAGGGAAACACCATTCTTGCCATCGGCTCAGCTCAAGAGCCGGCCCATAGTCCACGGGCAATCCTTCATAGCCCATGACTAGCAATCAACCTTAGAAGTAGAGCGAACAAGATATGAAATGAAGAAAGAATGGTTTGAGAATTATCTACAGACTAGCCTCGGGGGAAACGACAGTTTATATATCCGCACCTCCAACGTACAAACACCACAAACAGCGTCCCTTTTCCGTCCCTCACACCAAAATACCCGAAGGAAGCAACCGCACTCCTCAACAAAACAAACGCAAAAAACATGTATTACACACTTTCCACGTCACAAACGCACCCTCACCGTCTCTTCCCCGCAGATAAACACAACTCACAATTCCAAACCATCAAATGAAATCGCAAGTTCGTGGAATCAGCCCCCAACAATACTACGCGTAGCAGGGTTGCCCGCTCTTGTGTAACCCCAAAATCATCCCACGAAAAGAGGGGGAAAAGAATTTCACCAATCACGACAATACGATAAAGGGGACACATGGAAATAGTAACAAAGCCAAAAAGCCAATATTTTTACATATGCAGGAGGAAGAGAGAGAAAAAAGAAAAGAGCATAAACTCCTTACCAGAAATCCTACCACACACCGCTTCAATCCCACCCTTCCGCTGGTTTGTTTGTTACACCATACATTTGTTTACATGCACTTGGCTTAGGCCGCTTCTTCCCCTCCTCTCATCTTGATTCTCGCTGGGCCTGTAGCCCACGGCGATGAAGTCCATGTGAAACAAACAAAGAGAGAGAGAGAGAGAGAGAGAGAGAGAAAGAGAGAGAGAGAGAGAGAGAGAGAGAGAGAGAGAGAGAGCGAAAACACAAAAAAAGAACTTAAAAAAAAAAGTAACGAGATTTCCGCAGACTCCATTTACAAAACCCAAAACTACATCCAGATTTGAGGCATAAGAGGTTTTCCATTCGTTCAATCACTAACGGTTTCGTCCTACCCTTTGTATCCCTCTATCCACGCGACACCACCCACTTTGAAACAGCCAAAAATGAAAAGACAAAAAAAGAAGAGACGAGAGTAAAAACGGAAAGGTAGAGGTAGAGTGAGAAGAGATCAGTGCTGCTGTTCGCGTTCTGATGCCTGTTTCTTGTCTTTTCGGCTCTTGATGACGAACTCAGACATGATCTGAATGTGATCGGCCGGGAAGTGCCAGTTGGGGAACGCCGGGATTCGCTTCATATATGTCGGGTCGGGAGGTCCCAGCAGTTCAACAACCTCCAACGTATTGGCTGAATACCAGATGTAATCAATGACGTCGGCAAATCCAGGAGTGTAATTAGTAAAGGGCAGCTCGTCTGGTGTGTTCTGTATGGGTGCGTAGGAGTCTCGTAAGCTGAAGGGGTGGTCGATACCGTCGCGTGTGAAGCTTCCGTAGTGAAAGTTGTTGAGTTCCTTGTGTTCTGGCTCCACACGACCCAAAGACATGAGCTCCCACACCGAAGAGTCTCTGGTTGAGTTGAAGTCGCCACAGACTAACAGAGGAATCTCGGTATTGGATCGATATTCTTGACTCGGGCCGGGTTCGATTTGAGGTGGCGGCGGCGGCTCATCAGGGTCATCAGACCTCGGCAATGTAATCATCTTCTTGTCTTTGACGGCTGGCCACCTTGCATACTTCTCCGCGAGCTTTGTCACATGTTCCATGAGAATACCTGTCTGGATCAGCTTGACATCTGCCAGAGCTGAATCCCAGGTCAGATGTGCATTGACTAGGATAATGCGAGCACCCGTCAGCCGGGACTCAAAGAAGCAAATAACAGCAATGTTGTCCTTGGGCATGACCCGATTAAACACATCGTGCTGGTTCTTCATGTCGGGTCGGTTAATGGCAATCGTAGCGAATTCAATTAGCTGCTTGTCGAGCAGAATGAACTTGCTCTGCTTGTAAAAGACTGCGCAGCCGTCGACGGTTTGCGCATCCTTTTCAGACATTGTCTTGGCTCGGGACTTGGGCCAATGCACGCCCCTGTAGTCCATTTGCGCCAGCTCTGGGCTGAGGTCCTCCTTGAAGGCGTCGGTAGAAACCTCTTGGAGTGCGAGGAAGTCGGCTTCGCGTATCCGGAGCTCCTCCAAGATGCAATTTTTCCGATACTCCCAGCTCAGGGCCCCAGTGGGTGTGTATCCGTAGGTCTGCGTTGTCGCGTACTTGTCACATAGAATATTCCAAGAAAAGACCTTGATCCTCTCTAATGCTTCGGGTACGTCCTCCTGGATGATGATTTCTTTGCGCGGTGTGGGGGGTAAGGGAACTGCGGAAGGAAGATAAGATTAGCAATCATCACCAAAGTAAAGCATCAAGAATTTCAATCAAGGCGAGAAACATACTGGGAGCTCCTTCCATTAACGCATTGATCAGGCTCTTGGTGCCCTTTTCCACGATTTCCTGTTTTATGCTGGGCTCTAATGGGTTGCCTTCAATGCCGAGCATTTCCAGCTGATGAAGAGAACCTAGCTCAAAGGGAAGTTCCTGGAGGTTGTTGTTGAAGAGGAGCAGCTGTTTCAGGAAAGTACACATGCCCAGTTCCGGTGGCAGCTCATTGATTTGGTTGTAGGAGGCATCGAGGTGTCGGAGCTGGCGCAGCTCTCCAATGGAGTTGGGAATGCGCGTAAGCTTGTTGGAAGCAATGTAGAGTTCGTTGAGGAACTGGTACCGGAACAGTTCGGGGGCAAGATTTCGAAGTCCCTGGCCGCTCATATCCATGTTGTGCCAGTCTTGGCGAGTCGTGCCCTTCTCCACGTTCAGAGGCCTTCTCCTATCTGCGGGGTCGTTCTCGCTGTCTGCTTGGGTTTTGCCGTTGGACGGGGGAGGGCCGCCTATGCCTCTGTTTTCTGATGCCTTGAGCCTAGCATAGTAGTGCGGTTGCTGCTGTTCGGTCATGGCAGCGTGTGCCCTCTCAGCCTCCTTGTGAAGCCGCAATTGTTCCTGCCACATTTCATTCTGCGGGGCCTGGCCAGACCTTGAGTTGGTCGCGTGCCCATTGGAGAGGGCATTGGAGTTGAATGTGGCAGAAGTCTGGAGGATGCCAGCGGTGAAGGACGTATGGTGACCCAATCCATTGGCATTGGGGATGATGTGCTCATGCTGCAGGCCTTGGTGATGCTGGGGCTGGGCGGGGTGCTGATGTTGTGTGTGTTGCTGAAAATTGTACATCATGTTGGGCATCCCCCGCCCCGCTCCATTCAGCCGGGCATTGTGTCCCTGCTGGTGGCTTTGTGAGTACATGCCGCAGGAATGGTATTTGACGCTTAGATGCCGGCTTTGGAGCCGCGGCTTTTCACGAACCGCGCCGACGGACCGTTCTACGGAGGACTCAGACTAGAGGACAGAGAGTATCGGTGAAGGGAGGTGTTTGGTGGATTTGTCGTGGCAAGCCAGTCAGAAGCAGATGGCATCTGTTTGTCTAGTATGTGCTGGGAAAAAGTTGGAGAAGAGTCCGGAGAGGACGGGTGGCGGAAGGTAGCTGTCCGCTAGACGCGCTGTTCGAAACGAGGGACGTAGGTCGAATATCGCGTTTGCGCATGGGGTCGGCGAGAGGCGAGCCACAGCATGTGCAATGGAAGATATGCCGCGCAATCGAATCGATATGGAGCCGCTCAATTGTCCATGGGCAGCTGAGCTCGATGGGGTTCGAGGCGCTTTACGTTGGGAAAGCTGGGAGCCAATATGAGGAGTAGCAAGCCGCGGGGTTCGGGGGGTATAGCTCGAAACGTTCGAATGATGGCGCGGGGGAAAAAAAAAGGTAAGAAGGAAAAACAGGAGGCGACGTTGATTTTTTTTTTTCTTGAGTTTTGGATATAACAAGTGCAAATGGTTCGCTCGGAGCTGAAACGGCGACTGGACAGGGAGAGATATCAGTCAATGTCTTTCAAAGGCCAGGACACGCGAACGAAAGCGGGAATTGGCGAGGTCCCACAGCGAAAAATGGAGGGGCCACGTTCTCCTGAGGGCGACGGCGACTCACAGAAAGAGAAAAATAATGAACAAGCGAGCGCAGTATGGAGATGCTATCACCAGATAAGATTCAACTAATATTTTGCGTGGAATAATAGTGGCTGTCGATACCGAGAGCGAAAAAATCCGGGCCGCCTTGGAGTTGACGATGTGCATCTGCGATGACAAACTGCGACGAGAGGCTGGAAAGGCTGAATCACGTGCTGCTATCGCTCCGCTTGGACCGAGTGGCGGAAAGAAGGTCATGTGACTTGGTCGATGGCGCCTTCTTGATAAGAACTGTCGAGAGAAGGCTGCACGACAGTGTGAAGAGGAGATGATTTTGACTTGGCACGCTTGGACAAGGTGAGATTGCAGTAGTTGCATGGGAATGAATCATCTGTGGTGAATAGCTAGGGTGTACAAATTCTAGTTTAGGCATTGAGACGTGAAGCTGTCATGTACATGCGATTATGTGGCGCCATTGACTTTACACGGATGCTTATTCCCAGGTAGGATGGAGTTGCTCAATACGACGTTATGGGCTTGGCTCCCTATTTCTCACAAGGGCCCTCTTATTCTTCATCAACAGTTGTAAACGGAAAGAAAGTAAAAGTGTGTAGATAAATTAGACTGCTTGAAATCTCACACACATTGAAAGCTGTCATTTTGTTTTAATTGAGTTTTATTACATGTACACGCAGCTAGAACCGCAATTAAGCCCAGATGCCTTTTCTTATACAAGAAGATCAATCTGCTAATGCCACCAGTATCATAAAACAAACCTGCAGCAAATGCCACCTGTCAAAAACAAAGCCTACCCGGTTTAAGCGACATGTGTCTTTTTATAGATCCACGGACTATCTGAAATTGCGTTGCATTGCCGCTCACAATCACCAGACTTCATCAGCCGTGCAATCGGCCTATTTCGCATGACACGCGCAAGCGAGAACGGGAAGTAAGCGCAGATTGCCTTATTTTCAGCGCTGAAAAAAAAAGTCTGTGCATCTTATTTTCGCATGAAATAGTGTTGCCGCTTCTAATCAAAAATACCTACTACATACCTACAAGTAGGTGGCATCAACAGCGCGAACAGATTGGGGCTACGGGGCTTATTCCGCATCCGGGAGCGCAGCCGAGTCTGAGTTGAGATTAGCATCGTCGAACCCATACCGGTACTGAAATCTGGTTCGTGCAAGTTGCATGTTTATATAAGGAGGCGTCTCAAGCACGGACCTGCCACTGAGCGGTGATGATGGCGGGTGGAAATTGTTTATGTAAAGCGATGGGATACAGACTCTGGATTCAACGTGGTCAGTCTCAAAGTCTCTGCAATTGACTCCAGTTGGACAATCTAATGCTGGCTAGCGACTCGGATGATTCTCGATTTCAGGGCTAGACAGCCCGGGCCGCGCTCCGTAAATGTCCTTTTCTCGGCATGCACATGTGATCATCGGCTAGATATCCGCAACAGATTGTCACTAACGCTCCGGCCTGCCTTTTCTTGAAACAAGTCCGACGCCTAGAACAGCTGGAAAGCGATCGAACAAAGCTGGAAACAGCCTGCTAGTACACTAGTTTGTGATACATAAACAAAGTATGTAAAGGAAGCAGCTGATACCCAGCGGGGGGTTGTTGTGGTTGGTTGGACAAGGCCAGGACGCTTATCGGCCACGGTGAGACGGCTTGCAAGGCGTCACGCGGCCACCGACTCGGTGAGTTCTCTTGGCAGAGCTGATCTGCAGCCAATTGGATCCGACATTGGGTGTTACTTTTGATTGTCAATTGGGTAACAGCCTGTTGATAAAGCCGCAGGAATGCTCCCGATATCGCCTCTGGCCGTCTGCATGCACCTACCAGCAGCAAATCCGGCACATACAGCTCGAGCTGCGAGAAGAATCCGCGAACATACAAGTAGGTAAACAAAGACTGCGTGGTTGAAAGACGTGCTCGTGTGCAAGCTCCATAACTCCAGTAAACTCCCCCACTCGCATTCAGCCGCGGGATCCCAGCAGCCAAAGAGAAGAGCCAGCCACGGGCTCCAAAGCCAGTGGACCAGGAGCTGCAGCCCAGCCAAAAGGGCGAAGGCGCGAAGCAGTAGCACGGGCCTTGTCCAATTTGGCAAATCAACAAGTGATCCATGAGGTGCGAAATAACTCGAGCCCTTTCAGCACGGACTCCAGCAGAGCTCCAACGAACGCGGGGAAAGCCCATGGACTTGCTCCACACCTCCGCCGATTGGACAGAATACAGCGAATTGGTTGTAGCAAGAGGAAGAAAAAGACGGTCTGGTTTTACTGCTGGGCAGAGAGAGGGCCCAATCCAGGCAGTAGTGATGCCAGAGAGATGGCCGGCGCTGGAGAGATGTGTCTGGTAATGGCAATGGTACAAGTAATAGCGCAGTGCCTAGAAATGGTAGTGCAATTAGCAGTCTCAGAAGCAGCATGGAGTTGCATGGAGTGGTACATGGAGACAGCCAATAGCACAGCACTGGCGAGAGGCTGCAATGTAGCTAGAGAGCGTGCTGGAGCCTATCATCGATGGCGAAACAGCCCTGTCATGCAGCGAAATTGTGCCATTTGATATAGCTCCGGGAGCGCTGCGTGGAGGGTGGGCGGCGCAAAAAATAGGACGGGGCTTGGGCTGAGCAAAGAGGCCAAGAAGTGCCGAGATAAGACGGCCATTCATTTCAATGCGGGAAACGGCCTGGTCGGCATCAGGGAACTTTTTTTTTCTCGTCTCTTCTTCCCCATCTACTTGTTCCCTCTCCTCTCGCTTCTCTCGTCAGTGATAACAGCACTCGGCAGGCCGCCCAAAGATCGGTGTGACGTCCGTCCTGGCACCTCGTCGTCGCCCGCCACCGTCAACCACCCCGTGCTCGCTGCTATTCCTGGCCCGATATACAGGCATTAATCTCCATCACCTGCCACGCTTGTCAAGCGCATAACGGCCGGACGACGATCAAACTCTCGCGCAGGCTCGCTTAAGGGGAGACCAACAGATACGAATCCCTCCCACGACTCCACACGGAGCTGCTTGGTTCGGTCAGAAGGGGCCCCAGGCCAGATTTCCCGTCTGCTGCAGCCTTGCTGTATATGCCAGAGGTGAATTTGGCAGCGCGAGGCCAGCCCCGAAAGAGGTGCGCTGGACGCTTAAAGCAAAGGGCATCCCCAAGCCCATAAGCACGCCGCAATCACACACAAGCGTTGACGGGCCGAAGGCGTGTGTTTCAAAAGAATCAACAGGAAGGCGAGGAGACATACGAAAGTCGGCACCGGTGGCGACTTTGGACTGTTGCATCGTTGCATCGACACAGACTCAGCGTATCTACATCCATACACGCGCTCACGCGCACTCACGCACAGACTTGCCGAGCCAGTCGCGCTTCTTACATGTATCCTTTTTTTTTTCCTTTTCGCAGTACCCAGGAGGATTGACAGCCAATCTGTGACACAACTAAGGAGGCGGGTCTCTCTGTGATTGGGTCATCTTGCACAGAGTATTGCCTATTGCGACGACCGAACCAGCATTGCCGAAGGTTGAAGGAGAGCCAGGAGCCACAAGGCCTGAAGGGCCGTTTCTGCACATAACTTACGCGACTCTGGAGATTGTGACCGAAAGCCTGCAGCGTGGACCGGGGACAGTGTCTTTACCGTTGAAACAGCTGTGCTCAGTCTGTTGACAGCTGGTTTCAGCATACTCAGCCTGCCATTGGCTTGATTCATCACCTCGCTTCATCCCGTCTCTGCTGCTACTGGTAGCAAAGCAGCGACGCCACTGGATCCGGGGAATCCTCAGACGCCAGACGACAGGGAGTTTGGATAAGGAGAGGCAGAAGGATTGGAGAAGAAGCACAAGGAGCCAATCACCACACCCTTTTCTGCAGCTTAGGAGGACAGCACCAGGGGATTGCTGCGAGGGTGCTTCCACGTACCAACGACGAGCCAACTGCCGAATCCAGACACACAGTCTTATTGCTGCCAGCACGAGCAGCATACACTCGCGCACTCGCACAAGTGCTCAGTACTATTTGTATACGAGCACACACTGTTCAAGCCCGGAATACGGACGGCGAAGCGCGCAGGGTAAACCCGCGCATCGTGATCTCCCGGTGCAAAAAGGCGCACAAAAACAAGCAGACAAGTCACACTCTCCGGTCCGGCTTGGCTTGCTTCCAACGACCAGGGCGAATTCTGCAATCCGACGGATCAGGCAAGGCGACAAGAACCGAAAAAAAAAATCCCTTTCTTCATTTTTTTTTTGGTTTTCCCTTTTTTTTGCCGATCTGGCTTTCCGGGCGCTTGCCGGCGCAAAACGTGAGCGCCAGAGCAGGGCAGAGTTTTTTTTGGACAGGCTGCCGGAAGTGAGGACCCCTGGTTCCGCGGTCTCAGATTTTGTTCTAGAAGGACGGATCAGCGGCCTTGGAGGGGATTCGCCGACGCTGGTGAGTCGCTCTGACAGCAGCTAGCAGGCAAGCTGCATACGCTGCAGAATCCGGCGAGACCGTTGGCTGCTTGATTCATTGGTTGATTAACTGATTGATAACACTGATACTGACCGGTGCAGACGCATTGAGGGCGCATTGGAGGCGTTGTTACCCGATCTAGTAGCGGTGGACGAACCGCCGCTTGTTGCATCAAGCGATTCCTCCCAGGAAGGAACACTAAACTCGAAGCGCGGGCTTGGAGAAAACAAAGGAGAAGAAAGGGAAAAAAACAAAGAGGCACGCGCCGAGCCCTGACTCTGACTCTTGTCTCTGGGCTTGTCGTCAACGAGCCTGGGCTAAACGTGCCAGTCCGTGCTCCGCGATCCGGCCGGAGACGCACCGCTTGCGGCCCTTTGCCAAGACGGGCTGCGCTGCTGCAGCGGTTTTTTTTTTTTTTTTTGTGAATTGTGCCCCTGGACAGGCGCCACAGCGGACGAAACCCCCCCTTGGGAGTGCAGCAGACAAGGGGCTTGCTGGGGGACGAGAGGAGAGAGAAACGCCTGATTTGATTGCGTGAATCGACGAGCCGACCGGCCAGTTTGACGCAGAGTCAGGCAATCCGTGCATTCTTCGTCGCTCAGCTGGGCCATACCGCTAGGACTCAATAGCAGCAGCTGCCAGCGAACCAGCCGCCACTGGAGCCCCCGGCGGCGCGCAGTCCCACCCGCTGCGCCGCCCGCTGCCCTCCAGCCTGCAACGCCCACCATGTCCGACTACAGCGCCATCTACCTGTACGCCAGCACCATCGGCGCGCCAATGCCCCTCGACAGGGCCTCGCGACGGGAGAAGCAGGCCCGGCGCCCCAACTCCACGCCCGACGGGTCCCTGGCAGCGCGGCGACACTCGCGCAGCTCCAGCAGCGACCAGGCGTCCATGAGCAGCCGCTCGTCGCACTACACGGCGCGCCAGCTGTCGCTGTCCGGCTCGTACTCGCAGGGCCCCGCCTCAGCTGCTGCTGCTAGCACTGCCAGCGCTACGACTACTAGTAGCAGCACCACGACGCCGACCGCTAGCACCGCGACCTCTTCTCCTAATCTCACCAGCAGCATCAGCAACAACAGCAGCGCCAGCAGCGGCAGCTTCTCCAAACACCACGGCAATCAACACCACCCGCCGCCCCTCGCGCCCGCCGCCTCGTCCGCGCAGCTCCCGCCGCAGCCTCCCACGCCTGGCCGGGCCGCCAGGACCCTCTCCCGCCTGCATCGCGCCAGGCTCAGCGGCTCGCTGCTCGATGCCGGCGCCGCGAGAAATGCCCAGGACCTCGACCCGGCAAAGTTTGTGCGACAAATGACGGGCTTCCCGGCCAGCCGCGCCGAGTCAGTCTCGTCCGCCAGCGGCCAGACCTCGACCTCGTCGCGCACCGTCCTCTCCACCGATCCCTCGGCCAGCCTCGTCGCCGCCCGGCCCTTTGTGCAGCGCAATGGCCGCACCTTTCTCAACGACGAGACCCTGCCGTACCCTCTGCCCTCGGACCTCACCGAGCTGCACAGACAGGCGCTGCGGACGATGCTGCTGATCCAGGTCATTGGCGCGCCCGTCCTGTCGCCGGGCCTGATCAAGAAGCCGCCGCAGCGCGTGCTGGAGATTGGCTGCGGGTCTGGCTTCTGGAGCACCATGTGCCACCAGTACTTCAAGAGCCGCGGCCATGGCGGGCTGTCCTTTACGGGCATCGACATTGCGCCGCTGGGGCCCGACAACAGCTCCAGCGCCTCCGAGGACGCTATGAAGCCCAGCGGCGACATGCAGTGGAAGTTTATCCAGCACGACCTCCGCCAGATCCCTTGGCCGATCCCCTCGGAAGAGTACGACCTCGTCATGGTCAAGGACGTGAGCTACGCGGTGACGAACAAGATGATGCCGACCTTTATCGAGGAGTGCGTCCGCATGGTCAGGCCAGGCGGGACTTTTGAGATGTGGGACTCTGATCATCTCATCCGAAGTTTGCGACCTCACGTCCCCACGTCCACAGTCTCAGCTGAAGATGCCGAGCAGCAGGCAGCCGCCGCCAGCCTCGGCGCCTATGTCATCAACCCGCAAACCCCCCTTACAGCCCCGTCAAACGACTACATTAATGAATACAACTCTTGGTTATCAAAAGCACTTGAATCTCTCGACATCCACCCCCTCCCGTGTACAATCATTGGCCCCACCCTCATACAGGAGTATGAGACGCTGGGCGACGTCCGCTCACGCCGAATAGCCCTCCCCCTGAGCGAATTCCGCTGGGAGAAGGAGGGTATTGGCGGTGTCATCACCACCGACTCAAAGACCGAGTCCAAGGGCAAGGAACCGCCGTCAACGCCGAGAGCGGACAAGAAGACGTTGACGGCGGGGCAGATTGCCCTGCGGCAGACGGCCCTGCTGACCCAGGTGCAGGAGATTCAGGCTCTCGAGCCCATCCTGCGAGAGGTCAGTGGCAAGAGCCAGGACGAGTGGGACATGTGGCTGGGGAAGATGATGAGCGACCTGATGGACGACAACAGGACGTCGTTGAGCGAGTGTCTCGAGTTTGGGGCCTGGTATGCGAAGAAGAAGAAGGTGACTGGGTGAAAGGAGAGAGAGATTATTTAAGCGATGAAAAGGGAAACGTTTGGAAAAAAAAAAAAAGTTTATACACGTGTCGTGATGGAATACCTCTTGGATAATTTTGGGCTTTTTTTCTTTTCTTGCCTCTTCTGTTTCCCCCCTTATTCTTTCCTGCGTTGATATTAAGAGGAAAGAAACAAGAGTTTGCCTGGATATGAATCATTTTTGTACATCTTGATATGCATTTATGGCCGCGAGCTTGCTTAGCGAGAGATGTTCTCTCTTTTTGTGCTGTTTTTTTCTGTTTCGTTACCTACCTACCTTATATACATATTACGTCTTGCCCCTTTTTTTGACAAGACCTTTTTCTTGTCTACCAACTTGCATATCCCGTCCCGTTTATTGAAGAAGAAGAAATTAATCTTTACTCTTGCATCTTTCGCATCTCCCGCACTCTTTTCCTCTCTTGTCTCCTTTTACACACACTCAGGCATCGCCATCATATCGTTTTCTCAAAGTTCGATATCGTTTCAGATAGTACCTATTATATACCCCCAACGGCAAAGCAGGGAGGGAAGTGCATTAGCGGATGGAAATTGCGGAATAGGAGAATGGGTGCGTATTTTTGCGTGTGGAAGAAGGCGGGTTTATAGTTATGAAGAGGTTGTTTCTATGAAACAGATTGTCACTTTATATTTATAAAGGCCCCCCACTTTTGTTTTGTGATGTGAGGTGATTGTGTAGGTAGGTATGATGACTTGTGATGCATGGATTTCATTAAAAGAATATTTCATCACAAGTGCATGCAGGAATTAACCTTACAGAGCTTCGATTTCTACATGCTCCTCGTCAATATGATTTCTCAACTCGATGCATTTTGTAACAAAAAGATACATGTATAGTGAAATTGAAGACGTACCCTTCTTGACAAATTCGGCTTGCTTGATGCCGGAGCGAATCTTGTCCTCGTCCCGCTCGGCGGCACGCGACATGAAGGCTTTGTGGAGGCGGGGGCGGAAGAAGGAGTAGCCGAGGGGGTATTCGCGGCCGAGGTAGAGGAGCTCTGCGGCGATGATGGTTAATTATCATGAGTTTATGGGATTTAAAAGGAACCGTGGTGGCGATGGAAGATGAGGTGGAGAGCTTTTGCCTCTTTGATTTTCAGGCATGATGTGGTGAAGGCGGATAGCTTCGGCGCAATGAGGCCGATTGCATCAAGGCAAGGCGAAGAGAGAGTTGTGCAACAAAACCTTTATAGATGGCAATGACCTGCCTCCTCAGCTCAAGATTCAAACTCGTCATGTTGAGTTTAGCAATTCATGTTTCCAAACGACTGAGACGCTGTCAAGTACACTGAAGATGCATAAAGCGTTGGTGAGAGAGAGTAAACGAAGCTCAGCCGTAAATCATCATCGAGCGCCCCGCCAAATGGAGCTTTGAGCTAAAAATTACAGCTGCTGCCGCTAGCACGAGACCAACATTGAGTAGAAGTTCCAATCAAAAGCACGCTCTAATGCAAGGCTGACGAAACGCCACTATTGAATGGTGCCACTTCCGTCGGCTGAATTTCATCATCTCTTTGACAATCGATATAGAAACGAATGATGATTCTTGCGACAAATCCCCCTTGACGAGCCATTGCTGCTTCAAACAGCTTAAACTAAGGAACCATACAACTTTCGTACCTTTGATATCTCATATCGGCATATACTGAATTCCAAAATCATGCCGCGCCTCGCCCCAGCCCTCGAAATCTTCCCTACGCTCGCCCGCTTCCAGACCATTCGCCCACGGCGCCTCGCCGAAGTCCCCATCGGCGGGCCCTCTCACGAAGTCTCGCCAAGAGCCCTGCAGCAGAGCGCCATCCACCTGTACCACGATCTCGGGGTGATTGTCTTTGCGGGTTGTTCTGTCGCGGAGGTGCGCCGGATAGGCGATGTGTTGAAGGAGGTTGTCGCCCTGGGCGGGCCGGGCGGCGTGGTGGCGAGGCTGGATGGGTGGGAGGGCGAGGTTGTGAGGAGGAGGGAGAGGAGCTTGAAGGGGAAAGGGGAGCTGTATAGGGATTTGGACGAGAAGAGGGTGAGTTTGTTCCTTTATGATAAGGAGGATTCGCTCCTTTTGCGAAAGTTTAGCTGAGCTGATGCGATTTTTGTTTGGTAGACTGGCATTATCAGACCCGAGGTGCTGCTACAGCTTGCGAAGACACGGTTCGAAGAGACGCTCAAGGAAAGGATACCGGAGCTGAGGACGGCAAAGGACATTGACATACGAGAAACGCAAGTCATTCTCCCGGGATCACCTCCTCCGAGAGGCATCATCAATGTACGTAAATCCACGATACACTACACCCCCTCCAAAGCTTCCCATGAATACTACGTGACAAAACAAACCCAACTCAACACAAACGCCTCCTAATAGAAAACGGCCAACGGCCCGCGCCGCCTCCCCATCGAATCCTTCACAACAATGGGCGTCAACCGCGTCAGCGGCTACACCATTGGCGAGACGCGCTTCTTCACCGTCGGCTCGGGCAACTACGTTGGCGGCGCACGAGTCGACTACCTGATGCTGAAATACGAAGAGGACAAGCAGAAGAAGGATGGCGAGAAGAACGGGAACAAGAGCGCAAGCACGAGCATAAGCGTAAAGCCATTCTGGGGACACGGGAACCTCAAGCAGCGACGGAGGGTTGGTTATGAGGAGCAGACTGCGATATTCGACCAGGTTATCGGCAAGCTGATGCAGCCGCTGTGGGAACTGGAGCGCAGTGTGTGGGCTGATCAAGCCGGGGAGCTGGAGAGGCGGAGGGAGAAGAAGAAATGGGGAGGCGACGATACCCAGGTGAATGATGCTTGAGCGCTTGTAACAAAATATGCATGCTGTAGTAGCATCATGAAGGATTGAAAGCCGCGTTTTCTGCATATGAGGGTGGCTTTGGTGATGGCTTCATCCAACTAGATGATAAGCTTCTGACCTTACACCTTGTGTAGTCCCCCTCCTCTTCCTCGTCTGCAGCCTCAAACGTTCGAGTCAAGCGATTGCTACTCTGCGGGGGGACAGGACTTGGTCCTTGCCAAATACACGCATGCATCTCACGCTGTACTACCACACACAAGGTAGCAGTCGGCAAAAGCCTACCAGCATCTCAGAGCCAAACTGCCGAGCCCACCTAATACCTAGCGAATTGTTTCGCTCTAGGTAGACAGCCGCTGTTTTCTCCTCGTAGACAAATAAATCGACTAGAAAGGACGCAAGCACTCAAGAGAATGGCGAATGGTAGGTATCACGGGAGCTGAAGCCTCCAGATTAGCCCCAACTCATCGGCGCCGCATGCTCTTAATGCCGCCTTGTCTGCTAGCCCAGAGCAAATGGCACCATCCGTCGTCCAGGAAGAGTCTGGAGGTCACGCCGGCCGTCCTGAAAATCCCTAGTCGGCGACGATCAGTTTCCATGCTCAAAGTGCTCGTCTATCGCGGGGTATCGTGGCCCGAAGAGGGGCACGTCTGGGACAGCCGGAGACCCTGCTCCCATCCTTCGCTGATGATGACTCGAAGAATCATTCATCCGTTAGGGGGGTCCTTGGATTGGCTGTGCTCCTCTTTCCACATGGCAGCACTTGTGCGGAATGCCATATCAGGCACCATCTGTATGTTAAATGGTTGTTACACGCCGCTCTCAAGCTCATATGCTAGCTTCACAAGCCCCGTTTAGCGTTTCTGGCGGCTGAGAGGCTGGATCGGAGATTTTCTGCCTCTTCTTTGCTTAGTCGTAGGCAGTACTCTCTATGTAACTCTGACAACCCAGACAAGGAGCGGTCAGAAGCGGGCAAGTGCATACGGATAGAGTCATCAATATTACTGCCAGCAGCTCAGTAGATGTGACAGCTCTCCTCACGCTGATTCTCACGCGCCCTGCCCCGTCCTCTGATTCGACGCGCTCCCGCAGCCTCCTTTAGTGGGATTCGACGCCCATGCCGCAGTTGGCAGTCAAACATCAAAGCCGCAGCGGCAGTCAGGGATAGGCGGTGGGGGGCTCAAAATGGCAGAAGAGCCCAGAGACGGGCCAACCAGTAGCGGCCGCTTGTTCAACCAGCATCAATGTAGTACATGTACATGTATATTTGTGCCTCCACTTCGAGTCGTTGTGACTGCTGTTTAGACAGAAAAAAAGATTGAGCGCTAGTAGTAGCAATCGTACCATCTCGAGCCGGGAAATTGGAGGCTCCATCAGATTTTTTTTTTTTTTTGCCCTCTTTTAGCGCTTAAAAGCGAGACAAGAAGAGTACAGTAGAGTGAAGCTCGTGGGTGTGTGGGACGCAAATGGCCGACTCTTCTTTGAAGCATCTGAAAGCGGGGGGTCCTGGACAAAAAAGAAGAACTTGCACGTGCAAACAAGGCGATGCACAAGTACCGAATACATGTACATGGCATGGACGCAAGCAGCACGTTTTTTTGAAACACGGAGCGCGTGCCCGTCATTTTCTCTACATGCATTTTGACCTTGATTGGCAGCTCTTGATTTACATGCTGCTTATTTACCCGTAAAGTGCATGGAGCATCAAAACCAACCCCCCCTTCTTGTACTGGGCGCACTTCTGTTCTTCTCACCTTTGAAGCGGCAGATGACATTCCCTTATTCATGTTAGTGTTTGGCAGCGACCAACAGCGCTGAACTGGGGTAACAATCGACGTCAGATCCCTTGCCGCTGGCCCTCCTTTCCGTGGGCAAAAAGCTTAACCTGCCCTAGCCCGCGGCCCAGCCTATCGAGAGTTTTTCCGGCGGCCAACAGCCGACAGCCTCAATCCAAGTCCCGACGCGTAGACATCAGACTCAGCTGCTGCGCTAAAACTAAAAACTGGCCCAAGGATTTCAGTGCTTGCTGGCCCGCAGATCCGGCGGCTCCGGTGCTGTTTGTGAAGGTGGTTTCAGGCGTCTATGCGGCAGAGGATATGCTGATATTGACGCTTTGACAGTGCCTCAACTGTCAATAGCACTCAGCAACAGAGCAGAGCGCTCGTAGATCCATCCTCGGGGCGGTCTTGTTTGGTGGATTTCGCTCGGCATTTGCTACGGATGCTGCTAGTATACAAACCCTGTGCTAGAGCATGAATATGCCTCTCCCCCTGTCAACTTTAGCTGCCGCGCTTGCAGCTCGATATGGCCTTTCTGCCGTGGTTGAGTCCTGCTAACGTGGTGAACGTCGTCAACTAGCACTTGTTCTAGTGTCATGACATGCGTTCTGGAGTGGATTTGCATATTCTGCCGAGCGCTGCTAATGCAAAAGTATCAATGATTGCTTTGCACAGCATACAAGACTCTGGAAGAGATGTTGGATGATGGCACCAATATTTGATCTCTCTGGCAACAGTTAGATACATGTGGTAGCTGGATATAGAGTGCTAAGCCAAATGACCGACTCTAGCAGTTAGTAATACTCCGTGCAGGTACTCTATACTTCAGTGACTGGCAAATACACACAAGTGTCCCTACAACAATATTAGTACTCTCGGACGTCTTGGAGTGTTCTCGGAATTGATTGCTTCTGCTGGGGAAAAAAAATCAACCAAAGCAGATACGGAAAAAATACCAGCAACGCATCGTGCATTCTGGCACCATCTCTCCTATCCTGCGCTCTCCTATCTCCCCACCGAATCTTGGCCTTGTCCTCTGTACTTGTGACGCTCTCCACAAGTCTTCCAGTTAGCGCCTGTAGACGGTAGATCCAGGGCCCGCCCTAGCGCCTCCTGTGCCCTGGAAGCCGCCCAGAGGCCCTACAAGTTTCCAAGTTACACGTCCGCTACCGCCTAGCAATAATCCCCGGCTCGTGGGTAGGCGGCTTTTCTCTTTTTTTCGCTTCCTCCACCACCGCCAACATCTTCTACTTGGTCCAAATCTCACTCCTTCAACAACGCATTCTCTCACCACCACCGGCCGCGACTGCTGGAAACGGCCAGCAACTCGCTTCGCACCAAACGGTCAACAGGCGCTCGCCTTTGGGCCGCGGCCAGACCGCACCGCGCTCGCATGACGACCACATCTTGGAATTAGCAGCCTTTTGATCCCTTTTTTTTGTTCCATCTGCCTTGCAGACCAACTCTTACTTCCCCCACCACACGTCTTCTCAGACACGCACGCACTACATCACGCACCGGCGTCGAGGCCCGCAGACCGCACGCGAAGACCGAATATCCCTCCCATCCCGCTGCTGCTGGCCCTGGCCTTGGAAGAGGTTCCCAGGGTTGCTCGGCAGTCAGTGGGGGAGAGCACACGCCGCGCATGCCTCGCGCAGCAGGATCGGGCAAGCGACATACAGGTGGCGCCGGTCATCGCGACACGAAGCACGAGAATGGGCTCGTAGGCCCGGCGAAACGAACCACTGGCAGGAAGGGCCCCAATCACTCCGAAGGCCCTGCGAGGCCCGCCGACAATGGCGCCGGCCACGCAGGGCCGCAGCTTGTGACGCAGGGCGTGCCCAACGGCAGCTCCAAGGCCGGCATCGACTTTGCCCACCACGATCACCGCACCGCCGATACCCGCAGGTCCTCTGTCGGCAACGATTCTGAGACGTCCACCTCGGAGTCGTGCACCTCGCACATGGCATCTGGCGGCGCCGTCGATGGCGGCCATCGCCAGATCGACGTCAACGCCATGAAGAACACCGATGTGCACCGCGACTCGAGCCCCCTCGACATGGTGGCCACCGTCCTCAAGTCCCTGCCGATGCAGGATACGCTCGCCATCCTCATCATCCTCATGCAGCTCCCGACTCTTTCCCTCTCCATCATCTACGGCATCTTCACCTGCTTGACCTTTGTTCCCACCGTCACCACAAGCTCGGGCATCAACCTCAACTTTGCCGAAATCTTTGATGGCCACTCGACCATGCCTTCCTTCGTCACCATGTTTTGCATGGATTTCTTTTTCCTCCTCATCTGGCTCTTTCTTTGGCAGCCAATCCAAGATGCTATTCTGGATCTTGCCAAGCCCATCATTGCCATCACTCTCGGCGGCGGTGCTACTTATCGGAATGGCAGCTCGAGAGGGATCACGACTTGTGCCGTCTGGATTGCGGGTAACCAGTTCATCCGTAGTACACGAAGCCATTGGTCCCGCTTTGCCAGGCACATCCCCGAAGACTGGCCTGTCCCTTCTGCCCTGAGAGGCACGCTCGAATCCACATCACTCATGCACGATAAGAGAAGTGCGTTTGCGTGGGTACGAAGCGGATTGGCCATTCATATCTTGACTCAGGGCTTGGTCAGATACATCCGAGAGTGGTACCTGAGAAGGGAAAAAGCCAGCGCGGCAGCTGGCCAGCATGACCCCGAGGCTGGGAAATCCGTCGCCACCATCTCCATCAATGGCGAAGTTCCGCACGACACGGGCTTCAACACTCCGGACACGGAGGCCGGGTGTGCTCAGCTCCCACCTCCACCCCCTACCAATAAGAAAAGAAGAAAGCAAGGTACGCAAGTCAGACTACAGCAGCCGCTCTGGGCGGCGCTGGCTAGCACCAAGATTGTCGTAATGAAAGAATACGAATCGTCTCACGTGTCCTCCAAATCACTCGGCGTCAACACGACAGATATACACAATCTCGGGAATGCGCCTTTCAACACTCAGCCTAAACAGATATGGATATCGTATATTGGCTGCGACGAAGCATGTTTTAACACTAGCAATTTCCCCGACGTCGAGGACGTGCCGCTGCCCCTTACCACCCCCAATGGACAGCCCATCGCGCGACCCACTGGCGTCGACACGTCCAAACCTTTCTACGTCAAGGTCAATAATGCATTTTGGCAGCCTACTCGTATTTTTCCAGTTGTTGACGAAGACGACAGCGGCCGAGGAGGTGAAACTCGCTGGACGGGAGACATTTATGGTCTTCGGCCGTCGTCAAAGTACGTGTGTGAATTTGTGGACACTAGGACTGACAAGGTCATCTTCTCAACCAACATCCGCACTGTGAAAGAGCCAGCACGCGAAAACGACGGTGCACCGGTTGCTGTGTCCGGCAACCAGCAATCCCTCCAGCCCGATTCTCCCGCCACCACCCTGCGTATTTCCATTGCGGCCGCTGAAGCCAAGCTCAACGACGAAAAAAATCGCCTCAAGACTTGGCGCAAGGAGTGGAAGTCCAGAGTTAACGCCCTAAAGAAGGAGAATGAGCTCCTTGACAACCAGATAGGCTCAGCCGGTCACAACGACGACAAATATCGACAAAAAGTTCGACAGCAAGAGATACAGAAAGCACAGGCCGAGCGTGAAACGGGAACCATAGTCGAGCAGCTCAAGAAGTTTGACAGCTCCCCGGAACTGGCCGAGAAGAAGCAAGGGATGGAACGGACCTACACTAATGAGAAGAAGCTATATGATGCAGCTCAGAAGAGTTTCCGCGAATACAAGGCGAAGTTGGAGGGTGAAGTTCATACCAAGGAAAACGAGAACAGCAACCTCATCACCAAGCGTAACAAGATCGCCACTCGCATCGCCAAGGTCGAAAATGAGCTTGCCAACATTGCCGATGCAAACAATCGGGGCCTCAACGAGGTGGAGCGGCGAAAGCGGGAGCGCGCCAACTGGCAGGAGCAGGTCATCAACACGGAAAAGGCCTATCATGATCAGCTCGGGCAGATTTATGCAACGAACAATGCAAAGGTCGAGCACATTCGCAGCCTCCAGAATCAGATACAAGGAATTCAAAACTTCTTGAGTCAGGCTAGCAACATGCCCGTGGAGATGGCCCCTCTCGATGCCGCCGCCGTGACTACGCATCCTGCGTTTCAGTCGCCGCGGCCGCCACAGCAGCAGCTCCCCCCGCCTCAGGCCCAGCCGCAAACTCCCTGGCATCCCAACCCGATTGGTTATCCGCCCAACATGTTTGTGCCACTGCCAAATGGCGAGAATCACTCAACCTCTTCTCTCCCTTTCACTCTGCCTGGCATCGCTGCATGGCAGTCCCCGCCTATGACCAATTTCGATAATCGCGGCACCAAGTCGCGCGGTCGCAGTTCTAGCATGCTCAGCGACGTCAGCGGTTTTACCCAGCCAAGCGATGAGGAACCTCGGTCTCCCATTGGCATGGGAATGAACATGGCGCGACGGCCCATGTATACCAAGCGGTTTGGCGTTCATGACAGCAGAGGGAGCACCGGTAGTGGCGGTAGTGGCGGTAGTGGCGGTAGTGGTAGTATGGGTGACCCGTCGAGCCCGTCTTGATCTTGCTTTTTGGTCCTTCTCTTCTAACTGTATTTCTTTTTCTCTCCGGTTGGGTTGCTTCTTTTGAGAGCTGAAGGATGAGAAAGGAAGTGGTTTGACGAGGCCGGCAGTGTTTGTTTCTGTCTCTCTCTAGACTCTTTTTCTCTCTAGACTCTCTCTCTCTCTGTGTCAGTCTCTGTCACTCTGTCACTCTCTCTTTGTCTACAGATTGGGCTAAGGGAGGGTAGGGCTACAACGAAGCTGGCTCCGTGTGCTTGGGAGGAGCGAAAGTGTACGTAGTTTGGCTATAGTCTGATTGGCTTTCAGTTTGATGAATGAAGCAGCGCTTTTATAAACCTTGTGCGTGTGCCTTTATGATGTGTCACGTCTTGAGCGATGAATGTGACTTGTGTGTAAAAATTCGTGCTTGGCCATATGGGATGATACTCATTGATGCATGTGAGCAATAACCGCCAAAATGCAGCATGTGAATGATAGTGTGGTATCAAATATGTTCGATTCGATCAATATTAACGCTATATGCTATGTGGGGATTCTGCCCTCGACTTTCAATCAGTGGATCAGGGGCGGTACAATGGCGGATCTTCTGGGTAAGTGTGTAGTGAAAATCAAGACTTTAAATAAGCTTAAGTTAGGGAGAAGTTATCAAGCACCCTAATTTTTATCTAATATTCTAATTATAGTACTATAGTATAATAAGACAGCTAATTTATATATTAAATATATAGCTGCTAAATACTTATTAAAATAATAGTAGTGGTAATAGTAGTAGTAGCCTAAGCTATAGCTAGAGTACTAAATAATATAATTAAGGCGCTGGATAACTTCTCTTTTTATTTTTAGGGTGTTAGATAATAGAAATGGGGTGCTGGATAATGGCTCCCTTAAGTTAAGTGTAAAGCTCTGCAAAAGAATTCATTAATTTCCTCTCTTTGGTGTCGTGAAACTTCATTGATGGTGTTTATGTTAGATAAAAAAGGGGGTCCTGCTCTTACCGAATGATGTTGTCGTGGGATTTCTCATCTGACAACATGCGTGTTATATCTACCTTTTATCTTGACCATTCACACGCGCCTCATTGGCTGGAACTCGCAGTAAGTGAGAAGATGGTAAGATCTGCTGAGTGATATAGACAAATATGTCAGACACGTCTTTGCCAAAGAATACGTATAGGTTGCATATGGCTCTAATTACTGGCTGCGCATCTATCAACTCGTCTGAATGAACGTTCATGGCAATGAGGTGAGGAATAGAAGGAATGAGAAGTAACATGTAGAGTCTTCGAATCAGCTAAGATGTAGGAGAAGGTAACTGGGAAAACATGGTCATGAGTTGTCTACTGAAGGCGAACGTGTACCATCTACAAAGCATAAGACGGCGATAGAGTCAAAACGAATATGGGGACTTGCATTGCAAAGTAATACCAAACGGCAAAGGAATCTATCTAAAAGGGAGAAAGCGCCAGGGCTTTCACGAACGAAAGAAAGTAATCTTGTGATGTTGCAAACAATCTGTTCGAAACCGGACCCAAACCCATTCCACCTACACTCTAGAGTAGACTACTCAGTGTCAACACTGAGTATCTACATACACCTCATTTCTTGCCCCAAAGGAGGTACATATGCTCCATCTCACCTTGGATACCTGAATATGTACCATATTGAGACGTATCCCCTCATAGCTAGGGGATCGGCATGGTACCCTTGCCCAGGGTGTTCCTAGCTGGCTGAGAGATGTTTCGCAGCTGTGGAAGAGTAAACGGCTCAGTGCTGCTCAGGCTCTTTACTCTTCCTAGCAACTTCTCCAGGTGACGGAACGAAGCCGCAGGCCCATACGCGGGCCCTTGATGCCCAGCTAGTTTTGTCGCTACAAACGTCAGACCACGTTCGTGGTGAGTTGTACCCAGAACGCCATATGAAGCTGGTAAATTGGAGCCGTAACCGGTAAAGCCAGTGTCGGTGCGGTTGATTCCGTATCTCGGGACGTAAAATGGATCCTGCGGCTTGTATTGGAAACCCATCTCATTACCCCACGTCATGTTTTGAATTCCCAGCACGATTCCGTTTATGGGAACCAATGCGTCGAGACCACCTGCGGCAAGAATGACATTTTTGGTTGTGTCGATGACATGGGGAAGTTGTTTGAAGCCTGCGGGAGGAGAATGATCAAGGCTGTCGTGGGTCGAGAAGACATGCTGTGGGTTGCACACAATCCAATCGACTGAAGGAGAGACATGAATCGCATTTTGGACTTCGCGGCGGTTAAAATAGCTAGCATTAGTGCGGAAGGGGAAGCTAGTATCGCCACTTCCGTCGTAAAGAAGGGGACAGTAGTCGACAATGTTGTACCAATTGAAACAAGGATTCGACAAACGAGCCTGATCAAACACATTGTCTTGTAGAAAGATGCAGTTGACATCAGTGGTGCTCGAATTGAGATCAGGCTGTATACCTGAGGGAGGGAACACAAGATATTTGTCAAAGTGATCGGCGAAACCGCAATCTTCGTGGGTACCACGGTATGTAGACAGCTGGATGTCGTTGAATGGAAGTATATCCTGGTAGCGGGTGATGAACGGTAGGATGGGTACGTTGCTTTGCAAAGCTTGGTCAAACATGATCCCATCATAGATTATTAATCCTTGTACATCGAAGTAATCCGTGTCCTTGGCGTCGATGAAATGGCTTGAAATATATGGACCGTATGCGCCTGCCCACGATTCGCCCGCGATGTAGACTTTCCAGCCATGCATGCCAAAGGTGTCAACGAAATTACGCCAGAAACCCTTGAATTGCTCGGCAAGTCCGTCTTCGTCTGTGATGCTGGCATTACCCTTGGAAAACCCCGTGCCGACAGGCTGATCAATCCAGACGACGTTGGTGAGGAGGTGCCAGCTGAAAGGGTTGTGGGTGGGCTCTAACGTCCCAGGTTGCCATGAGAGGGGGCCATTTTCTTGAAGAATAGCGAGCATTGACGAGCATCCAGGCTATCATTAATTCGTTTCTTGGTTAGCACGCTGAACGAGCGAAGAGATTTAAGTTTGTGCATGCAGATGAACTTACCCCGCCACTGAGCCAGATGACAATTTCCTTATCATCCTGATGCTCCTCGTTGTTCGTCGGAAAGAACCAAAAGAAGAGCTCATCGGTTTCGTTGCGCTTGTTGCTGATAGGGAGATTTCCAGCATACGATTCCCCCACATCAAACTTGATCTCGGGGAGAGTGGTGCCGTTGACGTAGAAACCTACACAAGTTGCAGTTCAGCATTAATTAGCACAACCTATCATAATGTTGTGGAACCCAAGAATAGCAGTCACACTCACCTTTTGTGACAGAGTTGTAGAATCGCGGCTCGGACTGTGGCTGGGAACCACACCTACCGTCGTTCTCCGGAGGGGGGTGGATGGCAGCACCAGAGGTACGATTGTCAAGATCAAGAGTGTGAATACCGAGGAAATCATTGATAGGAGGGGCCGCGACGACGATGCCGACAGCTGCCAAGAGGCCCAAAATCCACCAGAACTTCATAGCTCTAGAGTGTCGGGATCAATAGCTCTAGAAAGCTGGGAGATATATTGATTCTGGGTAAGAATATGGATATCAAGACAAGGACAGTGAAGAAGTAGTAAGAAAATACAATAGTAAGCGAGAGAAAATCCAAGATGAGGAAAACAAACTGGTATTCCTCGATGATATACATGCAGATGGTGAATGTGAAAAGAGCGAGATAGCCCAAAAAGAAGATTGATCGGGAATAGATGGTCGACTGTGGTCTTGATTGTTGCGAGTGTTGTATCGTTTGTTCAATTTTCCAGGACTTGGTGTCTCTTCGCCCTCTACTTATAGACTTTTCCAGAAAGGCAAATCGCTAGCAGAACCATCTTCAACGCCTTCCTCTCTTTTCACACGTTTGCGTTTCTTCTTCCCTCAAAAGACGAGAGGGATCCTACCAAACTGCTGTTCGGCATCTCCTTCTAGAGTACATGAGGATAAAATTGGGGCCGCTTCACCAAAACATTCGTATTAGGGCCAATGATAGCAGAGTACCGAGCTGTCTATTTTCGTGTTAAGCGCACTGCATGTCCATTTACAAGCCTGTATAATGCGAGGAGCCGTTCAGTTGGGAGCGGTGAGTCCGACAATGCTTCAGCTCCCATCTCATTTCTATTGTCGTGCTGCCCGCTCCCGCTTTGTGTTTGTCAATCTTCCACATTCCGTATATTGACCATTCAGGAGAAGGAGTAGAAACATGGAAGTTGAAACCCAGTACCATTCGGCAGCCGCGCTTAAAGAGAAGTGCGGCTATGGATGCAGCGCAAAGGCACATATTGCGGAAGAGGTGGCGGGGGCTGTGTCATCTGTGCTACGGCAGCTTCCCGTGCAGGGCTATAGATTTCCAAAAAGGTTCGGAGATGCTTGCTGGCTTGACATGTAGTCACACGTAATATAGGACTATAGGTAATTGGTTATCATGATGCTTGACACGCTTGAGTAGAACTCAGCCTAGCCTGCGGTCTATGCTTCGTCACCTGAGACGCGGCATTAAGCCTTAGGTTGAAATTACATGCAATTGGGTTCTCTCCATTTAGAGATATAGACACTTGATGAAATTCACATACAGAGTATGAGCAATACTGTCATAATCTTTGTAGCTTAACAGATGTATGCATGTACACTAAGCCTTCATAACACAAGTGATAGACGAATCGGAGAGTCAAGTATACCAATTCATGTTTATAGTCATTATCAAGTACTCCATGGGCCCTTTGATATCTCGCAGACCATCTTGCTAAATCTCTCTTTTCTCTACTGCCTTCTTTTCTATTTTTCTTCACCATCACCTACTAGTTTCGGTGACAGCCTCGAAAGTATATGTAAAATGTGTCAAATGAAATGCGTGCATAGCAAAACCGTCGTATGCTTCGAAAATGCATTCACTCAATTATGCACTACTATAGATGCTAGATGGCCAAACACCAAGACAAATAAGGTCAGAGACTAGTATCTCAGGCTTGTCCATCTGTACGGCTTTCAGGGGCACGTCATGAGTATTGTCTGCCATATGACGCTCTGTCATGAAATTCTGAATTAGCCTACTCTCCTCAAGATGACTGTTACACAATGCCGCACCGGCCACGCTTTAGTGAAGCTGAGCTGCAGCCGTCGGACTCGCAAAAGCACTATTCGGCCTTCCCGGCTTCAGCAAACAGAAGTACACAACGATGATCTCATCATACAAACAATCTGTGTAGGTGCAAGACTTATGTGGGCTTCTATTTGGTTGGGAGATATTGCTGAAGGTGGTTTTGAAACAGTAAAGCAAAATTAAGAAAATATTCAGACTCTTTTTTTAAGCTGATGATCTTTTCCTCACCTAGACTCAAATAAGCGCTGCCCTAGCTCAAGCAGTTACCCGCGCAGTTAGAGCAGCTGCCTGGTAGCGTGAAGGGAAGAAGGAGACTCTGTCAATGAACTCTTAGCAAGACAAGTGAAGACAATTTAAGTACTTGTTGGTAGTATATATGGATTACATGCTAGTACCACCTACTTGTGTACGCGCAAATACTTATTGCTCAGCAATACTTTAGATTGAGTGTTTTCTTGAAGGCGATGTGAATCACTAGAAGAAAGAGACTTGGGCTGAGAAAGTAGTTCGTACATTACCTGGTATCATAGGTGTCATTATTCGGATGAGACGTTTAGGCTAGGTATTATGAGTGCTATGACAAACTGTCCTACGACCCCCCCTGTAACCTGTCCTGTAGTAATGGTCAGATTTCCTTTTCTTAGCGCAAAAGATGATCTATCCCACGGACAGGTATAATAGCGCGGGAGCAATCTAGTCCGGAACGACTGTAGGGAGTGAAGGTGTTGCTAGATTGTCGACGAGAGCGGTCTATCAATTAAAATCCTCATCTGCAGCGGTGAATTTTAGACTTAATAATTCACCTGTCCGTGGGACAGATCATCTTCCTTAGCGTAAAAAGGAAAGGCGAGTATTACTACAGGACAGGTTACAGGGGGGGTCGTAGGACAGTTTGTATGTATACTCAGGTATTATCAGCAACAAATTAATTCATAAATCTACATATCAAATTGTGCAAACATAAAATCCAGCACCCAGCTGTGAAGTATACCAGTGCTATGATAAACTGTCCTACGACCCCCCCCCCCCCCCTGTAGTAATGGTCATATTTCCTTTTCTTAGCGCAAAAGATGATCTATCCCACGGACAGGTAATAGCGCGAGAGCAATCTAGTCCGGAACGACTGTAGGGAGTGAAGGTGTTGCTAGATTGTCGACCAGAGCGGTCTATCAATTAAAATCCTCATCTGCAGCGGTGAATTTTAGACTTAATAATGATCATCTTCCTTAGCGTAAAAAGGAAAGGCGAGTATTACTACAGGACAGGTTACAGGGGGGGTCGTAGGACAGTTTATATGTGTACTCGAAGTATACTTTGGAGATAACACGAACATATTTTAAACTATGATTGCATGACTGCAGTTTTCTTTACCATGAGGCCACTGCATTATGGAATTAGACAGACATTGGCTTTTTAACCGCACATCGTTGAACAATGGCGGCACTAATAGAGTTGCCCCTTCATAGACGGCCTCTTTTCGACTTGTAAATAGAATGTAGGTTGTAAAATATTGGCTAGACACAATACCTCACAGTATTAGATGGTACCCTATATCTACCTGCATTGATAGACACGGGTGCATACCTAGGTACCTAGCACTCACTCATGGTTTTGCAACGAAAGATGGCGATTGGTGTGTCGGATAGCCGTTTACCCGGAGCCGATGCTCCAATAGAATGGAGGCACTTAGTCATCAAGATGCCTCGCTGCGACAATCATCTGTACTCTTCATAAGCACAAAAGTTTGCCATTACACAGCTGAAGCGAATAATGTTATTACAATTGGAGTGATTTTATTTCTTATTATATGAACACGTATCTTTTTCGCTCATAGCTAGGTACTATTCACGGAGACGTGGCGTACCTACCTACCAGTATTTGGGCGGTTCAGGAAACTCGCTGTATCTACGGAGTACTTGTACACGCAAATGAGAAAACTCTGATAATGCGTGTCTGATAGAAACTGACCCACCAAATTGTGACGTCAAGCTGCTTAAGAGTGCTGCGTACTAGGTACTCTTCTTTACGCACCAAGTACCTCATGAGCCAAAGGTAGAGGAAAGGAAATGGTACAATGAGAAACAAAAGACTTTTATAAAATTTGGACACAAAGAGAAGCCAATGAACGTAGCGTTGACTTTTTTCCTCAAAAGAAAAAAAAAAAAAAATCTTTTCCTTTTTTTTTCCGTTTTCCTAGAATTACTTCGCGCTACTGCTACTAATCCTACTGTCGTAAGAGTACCGCTCTTCATGCCTTAGTTTGATGCCTGATTGTGGCTCCCTAAGCCCCCTTATCAGAAAGTCAAAAGTCTGATACGCCCCACCATTCAGAAAAAAATTCACCCCGCCCAGGTCGAGGAATCTCAAGCCTCTTGGCCTGCAGACCGGCAACCACCGCCACCATCCTGGTCAGCCCGTAGTTTCGCCTCCCAGAATTTTCTTTTTTTTTCCTTTCCTCTACTATACATACAAAAGTAGTATTCAGCGACATTGAATACTACGCCTGGGAATTTGGGACTTCCTTTTTTTTTGGTGCATCTTTCTCTTCTTTTTTTCTTTTTACGTCTCTCCCGCTCTTTCGTTCCCTTCCATTTTTTTTCCCTCTTGATTTCAAAAAATCAGCTGGAATACACACTCCCAAACCACACCGCCACAATGCCTTCAGCGTCCAAGGAAAAGAGACTCGCGAAGAAGGCTGCCGAGGGCAAGCTGGACAAGAAGGGCGGCAAGGCCAGCAAGAAGCAGGAGCCTGAGCTCGATGCTTTTGGAAACCCCGTCAAGGACACCGACAGCCCTGCCACTACTGACGACAAGCTGGACGAAGTGAAGCGCCTTGCCGAGCAGATGGACCAGCACGGCATCTCAGACCGAGTCACCACGGGTGTGCTGTCTTCCACCCAGCAGAGCAAGGACGTCAAGATCACCAGTACCTCCCTCGTGTTCCACGGCCGAGTCCTCATCACCGATTCGACCATGGAATTGTCTTTTGCCCGCCGCTATGGTCTCCTTGGCGAGAACGGCTGCGGAAAGTCTACCCTCCTCAAGGCCATCGCTGCCAGAGAGTACCCTATTCCTAGCCACGTCGATATTTACCTACTGAACGAGGGTGCTCCTCCTAGTGACCTCGGTGCCCTGGAATGGGTTGTCAAGGAGGCTGAGAACGAAATGGAGCGTCTTGACAAGCTGGCAGAGCAGCTTCTGGAGGATGAAGGCCCTGAGAGCCCCGTTTTGATTGACCTTTATGACGTATGTACCCCAAATTGATTTTCCAGTAGTGGTCGAATATCTTTTATATGAAGTACTGACTTTTTTTCTTCTCTCATGACAGCACATGGACAAGATGGACCCCTCTACCTTTTCCACTCGCGCTTCCCTCATTTTGACTGGTCTCGGTTTCAACAAGAAGACCATCCACAAGAAGACCAAGGACATGTCTGGTGGTTGGAGAATGCGCGTTGCCTTGGCCAAGGCGTTGTTCGTCAAGCCATCACTTCTCCTGCTTGACGACCCCACCGCTCACTTGGATCTTGAGGCCTGTGTGTGGCTGGAAGAGTACCTCAAGAAGTGGGATCGTACCTTGGTTTTGGTGTCCCACTCTATGGATTTCTTGAACGGAGTGTGCACCACCATGATTGATATGCGAGAGAAGAAGTTGATCTACTATGGTGGTAACTACGACTCTTACGCAAAGACTCGCGAGGAGAACGAGACCAACCAGATGAAGGCCTACACGAAGCAGCAGGAGGAAATTGCGCACATCAAAAAGTTCATTGCCAGCGCCGGTACCTATGCCAACTTGGTCCGTCAGGCCAAGTCCCGCCAGAAGATTCTGGACAAGATGGAGGCAGATGGTTTCATCCAGCCCGTTGTCGCCGACAGAGTCTTCACCTTCCGCTTCGCCGATGTTGATAAGCTGCCCCCTCCCGTCTTGTCCTTTGACAACGTCACTTTCTCTTACTCTGGCAACCCCGAGGATGATCTCTACCGCAACTTGGATCTCGGCTTCGACATGGACTCCCGAACCGCCTTGGTTGGTCCCAACGGTGTTGGCAAGTCAACTCTGCTGCGATTGATGACCGGCAAGCTCTCTCCTACCCGGGGATCTGTTACCCGTCACACTCACTTGAAGCTTGGCTTGTACTCCCAGCACAGTGCCGAGCAGCTCGATCTGACCAAGTCTGCTCTGGACTTTGTCCGTGACAAGTACAAGGAGAAATCCCAAGACTACCAGTATTGGCGCCAGCAGCTCGGAAAATACGGTCTCACCGGTGAATCCCAGACCGCCCTGATGGGAACACTGTCCGAGGGCCAGAAGAGCCGTATCGTTTTCGCCCTGCTCGCTATTGACGGCCCCAACATGCTGCTGCTTGACGAGCCTACCAACGGTCTCGATATCCCCACCATTGATAGTTTGGCCGATGCCATCAACGCCTTTAGCGGCGGTGTTATTGTGGTATCCCACGACTTCAGGTAAGTTTTTTTCGCTTTCTTTTCTTTTCTCTCATTTATAACGTTTGCTAATGTATTCCGCTACAGATTGCTCGACAAGATTGCGAAGCAGATTTTGGTGTGTGAGAACCAGACCATCCGCCAATGGGACAGCACTATTGGCGATTACAAGAACTACCTTCGCAAGAAGATGATTTCCGCTGGTGCCGTGTAAAGGCAGAAGGAAATACAAGACGAGCAGGAAAAAAGTTCAAAAATTTTGCAATTGGAATCGCAGTTGATATTCATATAGAACGGATGATCATATGACAGGGAATTGAACGGCGGTACATGGGATAGATTGTCACACGCGGCAAAACAAAAGAGAAAGGCAATCAGGGATGAGCCACGCACAAACGTGCACATGAGCTCGGCCGCGATACCCTAGAGATGCAGGATGCAGGATGCATGCATTCATGATCAAAGTTTTTTTTTTTGTATGTTTCAAGTAACGGCATAGACTCGGTACCTAGTGTCATGAGTTTTCCTTGGGGTTACACTACCGCCATTTATCATGGAGGATATGGAAGAATTTTAAACCAGAATGAAATGAAATTAGAATGGTATACGATGCTCGATTTCGAAATTGATAGCGATGTGTGCGTTGAATGTTGGTGAAGTATCAGTATAGCCACAGGCTCTCCCTTCCTCTCTCTCTCTTTATATATAGAAACATGAACAGGTGTGTGAATTAGTAGTAGTACTAGTAGGAATGAAGAAAATTTGAGGGGGTAAAATGTTAGGGTTCTCCAGTAAGTTGGAGGAAATGAACTAGGCTTGCTGTCGACATACATTAGATGACTAATATATGCCATAATACCCGTAGATTTCTTTCTCCTCTCTGCTTTTATAATGCCCTTTGTTTTTTTAGCAAAAAGAGGCTAGTGGAATTTGTTACCAAATTTGGCGCCGGTTGACTCATTCCGGAGAAGATGGTCGTTAATTTTAGCGTGTGGTCGAAGTCTTTTAGGGTAGCCCGCCAATATTCACAGGGCGTGGGAGTGTTGAAATGTATAAAAAGGTAGGCAGGTAGATAATCGACATTTACACGCTTAGAGTCTATGAATACATAGATTGCCTTCCAAAGACCAAGCCTGCCAATTAGCGGGTAAAAAGGCAGTAGGAGAAATCAAATGAACACGCTCATCATGGCCTCAGTCAAACTGCGGCCAGCTCAGCCAGCAGATGCAGCCGGCATCGCAGATACTCACTACAGAGCCCTGGATCGATATCATGAATTCTACGGGGCATTTTTTGTCTTGGCTCCGAGAGATATTTTGGAAAAATCGACGCCTGTGGCGCTGGAAAAGCCGGAAAACATTATGTTGGTTGCGGTAGATGAGGAATCGAACGACGTTGTTGGGATCGTTAAGTACACTATTGAGGCAGAGAAAATGGCGTCTACTGCTACTGTTGAGGATCCTGCTTCTGTGCCTGCTGGGCCTCCCTTAACAGCAGTCAAAGAGCACTTGAAAGACCTGTGGACAGAATTTGGGAAGCGAAGAGACGAGATGGATGAATGCTATGAGAAGGTTGCGGATGGAAAGCAGCATATCTGTAGGTTTGTCCTAGCCCAAGGGGGCATTTCATTGGTAGTTGAGTGAACGAGGATGAAGGCTAATGGAACAAGATATTCATACTTTGATGATCAACCCAGATTACCAGCGCAGGGGCATTGGAGGGAAGCTGCTCGCTGCGGTGCTGAAACGGAGTGACGAGGAGGGTATTCCGACATTTTTGGCCTCAACAGCAGAGTCCATTGGGCTGTACAGCAGGATGGGCTTTGAGAGCTTGGGAGCGTGGCCGATTGACAACGAGTACTGGGCGGGAAGGATAGCTGGGCTGGAAAAGGAGCTCGGGATCGCTGGGCATGAAGGGCTGCAGGAGTTGTTCAAGGGGGTTGGAGAGGTTGAGGATGTGATGGTGAGATGGCCAAAGAAGCAGTGAGTGAGTGCATATTGAGCCAAGCTACCTACCTAGGTACATTCATGTACCAAGAGTCTGGAAACGCTGTACTAGCTCTCACCAAATCTTTATAAGAGATAAAGTAAATGAATTTTGCAATGATTAAATTTTATAATCTTAAGAATATATATGGTTTTATCTATATTTGCGTAAGCTGGTTGCAATTTAAATTGTAGAAAAATCCGCCCATATAAAGATAATGGCCTTTTTAATTTTTCCCGTTTCTAGACTTTTGTCCCGTAACTGTATTAGAGATCAAGTCGGGTATCTTTTCTAAATGCAGCTACGAAGTATATATGTGAGAGCAAGAGCGTGCTTGGCCACCAGTAACAGCTGTTCTATTATAAGCGATTGAAATGCACTCGATACCACGATTACTACCTAGGTACCTACCTAGTAGTAGGTTAGTAGTTACTGTGCGTCACGAGATGTACAGTACCAGATATGCATATTCACTGTCCGACCAAGGAAAACAGACGTTGTCAGATACAGTGCGCAGTGGTTGGCACTCGACGGGTGAGACTAGCGGCTGAAGTATGGGGATGGAGAGCTGCTGCGGAGCTGCTGCAGAAACCAGTTGAGGAGCTGTTTGAGTGCTGGAGCGTAGCATTCAGAGCTGATGGCATCGTACATGTAGGAGGCACTGCATCCATCTCCAGCGCTGCTAAATGGCAGAACAACCAATGCTCTCAGGCCTTTCATTCCGTGGCTTCATTGTCTGTGTCGAGAACCTACAGGTACAGTCTCCTGCTGGTGAAACTTTGTCTGTCGCCGCCGTGATTGGCCCACGATGCTCGCTGGGAAGAACGAGGAGGGATGAGATGAATGGCTCTCCACCAGCTCTCACTGTCCAATCATCATCACGGCTGCCGCTGCTTTGCTCCAATTTCCTTAGCCCGCCACCAGCCAACGTCTAGGCCCCCGAAGAACGTGTACAAGGACAGGTGTAGATCCCAGATCTCCAGACAAGGCCCAGGGCGCGCGGCCTGACCGGCTCCAGGACTCGGGCTGAGCCAACGCATCAGTCCACCATTTGCAGCCGTACTTTTCTCGTGAACGGTGAAGGCAGGTATACGTAGTCTGTAGCAGCGTCAATCCGGAGCCTGTGATTTTCCAGCCTCCTGCCCGTCTCCATCCTGGAGCAGATCTCGAACTGGGGGCGTTTTTTGAAGCCATCGCCATCGCCATCACCTTCATTTGAGCCCTCACCACTGGCCGGTCTTGGCATCCATTCCACATCGTCCCTGCCCTCCTCGGGGAACACTCCATCTTTAATTGACCACCCGATTGATACTGCTACCTACCTGGTGGTATTCTCTCTTCTAGACTCAACCTACCTACATTTACATTTACACCTACACCTACACCTACCTGCCGCTATCGACTGCCCGACTTGTTTTGCGCCGTCGGCAACGCACGGCTCGGCGCTCATTCGCTGCGTCGTCATCGAAGCCTCGCATCATTTTTTTTTTGGCGAGGCTTTTCCTGCCAGCTTCTACCCATCTAGCTCCGGCTTTTGTCATCCACCCACCCATCCAACGCGATCCTTGGCCGCCCTCTTAGCTCTCACCATTTGCCAACCCGATTCTCGTTTCTGCTCGAGCTGTCCAAGAATCCAAAAAGCTCTCTCTTCTCGATCGATCGCCAGCGCGCGCGTGTGCGGAAAGACAAAGGACAAGGTACACGAGCTCGCAACGATATTGGCCACAACCACCGCGGGCCATCTCTTTTGCCTTTGCATTCTAACCTTTTCTTTTTCTGCCTCCCCTCCAGCCTCGCCTTGACTCGACTCAACCTGCCTCGCCTGGCGGCTGGGCGGAAACCGGCACCAGCGCAATGGACTCGAGCTTTCGGTCGACGGTGCTGCACCGACACGGCGACGACGACAGAGATCGTGAGCGGGATCGAGAGCGGGATCGAGAGCGAGAGCGGGATCGAGACAGAGACAGAGACCGAGATCGAGAGCGCGAACGACGCGACGTGATGAACCCGGCCGGCTCGCACCGTCACTCCACCTTCAGCCTGCGGTCTCCCTCGACCGAGTTCCATCCGCCGCTGCCCTACACGAACCCGCATCACCAGTCGCCTCCTCGACTGCCTCAGAGCCGCAGCCCGTACATGGCCTCGTCGACGCCGGCCTCATCCGCCGCATCTGCGCACCCGCTGCCGCCCGCTGGCCATCACTACGGCCCAGTCGCCTCATCATCGCCGCTGCACCCCCCCAGCGCCTACTATCCGCCCCCGGCAACGACGCAGCAGCAGCAGCAGCAACCACCAGCTGCGTCAATCTCGTCGCAGTCGCCCTCTGCCGACAGCCACCATCGCCATCTGCGCGACAAGCAGCCGCAGCCACAGGCGACGCCGGCCAGCGGCAGAGTCTACGACCCAACAACCGACACGACCAAGGAGCGCCCCATCGCCGACTCGAGGCATAACGCGCCGCCAGTGGCTACGCCAAAGGTAAGCAGCTCAACTCTAGCCATAGTGCACTTCCACTTTTCGGCCCTTACACCACTTTTTGCCTTTGTGCTCGTTCGATTGAGCCATCCATCCTTACTTTTTCCACCACCGTTTCTACCAACCGGAAGGGGAAAAAAAAAAGAGCACGACCTCTTCTGCCCACCTCCGATGCATTTTCCCGAAAACCTCCCATTCACCACCCTTGCCATGCTGCATCATCCCTGATTTTCCAACGCGTCTTCTAACGTGATTTTCCTCCTCTTCTTCTTCCGCTCTCCAGCCATACCACCCCCGCGAGCCATACCAGTACCCGCAGCCAATTGACCAGCAACACCAGTCGTCTTACCGCAACGGCGACAATTATCCATCGCCGCGAGCGAGGACCTCGTCCTTCAGCAGCCGTCGACCCACCAGTCCTCTCTCGCACTCGCACCCAAACCTTCCGACCGGCTCCCACAGTCCGCCGAGTCGGCTTTCGCACATGACTTCACCGGGCCCCAGGCATGCAGCCGCGACAGCGCCTTCCTCCTCTACAAACGGCACGTCGCTGCCCTCCATGATGAAGGCGGAGGCCACCCACTCACCGCCAAAGCCGGCTCCCGTAAGTGCAGACCAGTCAATTGATTACGACTTCTCCGTTCGAACAAGCCTTGCTTCACCCCTTGCTCACTTTTCTGCCCAAACAATTCCTCAGCCATCATAGTTCCGACTACTTCTTCTCTCTTCCTACCTGTTTTCTTGCCCTCACCTTTCACACTTTTCACTACTGGTATCTCATTGCTTCATCTTTTGAGAATTCCCTTGGCTTCTGTGGCCCATTCATCCCCTTGAGAAAATCAATAGTGCTGACAGCATCTTTCAAAAGACCCCGAGTCGCGCTGCGGACCCAATGTCCTTTTCCAACATTCTCTCCAACTCAGAACCCGCCTCTAAGCCTGCAGAAAAAGCACCAACGCCCGAGAAGGAATTAGAGTCAGCCATGCCTGAGCTGCGAGAGCCCGATAACGACGGCGATACTGAGATGGAGAAGGAGGTTGATACCGAGCCTGAGCCCGCCCCTGTTGTCAAAAGGGCAGAAATTGTCATAAAGAAGAAGATATCCAAGAAGCCTGCCAAGGGCCGTGCGTCTGAAATCAGAGAAGATGGCCTAAAGAAAAGCCGTCGATCATCGATTAAGAAGGAATCTCCCACACCTCGAGTAACCTCAAAGCGGCAAGTAAACGGCCAACCCAAGCCGAAGACTTGGTCTACCGAAATGGAAAAGTCAATCCAAAGCTACGAGGCACAGCTCGACAAACAGGCCGAGTCTCTCGACGACACCGAATTCAGCGACAGAGCTTACAAAGAGGGAGCCTTCAAGCGCCAGCGCCTCATGGCCGAACTGGACTTGGATAGAGGTCATGCCCGGAGCGAGCAGTTTGTTGGCTCTACAGGAAAACGACTCGCCGAGCACTCCGATCTGGGCAAACGACGATACGACGACGTCTTTTACGACGAAGCCTTGCATGAAGTCCGCGACCAAGAGCTGTATGCCGAGAAGGAGCGCAAGAAGGATATGCAGCGCAAACGACGACGCGAAAAGTCCATGGCAGTCACCATAGAGCAGAAAGAAGCTGCTCTTGCTCGGGCTGAAGCAGCCGAAGACGAAGAGGAGCGCCAAAAGCACCTGCGTGATGCCGAAAGGGCGAATAAAAAGGCGCAGCAAACAAAGCTTATCCTGCAAAAGGGCATCAAGGGCCCTGCTCGCAACATTGAGCTCAACCTCGAAGGCGGCACCATGTCGAGCTTCCTGGCGTCCGATGCCGAAACCCCCAAGAAGAAGGGCCGCGGCGGCGCACGACCCAAGAAATCCAAGGAGCAGAAGCAGGCCGAAAAGGATTCGGCAGAAGCAGCCCAGGCGGCCTTGGACGCCGGCGAGGAGCTCCCGCCCAAGGAAGAAGGCAGAGTCCGCATCAAGATCAAGGGCAGCAAAGCCAAGGCTGACGGCGAAAAATCCAACAAAGAAAAGGCGGAATCTTCCAAGGACAAGGACAAGGTCGACGACGTGCCAGATCTGGAAAAGAAATTCATCTCCAAGGGCTACAACCAAATTTATGATCAGATTTGGCGTGACATGGCCCGCAAAGACGTCAGCAAAACTTTCAAGCTCGCTGTCGATTCTTATGCTACCCGAGGCTCCAACCTCAAGAAGACAGCCATTTTGGCTTCGAAAGAGGCCAAGCGCTGGCAGCTGCGAACGAACAAAGGCGCCAAAGATCTCCAGGCTCGCGCCAAGCGTGTCATGCGTGATATGATGGGATTCTGGAAGCGTAACGAACGTGAAGAGCGAGATCTACGCAAGGCTGCCGAGAAGCAAGAGATTGAGAATGCCCGAAAGGAAGAAGCCGATCGCGAAGCCGCTCGCCAGAAGAGAAAGCTCAACTTCCTCATTTCTCAGACCGAGCTGTATTCACACTTTATCGGCAAGAAAATCAAGACGGACGAGGTAGAGCGTAGCACCGACAACCCTGATATTGCGCCAGATGCGCGCCAGGTTTCTGAGAACAAATTGTCTGTTCAGGAGCCCACCGGGCCGCTGAGTTCCAAGATTACCCATTTCGAGAACCTCGACTTTGACAATGAAGATGAGACTGCCCTGCAGGCGGCTGCCATGGCAAATGCTCAAAACGCCATTGCCGAGGCCCAAAAGAAGGCCCGTGATTTCAATAACCAAGGTCTTGACATGGATGATGAGGGAGAGATGAACTTTCAGAATCCCACAGGTCTCGGCGACGTCGAGATTGAGCAGCCCAAGCTCATTAATGCCCAGCTCAAGGAATACCAACTCAAAGGTCTCAATTGGCTTGTCAATCTTTATGAGCAAGGCATCAACGGTATCCTGGCAGACGAAATGGGTCTCGGCAAAACTGTCCAGTCCATATCTGTCATGGCCTACCTGGCCGAGAAGCATGATATCTGGGGTCCGTTTTTGGTAGTGGCACCCGCATCTACTCTTCACAACTGGCAGCAGGAAATTGCCAAATTCGTTCCCGAATTCAAGATTCTTCCCTACTGGGGTAGTGCTGGAGACCGCAAAGTGCTGAGAAAGTTCTGGGATCGGAAGCACACCACGTACCGAAAAGACGCGCCTTTCCACGTCTGTGTTACGTCTTACCAACTAGTTGTGTCCGATGTAGCGTACTTCCAGAAAATGCGATGGCAGTACATGATTCTTGACGAGGCGCAAGCCATCAAGAGCTCGTCTAGTTCTCGTTGGAAGTGCCTGCTGGGTTTCCACTGCCGAAATCGTTTGTTGCTGACTGGTACCCCTATCCAGAACAACATGCAGGAGCTGTGGGCTTTACTGCATTTCATCATGCCCTCGCTCTTTGATTCACACGATGAGTTCAGTGAATGGTTTTCCAAGGACATTGAGTCCCACGCTCAAAGCAACACAAAGCTCAACGAGGATCAGCTGAAACGTCTACACATGATTTTAAAGCCGTTTATGCTTCGTCGTGTGAAGAAGCATGTCCAGAAGGAGCTCGGTGACAAGATCGAGTTGGACGTCTTCTGCGACCTCACCTACAGGCAGAGGGCTTACTATGGCAACTTGCGAAATCAGATCAACATCATGGATCTTGTTGAAAAGGCGACAATGGGTGACGACCAGGACTCGGGAACCTTGATGAACCTGGTCATGCAGTTCCGAAAAGTCTGCAATCACCCGGATTTATTCGAGCGCGCTGAAGTAACTGCGCCATATTCTTTTGGATATTTTGCAGAGACTGCCTCCTTCGTCAGAGAAGGCAGCACTGTTTCCGTAGGCTATTCTAGCCGAAGCTTACTGGACTATGAGCTACCGTCTCTTGTCTGGACTGAGGGCGGCCGACTTGATAAAGCCGGAAGTGATAACCAGACAGCAGGCTGGCGCGGCAAAGCATTTAATCACATGTTGAACATCTGGACGCCAGAACATGTTCGAGCCAACGCAGACAGTGACAAGGCATTCTCGTGGCTTAGATTCGCAGACGCGTCGGTAGGCGACGTCTACGAGGCTACACACAGTGACTTATTTGACCGCGCGGTGAAAGAGCTCACGAAGCGTGATCGGCTTGGCCATATGAACGTTGTCTATGGTGAGGAAGACGAGAATTTTACACCCGCCCACTGCTTGTTCAAGATCCAGGAGCGCCGCAATCGGCAGCCTCTAGCAGAGATTACCAGCGAAGGCGTTTTGTATAGCTTGATGAACGTTGCAAAGGTGGCATACCGGAACTCTGGCATCAACCGGCTAGAGCCTGCGGGAAGACCTCGCGCATCGGCCCCCCCCATCGAGGTTTATTGCACCAAGTTGAGCGCAGTTGCCGAGCATCAGCACATCATGTTCAATACTCATATTCGTCAGACGTTGTACGGACCCACGATTTACGACGAGCGAGCTCTAGTTGAGAAGAAGGTGCCAATGGAGCTGTATCCCACCAACAAGATTTTCCCTCAGCCAGATCATGACAAGAAGCGATTTACCAACATTGCTGTGCCTTCCATGCAGCGCTTTGTCACTGACAGCGGTAAGCTGGCCAAGCTGGACGATCTTCTATTTAAGCTCAAGGCAGAGGGCCATCGTGTCCTGCTATACTTCCAAATGACCCGTATGATTGATATGATGGAAGAGTATCTCACATACCGCAATTACAAGTACTGCCGACTGGATGGTTCTACCAAGTTGGAGGATCGTCGTGACACTGTGCATGACTTTCAGACTCGACCCGATATTTTTATCTTTTTACTATCTACTCGTGCAGGTGGTCTTGGTATCAATCTGACATCAGCAGACACTGTCATTTTCTACGATTCAGATTGGAACCCAACCATTGATTCGCAAGCCATGGACCGAGCACACAGATTAGGTCAGACGAGACAGGTCACTGTCTACCGACTGATCACTCGTGGCACGATTGAGGAACGTATTCGAAAGCGTGCTCTTCAAAAGGAAGAAGTCCAACGTGTCGTCATCCAAGGTGGAGGTGCCAGCGTCGACTTTTCTGGTCGCCGTGCACCGGAGAACCGCAACCGTGATATTGCCATGTGGCTGGCCGACGACGAGCAAGCTGAGATGATTGAGCGTCGTGAAAAGGAGCTACTCGAATCTGGCGAATACGAGAAGCAAAAGAAGAAGCCCAGCAAACGGAAGAGAATGGATGCTCCCGCCAGCTTGGACGAAATGTATCACGAAGGTAAGCGCACACAACCGTTTGAATGTCTTATTGTGTTTGGTACCATAGATGCTAATCATGTCTCACAGGTGAGGGCAACTTTGATGACGGGAGCAAACCCGGTGCGTCTGGCACTGCCACCCCAGCGGAAAGTGAGTCAATGAGCAAGAAGGCCAAAGGAAAGTTGATTGGCAAGCGAGCAAAGACGGCTAAGCAGCGCCTTGCCATTGCCGATGGTATTGTTGATGCCTAAACGGAGCGAATTAGAGAGAGGGAAGGCCCCGAGTTTTTTTTTTTTCTTTCTCCAAATGTTAAGTCGGCACATGACGTGGCCCTGTAACACAACCTCGCGGTTTTTATCGATAATGCTTTTTTTTTTCTAAAACACTTCTCGGACTTTCTTTTTCTTTGCCCAGGGACTGCTATTTAGATGCGGATGGGAACTATGGGAGGTGCATGGCGCAGAACGAAGACAATACGAAGACTCGTACTTTTGAGAAAAGGAAAGAAAAAAAAACTTATGAGAGGCATGGAATTGGAATTCATCAGTAATGGAAAAAAGAGACATATAAGGAGGGCCAGGTATACCGAGGACTCATGTGGTGGGCATAGGGCGAGGACTTGGCGAGGATTGGGACTGATGTATGACTAGGTACTTATTACTTGTAGAGAGGGAATGTATTCAATGCACCAATTATACCTACTAGTAGCTCCTTGTGTATTGCATGAATTATCGTGGCTAGGTGTCCAGGTTTTCAATATGCTGTGATCGGATGGCGATGGGAATGCAGGCTTGTTTCCTTTATTAAAGTCCTATTTCCTCTATTAAAGCCTGATTTCTTGGACTTTTTCAGGTAGGAGGTAGAAGTTGTTAAAGTAGACGATGGACAAGTCAAGATATCAGCTCCAAGTTAAAGAACGTAATGGTCGTCTGTAAATTTCTCATTGATACTGTAAAAGATATCTACTTATGTAAAGATATTTCAGATGAAATAAGAAGACATGGGTAGGTGTTTGTTTCTTTAGTACCGAAAGTATATGTATACTTGTGTACAGTTTTGCTGGAGCTTATGTGAAGCTGCAATTAATATAGGCAAGATATATTTATCTAGTTCTTCCAGGCGGAAATCATGTGCCAAGGTGTGTCGCACAGCCCAGCGTGGGGAAAGCAGTCGCAGGGATCGCAAGGTCCAAAAATAGGCTCGCCTGGGCAAGTGTTCTAGAGTGCGAAAAAAAAGAAGAGGAAGAAAAGATTAGCATAACGCTCTTTTACATCTTTCTTATGTGTGAGTGAGTTTTATGTCTCTCTTTTCTTATGACTTACATTTTCGGCGCAGGCGGTATCTCCGGCAGCGACCCTGGCGGCCAGACTAGCAGCTTCCCTGGCCTTAAGGGTTCCGGAAGCAGCGAAAGCCACAGGGAGAACGGCGAGAATCATGGAGAACTTCATTTTGGGTGGGTTTAGATTTTGTAGGTAATGGTGGGTGAGCAAGTGGACGAGACTTAAGGTAATGAAGCAGAGGGGTAGGGGATCTTTATAGAAATCGATGAGGGAATTAGCTACATTGTTTTCTTGATTTATCATTGTCTCTGGAAGAAGCGTGGTATTCAGACGGAGAAAAGCCTTGCATGAATAGATAGGCATGGCCTGTGCATGGCCTGTGCATGTAGCCAGGTATGTGCGCTGTATACGCATTATATTATCATGTGTAAATGTGTGCCTGTGCTCATATTCCAAGAGATATGCCCGTTGGGTTGACATTCATGGTGCATGGATCGCAGATTGCTACTGGAAGGTGTTGCACTGTACGTGTAGTTGGCAGTGGCAAAAAGCCTTTTCGAGTACAGCCTTTGAAGACATGAACGCTAGGTAACTGCGTACTCTATGAAGAAAGATGAAAATCATTACAATTTATATGTATGTTATTACTGTAGTGTAAGTTACAATCGCATTTGGAAACGGCATTGCAAAAAGCAAGTTCGCCCAATGAGAGGCAAATGCATATGCATTAGTAGACTTTGTCTAATAAGGAGGGAAAAGAGTAAAATAAGAATAAAAATGATGGGCTGGCTAGAGAGAGAGGGGGGGGGAAAATAGTCTCAACACGCTGATGGTAAGCGAGGTATATAAGCCAATTGCAATAATTAGGAATAAATAGCCTTCTTATTAAATTGGATATTAATATAATAGCTAATTGCTGTATTTAAGCAGTTGTATATATATATCAATATATAAGGGACTTAAGTTTTAGGCAAAGGGTATAAAATAATAAGAAATAAAATAAATATATAACTATTTTTTATAAAATAAAAGAACTAAGGTTTATAAATAAAAATATTATTAAGGAAATAATATAATAGTTAAGGGATTAAAAAGGTAATTATTTAATATAAATATAAAAAGTTTTTATAAGCAGTTATATAAAAATATCTTAGATAAAAGTAATATATAAGTATATACTCTATTAGTACTAAGACTTTTATATGTAGTGTGTTATCCTTAGCTCTTATTAATATAAGAAGCCTGCTGATTTACCAACCATATGGTCCACCACCTGTTGTGCATCTGGCGAATTCGGGATGGCACTCGCAGGGGTCGCAAAAACCATACCCATGGCCTAGACACTCTTGCTAAATAAAAATATTAATAACACTCCTTATTTCTTTTATATATATATATATAGGTTTTTTTTATATATACATATATATAAGTATAAAAAAAACTTACCCATTTCTCGCAGGCATCTTCTCTAGCAGCAAGCGCAGCGGCCTCTCTGGCAGCATCCCTGGCGTTAAGGGTTCCAGTGGCAGCAAGAGCCACAGGGAGGACGGCGAGGATCATAGAGAACTTCATTTTGGGTGATTTTTTTAGTGGTGGTGTGTGAGTGTGTGTATGTGATGAAAAGGAAATTTGGGGCAATGAAGCAGAGGAATAGGGGATCTTTATAGTAAGTTAATGAGGGAATTAGGTATATTATCTTTGTTTTTGTTCTTATTGTCTCTGGAAGAAGTATGCTATTTAGACTAAAAATAAGTCTTGTGTAAATAGATGCGTGAATAGATACAGCATGGCCTATGCATGGCCTGTGCATGTAGCTAGGTATATGCGCTATATATATACTTATTATATTAGCATATGTAAATAAATATATACCTGTACTTATATTCTAAGAGATATATTTATTAGATTAATATTTATAATATATAAATTATAGATTATTACTAAAAGGTATTATATTATATATATAATTAGTAATAATAAAATACTTTTTTAAGTATATTTTTTTAAAAATATAAATATTAGGTAATTATATATTTTATAAAAAAAAATTATTATAATTTATATATATATATATTATTATTATTATTAAAGTATAAGTTATAATTATATTTAAAAATAATATTATTTAATAAAAAGTAAATATATATAAATTAATAAACTTTTTTTAATAAAAAAAGAAAAAGTAAAATAAAAATAAAATAATAAGCTAGTAAAAAAAAAAAAAAAGCAAATAGTTTTAACTAGCTAATAGCAAGTAAGGTATATAAGCTAATTATAATAACTAGGAATAAAAAACTATTTTATTTATATAATTTAATATTAATATTATAAGTATAGTAATTACTATAGTTTATATAATAGTTATATTATATATATATATATAATAATAATAATAATAATATATAAAAGACTTAAGTTATAAGTAAAAAATATAAAATAATAGTAAATAAAACTAATATAAAATTATTATATAAAAAAGAAAAGCTATAAAATTTATAAATTAAAAATTAATTAAGTATTAATATAATAATTATAAAATTAAAAAAGTAAGTATTTAATATAAATATAAAAAGTTTTTATAAATAGCTATATAAAAAATCTTAAAGAAAAATAATATATAAGTATATATTCTATTAATATAAAGATTTTTATATATATATATAAAAGAGCTTTATCCTAAGCTACTATTAATATAACAAAAGCCTGTTGATTTACCAGCCAAATGGTCCGCCACCTGATGTACATCGGGCCCAGTCGGGATGACAAAGGCAGGGGTCGCACCAATAATCCTTGCTCAGACAATCGTACTATAGAAGATAAAAGATTAAAATAAGAACTCTTTATATCTTTTCTATATATATATTTCTCTTTTTAACTTACGAATTGAGTGCAGGCGTCTTCTCCAGCAGTAAGCCTAGCAGCGTCTCTAGCGGCAATCTTAGCCTCAAGGGCCCCGGAAGCAGCAAAGGCCATGGGGAGGACGGCGAGAAGGACAGAGAACTTCATTTTGTTGTTGTTGATGAAACGGATGTAGATGTGAATGCTGATTGTGATGCTGTGATACTGCAGGGAGAGAGGAAATGACATAATTTATAATATCCAATGAGGGAATTAAATTTTGGTTAATACAAACAACAATCTCATCTTAATAGAAAAGCATCTCTATTCAAAGTCACTGCAGCCTGTGCATTTGATCGAACTTTGATCTGTGCATATAGCCACACGGTTTTCTTGTATTCGACAATGCACTACTGGCGCAGACTAGCATTACACCAAACCATAGCAAACAAAGTCTGCGCTTTGCCAGGGATAAGGAATATTGTGGTGGGCTTCGGACGTGCACCAAAATCAGACACATCGCAGGCCAGCTACTGGCTGTAGCGACGACGCGACGAGAATATGACAAGGAGGAAGCGCAAATTTTACGGAGACATGATTCCCAAAAGAATGGGGCCGTCACAGTAGCTAGATGTTGGGTTGTGGAGAAAGATCATGCGCTGCTTTCTCTTCTCAACTAATTCAATACTGTACATACTACAGACCTTTAGATACAACCCCTTGCAGCATTAGCTGCTTCAACCGATGTACATCTAAACTTAATTGTTGCCCGAGCTATTCATGCATTTGTCGAAAGGCTTTATCACCATTTTATTTATGCAAGATGCTTCTGTAGTGAGAGTTGCATTTATAGCTTGCGAGCTGCCTAGACAATGCCTTTTCTTGGATTGTAATTTTAGGTAGCTTTCCTGACGTATATACTTAGAATGAATTATGCTACTTTCTTTATTTTGTAGGAAGTTTCCTCGTAGCTTCTATTCCTGGTGACCGTATACATGCGGCTCTGCATTGATTGTAGTAAAACAGCCAGTTCACGATCCTAATTTAAGCTTAATATTATACAATAACTCTGAAACACTGCCCTTAATGCTACTCGCGTAGGCATAAGAAGTAGGAGAGTGATGTAACTGCCGCTGCCCCAGCTGCTAGTGTTCCTATTGCCGTTGTCGGTTCTCAAGGTCGAACAAGCGTCTGTTTTTTTTATTACATGAAGATGTCAAGAGACGATAGAAGGAAGTCAAATGTGCAATGTTATGTATTTTAACCAAGAAGTGCTATGGGTTTACATTCAATTACACGAGCGAGGATGAAGAAGCTAGCGGAAACTTTGTATTGAGTAGTCTTGTATATGAGCATTTTATTCAAGCAAATGAGAGAATGAATGAATGTGAGTGACTAAAATCCTGCTCTTGGGAATATGAGACATATATGCTCTAAATATCTTGGGGGAATGGCCCCTCCTCTGGGTCACAACGCCCAAATATGCCCTTGCACGAACAGCTATTTGTGCAATTGTCTTTGCCATTGTCTGCGATGCAAGAATACTAAAGCTAAAGCATTAATATCTCTTCCACATTCGTTTCTTTCAAGTAAAATTGGAAAATTGCAAAATAGAGACAACTCACGTAGTCAGACCAGCAGCCCCAGTTATAGCTGCTAATAAATGGATTCCATCCCGTAATCGGAGAAATCGCGGGGGCGGCAAGAGCCACAGGGAGGAGGGTAAGGACAATGGAGAACTTCATTTTGAGTTAATGGTTGATATTTCCTTTTCTCGTTGCCTATTGAAGCAAAAGAGTTTGCGATAGTTGGGAGGCTTAGTGCTAATGTGCGAGAGTGATGAATATTATCTTCAGAAGGCAGGGTTTGGTAGGTAGATTTATACTGGATGAATACAGGTTGTCTATGGAGTAAGAATAGAGGTTCAAAATGATGTAATATCTGATATTATGAGAGCGATGCATACAGTGCATACTCTGTTGTTGCAGTTTGTTCATTATCTTATGCAAGTCTGCTGCATGCCTACAGCATTGTACGAAGAACAGGCTGCATAGCGATTCAAGCTTTGCGGGGAGATGTAGATCAATGTATTGAAGAAGTGGATTAATGAGGCATTAACTTATTCTCGTCTTGTAAACGGTTTAGAGTTAGGACCAATTCGGGGTCTGTGTTGAAACAAACATGCCTAGCTCGGATGTTTTCACAACGGGACATCTTCTGCTGCAAGGAAGTCATAGCGAATACATAACGTCGGCGTGGGGATTTTACCCACGTGCCAAAAAGCAAAAAGATAACGGGTGCTTTGACTTCATGTGTCTCAAAGTCCAGCTAGACGTTAGTGCCTCCTATATTACTATGAGACTTATGCTCTGTAGCAACTCTGGGGTACCCTAAGCCCTCTCTTATTGGTCTGCCATATTGGCGTCGTTGCCTTTGATCCCCATTTGTGAATATTTCCATCTATGCCTAACCGAAGCTCTTTCACTACAGATCTATTGTTGATCTCTGCGATCCTTGATGGACTAGATGGTCTCATCCGAGCTCTAAGTCCTCGCCGCTGTATATGATAGGATGTTATCACCAGCCCTGGGGCTGTTATGACCTATAAAATATCGGAATTAGTACCTTAATTCAACCACCTGACCATGATTAGTTGGCGGTCTAGTATATCTTCATCTTAGTGTATCTCGACAAATAGTTGCCAAGAACTCTAGAACCAGCAAGCGACTTGGCAGCTGAGTGCAGAAGGCAATTGGTCCATGTGTTGTAACTTGACGTGCCTGACACAATTGCCAGTCGTCGTCACATGAGCTCCGCTAAAATAGAATGTCGTTTGATACAAAGAATGCCTGCTAGTTACTTGTTATAGGTAGCCAGTTCTACTAGCCTTGAGGCCGGAAAACTATCTCAAGCTGTAAATTGGCATTACCTCTGTGAGACTGGATGCGCTGCGGTTCCGTGATAAGAACGGGGAAGACGTAAGAAAATAGGAAATGGAAGAGCCCAAGTATCGCCTAAATCCAGATAAGCAATGTAAGAATTCTTGTCTATAGATTACAGGGCCACAAATGACTATTTAATCACTTGCAATTTGATCCTTAAACTCTATCACCATGTCAAAATCCCTCCATTTCTCCCTCTCAATATCCTTAAAGAGTATTTCGGCCACGACGCCCTGCCCAGGGAGCTCCTTGATCTCCTCCGTCTCAATCAGGCCGACGCTCTTCGCCACTGCTCTCATCGAGGTATTGTGCTTCATAGTGCCCGCCTCAATGATATCCGTATCCAGCTCATTACTCAACCGCAGCAAGACTTGCATGAGCGTCTTTCCCAGTCCCTTCCCTCGGACCTCGGGGCTTAGTCTGATACCGATGTTTGCGACACTCGGCTTCTCACCGGGGCCGGTGATCTCAAACACCCCTCCCCAACCTACAAACTTGCCCTCCAATGAGACGAAAACGTCGAGAGCGTGGTGCCGGGTCCGAGACTCGGCGTACATTTTCTCCATCCTTTCTCCGGGGATGACCACTGGCGGTGGGACCTGAGGCTCGGTAAGAGGGGCTTCGGTGCTCTTTGGGGCCGGCGGGATGACTGCTCGTTCTGCGAAGCGTATAAATGCGGGTGTCTCGGCGGGTGTCAAGCGAATAAACCTAAGGCTCGGCTCTGGGCGAGAGGGGAGGCTAATGGTCCAGTCTTTGGTGAAGAATCTGTCGTCTTTTGGGAAAGACGCCATGGTTTTGAAGGTTTTCTTTCAAATTCTTTCAACTGTGTGATTTTATTTTTCCTGGTTTCTTAAGGCAAATGAGACCGTAAAAAAAGAATTGGATTGATAAGTCAGAGCCAATTGATGATGAAGTGATTTAATGGTATTTATCCTCAGAGATAAACCAGTTAGTGAGGGACTCTAGCCGGCAATGCGGCAATACCAGGCAGAAGCCATACAGAAATGGTTAGATGTCATGGAGATCTTAGGCAGCTATCATTGATTATTGTTTATCATGAGACGAAGGAAAGGATCAAAAATACCAGAGACGCTGAGCTCAGGCTTAATACAAGCAATGTGCGAATGAATGTTGAGATGTATTGATAGAAGCAAGAAACTAACTGCAGCCTGTCACTTGTTGTAGGTACACCTCTAGAGGGGGTCACCTGACTGCATGTACGCATAGCGCCCCAGTAGTATACTCGGTTCCAATAGGCACATTTGAACCTCCTCCTCCCAGTGTCTAGTGTTTTTGCTAACCGGGAATCTGTTTTGAATTGAAGAATAGCTTAGGCAACGATCTTTTAGTTTTCTATTTCGGCTGTAGTAAAATAACCCTTTGCTGCTTTGGTACATGGATGCTGCTAGTGCTATCCATAATTTTTACGCTGAGCTTGTCTGCCGTCTCTGGCCTTTCTTTTCTGTGCGTATCGCCTATGTCTACGAAGATACAGTGTAGTTGTTGGGATCATCAACCAGTGTAACACTAAACAGGATGGCTTTGCACAAAACTTCTGCCTATACACCTTGGGTAATATATGCATTTGTGCAAATGCGAACTGGAACTCGTGCTCTTTTTGAGTGGATTCTGTTGAGAAAGAGGAAATACTACACTGTGGTCTAGCTATAGTAGACAAATTGAGTTCTGTAATGCAAACAATCATGTCCCATTCGACCCATTACACAAGCCGCAAATCCTACCGGGGTCGTTGAGTGATTACTTATTCCAAGCTTGTTTTTGATAACAAGGAATGCATTTAGGTGAGAATTTTGCTTATTCTTTCTTTTACTGCTGAAAATACTTCCTAGCGGTACTCATTCATATCGGCAGTTTCAGCACTTTTTTGACGCTCTTACTTGGACCTGTATTGCAATCATTCCTTGAAGCCATTAGTTTGACTTAGATTAGGGATAGGTTTGTAGCTATTGAGAACGTATGCATTATACCATTATTGGACTATGGCCATAATTCTAATATCCTACATCCTCTACTCACTTGCCTTGCTTGTTCTTCAAACAAAGTGGAGGAGAGGTTAGTAGAGTCTTTTGAAAGGGCAGACAATAATTGGACAGATTGGATAGCCGCTCTGTACAGTGATGCTTTCTAATGAGGGTACAAGATTAATACAAGAGAATACATATATATATATATATACTTTTTCGGAGATTCAAGATCAGGTCATGTGCCATTGCTAGAACTTAAATGTCTGAGCGGAAAAGAAAAGAAACGACGCCAAGAATCGTTGCGTGGAAACACTCGTTTCTCGAGTGCTTTCCCACCTCCTAGGATCATTTACTCGTAGATATGCAGACTCAAACGATAACGGCCAAGCTCAACGGTCTAAGATTGATTTAATTTACAAATAATATAACCTTCAAGTTTTGCATTGTTCTTATTATTCTCCGCAAAAGGTTTATTCACACGATGTGAGCCGTATCGCGGTCAAAGCTTCTACATGGACACAGCTTCGCGAGAGGGCTGTGCACATGGAACTTTTCGGAAAAGACCTGAGCTCGGGGTGAGAAATCGAGAAGAGGTGGTACATTTTATTGCATACCTAGTCAACATAACTCTCAAACTAGTGTATTGATCCCTCGTGGATGCGTCGACAGCCAACAACGGCGTCTCAATGTTTTTTCCCCCGCCCTATTCTCTCTGGCTCCTTCAATTAGCGTAAAACAGTCGAGTCCAAACCCACGCATTTCTTCTGGCTACCATGGCACTAGAATAGACCAATTGTTTCCCAAGTGACGGAGCAGTAGTTCTTTAGTCCAGCACAGCGTCGCTGATTGGGATAGATTCGATGCGTATCATAAAGTCCGACGCGGGGTGAACACGGTGCCCCGAGCTCATTCTCATCACCCGTGGTTTGCTACTGGGTGAGTAGGATTCCATATCTGACAGAATTTTTCCGACAGAGTCTATGATTTCCATGGCTGGCGAGCTGACTTGGCTGGCTGGTGTCCTTTGAGAACAGCAAGTCGAAAGTTAAAAAAACATAGGAGTAATGTCATCCAGCACGTACAAATATGCGATTGGCTCTCAATTATTTTAGTGCAGCGAGAAGAGGGTTGGCACTTGAGCATGAGCCTACTGTGGTGCCTCTGTGGAACAGGATGAGGGTTTAGAAGATGAGCAGCGCTTGGACATCTGCTAGATGCTGCCTTGTATTGAGCACGACCACGAGCTGCGCGAAAGGATTGATCAGATGAAGCTAAAAGCAAACGTCTGTGCGCGTTTCCATATTCGAAACTCTTGACCAAGTCATCTGTGTGTAAACTGCATTTGGATATAACCATAAAACTCGCTCATTGTTTTCTATAAGTAGCGTCTCTCTCTCGCCTAACATTGGTGTCACTCTCTTCAACCACATCTTACTTGCCTTTCAAAGTCATCAACCGAAGTCTATTCGAAAAACCACCGCCCAAGATGAAGTTGTCTCTTCTTCTCGCTGTCCTCCCCATGGCTCTTGCCACCCCCGTGGCTATTGCTCGCTCTACTGGTGGAGATGATGTTACCTGCTTGCGTACATATGTAAGTCAACTTTGTGTCACTATTCAGGTTGGAATAATAATTAATATTTTGACTTCAGTACGACTGTGTGGGTTCGCAGGGTGAATCAAACTGCGAACGGAACTGTGACCAGCAGCCGGAACAAAAGCCGGAACAAAAGCCGACCTACGAAATGTGTTTTACTCCAGGTATCGTTTGCTAGGCAAATGTGAGCCAAGGCAAGAGTTAAATATGTACCGTGAATATATCCTATTTTTATTCTGAAATGTTCTCATTATCACATGAGTATATTAAAAATACGCTCTTTATATATTTATCGATACATGTAGTTATCTTAATTACAACTCAAATTTTCAGAATCTCGACAACTACGTATGATATCTCTTGTAAAGACACAGCCAGCGTCACTTTCCTTTCTCTAGTCCATGGGACGTTGACAGTTGTAGCCGCATTCCAGGGCAACAGCGGCTATGTATAGGCTATATGAGTACTAATAGCATCCAATGCCTAAAGACACGAATAGCTCCAAATTGAAACGCTCTAATAGTGATTTCCGCTATATAATCGGCCCCCAAATGGCTGTATTCCTTCAGCGCCGCAAATGCTTTCATTGTAGCCCAGAATAGATGGACTCTCTCTCTCGTCTCCCTATCGCTGCTTCAATTGTCTACAGTGATATCCTTGAGTAATAATATTGAAGTTTATAGCTACATGTATCTGTCACGCTTTGCTAGATGACATGTAGCCTTCATAAAGCAGAATCGCCATGGCTATCATGGGCGCAGAAACGACCAAGGTGGTGATGATTTGATGCCGATAGAGTCCAATGGAGGGAGAAGATTTTAATCTAAATGCTATATCCAAAACCAAGTGATCTGCATAGAAACTCTATAGACAAGAGAAAAACGGCTCCCAAGATACGCATTGCCTTTCATGTGCATGAGCATTCGCTGGCGCATGACTGGCGGCACAATTGCAGTATTGAGCCTTACGCAATGCGATGCCAATGAAAAGGCGATCTATTACATGCATGTGAAGCTGTATACCTAGAGATTGTTTAATGCTGAATTGGTTGGCAGCAGGGCGGTGAGTGGTGCCCCAAAAGTGATGAAAAAGTCAGCCTGAAATGCAAGTCATTGATGCAGAAAATTCACTCCGCTCTCAAATCGCATTTAACTCTCAACACGCAAACCCAGTTCTTTTCGCCCTACTCTCACTTCGATATCAGAAGCCGGAAGCGGATAGTCCAACAGTCGCGATGTGTTGCCTTCGAGTTTCCGACTGCTTTCGCGGTATCATGCTCTCTTCTATCGTCTTCAGAAGCCCTCGCCACCTTCGATTTCCGTCGTATTCGTCGTATTTTTCTAGAATCGCCAATGGAAAACTCAATCGACCAGCATCAGCATGAAGCTATGACAGAAAGCCCCCCGCCAGGATATTCTGTTGCCGCCGATATAGGTGACAAAGAAGGTGAAGGAGGCAGGCTATTCGCTTGTACTGAGATTGGATGTGATGGCTTCACATTCGATACAGTTGACGAATGTCAAATTCATGTCAAGGATTGGCATAATCCTCCATACTCCTGCTCAGAGTGCGAAGCGAATTTCGCCGCAATGCCGGCGCTTAGGCGACATTTCAAAGCCAGCGGCCATTACAATTGGATCTGTCAAGAGGAACAATGCGAAATGAAAGGTATCTTGTTCGCCAATCGATCCGAGTTCGTGGCTCATGCCTTGCGCATCAGCGGCCACGAGCGCTTACTTCCAGCAGAGGACCTCAAGAGCCCCTTGTTCCCAAGCCGAATCAACTACGCCGAAATCATACACATTCCCTGCGATGACACTACCTCTGAGCCTTCAGACGAAGAAGCGTTTCAGTGTCTCGAGCCGTCATGCCGTAGATACCAGCATCTTTTCCACTCCGAGAGCGAATTCGGCAGACACCAAGAGTCGCACGCACACGTCAGCGCCATCAAACATTCCGAAGGTCTTTGTCAATCCGGAAAGTCTGTGGGGGATGTTACGACAGAACAAGAGGCAGCCAGAGAGTTTCGGTGTACCGCCAAAGGCTGTCCGTTCTTCGGGGAGAAGCTAAAGACGAGCCAAAGTTTTTACCGGCACATCAACACGACAAAGCACGCGTATCCGTTGCTCAATTCGGCGTCTAATCCAACGTCACCGACGGCGGAAATCCGACAGCGGTTTGATCGGCTTAATCTTGCATGCGACGAACCTGAGTGTCCCAGATATGAGCACCATTTCGCAAACTATATGAACTTTACGAGGCACATTCAATCAGTTCCGCATCTAAAAGCCGTTTCATACGGCCAAACCAAGAGAAGTGCACTTCCCTCTGATCATATACAAGGAGCGACCCAGATGTCGGAAGAATCACAATCGGCGGCCACGGTGGCCATCCCTTCGACGCCAGTGAGATGGAGTTCCTATTCGTTTGCGCCGATAACTCCTGATACGGATTCGACTACACACATTGCCGAGTTCCGGGATATGACTACTTCTACTAAACGCTCGATTCGAAACATTTCTCCATTGACGCCACCGCCGCCATCCTCCTCATTGCCCTCATGGAGAGAGGAAAGCCTAGTGAAGAAGAACGAAGAGCTAGAAATTGAAGTGCGGCAGCTGAAGGACAAGATGGAACGATTGAGATCCGCATACAAGGAGCAGATAAGCTCGCTGTTCCAGGCTTTAGGAGCAGAGCAAGCTCGAAAAACGCCCTGAGACTGCAGGATTCGACGTCTTCTCGCAAACATGCGAACCAGTATGGGTGAATGGGCCGTTGTCTTTTTGAGCGAACACTTGCGCTGGCTGACAAAAGCATGATATAAGCATTGCTGACTGGTGGATTTTATACAAGATGTGCTGGATTGGGCCAAGAGTGGCACTGCACAGCCGCTGGATGTACTATATGTAGTAGGCACGGGATTGGTGGCCGGGCATGGATTGAGTGTTTACAAAGAGAGCCTGACGACGGCAATCTTGGCATCTTGGCATGTGCGTGTTTGTTTTGTGCTGGCTAGGAGATCAATCAAGAGCAAGAGTGTACCAAATACGAGCTGCATATTATCCCATATCATAACCGGCAATCTGCAATTGCTGAAACTGTAAGAGAGTCCTCGGTCAGCTTCACTATGCAGTCATAAGGCCTGCTTATATGTACACACACCGTGGGCAACATACCCTCTGTCTACTGCATATACCCGCTCAATTCACCGATTCACGAAAACTACATGTATAGCTTTACGCAGACAGACTCGTCGCCACGAATACAATGACAAAACACCAAGGATGCGTCATTGCAGCCGGCAGCAACTTGGCATTGCTACCAATACACAACGGCCTCCAGGAATAAGACGCATTACAACATCTAAAAGTAGTACAAGAGCTAGCCTTGCCCAATCCGGGAACTCGATCCAACGACAGCTGATGTTTCTGCGGTGTAAGTGCACACGTAGCCTTACGCGGAAGTAGGTATCCCTTCTACTGCTTTGTATAAGCGACATGTAGGTATGTAGTACAAGTAGCCCTCTACTCTTACATTGTCGATGGCCAAGCGATTCATCCTGTTACTACGTGACGTTGGCCATTCCCAATGTCCACCAGCAACATGCTTAGCGGGGCCGTTGAAGCTCAAGAACAAACCCCCAGGTTCTCACCGCGAATAAACAGGCAATAGGTCCTCCGCCTGTCTCCTCCACATGGAGCAGGTCACAGCAACATGCTCTCTCTGTACACACGACCCTGCTGCATTGTTTCTTCCACCAATCACGGCGGACTCCACGCTTACATAACTGCTCACCTTTCAGCAGAGACTCCTTGTACAGTATTCTGCATCCTCCAAGACGCGGACAAGAGAGGCGGATCGCCGGCACCAGGCTGGGCCAACTGGCGCTAGCCGTGCCAGGGGCTGCTTCTCGAGACCTTCCCAGCTGGTATAGCTCAAACGACGGCACCGCAAGGCCAGGCTTCGTATAGGTGGAATATTCCATCGACTCCGCTGCCTCGCTGGAACCGGATCGAGGGCGGCTTACTTGGACTTGGACAAGCACGGCATCCGGTACACGTCGACGTGATGCCGCGGCCAGCGTCGTTTTTGTATAAAAGACGCCGGATCGGCAGCTGATCTTGTCCGCCCTCTGCTCGTTGCCACAGCCAGCTTCAAGCCTCTCCAGCTCGTTTGTTGATCCTTAGTCCCAGCACCGCATCACCTGCAAAATGCTTGTCAAGAGCGTCCTCGCCAGTCTTTCGGCCGCCGCCATGGCCATGGCCGCCACGCCTCTCGAGAGCGGCAACTGGGTATCGGCCAGCCCCGGCTTCCAGCTCCAGACCTGCGCCGGAGGCAGCGCCAGCGGCAGCACCTTTAGCATCCCCACGAGCCCCAACGGCAGCACCAGCGGCTCGGGCTGCTCCAACGGCCATCTGCGGGCCGAGAACCGCTACACCGACGACTACTCCTCCGGCGTCCACCAGTTCGCCGGCACCTTCAAGATCAACTCGTTTGGCGGCAACAAGGTCGCCATCAAGCAGACCTTCAACGGCAGCACCGGCCCCTACTTCATCCTGGGAGTCAAGAGCGACGGCACGCTCTACAGCGTCGAGGGCGGCGCGACTCTGGCTTCCGGCGTTGCCACGGTCGGCTCGAGCGTCACCATCAACACCGTCCACAACGCCGACATTCACAGCTTCAGGGTCTACGTCAACGGCGCGCTGGCTTTCCGTGACGACAATGCTCCCTCCGGAAGCTTCTACGACAAGATTGGCGCTTACACCACCGACAGCGGCACTGGCCCTATGAGCATCACCTGGTCTGATGTTGCCTTCTGGACTCGCCAGTAAGCGACGGACTTGTAGACAGTACCGCTCTTGGGAGTGGGTTTTCATTGTACATCTGTTGGAGAAATCTTTACATGCACATTTCATGCAAGCGGGATGATATGTCTAGCTTAATGTGCTTGTTCCGTATATAAGTAAATTGATGATTTAGCAGCTCGTTTGGAAATCGTGTTCCAGATTCATACCGTCGTCGTCATCTTGTCTCTCGTGCTCTTGCTAGGCTGCTGCGTGTGCTCGCAATATAATTCTCCGGTTGGCAGGGATCCAATGCAAGATACTGTATAGTACCTGAGTCCATGTAGACCCACAAACGTGCTTGTTTGCTGAGAGCCAAACAGACTCGTTCGAGAAGAATGGTTCGACCGGCGACTCCGTACGCTATGCTGCATCGAAGCAGGAGCTGCTTAAAGGAGCTAGATTCATGAATCGAGTAGCTGAAACAGGTCATTGAGTGAGCGGGCGACTACTGTTAGTGCTCTCCTGCTTTGGGTCGCACTATTAATAGGCAGTATCAGCTTATGATGAGTTTAGTATTAGTATACGCAAAGGTTCAGCGCTGCAAGTCAAGGGATATCTCCATCTCTTTATAGCAATATATTTCATTACACCTGCATTCCTGTCTTCTCTTAGCCCTGGAACTCTTTGGCCCGTCTTCGCATCGATCATGTCATATCCAGATTCAAATCAAGGCTGTCTTGGACTCGTTGGCATTACAAAAGTGGAAGCAGTAATTAATCGCCTGGATATTCACACCTGACGCAAGTATTTACAGGGTTTAAGCTAGTAACCAATTAAGCCATTAATGGAACTTTTCAAATTCTACGCCAATAGTGTTGAAGAGCGCACTGGAGTGTGTATTCACGATTGTTGGGGTTTCTTGCGGCTCAGTGAGTTCATGCTCTAAACTTTATACATGGCGCTCCAATAGCAATTCCATTGGAGTATTCAGACTTGAAGCGATCCAAGATAAAAGGCCGTAATCCTCAGATGAAGATGGGGTACATTTGAATCTGACATGCTGATGTGGAAGGAGCTTGGTCTGGTTCATGTAGTTTGCTCCCTAGACCATGGCGCTTCTTGTAAATCTTCTGCCATGTACCGAGTTAAAAATTCTATGGCATGAGTACCTAGAATCCTTTTTTTTTTTTTTTTACAAAAGTTATCTTTAAGCGCTGGGCGAGATGTCGAAAGTTTACAACTTCAGCGGACACCAATGACTAGGGAAGAGCTGCCCCTCCTCCATTCAAGGAGAAACGACGAATCAAGTTTCGCAGAAACGAACTAGAGAAACAAGCCAAGTTAGGATAGATGGCTTAAAGAAAACGTGTATGTAGAGATTATATGCAGCGAACTAGGCGGCATACTATGGAACCCGTTGGATAAACATGGAGAGAGCGCTTCAAGTGGCAGCAATAATGGGAATATATTCCGACATCGAAGCCATCATCGCATGCAAACTCAAGAAGGCCTAGTCAACTACTACAAATTTGGGTCAGCCGAAAGCCATCTGATTTCGACTGACTCTTTGTTACAAATCTGCTGCTCAGTTTGCCTGCGCATGTACACATTCGATGCCATCTTTTAGTGCAGTTAATGTCACTATAAACTAATCATAACACCAGGCTATTGTCCAGTACTTGATTTCAAGCATTCGTAATCTTAATTTCTTACGCCTCATGAACAGACGGGATGTGACTTGGCTGCTCGCATACACGTAAAGTCTCGTGTGTCTTTGGCACCCACGCGGCCTGTCTAGCTATGTGCGCTTCTGTGCCTTGTCGCATTCATCACAGCTTGCAACGTCACAAATTTCCACCGAGAGTATTTCTCCAGGGTGCTCATGCCCATTGCCATACCGCTTATCCGTTCTACAGTGCTTACATGTCTGCAGCTTAATATTTAGTAGCAGCTCTTGCAGGTGCATCTCGACCCACCAACGCCAGATTGATGGGGATGATCGATCAGTCTAGCTTCAGACGGAATCTATAACCCAATGGATGATCAAAGGCATCCCGTTAAGCTGCAATATCAAGAATCGTTGACTCAGCTGTCCAGTGACTGAGAGATTTGTGCATTTTCTTGCGTCTTACATGGTAGCGAACGAGCACCATGCCGCATTTGCGTTAAAGCGAGAGCTCTATTTGGCAGACATTGTACGGCGAAAAGAGCACGACCAAGATGCTGAATCCATGTGTGTATTTTGCTAGAAGATTACAAGTGTATTGTCTTCATGTTCCGTCTCCACGTCATGGCAAAGCACCGTCGTTACACCTTCTGCTATGGACCTTATTCCTGCGTCAAGGTTCATGTACGATGAATTCTGCCGGGCTCTAAAGACGGTCCGGTATTTAGCGCACGTGCAGCCTCTCCCAGGCCCCTCCGTCTGCCGGCTGAGTACAGGGTACTTCGCCTGGCGCTGCCGACGCGCGCAGATCACAGGTCCGGGCTACCCCCCGCCGCTTTCACCGCCCAGGATTCGATTCGCCGGGCATCATCACCACAACGACCTTGTCCTGCCCTTGTCTCGTTCTGTGCTGGCATCGCCAAAAAAACCCACCACACGTCTCCCCGCAGCCTGTGATCGGACCCTCCCCGCGCCTCAGAGGCTTGTGCCCTCATAACTTCGTCCCGCCGGACAGAGATGACTCGGCCGTCGCCATGGATTTTGTGAGCAGCCCGTCACCAGGGGAGCCCCCAACGCTGAGCTGAGCCGAGTGAGCTTGAGCGGATAACGAGATCAACGTGTCTAACCCGTCTTTGCCTCTGCAGTGGTCGCGCTTGTTAAGCCCTCTCTCCTCCGGGAGCTCCCGCCAGGAACAGGCAAAGGATCCCGCCAAGCGTCTTCATCGCTTCGAGAAGGAGTATGCCGGATTGCTGGTGAGTTGGCTCGTCTGCTGCGATGCCCAGGCCAACAGCACATTCGGGTGTAATCATCCTTGCGCCGGCCATGCTAACGCGACCGTGTCCCCTCCTTTAGTCCATCTGGCGCAAATCTACCAACCTGTCCCAAGACATCGACGCCGCCGAAACGGTCGAGATCAGGCTCCAAGAGCTTACCAACATCCTCAGCGACGAAAGCCGCCGGCCGCTGCCGCACCCGTGTATCCAGTATGCCTCGATCAAGCAGATATACGTGCCCATCGGCAAGATTGCGACGTCGTCCTACAACGAATGGATCATAAAGGAGGCTGTCCTCTTCTTTGCGACGCTAATTGAGAGCGAAGAAGAGGCATTTGTCGAAAACCACACCTTCTCTGCCAGTCTTACAAACCTGCTGGTGCGCATCACTGGCGTCAACAGCGCTCGTCTCGGGCTGGATACCGAGTCACGAGTCGTGGAGCTGGCATTCAACATCACCACCAAGATACGTCTGGACCCTGAGATCTTGCCTGCTTGGTTTAAGACGCAGCAGGACGTCAACCGGCCAAGCGACAGGGCTGCCAGTGTCCGGGACAAGTTCGCCGGTCGAACTAAGAGGGCCGATTTCCCCCTCTTTTACATCCTGATGGACTACATCCACCACGAAGGCAAGGTTGGCGACTTTGCGCGTACGGGGCTTCTGTACATCATTGAGGCAGCTTCGAGCTCGGAATCGTTGGAGCAATGGATCGTCGAGAGCGACCTGTCGACGCTCATGGCCACTGGGCTGGGAGCTCTATACAGCCAGCTGAGCCGCAAGCTCGTCATAGACCACCTGCCGAATAACTTGCCGCCTATCCTCGCCCTCTCCGACTACCAACACCCAACATCAAACTACGAAATTGTTAGCTCCTGCTCTGGCGAGTTCCAATCCCACCTGGAGACCTTTTTATCACACCTCCTCTTTTGGCAAGACGTCTTGAACCATTGCAAATCTGTCGAGGTCAAATCGACACTCCTTGAACATTTCCAGGTTATTTTCTTACAACAGCTCTTGTAAGACTCCATCATGGGGTGTTTATGTGGTATTCGTGGGTATGCTAACGCCGGCCAAATTCTAGATACCCTTCATTGCTTGAGTCTTCCGATATAGACGGAGGCTCGTCCGTTGCAGTTTTGACCTATCTTCGTCGTATCATAGAATCTCTGGATCACCCTGACATGATCAACCTCATTCTTCACTACCTCTTGGCTTTACCAGAGACTGTCACTTCGAACAGCCCCCCTTCTGGGACTGCTATAAGCGCTGCTCGACAGCGCAAATCCATGGATCTCGCTACAATGATGGCGGAGAAACCCGACACGACTGCTACGCCGCTGCTTTTTAACTTGGTCGATCTTATTCTGGCTTGTCTTCGATCGCGCAACCAGCAAACCATTTATGTCACCCTCCAGCTGGTGTCGGCCATTGTGAAAAGGCACCATCGATACGCAGTGCTCACCCTCCTTCAGACCGACATGTTTCCCAGCAACAACATCAACCGAACTGTGGGCGCCCATGAACAAGAGATTGAGTATCTCATGGCTCTGGCGGAGACTATTGGCGGCCGAGGCGACTTTGATGAGACCTACGAGAGCATTTTGAAAGATACCATGGCTCGGCTCGAAAGCCACCCATGCTCTTTGAGGCTGGTTGCGCCCAGACTGTCACAGCACAACCACAAGACACCTACAATTCCAGACAGTCTTCCGGGCGCGCCAAAAGATGTTAGGGAACACACGCTCCGCAGCGATGATCTTTTACTCAACTCTATACTCGATTTGATGGAAAACTTCTTCATGAACCCAGTAGAGACGAATTTGTCAGTCACCGATACCATAGTTGACATGGCAATATGCGGTTATATGAGCATTGAGGGCTGGCTTGCGCGAAATCCCAAGAGCTACACCTACGCTGGGGACGAGCAGCAGCCGGAGCCTGAAAAGGGGATTGAAACTAAATCACAGCAAGAAGGAGAAGGAGAGGAAGAGACGGAGACGGAGACGGAGACTGAGACTGAGAAGGGGGACGACGCCGATACTGAGCCCGGCAATAAGTCACTGGCTGATGAGCTTGGTTCGCAAGACGGTGATTCCTCGGATGGCGGCTTCTCGACGTTCACAGATGACACGGAGGCAGAGAGACTGGAGTCAATGGAAAAGTGCAGGCGCCGACCAAAATGGACTCAGCAATCTCTTCCTCGTATTCTTATTGTGTTGAAGCGCCTCTGCGACCAGGTCGAGGCTTTCAAGCAGACGGTACCTCGATTTGACGAGCTTCTTCAACAGCGACGAGAAGCTTTCCAGACGGCGAATGCAATCATGGACAACCCTCCAGCCCCGGTTCAGCCTCGCACGCCAGAGCGGCCGAGTTCCACTCTTGATGAGGTTATCCGATCCGTGTCTCCGTCTCGTCCGACTGGCCTTGAGGGTTTTGCTCAGCGGCTGCTGTCAGAACTCTCAACTCCTAGCCGCTCCGTAACGCCCAGAGGCCGCAAGAATAGCACTCGGACGTCCGGTGCTTCGACGCCTGGCTACAATGTGTCGGATCTGCTCTCTCCCAGCCCCTTCCCCAATACTTCCAAGCCTCTGCCCGACCCCACCAGGAACGCTCTTAACCGGAGCTTGTCACCGTCAAGTGCTCAGAGCGGAGCCAGCGGAGGGCGAGAAGGGCGGCAAAGCCAAGCAAGCATTCAGCCAGCCGAATTTACAGCCATGGATCAAAGCATTTTAGCCCGGCGGGTAGCCTTGCCAGGCGAGCAAGTCAAGCTGATGCCATTGGACTCGGAGAGAAAGCCGGTGCATGATGCTCCCGAGTCTTTGTTCTCCGGAGATGAACTGGCCAGTCTAGACGGAGACGATAGCAGTGCGGACCGGAGCGAAGTTGCCACCGAGCCGACTGTTACGACGGAAACGACAGACAATGCCGAACCAACAAGCCCGACGAGTGATGAAAACATGGTTTCGGTGTCGCATGTCATTACCAACGTACTGATATACCAATCGTTCCTTTTGGAGCTGGCCAGCTTGATGCAAGTTCGGGCCGGGCTGTTCAATGAGGTACGCTTTGTTTGATTGGATGCGGAGTTGGAGATGCCATCACTTGGCAGAGGATTTTATTTCCCGGAGAATGCAAGAATATGAGTTTTCGCGGGAAGTTATTCGGGGTTGGATGCGTTCTCCATTCTCCGCGGCACTGGAGCGGAATGGATGGAGGGCGTCGCTGTAGTAGGATCAAGGAACATTGCATATTGTATAAAGTTGCATAGTGCGAGAAGAAGACTGCATTTTTAGAGAATAGCATGATGAGAGCAGGCAGCCAGGAAACTGTGTGCGTGAGAAAGAGAGCATGTGCTTGTGGGTGTGTGGGTGTGGCTTGCTTTCGATCTGTTCCCCCAATTCCCGCTCAATCCCTCGTACACAGTACCCGAGTGATTTATGGATAGCGAGAGGAGGGCAATTCACCCGACGGGTTTATTGCAGACGAGTTTATGACATGACGTGTAAGTGCCTTGCGGCGCGCGTGTGTGTATGTACGTAGAGAAGAGATCAGACGCCGCGAATGGATCTGGCCTTGGAAAGAGCGTTGAAGAAATTAAGTGAAGAAAGCGTGTTGGTATGGCTTTTTTGTATATTGCTACGGGTGCGGATTGATGTGTAACTGACGGACCACCCAAAAAAAATAGGGACAGCGAGGTCTGCTATTTAGAATACATGAAAGTATGCAAAACAGATATGGCATGGAGAATAAATGTATGCCTCCAGTACTAGAAAGGCGAGCAGAGATATAGACAGAATGATGAATATTCCGTTGAGACGCCCGAAATGCTCACGAGAAACCTCGTCAACAGCACATGGAGAGAGAACAGTGTATAAGCACGAGGGAGGTGAGAGTGCAGTGTGAGCAAGATTTCTTTTTCTCCCCCCGTAGTGCGATAAAGATCATATTAATTACCATATGACCAAGGTGAGGCTTATAATCAAGCCATAGGATGTCCTGACGAAGACATACCAAATACATGTAGATATGAGGCAAATGGATTCTACACGAATTAGGCATCGTGCGGCTCTGTGCGGCGTTTATACGTCTTCAATGTGCACGTCTCCGATTTTAACCGGCTGGGTATGTAGATTGCACGGTATCTTGCAGAATCCGTACGTTCTGGATTGTATCTGGTTTACTTGCGCTGACACTTTCTATGCTACCTGCAGAGCGTTGCATGCGTTAGTAGCTGATTATGGGAGTTGCCTCCAACAACTTGAAGATGCAGAGAAACGGCAGCGTGTGCAGTGCAACGCGCATTAGCTCTGAAATGAAATGCTTTTCGTATAGCAAATGAGCTTTTATCTAGCTTGAACAGCCTCGTCGCTGTGTTGAGTCTCTAGAGTTTTGAGCATCGAGCATGCATGAGTGTCATTCAAGTCATGGGAGACGACGACTAAGGGTTACGGATCATCACAGCGAGTGGGTTCGTCAGCTGGACTGCATGTATGCTGTCTTGATCTCCGGGAGAGAGCTCTCAGCCGGGCCATCTTTGTGTAGAGATGACAAGAGCGAGCAGCGCTGTTGCAGCAGTGATGCGGCTGATTTGACCTCATGATGGAGTACCTACCGTTTCTGAAAGATGATGTCTTACTGGTAGTATGTGAGCATGCCCAATTTTGGTAACTAAAGGACCCGCCTGAGAGCACTTCCTATGCGGTAGATGCTACTATACGAGCGAGCGCCTCAGCAGCTGTTAGGAAAGCATAGTTTTGTGTTTTGCATTGGACGAGGCTGTCGCTGCTGGAGTTTACACACCCTTCATCAGGTCACTTGAATTTGGAAATTGAGATGGATATACCGGCTTGTGCTTGCAAAAGAAAAGAAAAAAAAAAAGTTGGTCGCGGCGAGGGCGAGACACGGGCTGAGACGAGGACGCGGGCACGGCAGGCAGATGGTGTTGGGACGAGACAAGATGAGACGCAGCTGCTCGAGAGTGAGACATGATGCAAGGCAGAGAGACGAGCAAACGTCAAAGATGCCCGTCTGGTGATACTTGCAGATGACATGCAGTGAGAGCATTACATAAACACGGCTTTTGCCACCAATGGCAAACGAGAATAGAAGGGTAAAGTAAGGGAGCCTGTACGTTAACCTATCGCCACGATTTTTGGGTACAACTATGTAAGGGAGCTTTTGTTTGGTTTTGGTGGCATGGCCCGGATCACCAGTTCCGGGAGTTTGATGTCTGGCATAACAGGACTTCATTTTCCAGGGACTGGGCTAGCTTGTGTCAAGGCCAGGTGGCTTGATCCCCTGGTGGCGTTAATGGCGCACGTTATTCATGCATTGCGCCAGCGAAGAAAACATGGTTGTGGTCAAACTGCGCCGAGCGTCTGCCGTGTCACGCTCGCGGCTCAGCTCTGCCAACTCCAAAGCAGCAGAGCATATTAAACGATGGCTATTCCCCTGTTTTCAAAACTTGGCGATTTGCCCTTGCTGCACTCCAGAAAATCAGGCTCCAGTTCCCCCTCTCCAATACCTGAGAAGAAAAAAACCAAGACGCCATATCCGTCCGGGGTTAATAAGTGCATGTATCCATCTTTAGCCGGTAAAAAAAAAATGGCCCAGCCTTTGCCAGCAAAGGGCTAGCCCGCAATAGAACATCAGTAGTTCTAACAATTAAAATCGCTGCGAGCTGCTCTTTTGGACTGGAGCTATTGGGCACGTCAGCTTATGGGTTGCCTCGATAGCCAATCACCGCGGCCGGCTGTGCCTCGTTGGTCGGATCCTCTGCGTTCTAGACGTGGCTGAAGGAGGCCCGTCTAACTCAAAAGACCCAGTTTGGCATATTAAACCGGCAGAGCGTCTCCACGTCCGGCGCTTCTACACGAGAAGGGGAAGTACAGGGCGGCGGAAGAGGAGAGGAAAAGGGCCTGGACACAGCATGGCAACGTTCCCAAAGCGGTTCTAGGCTTCAATTTAGAGTTATGTTTTAGCCAGTTTTCCAAAAGGGCCGCTGCTACCTGGAGGAGAGGGCGGGGGATGTGGTATGTATGTATAAGCAAGCCAGGTTTACCACTCAGTCTCGAGCGTTTTTTTTTTTTTTTCAATTTGCCTCTTTTGTGCTTTTCTTTCACATTGCCAAAATGCAATGGTTGAATCAAGTGGCCCAGCAGGCTAAGCAGGAGAGCCCGTCTTGGCGTCTTTCACGACAGGCCAGGCTCTTCTAGCCTCGAGTCGATGCCGGGGAAAATGCTTTTATAATACGAGCAGGATCCGTTTGCCTTTTTTTTTTTTTTGGCGCTGCGCTAACACGATTTGCTTCCAAGACAGCTTAATCTCATTTATATGTTGGTTGCCCTACAGTACCTTGGGACAGGGAAGAGTAACGTGTTTGCCTTAGCTCCGTTGTTTCGCGGGACTATCTGGCATCCCCCTGGTCCCCTTGTGAGCGCCTTTGTCTTGTGATTCTTTATTCTTTTTTTTTTCTTCTGTGCTGTTTACTCTTTTATTTCCACTCTTTTGACTGTGTTCACTCTTTCAGCTTGTTTTTAGTGGAGAGTTGCGTTGCGTTGTGCATCTAGAGCGGCGGCAACAGGTAGAAACAAGCATACAACCACGGCAAGCAAGAGAAGAGGGCATCTCGTCTTACAAGCAAGATGCATCTCAGCGAAAAGACCGACTCGTTCTCGCCGCTGCGCCAGATGCTGCACCACGTCTCGTCGCAGCGCCGGTACCGCAGCTATGCCGCCGCCGGCATCGCCCTGATGCTGCTGTCCATGGTCTGGCTGAGCGGCAACCTGACGGGCAGCAACTCCAGCCAGCGATGGCTTGACGAGGCCGCCAGCAAGCGAGTGCCGCTGTGGCCGACCAAGATCACCGGCACAAACCACACGCATCTGGTGTCGCCCAATATCTGGCAGATTGTGCTCCCCAAGACGCAGCCGTACCCGGGCGACGCCGATCACGTCCATGTAGACCCCAGGCAGTTGGAGCACGCCGCCTCTTGGATTGCGACGAATCCGGGCTACCAGTAGTAAGCAGCACCGCAACTCTGCATTCTGTGGAATAGAGGAACAAGACAACGGCAGTTGCTAACCCGTCGCCCAACAGCTCGCTGGTCGGCCACAACGACGGCAACGAGTTCATCAAGCGCCACTTCAGCCACAACCCCAAGATTGCCGACATCTACCACAACCTGACCAACGTGGGCATGAAGTCCGACATGCTGCGCTACCTGCTGCTCGATGCCTTTGGCGGCGTCTACACCGACACCGACACCGTCGCCATCCGGCCCGTTGACGTCTGGATCCCCGAGCAGTTCCGCGGCAAGGCCCGCCTGGTCGTGGGCATCGAGTTTGATCGCCGCGACGGCGGGCCCTGGGCCGACATCCCGCACTGGCTGCAGTTCTGCCAGTGGACCATTGCCGCGGCCCCGGGGCACCCCGTCTTTGGCAAGATGATTGACCGCATCATCGCCTCGGTGGAGGATCTGTCCATTGTCTACGGCGCGCCGGTCAACAAGCTGAAGCCGGGGAGCTTCGAGGTCATGAACTCGACGGGGCCGGCGGCCTGGACGGATGTCGTCTTTGAGCAGCTGCAGCAGTACAACCCCATCTTGAACGACACGCAGGATCTCTCCTTCATGGAGGAGCCGACGCTGATTGGCGATATCCTGATTCTGCCAATTGACGGGTTTGGCATGGGACAGGTCCATTCGGCCAGTACGAATGACGGGTCCATCCCAGAGGGGGCTATGATGAAGCATCTCTTTACGGGATCTTGGAGGGACGAGGAGTGATTTTGACGAGATTTTTTTTTTATTTTTCTCTTCTGAGTATATATGAGAGCGTTTTTTTTTTCTTTTTCTTTTGGCTATTATGAGGGAGAATTGGGTAAGATACACATATGCCTGTACGACGCGGCTGTTATTTATGATTTGTCTATGGGGTTTTTACTGGAACATATGGTCTTTGAACGATTTGGGTATTTTCTTCACATGTACATACTAGAGACTCAACAAAGCTCTTTTTATCTTCTCTTGCCTTGTGCTATTCTCAGTTTACTTGATCAACTAGACTCAAAATTCCACCATTGTACAGTTAGCTATATACGAACCTTGTCACTGCATGTAGGTATTATAGCTCAACGATTGCGTGACAAAACTGGCAAAGATCAGCGACATTCCTTGTCTATCTGGGAATGGGAAATGCTACCTTGCAAGATGCCTGCGCATATTTCCGCAGATTGGCTAAATGATCGGACTATGGCTAAAAATAAGCTTTTGTAGGGGGTTGATCGGAATCTGGGGTCATATGGGCTTGCGCATCTTTTATCTCATCTTTGCGCCGTGATAAGCCAGGCATATTGCTAGTCGCAAATATGGAATCGTTTTAAAATAACATGGCATTCATGGCCTAGCTAGTGTTTTCGTCTTATTGTTTTTGTTCGTTGTTTTGAGAGTCATTTAGATTGGGCGGGCATGATGTTTTGACCTTGTACTCACTGAACAGACATCATGATATACTACCGCGATACTCTAGGTGCATCTGTCTTGAATAGAGGAAACATCGTTTCATAAACTTAGAAAGTAAACTAGACCATGTACCGCGATGCATCTGGTGAAAGTACAGAAAGAATACTGCAAGTTATATCCAGGGTATGTCCTATTTCAATAAATCACAGTTTATAACTCCTGTGAATCAGAAAAAAAGTCTATCGGAATCCTAACTCCACGGCTTAGGAACAAGCCAAAAAGGAAGAAAGAATTATACGCAAAGAGCAGTTAGAGGAATAGGGTATCTGTATTTTGTCTCACGAGAAGGTCTTGTGTCAAGAGTCTCGTTTATTAGAGCATAGTCATGTCCCCTGCTGACGCATAATCGCAAACTTGCGATATATAGCATGTGTGTATATGAAGTGAACTATCCCCTTCTATGTCGTACCAACTGAGAGAAACCCCCAAATGAGCTAAACCATCCATGCATCTTTTTGTAAGATGCCTGTTTAGACTATTTTTGCATTACAATCGCAGTTTGGGCTGCTTACAAGATACCCTCGGTCAACTACCGATTGCTGGACTGAAATTGAGTCTTGGGCTTACCCACGCACCGGATATCTGCAATGAAAAAAAGGTCTCGTTCTTCAGCAAGTAGAAAATTGACAGCGCCAGATACCTTCCAAATGACAACCAGGTACAATTGCTCCGCCAAGAGGCTATTCCCAGACGGACAGTTTTGGTATGTCACCGGCCTCTCAGCCCAAACCCAAGATGGTCTACAATAAAAAAACTCCATATGGAGAAACGTGCCCAATGTGCTTGGACGCCACGACCCACTCTCAGTAAAAGATTAGGCCGTATTACCGCTCCAATGGCATTGCAGAATTCTGTACAAGGGCATGCTGAGGAGCGACACAATGTGCATTTCATGCTCGTGCGGGAGAAGAGGGACGTTTGACGCCATACGCGTAACCTAGGTTTTATGGATACGAAGAAAAAAAGCTTGGTAAGATGTAGTCAGAAGCTAGATGGAATGAGATGACGATTAAAGTTAGTTCTTGAGAGACAAGTGACATGGATTTAACGCGTGGGACGGTATCCGTATAGGTTAACATCGTTTGCCTGATGGTCTTTGAGCTTTTACTCACTTTACGCCTAGTAAACACAACAGAAATACATATCGGCTGCTCGAAAATACTGTTTCATCAAATATACACTTATTGTCTTGAAATTCATCATCACGCGTGCCACTTCTTGGATTATCGACTACAACAATTTAGGACATGCTGCCTGTTAGCAATCTCTATACAATAGATAAGCGAATATTGAATGCAAAGATCATCAGTAATGTATGAAAATTTTCAACCCGTCTCTATAAGCAGTGCAATATTGGCAATCTCCTTTCCATGATGAATATCAAGAGCAAGATTCATCACATTAACATTGGAAACAATCATTGAACAAGCTTCAAGTAACGCGTCTCCGTTGGACTTGGCCACACTTCCGTGGTTCAGAATCTCCAACTTTTGCGTCGTGACTGGGCAGTCAGATCACAGCCTGCACGACTATGAAGTAGCGGACACGAGAAGATTAAAGTTCTGTTCACTCACGTAGTGTACATTCAAATATGTGCATTGGTCGACTTCCTCTGGGGAATCTTATATCGTAGATACTGACAGGCTGCAATTGCCCACTTATAAGCAGCAATCCGGTAGCAAATGGCACACATAGCTTCTAATGTAGCTATACCAGCTTCTCGCCAAACTCACCCAACTCCCCTTTCCATTTTCCCCAAGCATAGCTCCAATATCACAGTTCATACTCAACGTAACTCAGAAAATTTCAGCATCTTCCCAAAGACCAGCCAATAAACCAATATTCTCGGCCATACAAACACCTTGCCCATCTTTACAGCCTAGGACCTATTGAAGGAGCCCATTTCGGCGATACTGACCCAAATATGATCTCGTGATCTTTTCTCTCATCTCCTGAAATGCCCAACAGAGGGTGAGCGTATCACTCCCCATCACAGCCAATTACGTGTATACAGTACGGAGTGTCGTGGTAGCATCCCTGCTAGAGTAAGTACTTTTTAATAAGTGTTTACGATGAAAGCATCCTGTCTCTCGGATTTGGCTTCCGAAATTTGACTTGTGGCAATCTGCGTCCAATGAGCACCAATGTCTGTTATCGGCTTATTTACGGAGTCAAAGCTACGTCATACCGTGGCTTTCATTCTCCTTTCATCATGTTCAGCTCTCACCGCCTTAGCATGCATGAATTTCGATATCAACCGAGGCGTAATTCCAACATCTACCGCGATTTGCATCTCTTCGTCAACTTGCGGCCCAAAGGAAGGACAAGAAACGCCAAATAAACCGAATATTCGGTTCCAAATAATCCATCTCCACCGCAGAATAGCTTCCTTATCAATCTTTCTTCCACAAATTATACCCCATTTGAATTTCTCTTGTGCCCAAAGACCGTAGCTAGGGCTATATGATGTGTAACTGGTAGACTCTCTCGGCCCGACCCCATACGCCCGCAATTTCTGAGCAGTGCTACCGAGAAGAGCCCGAAGGCAGCAGAGAAAACACTCTTTTCATCTTTACGCTGACACGTCAGGGGAAATATTGGGTAACTATTATTCAAAGAAATGTCAAGATGGATCCATTCAACACGCGGATACCAAAGGTTGAAGTTGAAGCGCAAATGTGGAGTATTATCCACGTCTTAGCAGCACAAGGCTGATGCCATATCAAGCCCACGGCTTGTATATTGGAATAATCGCCGGTCAAGGCATGTGGATGTTTCATTGAAACCTAGCATTTACAAGGCCTTTTGTAATCAATCTAATGTATGCTGCTCGGCGAATTGTTCGCTGTCGAGAGAACTGGAGGATTTAACCCTTTTTCTTTCCGGCGAGGCTGACGAGGTGAGCATTGTAGAACGGCTGAGAATCAGAGCAATCCACCGTCTCCAGTGTACTACAATGCTTTGGGTCTAAATTCACATGGCAAAATTTCAGTATAGTACTTATGTAGTAGCCGCTGAGAAGGCCAAGAGATGCCACAGATCTGTTCAAATCGAGCTTGCCAAGCTCCAAACAATGCATGGCTGTTAGGTAAGACCGGGCGGGGTCTATACGAACCAGTCTCAAAAGGCAAGTCAAGGGCAATGAGCTGAGGAATGCAAAGTCTCGGATAAGACAAAGCCATTGCAGACATTGTTGTACCACGTGCTGTGGCGATGATTTCTCCTCATTTGACTTGCGCAAGTATTACGAAAATACGCGTACGTGGACCTATCATCACTTTACATGTAAGTCGAGTCGGATGTAGATCAACAGCTGCACTTCATACTGCAAGAACAGTGTTGGAGTGTCAAGTTCAGGGAATCCACCACGACCACATGGCAGCCAAGAGTGGATTCTCTCTGGAGCCTTGATCCCTCTGCCCTTTGCCATCTCTTGGTCGGGGCAGGGCAGGGCCGATTGTAGTGTAAATCCTTCGCCGGCCAGCCGCCTTGGCCCGTGGAGACTGTGGCGTTTTCCACCGAGAAAAGCCCTTCTTTACGTACAGACGTGATCAAAGCACCGAAAGAGCGAGGCCGGTCAGCGTTTCAGGCCCCCAATCCGACCATGCAAGCGCCGTGCCGAAGATCAGACGCCTTTCGCATCACCTTACCGTCACTCTGGCGGTATGAATGGCCCGGCCCAGATAGCGCAGCGCGAGCTACGGGCATCGCTTGCGCTTCTCGATCCGGTCAGCTAAAGCCGGCCCTGCTCGCAGCCATACCGCCATGCCGTAGCTTGCCGCTTGCAAGCATGTCCCAAACGGGAGATGAATCGGAGCTGGTGGCTTGGTGTGGCGTTGATTTTTCCTCCGAGCTAGTTCCGCGCGAAGCCCACGGCTGTGAGCGACAGACAGCCTTGCTCTTGGAGACAGTGAACAGCACGTGAAACTGAGGCTGTAACCGACGATCCCAGAGGATCTATCCATTCTCGAGATCTTTGAGGTGACAACGGGCGGGGAAGCGAGATAGCCATGCTGCAAGATCCGTTGCTGTAAAGGCAAAATAAAGGCAAATACTGTGTACACCCGTAAATTGAGATTGATCACAATGAATCTGTTGGTCCTGCCTCTTAGCGTACCTAGGCATCCATGGGGGTTGGATGGTACGATATGCCCACGGCAAAGGAAAGCCTCGCCTCTTGATGGGCAGAGACGGCGTGAAAGCAGGGAAAAAGAAGGGTCACAAGATGGCCCATTCATTCGCCGTTTCCCATCACGAGCTGGTATGGCCACGCGGTTTTAAGACTCGGATGCAAGCTTAAAGGCGCGATACAACGTTGTACAAACATTGCAGAATTGAGCCATATTGAAGCCCACCAGCTTCACGAGGAAGAGTGGGCGAGGCACAAAGACTGTACTGTACTCTGTCACAGCTGATTATTAACTTTGGCAGCATCCAAGACGTCTCTTGGTTTTCCGTTTCGCGATGATTAGTGACCGCTTGGGCTCCCTCCCATTTGATGATGCCATGTCAGCCACTTACGGAAAGGCAGACGGAAGAAGCATCGGAAAACCACAAATGCAAAGCAAGGGAAGCATAAAAGCGGCGGGGAAGCGCCATGGACTGGGTCACCCGCCTCCAATACAAATCCCCCGAGGCTACTTGCAAGATGCGGTTAGCTGCCCTCTCGTGTCCGCGCGAAGTTTGGAGCTAAAAAGGCGGCTGGCGTTTGATGATCTTTCCAGCAAGCATACAGTAACTAGGCTTGAATCTCGGGAGGTCCTGGACCGTAAGCCGACGGCCATTTCGCGCGCCACATGCAGCAAGTTGGGCATACCGTGCATGAATCAAGCTGCCGCGGGAGGCCAGTGCCAGCCAGCCCCTGGCCTTGCTTTGCAGCAGCCCAGGATTAGAGCCTGCGGAGTTATAACTCTATACAGAAGCAATATAGCTGCTGCCGATCCTATTGGCTACTCGGAAACATGCTGTTTCCCGGGGTCTGTTTAGGCGAGGCGAGGCACGAAGGAATCGTTGTCGTCTGGCCGGTGACTGACATTTATGACCAGAAGCCGTTGGACGAGCTGGTGTTGGTGACGACATGGTCACGTTTGAGCGATGAGAGGCCGTTTCAGAAGCAGCTGTTTGCCTGCATGTTGTCCAGTGACGAATTGGCGATGGAGAAGAGGGATATGGGGCTTCGCATCTCTTGGCTGCCAGGCACATTCCTCATGGGAGTAACCGTTCTAGAGAAATCTGGAGAGCTGGGGCCGCGAGCGGTACGGTGCTGGGCAGACTGTATACCATGCCATGTGCGGCGTGTCCATGCATCAGGTCGACGGCTCTTCTTCCATGCTGTAGTAAGCAATCTTGGGTTGCATCGGACCATCGCAGTGGAGAGGGAGAGCTGAGTTGGAGGCCAGCGGCAGGGGATGCATCTGCTGCCTGTTTTTCTCATGTCGGGCAGGACTCGTACTTTAGGCCATGGCCGTATGAAGTACCTGTAGTCCAACCCATGAGTGCTCATATACCTGTGCTGTGGATTCCAAGCTAACAAGAGTGATCAAACCAGCAGCTTGGAAGCAGCACGGGCGGGGTGCAAGGTGCGTGAAGCTGGTCGAATCACACAACGTGGAGCTGCTTTCCTGGTGGTGTGACAGCAAAGGCCGACGCTGTTGAAGGAAGTGAGAGAGAGCCATGGCAGGATGCGGAGTGGGACTGTGGTGATGCCGGGGTGATTGGTCGACGAGGAGAGAGATCGAGAAGAGATACTCGTACGAGTGGATGTTGTGGATGTTGGGTGGCCGTTGGGTGCAGCAGTCATGTGCAAGGCCGTGCGGGTAGATGCGAGCCCGGCACTGTGGTCGATGGCCCGTATTTTCGTATTTCCAAAGAGCCGATCACTGCCGCTCTGAGACGGGCAGCAGCAACGAAGTTCGCCGGGCCTGAGCCTGGAGGTGGCACAGAATAGTTTGTCTTCAACTCCGAAATCTGACCCTTTTTTTTGTGGGAGGACTAGAGGATTATCATTTGGGGTTTTGGTGATGCCTCAGCCGGCAGTCTCGTTTTCATGCTCTCTCTACTACCTACACTATACACTACTAAAATTTCTTGCAGCTGTCAGACTCGGGCACTTTTTTTTTTTAACGAAAACATCTGCCGCGGCTGCATTGCCGTGCCAAAGCCGGCGGAGAGATAACTTTTGATTAAAGCCTGCGACGTCATTTTGGGCGGCGCGCCAAAGCCCGGGGGAGTGGAGGCGGAGAGGCTACAGCGCGCCTCCAGGCCTA